CCGCTGGCTGGAGTGAGTGTAATGCTAGGACTAGCCACTACCTCGCTCCGCGCTCGCCGCGATTGTGAACGTAGTAGCAGAAAGCTCGTGTCGAACAGTCGGGTTCAGACCTCCGGTGCGTGTAGTTGTGACACGCACAGGCTGGACGGATGTGAATGAGCTGTTCTGGCCTGCAGTACGTGTAGCCGTGGCAGTCACAGGCCCAGAGAAACTTTTCCGGGCCTGCGGAGATCGAGCTTGTACCTGTTGCGCGCAGGTGTGGTTTGGGGCTGTAGGTCGAATGGCTGTAGGTCGAATAGGAGCGAGTTGGCTGGGGGTGTGTTTACGACGAGTGGATTGGGCTGGGAGAGGTCGTGCTCGAGGTACTGCCGTGCTCATGGCGAGCAGGTGTTTGAGGAGAAGGTTGGGCTGGTAGAGATGGTCTAGCAATAGTTCGTGGTTGAGGTGCAGTGTTGCCATGTTGATGACGAGTGGGTTGGGTTGATGGAGGTGGTCTAGCAGTAGTACGTGGTGGAGGCGCAACATTACCATATTCATGGCGACGACCAAACGGCGGCGTTAGAGGTAAAGGTGGTCCATATTGTCCGGTAATAGTCCATGGAACGTCCGCCAGAGGTTGTCAGAATCGGGAAGATGCCTCAGCGCGTGATCCAGGGGCTCGGTGCGTGGGACTCGTGCTTTGGTGATGACCGCCAGTCTGCTGAAGAGCGCTGGCTTGCTGATTTGCACGAGAGCTATGGGCTGAGCTGCGAGTCGGTCCACCATTATACGTGTAGCCTGGCACACGCTGACCATGCGGTACATATGGAGTACGCGTAGTTCGACGCGAACCGTTCATGCTCAAATACTCAGACATTCGTGGACCTAGATAGCTCGGTCGCTGCTGGTTATGCTGTGCCTGCAACTGACGGGCACCTGCATGTGCCGCGAGGTCTGCAGCATCGTCATAAACAGGCCAGTGGTTCATATATCCAATGGATCGGGTGTTTGGGCCGTAACCACTACCATAACGTATATCTGGGCCGTACCGATTATCGTAATCAGATTCTAGATCGTATGAACTATCGGAGTCAGAAAAGTCAGACTCGTGTCCAATGTCAGGACCTGGGCCAGGTCCGCTGAGCCACTCCGTCCGACAAAGCGGGCACAGCTTTTTGTCGTCCGGATGGTTGTTGAGAAGTACCTGCAAGCACTCGAGACCGATCATGTGTACGCAACCCAGTATACCCACGATCTTGACACAGATGTGCTCAGAGATATCTTCGAGGCATATTGGGCACTCTGTATTTGCTGGCGTAGTAGTATCGGCATGTGCGAGGAAATCGGTGTGATTAGCGAGGAAAGTGTCAACTCGAGAAAGCTCATGTGAGCCGGTTGCGTTGGGCATGTTGGGCATGTTGGTTGTCGTGATGACTTTGAGCAGTTGTAGCTTGTGTTAGTTTTACGGTTGTAACTTTTGGTAGATTTGCTTGTCGCTTGTAAAGTCGCGAGGTCGTGATTGTCTGGCGCTCAGGGGAATGCTGTTAGAGACTCTGTTGGAAGAGGCCGCACAAGACTTATGTTTCTCCAGGAGAGTGCTGGGACTTGTGAACATATGTAGGCCCAGTCTTGCCGCAATGATGTGCACAAGGCGGGTCAAGTGACTCTCGAATTTGTGAGCTGGTGATGAAGTTTTCTTGTCCTGGCTGGGCTGGGTGGGTGTGACTCCATCTCGCAGGTGCATCATGTTCACACAATGTGAGAAGAGACGATGATACAATGATCTGGGTAAGGAAACACATCGTAGACTGATCAGAATGATTGAGAGTAACGAAAGACAAAGTGACAAGACTTCTTGCAAAGCGACAGGTCGAGAAGCATACTGTTAAGATGCGAGTAGGGCAACTATCTAGGTCTATCACAGAAAGTATACGAGCAAGCGCATTGTAAATAAAACACGTGAGCTCTGTCACATGGTCTCTCCAGTTGCTGAACAGAGATCATTCTTCATGAGCAGCCGAGATTTCAGTGCAGAGATCAAGACGAAAGTCTAAGTTGTGAGCCTCTGCCATTGCTGGTGTTGACGAAATTTGAAAATTCGTGCAAGTCAGATCATGGCTACAAAATATGCAGACAGGTGTGCTTGTATTGTCCGGCAGTTGTCATATAACGATTTCATCGACACAAATTATACTTCATGAAGACTCTCTGGCGATACCAGTCACGTAGCTCTGATTTCCACCATCACCTGGTCGAGGAGCTTGCTCTTGCAAATTCCCCGAGCGTTTCAACATCTGTTTTGATTGACGAGCCATGAACCGTCTTTCGTTCACGTTCACATGTTATCATGTGCTTTCATTCACGTGTCAATATATGTTTTCTACACTGATGTCGATGTCATGAGATGCATTGGTCGCGCATCCCTGCATCGCTCCCGGAACAATGCTGCCGCTTGTCGTCAGCTTCTGTTGGTATACACTGCAAGCAGCATAAAACTGGGCTTAGTACAGCTCCACGGAAGAAAGCCTCACTCCACGGACGGAAGGCTGACTCAACGGAAGGAAGACTACACCAGTCCGGATTGTGATTCGTGGAATCTGATTACTGCTCACGGTTGGCATTCCTTCGATCAACTTTGAGCCGATCGGCCCATCCTTGCGACACCTCGGCAATTGGAGCCATCTTGCAATACACTGGGGAATTGCATACACGGCAACCACCGAGAAGACAACACGTTGTTCGAAACTTTCCTTAGATGCTGACCTCGGTGAAATGCAGCGGAGTCCAAATTTGTCGAAGGCCGACATCGAATCATTCTGCGAAGCTCTCGTTACCCATCGAATCATGCGCGGCACGGCAGAAGGTCCGTCGCTGCATTACTCGTTGCCCGGAGACTAGCCGGAGTGACATGCCGTGGTGCATGGTTCAGCCGTATCGGCAGGTTGAAACAAAGTCACGGCACATGTGACGCCAAACAGGGCAAAGCAGTATCATCGAAATCGATGGCTGGGTGGAGCAATATCAGTACTCGTGTACTTGTCATGTGCATGCGGGGTAGTGCGGCGTCGAGGCAACAGACGGTAGCTGCATGCTAGCCATCAGTAACATGGTGTTGTCAACGGTGTTGAGCTGCTGGCGACGTTGTTGAGGCGCATATATAGGCCAAAAGATGCCACGTAGAGTACATTGAGCAGGTACTTTGTGTGTATTGAGCAAACTTTACCCTTCCGGACTGGTTGAATGGAGCGTGCTCGGAAGGAGATCCCTGCGCCTTCGACTGTGCCGTCAATTTGGTTTGGCGTGCAAGCAATGTATGTAAAGGACAGCTTTGACAATAACGTATGATGCTCAAGGTTGATCATCCTCCGCTAGAGGCAGGCACTGCGAGGGCATTGGCACTGGACTGATCTGCGCTGTCTTCGGTAGGGTAGATGCATTATCGACGATGCTGCTGCAAATTGGCGCTTGGATACTGCAGGCACTCAATCATACAGCTCGGCGCATAGCTTTTGGTCAGGGGTTGTAGCGAGATGATTAAGTTAGAAACGGCCCGGTACGGAAACATGAACGCGGGAAGGATAGTTTTAGGCGCACCTGCAGACGAGCTATAATCCCGCCAACGTCCAACATACCCGGCTTGAGTTGGGTCGTTGAATTTGGACAGGGGTTGTTCCGAATAAACAATGTTCCAGAATCAGTTGAGACGTCTGTCCCATGCTGGTATCTGGCTGATGTGATGGTCGTGCTGGAACACTATCTGGTGCATCTTCGATTCCTTGGTCCATGTCAGGTATCAGGGCAGGGATGTAGAGTTACGCTTCGCCAGGCATTCCATGTGAGAACGCTAAGCAGAAATAGCATGAGGCGATGTCACTAGCAGCAGATGCACCGTGGGTCATCCTAGCTTTGACACATCCCACTCCCACTAAGATCTTGAAACGGCCATTAGGAGAACCAGGTCTCTGGTTCACACATCCCTGCCCGCCGCCACTAGGCGAATACGCACCTTTGAATGTTGGAAGTCACATCCAGCAGTTGAGGCCTTCAAACAAGCCACTGGTATTGGGTCTAACGTCACACTGTAGCAGCTGCATTGTTATCTTGTGGGTCGCCAGCACTTTAGCCGGTGACAAATTCATGTTGTGGCCACGAATCGTGGCAGAAAAGGAATGAGCAGTCCCGAGCTGACATTGTCAGTTCCCATTCAGGATCCATCGGATACGAGCGACGAAAAGCGCGGGAAGACGCGTTAAGGCGGTCAGCCGAAGCAAGCATGTTCAATGGGTGTTTCACCAGAGGTCGGTGTTGAATCGGGTGCGGAGCGGAATGACAGTGCTGTGGCACTGTGGTTGCCAAGAAATCCGGAATGATACCTGGTGAGACAAAGTAGCTGCACGTCATCCAGGGCTGCTCAGTGCCTAGTGTCGATATAGATTGGATTCATAGCCTTTGATTGCAGTTTTGCTGGATCTGCAGCTAGGGTGTGTGTCGCATAGAGTCAATGAGGCGTTCAAGAGCGGGAGCCAGATAAACAGGCAGGAGAGGGTACAGTAACAGTGCATGTATAGCCGAGAGTCCAATACTGCCGTGCAGGATGGTGCATGGACATGGGAGAGGGAGATGTTCGGCGAGCTCTCAGGGCGGCATGTTTGCCGCTAGCCTGAATGAGAACACCCCGCCCCCGCCTTCCCAAATCGGATCATGTGCCAAAAATTTCAGAATCTCTTGCACAACACACAGCATCTGCGACGACAAGATGGCAGGCCTAGACGAGGATGCGGTGGACGAAATTCTGTACTTGGCACGCACAAATGAGTCCGCCGACTTAGCCTCATATCTTTCCGAACTGTCAGCGCAGACGAAGCGACCCAGCGCCGATTTGGTGGCAGCGGCCATTGACCCATACTCGAAGAACGGAGCATTGCATTACGCTGCGGCGAATGGCCACAATGGTAGGGCTCTGGTCATGGAACAGTTCATAGCATAAATCTGACTGCTTGATAGATGTGATCAAACTGCTGTTTTCTGTGTGCGGAGATAAGCCGGTACCGGACATTATCAACGCTGTAAACGAAGCCGGGAACACTCCCCTCCATTGGGCAGCATTGAACGGCCACCTTGAGAGCGTCAAGCTTCTGATACAATCCGGCGCTGATGTCACCATCATCAATTCAGCTGGTCACGACGCGGTATTTGAAGCGGAACTAAACGACAAGCAAGATATCGTCGACTGGCTCCTGGGAGCGGTGGAGGAACTTGAAAACGGCATTGGCCAGACTGGCGAAGCCTCTGGACATGTTGACGAGAACATGAGCGACGATGACAAGGTTGCCATGCAGGGAGGCACGGCTGGCGTGGAGGATGTGAGGAAGCAGATGGAAGATATGAAGACCAGGGATAGCGCCTCACGGGATGGTTGAAGCAATACCAAAGGCTTGGCTGCATATGATAATATATTACTGACACCCCTTAGTCCCGCCAGGGACCACATTTGCTAGATAGCGATCGACTAGCTCATAGCCAGGTACTCACGAGACAGCCGCTGCCGCGTGGGGGAAAGAGGTGATACATGACAAGGCGGTACCAAAGCTAGAGGTACATGAGATGAGAGGATGACTCGCGTTTGCGGTTGATTGCATTAGCATTACTTCTGCCACTATTGTATCATGGCTCCAGTCCGAAAGGACGCGAATAAACAAGGGTCCAAGCAGCAGTCAGGTACAAAATCCACCCTGCAGATAGGAGCAGACCAAGAGTTCCCAATGACCTCGCTGATGACGCAGCCTGCAATACGATCGGACCTGCGTTGTCCATCCGTTGCCAATCACGGATGGCGGCCAATGCCCGAGGCCAAAAGTTGTACTTCACCTTGGCGTAATTGCTGGTCAAATACGCTCCGTGCCTTAATTCAAAGACATGCTCAAACCGGCCCAGTGCCCTTGAGAGGACTGATGACAGGGGTACCTGAACAATAGGCCGTCTTGATACCTGTTTGTAGATTAGCGAACGTCAATTTTTTTCATACAACCTTTCTCCTCACCATGTACGAAGCTCTCAATCTCGTAGCCAAGCACGGCGCTTCTCTTCTTTCTTGTTGTGACGCTTTTCCTTGAATGCCTTGAGCTCCTTTTTGGTCAATGACTTGCCGCGGCGTTCCTCCTTGAGACTACGTCCATTGTGGCTATTGGCAGCGGCATCTACGTCAAAGAAGGCGTTCATTTGTCGCTTGGACTTGTTCTCATCGTTGTGCATCTCCGGACCGACCCCAGCTTGCTGGAACTTGCCGGTCCATTTGTTGAAGTTTGCTTGCGCAGTATAGCCTTCGGCATTGGCAATTGGCAAGCCGGCAGCGGCAGCAGCAGCAGCAGCAGCAGCGGCCGCTTCCTCCGCTTCCTCCTCCTCTCTCTCGGCCTCGCGAGCGTAATCTGCATTGGGGTCGAAGCTCCCATGTATTGCCGGGTTATAGCCTCCCCACTTACGCTTAGGTGGAGAGCGGGTGCCAGGCGCCGCTGAGCTTGTCGGCGCGGCAGCACTGCTTATGGGTGTCCTGGATTTATGACGGATTAGGCCTGGAAAGGAAAGATGAAATGATAGAAGTTAGCAAACCTGTCGTACGGTCCTTGAACATATGCATGTGCAGTGGCCTCAGGAACACGCGGATTCTCCCACTGAGACACTCCGGTTCTGATGTTGGTGAAGTAGTAAGCCTGCGCCGTTGGATCCACATGGCACCTCCAGCCATCGTCTGTCTCATCGGGTGGGGCCTCATCGGGGAGTGGTGGTGCCTCTTCTTCAGGCAGGGGTGGATCAGCGACAGCAGTCGTCGTGTCTTCCTTCAGGTCGCTGGTCGCTGCCTCAGCTTCGCGGCTGGTTTTGTCGCTAGCGTGCGTCGCGACTGGCTCCTGCTTCTCGCCGTGTGCAGCACTCATGTTCGATATTTATGTCTATCTGCAATGTTTTATTAGAACTGACGCGCAAGTGGTAACAAAGTCGTCGTGCTGTGCTGGCTGCTACTCCTGCATGTGGGAGACCGGGAATGGAATGTCGCAACGCGGCAACAACTTTGAGGCGTGGACCATTACATAAGCACACTAAAGCCATCACGTGCTGATGACTGTACCTCCGAGGGCAGGCAGGACATTTCGCTTCGCGTCAACGAACGGTCGATCCGCGGCGTGCCTGCATCTTGGTCCATCCGTTCATTTGCCGGTTTGCTTGACACCGCTCGGCTTCTGCGACGAACTGTCATCATCATTGCAGTCGTCTCGAGCTTACACAAGGCGGACCTATCACAATGCTACTTCTCGAATGCAGCCTTATGTCATCCATTGGTACGTCCGCCTACGCATCTTCATCTACACGGGCCAACTCTGCAACAAAATGAAGCAATTGCGGGACCCAGCGGAAGCTAATCCCCTACGCTGTCCCTTAGCAAGGCTCATATGGGGCTCCAGCAGCACACGCATGAGCTCGAGAGCTGCATGCGTAGGAAACCGACAGCAGGGCCTGAGGTACGTGTGGCGCATGCCAAGACGGCGCTCCATGCACGCAAAGAAGCGCGACTTAGGGGAGCCGGGAAGGGGGTTGGAGCCCTGGAGCCCTGGATGATCCGCCGTGCGAATCGAGATGGGTCTGCCGCTCAACGGCTTTTGACCAGCTGCTCCGATCGGACATGGTGCCTCTTCAGCGGGTAAGCATGTCTGCAGTACTTTTCTTCCCAACGCTGCGAGAAATGGCTCACGAGCTCCACCAGGGCGTTTTGCTTGCAAGAAACGGGTGTGGACGACCAGGGCCGTCAGCCGATGCCTCAGTTCTTCAGTGCATTGTCGTCGGTACTCTACTTATTTGCTCCCGCGGAGCAGCGCGAAGCATCGTTTACGCTTGCCGGAATGGCTGCTGAGGACAGACCACAGTGCGTTCCATTAGCTGCATCGAGCCCTTTGCCAAAGTCAATTCATGTGGAGCCCATTGGCTGGAAGGCTTCGCGAACCCGACGCCAGGTCTGGAGAAATAGTTTCGGCAAAATACAAGGACAAGGACAGACAGTTTGCTGCATCCCGTCGCCTCTGCTAGGTCTGCATGATCGGCGCCAGTCATCATCCGATTGTTGTGGTTGGTCGGAGGTTGGGGGACGGCCACCTGTTAGATCTGGGGGCTGAAGCTGGCATCTCATAGCTCGTCCAGCGCCGTACCTCAACGGACTACTGCAGTGTCCTGCATCGGTCTGCATCACGCATCGGACCAAACACGCTACGCAACACTTCCAGCAACTCGCAGAAAGTTTCGCTCTGCCGCGCTGCAGCGACTCGATATCGCACCAATATTGCTTGTCTGGCTTGCTGACCACCCCGGCGCGTTCCAGGATGCTCGGGTCTCAAACAGCAAAAGCTCCACGACCATGTTCCTGGCAACTTGTCATTTCTCATAGCTGGGATCACAGCACAGATAGGTTCTGTGGATGCCGCGCCCGTCGCCCTACCCTGACCATTGTGAACTACTAGGGTCTGCCCCGGCTCTGGTGCAGCACGGTGTCCCTATGTGGCCCTTCTACTCTGATCCTTCCTCCCCGATATTATCGTATTTATTGCTATTATACCCTCATTCAGTCGTTTTGGTACATGTTGCGTGGTTAGCGATTCAGCACCGTCTACGCCGCACACGCCGGCCTGTGCTTGTAAGTACGTTCCCGTAATGCCCCATCGCCCCCCCTACATACGCTCTTACATGCCTTGTTGCCCCTCGGCTGCGGTCGAACATCACCCGGAAGTGCAATTGAAAGCCGTCAGACGTCAGCCCTGCACGGACTGTTGCTTCTTCGGTCTATTTTCCAGAACCTTGCCGTTTGCAACACATGGCAGCGTACAGTCCATTGCAGGCCAGACGCACGCAATTGCTCTTCTTCCACCACTGCCCACCTTTCTGCATCTTTCACGTACGTTTTTATGCCCAACAATTTGAGTGCGAGCTGATGCCTTGGCTTGCATCAGTGTCAGGTCTGGAGCGCTGCCTGCTTCGTCAAATTATCTAGTTCTATTTGCCGTTCGTTCTTGATCCCTATGTGGTCGGTTCACCAATGCACCGTGCAAGCCATCCAACTCCAACCCGCGAACGTCAAGACTCGCTCACCTCCACTGCTATGCTCGCCAACATGAGTCGTCCGCCTAGCATTCCCTCACATCCGGGACCTCCACCCTCTTACAATTCATATACAGTACCTCATGCCCTATCCTCTCGGCCCGAGGCCATTGCTGTTGGCCAACACATTCGCCCAAGAGATCCCAGTGGAAATCAGAATAATGCGCAACAATTGCCGAGCCTGCGTACTCTCCTTGAACCTGAGCTGCTCGACAAGAAGTCATCTGATCCACCTGCGCGGTCGAGCAGTGCTCAGTATGCGCAGGCAATTTCTAATCGCTACGGATCTGCTAGCCCTACTCTGAAAAGACGGCATGATTTTGATGGTTACGTTCACGGATACCCCGAGCACAATGCTATCGCTTCTCAAACACCGTACCTCCATCGCCAAACTCTTCCTACCACAAACACCGACACTCACTCAGCAGCTTCGTCGACACCAGGTTCGGTGTTCAGTGCTGGTAGGGCAGAGTCACAACGCCGCGGTAGCTTTGCACATATTGCTCATCATGATTCGATAAGCAGTTTATACCGACAACAAGTACTCGCATGCGACCCATCAACAAACGTCGCCGTCCAGGCAATTCAAGATGATTTTAGCGACCCCAACAGGCCCGTCAGACGACGCATTGACGGCTCTTCACGCGCTCCGGTTCGATCATCACGTTGCATTGGGCAGCGCGAAATGCAAGGCGAAGGACTATGCTATGTCTACGAAGATGGGACATATTGCCGTGCTATCATTGATGGCGAACCCGTCAACCCGTCTTGGGGTATCACAAAGGCCGGAAAACCGCGCAAGCGACTTGCACAGGCCTGCCTCACCTGCCGAGAAAAGAAGATTAAGTGCGAGCCTGGTTACCCAAAATGTCATCAGTGTGCCAAGTCGCAGCGAGTCTGTAGAGGGTATGTCTTTGCAATTTCTCCAATACTCCTCTTACCCCTAAATGAACCTGTATGCATTAAAACAGTTGGCTTGATCTGACACTTATTGCAAACTGTGGCACCAGATGACAAATACTGACGAAAAAGTAGTGGCCTGAATCAAGCTGGTGTTGCCAATGCATCTGGAGAGACGTCTCCCTCTAGTTCGGCACCTCTATTTAAGAACTCGTCTTCAGAAGTTTTAAATGCTGCAAACGCTTCCGACAGAATCAGAGCTCCCGGAGAGCCACGAGAATACTCTAGAAAGGTCGAAACTTTGAACGCCGACACAAACCTCAAATTCCGAAAATTCCGGCCTGCCACCTTCGCATCTTCAAGAGACATGTCCATCCACTCCGTGGATTCTGATTGGAGTGGTTCGGGAAACGATCAAGGCACGGAAGATCCCAGGGGCGGTTCATATCAGGACCATCTCGCTCTCCAATGGGAGCAGGATCCTTATGAGACAGACCCCAGGCTCACAACCCATCTTCTGGATCTGTATTTCCTGCACGCCGGACGGGCCACCTACGGGATGTTTCCCCGCAGGCCGTTCATGGCATGGGTGGAATGCAGTCGCAACAAGAGTCAAGATCATATGATGCTCTTGTATACTGTCCTAGCCATGGGTTCCTTGTTCTCCACCGACCCCGATAAGCGAACACTTGGGAAAAGATTTGCTGCTATCGCATCCTATGCGGCAGAGAAACGGTTCGGCAAGTTCACTCTAGAGTTGTGCCAGAGCCGTCTCATGCTCGCACTGTACTCCTTCGCGCGGGGCAAGTCCCAAGAAGCGTGGGACTTTTGCGGTGCTGGGTTGCGAGCAATCAGTGCTTTAAAACTCAACACCGAGGAAGGCGTCAAAGAATTGGCCGAAAACAGTCCGGATCATGACTTTGGCTTTGATCGCTGGACCTTCGAGGAGTGTTGTCGACGCACCTTCTGGTCCGGACTGTTGATGGATGTAAGTTACCATGTGACGAGTGCAACATCTCCACACGACCTAATCCAAGCACAGCGGTACAATGGTTTCTTCGGCGGCACTCTTTTTGTTATCAGTATCGAAGATACTTATGTCCGCCTTCCATGTCCGGATGACATGTACGAAGCATCCACCCCTTGCGATGCTCCTTTCTTTGACGAGGACATTTTTTCTGGACGGGCTCCCGTCCAACCACGACTAGGTTTAATGGCGTACCTCTGTCTGATTTCAATTTTATGGGGCGATGTCCTGACCTTCACTGGTCGGGCTGCTCGCCGACCGACGAGTGACTACGAAAGACACTACGAAACATTCTATGCGAAGATGTATGAAAAGTTGGACGCGTGGTACGGTATGCTCCCGCCGGACCTTCAGTACAGTCCGGCAAACCTCGATCGTAGCATGGTAGATGGCTACGTTGGCACATTTGTGTCTCTTCACGCTCTGTACCACGCGGCCATCATCAGACTCAACCGTCACATTCGAGTCGGAGCAATGACGACCGAACATATACGCCGAAACCTTCAGGATTCATTTCGCCACGCATCAAGTTTTCTTTCCATGATGCATTCACTCTCTCCGATGAGCCGTCAACATCGACTCCCAGCAACCCTATCATCTGAATTCATATTCTCAACGCCCTTCCCGGGATATGCTCTTATGCTGTCTATCGACGTGCTCACCTCGGCTGGCACTTTTTCGAACTTGCCCAAACTCATTGAAACCGTACGCACTGCGGTATCGTGTATCGACGAGTTGGCGAACTTTTGGGATTCGGCACGAGCGCAGCACAAGGCTGTGTCAAACCGCTTGGATCAACTTACAGAAGTTGCTGCACAGGAAAGACAAGGTGTGAGGAATGGCAGCCATGGACAGTTCTGGAGGATCGATAACAGCCTCGAGATGGCCTTTGGCAAAGATGACGCCGTTTTCAACGCGGAGAGCCATCTTTTGTTCGATGTGGTTGCTCAGCTCACAGAGCGTTAATAACTTTCATGACCAGGTGTTATTACAGGGAATGCGGACATCCGTGAGTTGGTTTCATTGGATGCCGCTGAGGTTTTCTCATTTCAGGGTTCCCGAATTCAAACACCACAAAATTCCTATGGCATCGAACTGTATCACACGGTCAACGCGCCAACTCATTGCACATATTTATATTAGAGACACAGCCCAGAAGTTCCGCGGCCGATGCGAGGCGCTTGTTGTTCCACACACGCATAACCGCAAAGGCCTACACAATTTCGGATCAAAAATACGGACATTGGGTTTATCTGATTCATCTTCCCGTCGCCTTCCACCGGGAGGTGCGATACCACGGATCACCGAGCGATTTATGGTCTGCGAGGATCAAAACGAGGCTTTTTTGGAGACGCTGTGCATGTATATGTTTGTCCATGTCTCAGCCTGACGGGCTTGATATAATGCATTGTACGAGCTAGTTTTACAGCGTGGGACTTTGGCATTTCTAGGCGTACTGTTGTCTTTAATTCTTAGCTGTTTAGTGATACTGTATCATACATACGCAAGCCTGCGAAACGGACCTCAGTTCAGCATAATGCGAAAGCTTTAAAAGCGACTTTGAAAGCTCATCGTCATTCTCCAAGTCCATCATGTTTCCGCAAACAGAAATTGGCGAGAATGTAAATGAGAACTGAAAGGGCAATCGTGGAGAACCTGTAATCAGCTCAGACGAGACGCAATTCGTCTAGAATGTCGGAGCATTACGTGACTTGGCCCAAGATACATGCCGTGGAATCCGGCATCCACGTTCTCAGGTCCCGCTGTTTCATCCAGCAACAGGGCACCCGGACCTCGGGTCTGCGGTTTCAGCCCAGCTGCGTCTCGCATGCCGAAAAAGAACTTCCACATAGATCTTCCATACACGCAGTACCCCCAGAATCTGACATGTCTCGTCGGCCATGTCCGGCGTGTATCCTCAGGCCCGAAACTTAGTCTTGCTGCAGTATGTCGCCTGTTTTAGGCCCTTACCAATATGCATCTAATGCGACCACCCGAGAACACAAATTCCTCATAGTCATAGCAGGCGACGATCTCCGCATCCCCGCTGCTGACCATCGTCCCAACCCGCAAGCCGCTCGCTTGCGTACCAAAAGCAAATTCACCGTCGTCCCCGATTGGAACCTCTTACTGTATAGTTGCTGTGGCTGCAGCTTCATGACTTGCCGATCGCAGCATTGTTAGATGGTGAGGTCAAGCCGCATGCGGCTCGTACAAGCCTCTACCAATCAGACCACGGCACCCCTCACTTGTTTGTGACGACATAATAAGAGCATGTGACAATGATCACGACCGTGTCAGTGAGCCAAAAAAGCTCGAGCTGCAAGTGCAGCGGGGCCGTTGGAAGAAGCAAACCATAGCTCTGGTCAGATATCGTGCAGCATGCAGGTTATCGGTAGTATCGGTGGTAACGCAGTGGGCCTAGATTTGCTACATGAGGCGGAGGCGGAGGACGGCACCTAAGCTAGGTTTGAAAATCGGACTCGGGCGCGTGTGCAATGCCGCGTCTCGCGAGGCGTGGAGTTGATGCTGAGGTGCATGAATTTCGCCCCACTGTGGACTGGGGTTCGTATGACAAGAGACGTTGTGGTCCAATTCTTTGGACGTCTTACTCGAGCCCGAAAAAGCAATTGGATCTAGCGGAGAAATGCTTCCACCAAACGACGAGCACCATGAGGTACGAGGTTGCATGTAATGTAGGTAGAATGAAAAGGAGCAGCATTTGAAGGCGGTGCCTAGATCTGGCGTACCAAGGCCACGGTCAGCCCGAAGCATTATTGCTTTAGTCTCTGACACGCGGTCTTCCGACAGGTACGATATGCGTGCTATTCTACGCCCTGTTTACCACTTCGATACGAGTTGTTGATATGTCCTTCTCTCCGACTGCTCCAGTCTCGATGCCGCGCTCCTTCACATCGGCCAGCGCCGCCTCGCCAACATCGACTGCATCCTCGCCATCGAAAAACTTGGCAATTTCCTCCATAGGAGTGTATCTACATTTGGTTTAGACAGCCTTCTCACAAGAACATGGCGAATAGCATACCTGGTTTCGACGATGTAGAAGTAGACAATGCCAACCTCAAAGGCCAGGAAGACGCAGTAAAAAATATAGTACTTCCAAGCCAAAGCATCGATCGCGATACCGTTGACAAATTGGTTGAAGAATAATGCAGCGGTGACGCAGAAGTTGAGCCATACGAATCCTTTGGCACGCAGGCCATACGGCAGGATCTCGGTGGTGTAGGCGGCCATGACACCGGACTTGATGTCATAGAAGATACCATAGAAAAAGATGGAGACGATGAAGCCTCGTCCGAGGCCGTTTGCCGGGGCTATATCATATCGAGCCGCGATGATGGTGAAGATGTTGAAGACAACGAAGGTGCCGATGGTCGAGATGAGGTAGATCGGCCGACGACCGAGCTTGTCAATGAAGAAAGCAAAGAAGAAGTTTTCGCAAAGCGCCAAGGTCTTCATACCACCATTGACGCCGAGTTGTGTCTGGGGATCAGTCATGCCTACATTATCCATCACATATTTCAAATAGTAGGAAATCAAACCGTTACCCGACCACTGCGAGAAGAAGCCAATAGCAGTAATGATGCCAATCCTCTTTCGGTTACCAGGAGTCTTGAAAAAGTCAGACCATCCGGTTTTGCCACTTTGTTTGTCGAGCGCGATGGCCGCTTTGACTTCGGCATATTCGAGCTGGACGAACTCGTCGTTCTCGTCTCCCTCACCATGCCAGCGAGCGAATATGTGAAGGGCTTCTTCGTGGCGGTCCTTGTTGCAGAGCCCTGGAAGTAGGAAACGAAGTCAGTAAACGTTTAAGTTAGGAGAGGCGATGCCATTCGATAAGGCGGGTACGTACTGCGCTATGTTAGCATAATTCTCGGTGAAAGGATGTACGAGGTAGGCTTCGTGCTATGATGTGCTCGACTAACTTTCCCAATGAGTCCACACATTAAGCAGATTGCCCACTTCGCACCAGAATATACGCACCAACGCGGAGATTCTGGCATGAAGAAGATGAAGACAAAGATGACGATGGAGCAGATGGCTTGCAGCAAGCTAGGTAGACGCCATGACCAGTCACTCTATACGCTGTTAGTGACGTTTACTCCTTCGAAGTCCGAAGTGAGCCAGCTTACTTTGATGGTGAGAGTACCATAGGTGACCCACGACGCTATGAAAGCACCAGAGTGATAGCTGGCACCAGACAGTGTGACGAGGACAGCACGATCCTGAGGATGAGCAATCTCGGCGATCAACAAGGGAGCAGAACTAAGGACAATCGTGTCACCGAACCCAAGAATGAGTCTGGCTGCGATGAACATGCCGATATTTTGCGCTGTCTGGTGTCAGTACAACACTCACACCGGCCTGGGCCATAACAGAGACATACCTCCTGTCTGAAGAGCAACAGCCAACAACATAATCGCACACCCAATCGCCACACCAATCTTCCTACCCCTCCAATCAATTAAGTACGGAACGAAGATCAGCCCAATCAGCGACCCAAGAGACATGGAACTATTGAAGAAACCCAGCAATGCACCACGAGGCTCGCCGAAGTAATCTTGCCAGTAGCTAAGCGACTGCAGACCGTTCATCATTGAGCCATCGAACCCGTTGGCAGTGTTCGTCAAGATGAGGATGACAATGTATCCGTATAGTTTACGCAGATTTGGTTTCTGCCACCATGCTACGCGCGGGAAAGCGCGGCCGGCGAAGAAGAAATGGCCTTTTGGTGGTTTGGCGGGGAGCACTTTTTGGGAGCTTTTGCGTGAGCGCAGACCGAGCGCCATGGTGAAAGAAACAGTACTGAGTATCTGCAGTACAGAAGGGGAGTACAGCGACCCAACCACCTGGTCTATCTCGCCGTATTTATACCACAGATACCAGTGAGCGTTCAACATGGCAATCCACGCGGATCCTCTTCCGGCGCGCCATGATGATTGGCCATGTTACTCCAATCTCTCCAAACACCCGCGCATTCGATCCTAGAACACGGCATGCCGTGCTGCCAAGTTGGTTCTTTGTCACATCTACCAGGCATTCTCCCGCGTCAAGATCGGCCGTTCCCCAGATTGTCGTTTGATGATCCCCATGTCCAATCCTGAGGCGCAGTCGCTAAACTCATCTGGACCTCGACTCTTCAATCTCACCGTGAAAGAGCCAATGACGCCGCGCCGCAATCAGGCTAAAAACTACGATGCTGTTTCTTTGGTGTTCTTGGATGGGGCTCGGCAGTGTTTCTGGGGTCTCCACGTTCTCGGCTAGTAGCTGCCGAACAGGCCTAGGACTATTGGCGCCAGGCGTCCAAGATGCGCGGAGACTGCGAGGCTGTGGACACGCAGTGGCCTCGGCGATTGCTCCTGCGGAAGGCAAGAGATGCATGCTCGAAATAACCACCGAGATGACGATTCGGCAATTGGAACTCGTGCTCACTGCAATGATCGCACGGAAAGAGGTTGACAAGCAGATCCTACAGTATGACACACTTGGACTGAGAACAAGCTGGGCCCAATACAGTAATTCCGAAGCCTCCTCCGTTTCGCTAGCCAGATATCAAAGGCGGTCAGAGGCTCTGTTCTAGCCGCGCTAGCAACTAACAAATGTAGTCTAGACGTTGCTCCTTTCAGCGCGTCTACAAACTGGAGGCATTGTTGTGGAGAAGTCACTTTGAACCCTGTGTACTAAGATTCTGCCACCTTTCTGCGCTTCGGAGTCATATTGGGCAACCAGACAGGCCCTCAGTGAGTCAATGAAAGGTATACTCTTCCGACGCCGGAGATGCATCGACATGTACTCACCCTTCCTCCGGACACATTTTTGAATCATGGCTTCCTCTACTCTACCGCGCCGCATAGATGTGCACTCACACTTCCTCCCACCTTTCTACCGCACCGCACTTGCTGAAAATGGGCACGAGAAGCCTGATGGTATGCCTGCGATACCGGGTACGTTCTCCCTTCCCCCTCATACAAACAGACGACCAACCCTAACAACCAAACTCGCACAGAATGGTCCCCCGAAGCCCAGTTAGAAATGATGTCCGCTGCCAACATCACCAAAGCCATCCTCTCCATCTCCTCGCCTGGGTCATACATCAACGACCAGCTCGGCGTGGGATTGACCAGGCAATGCAACGCCTACGCCGCGCAGCTAAAGTCCGAGAAGCCAGAGAAATTTGGGTTCTGGGCGAGTTTGCCCCTGCCAAATGTCCATGCCAGTCTGGCTGAGATAGACACGGCGTGGCGCGAAGGCGCAGATGGATTCGGTCTGTTGACGAATTACTACGGTCAATATCTCGGTGACGCGGCGTTCGACGGTGTGTTTGACAAGTTGAACGAGTTGGGCGCGACGGTGTTCATCCATCCGACCGTGCCTTGTATTCATGGCGATTCGGGTGTGGGATGTACAAAGGCCGCCCCATTTGGCACCGCGTACCCGATTGCCATCTTTGAGTTCTTCTTCGACACGGCGCGCGCGGTGGTGAATCTCTTCACCAGCGGGACGATTGATCGGTGTCCGAATATTCGCTTCATTATTCCGCATGCGGGAGGGGCGATGCCTGCGCTTTTCACGCGGTTTGTGCGGTTTAGTTCGATGGTGCCGGGCGGGCGCGTGTTAGATGCGGCGGTGGTGAGGAGGCAGCTTGATGAGCAGTTCTACTTCGATCTTGCTGGGTTTGTATTTGATGGGGATGAGGGTGGGGCGGGGCAGTTAAAGGCGCTTGTGGAGGGATTGGAGATTGGGAGTGGGAGGTTGATATATGGAAGTGATTTTCCATTTACGAAGACGCCGTTGGTTAGGAATTTTGCGGCTAGGATGAATGGTGGACTGGAAGCACTTTTTGACGAGAGAGAGAGAGAGATGATATATGAAGGGAACGCAGAGAAACTACTGAGCGAGAGGGGAAGCCGGTAAAATAAGACGCTGTAGCGGCATGTAGGAATTTTTGAAAAGGATGGAGCCGAAGCTTATATGTACTTGTATGGGTTCATGATACCGTTCTGCGACTTCGTTAGCAGCAGAATCATAAGGGGTAAAGGGTTCGGCGTACCGGATCATACAGATCTTTGATCTGCTTCATCAGTCTAATCATGGTCTCACTCTTACTGTATCCAACATAGGGTTTCTTCGTCACACCGAGACCATGCTCAGCGCTGATGCTACCGTTCCTCTTCTGGACCCACTCGTATACCCAAGGCTCGATTGTCTTCTCAACAGCCTTGTCGAATCGTCTTACTGGAATGTTCAAATGTAGGTTGCCATCACCCATGTGACCGTATCCTACGACATCGACAACGGGATGTGACTCATCTTTGCCGACGAAACCAGCTTCCGTGAGGCGATCGCGAGTCTCGTTGACCAAGTCGTAGAGCTCGTGAATAGGAATTGACAGGTCGTACTTGTAGACACCACCGTCATGACCGAGACATTCAGTAATGCCCTCGCGCCATGACCAGAGCTCTTGGATCTGAGTCTGATCCTGCGCTAGGATACCGTCTTGGACAACCTCGGTTTCCATGACGTGTTCCAAAAACTTCTCTAGCTTCTCGGCATCATGGTCGGTGTTTGAGCCGCTTGTTTCGATCAAGCAGTAGAAAGGGTGCTCTCCCTCCAACGGCATTGACTTGCCAGTGACTCTATTGACAAGCTTTTGCGATCGACCGTCCATGAGCTCGAAAGCTGACAGAATCTCGGAGAGTTGACCCTTGGCTTCACGGAATGCCTTCTGGACGTGTTCGTAGCTTTCCAAACCAAAGTAGGCTACGTTTATGGCAGGCGACCTTCGCGGGCACATGATGGAGATCTTGGTAACGATGCCGATTGTGCCCTCACCACCAATAAACAATTGCTTCAAGTCGTAGCCGGTGTTGTTTTTGCGGAGTTTTGATAAGTCGTCCATGACAGATCCATCAGGAAGTACTGCCTCGATGCCTAGCACGTTGCCATGAAAACTACCATATCGGAGAAGTCGCAGGCCACCAGCGTTGGTCGCAACATTTCCACCAATCTGACACGAGCCCTTCGCACCAAGATCAAGAGGGAAAATGTGGTTCTTCTCTGCGAGGAAGTTGTCGGCATTCTCTAAGATGACACCTGCATCGGCGACCAAGATGCCGGAAACCTCATCAAAGGAATGAATCTGGTTCATCTTCTGCAAGTTGATGACAATCTCATCGAAGACAGGTACGGAGCCGCCAACGAGACCGGTATTGCCACCCTGAGGAACCACAGCGAGCATGTTTTCGTTGCAGTATTTTAAGATTTTGCTAACTTCTTCAGTGGAGCTGGGCTTGAGCACGAGTTTGGTGTGGCCACGGAACTTGCGCATCCAGTCACTGTTGTAAGCCTCGATGTCTTCCGATGCATCTTTTGAGACGCCATCTATTACGGAGGATTCAGAGCCAAGAAGGTCCTGGAAAAAATTTACATGCTCTTTAGTGATTTTTGTAAATTTGCTGTCTCTTTGAAGTTGTGGGTAACTACTTTGTATTAGATTTGGTCTAGCTGGGAAACACACCCGGCCACGCACTTTTCTGAGGTGTATTTGATAGTCTTGGCGGGCGCTGTTTTACCCTTTACGCCTCCTTCAGCATCTGGCTGGTGTGGCTCCGAAGTCGCTGACGTAGGCGTGGGAGTATTGCCGTTCCATCGAACTTGATATGCCGGTCTTAGGCATTGAAAGCGCGCAGGAGCACGAGAGGAAAGCGCACTTCGTCGCAAAGACGAGACAAAACGCGCAGAAGAAGCCATGGGTATCAATGAAGGAGAAGAGTAAAGAGTGGGGGAGTTCATGTCGCCATTCAAAAGATCTAGGATGACATGAGGCGGGTGACAGGGGTGGCTCGGACCGCTTGGCAGTTTAGGCGGGAGCAACCTACGCGGACAGCTGTGGGAGCTCCGACGATCAACTTGACGACTGCAACGCCTCTCACGACCGCTTCACGACTCTCTACGCAGCCAACGAACACACACTGCAATTAGCGAGTCTCGCATTCTCAACACAAAAAAGTCACAATGGCGTCCGGCTACGATCGCGCTCTCTCAGGTATGAACAGGCACTATTTGGGTGGGTGTGGCAGTAGCTAACTCGTTTGATAGTCTTCAGTCCCGACGGTCACGTCTTCCAGGTCGAATATGCGCTCGAGGCTGTTAAGCGAGGTGTGTTTAATCACGAAAGCTTGTGTGTCTTCACTATGCTAAATCATCACCAGGAACCTGCGCAGTGGGCGTGAAGGGCGCGGACATTGTCGTCCTAGGTTGTGAGAAGCGCTCTGCTATGAAGCTCCAGGATACCCGAATTACGCCCTCGAAGATCTGCCTCGTCGACACCCACGTCGCTCTTGCCTTTGCCGGTCTGAACGCCGACGCCCGCATTCTCGTCGACAAGGCCCGCCTTGAAGCCCAGTCACATCGCCTCACCGTCGAGGACCCCGTATCGATAGAGTACATCACCAAGTACGTCGCCGGTGTGCAGCAGAGGTACACACAGAGTGGTGGTGTCAGGCCGTTCGGTATCAGCACATTGATCGTTGGATTTGACCCCAACGACAAGACCCCGCGGCTGTACCAGACCGAGCCTTCCGGCATCTACTCGGCATGGTAAGATTGCAAGACGTAGTCTTTGATAGAGAGTGCTAACATGTCACAGGAAAGCAAACGCCATTGGCCGGTCAAGCAAGACGGTCCGCGAATTCCTCGAGCGCAACCACAAGGACGGCATGGACCGTGAAGAGACGATCAAGCTGACGGTCAAGTCACTACTGGAGGTGGTACAGACTGGCGCCAAGAACATTGAGATTGCCATCACGGCACCCGGAAAGCCGCTCGAAATGCTGCCCGTCGAGGACATTGAGAAGTACGTGGAGAACATCAACACAGAGAAGCAAGAAGAGGCGGCCAGCAGGAGACCAGGAAGGACGCCCGGCACCGGCCAGGCAGCGATTCTGACCCGACCGGCTGGTGGTGAGGGTTCAGGCGCATAGACGAGCAGTTATGATTGATGGCACCCACGAACAGCACGGCGTCTAGATGGCAGACTTGATGGCAGACTTGATGACTGTAGGCTATAGACACGGCCGGCTAGTGCTCATACTATGGCATATCTAGCACTGCTCTCCCTCGCTCCTCCCATGTTCACGTGTTGGGTGATGTCGCTCGGCTCGGCGTTTTGGTGTGGTATCTCGTCTCGTCGTCTCGTCGTCTGATCGTCTCGTCCTAACTCTGCCCCTCCCCTCCCCTCCCTCAGCCCAGCTTGTTCGGTGCCTCTTTGACGTCGAAGATGGAGCGCGGCGTGTCTTGTTGCACACGCTCGTCCCGGATCATTCTATACAAGTTGTTAGTTTGCGATGCATATTGCAGGGTGTTACTCCATACCTCGAGTCGATGCGCGCATCTTCGCCCTCCACCTGGATGGACGCTTTGGGGGTTTTGGCGTCGAGAACAAAGTGGTTGTCGCAGTGCGGGCAGTACTCGTCGCTACCCCTCATTCAGCAAATGTACCAACGTGCCACACAGGCTGTGCGCAGACACTCACGCATCCTCGAATTCACGTGCATCCTTGCGAAACGCCTTTTTGCACTTTTTGCATATAAAGGTCATGTCAAACGTCTGCATCAGCGGGTGGTCGGCCTGCTCGGCGTGGCACTCTGCGCAGTCGAACCATTTTTTGCCTGGCTGTCATGAGCCTTCATTCTGTTCCAAACATTGCGGCGGACCCACAGCATGGCGAGCGGATGGACACCTGGGCGTTGAGGACGTGTTTGCTGCGGCTCGTGTCAGCGCGGCGGAGGTGATGCGGGGCTCTCTCTCTCTCTCTCTCTCTCTGGAGGAAGGTTCGCGCGTGCTTACCACATGGCTGGGGCGGCGACGGTGAGGTGTCTTTGGCGTGCGGACCGAACAGACTGACGATGCTTGGGAGCGTGCTGGGCGGTTTGTTCCGTCGTGTTGCTATTCGCTAGGTGCCTGAGGGCTGCATCTGGGTCGCGTTGGTGTGCACAGGGTCCCCGGAGGTTTTATGGGCGCCCAAGCGCAATGACAGCAGCAGGTCATGTCAGGCACGCTTCACCCGTCACCAGGGCACCACCGCCTGCAAGACTCCCGATGCTCGCCGCATCCTGACATTCACTCTCGACCGCTTCTTCACCGGCAGAGAAAGACGTGCACTGCCGCACTGCATCCGCCGGCCGCCGCTGAAACACCTCGCGCCCTCGTCCCCGCCAAAACCGTGGTCCCTGGTCGAGCATTCTTAGCATACAACGTATACGCGTCTACCCGCACAGAGTCAGATCGCCGCCCAAGCCAGTCCACAGTGCGCAAGACCGTCTCCACAGAGCTTGAACACGTCAAAACTGTCGCCGTTGGGGCTCTGCGCCGCATGACTGCCCACCACCACTCACTCACCACCACCACCACCGCAGTCAGCGCTCAATGGGAACTGGTCCTGGACCGTCGATGAGAAGCCACAAGCTACCTCCTGCTGCCGGCTGACACGACTGTCTACAACACCATGGCGAACGAAACAGAGGAAAACACAGATGGCTCGTCCATTGTAAGTGGCATGACATGTGGGAAGAGCTGTATGCTGATAGTGCCATGCAGAAGCCAGTCTCCGATCTTCGGGCACGGTTCGAAAACATGATGAGCTCCAACAAAGCCTCGCAACCGGCCCCTGCGACCCCACGGCAACGCTCTCCGGCCCCGAACGACCGACTTGCAGTGGCCGAGGACAGCAGAAGGAGCGATGGACGCATATCACTGGACATGCCTAGGGAGCGCATGGGCCGGAACTCTCCCAGTCTGACAAACCTGAATGGCGCCGGCACAGTGATTCCACGGGCAAGCACTGTCCGCATGCCATGGAGCAATTCAAGGCCTAGGCCAACGTCCATGATGGCTTTTTCTCCGCCGAGGTCGCCCACCAAGTCCAAGTCAAGATCAAGATCACCGCCAAAGGTCATGGTTCAGTCGCCCAAGTCCCCTCCCAAACAGTATGGGTCTCCAATGCATTCGCCGAAACCGTCCCGACCGAAATCGCACGCAGTTCTCGACTCTCCGACCACCCCCGGGTCTGCTTTGAACGGCAGCAAATTCAAGACACCCAGTCGCGATGGCACGCCTGCTGCAGACTCAAGGCCACTATTTCCACAACACACTGGGACAGGGCCTGCTGCTGATCCACGTAAAAGTGACCGTCCAATCTCGTCCGCGCCGCCCGTACCTCCTCCCATAAATCGAGCTGGGAAGCCCAAGATACCCAGCAAGCCACATTCTGCAGAACCGACTCCAGTGCCCCGAACTTCGCTCGCCCCAGAAGCTTCTGCGGAAGCTACGGATGTATCGCCTTTTAGCACACCTCCAAGTAGTAGCGGGAGCGCAAAGGCGCCATCTCCGCCTGTGATACCAGGGTTCTCGAAACCCAAGTACATGGGATCCAAGGATGGCTATTTCCCGCCTCCGCCTGTGCACCATGCCGTGGCTGAGAAGTTGCAAGCCGCAGAATCGTCTCTCAAGCCATCAAAAAACGTAGCCCCATTACCGTCGCCAAGCGATATGCCAGAAGCCCGCCCTGCGCTACCAGTCCGGAGAGAAAAAGATAATTACGATATGCGGAAAAGCGTACAGCTGCAGAGGGTGCAAGCGCCCGACCTTCCGGTGCGAAGATCCTTTGATCAATCGCGCCCAACGGGACTTGGTGGAGAAGGCGGCAACACATTCATGCCTCCGCCTCGGCGAACGCAAACTGCGAATGCATCGGGCTTGCAAAATCCTGCAAAGTCTCTCGAGCCCCCTAAACCGCCTCCTCCCCGAAATTCTGGAGAATTCAAGCGACCAGCTCCGCCGCCTGCACCCACACCAACTCGAATGTCTGCACCCGCATCTGCACCTCTTGCCCAACCGTATAATTATGACTCGGATGAATCAGATAATGCGCCCGAGAAGCAACCCGCAACTGCGCTAACCGACTATCCGGACTCCTCACAGGCAAATCGACGACCACCAGTGTTCCCCGACAATGTTAGCGGGATACCAACAGGCTATGAAACCAAACTGTTTGCAATTTGCGGAGACTACATATGCACAACTGGATATGTCACGAACGTGTGGAATGTGCTGAACGGGAGACTGCTCATGAGCTTGAGTCATGGTGACACTGTAAAGGCAACGGCGGTGGCATTCAGGCCTGCGCCAGACATTGCAGACGAAGGGAAAAGACTATGGCTGGGCACCAATGCTGGCGAAATGCAAGAGATTGATATTCCGTCACAGAGCGTAGTTTTCACCAAGGCTAACGCGCATGCGCGGAGTGCTATCGTTAGGATTTTCAGATACGCCTCCGAAGTGTGGTCCTTGGACGATAGTGGAACATTACACATTTGGCCCATCGATGACACGGGCACACCATCTTTGCGCCAAGCTCCCCTTACTTTCGGTATGCCTAGGGGGCATACCTTTTCTCTCGTTTCTGGTTCACAGTTGTGGGTTGCATCGTCAAAAGAGATCCGGGTCTTCAAGCGCTCTGATGACAGCAATTATTTCAAGAGGATGACACAAGATCCGCTGTCGCAGGCAAACGTAGGCGAGGTGACCTCTGGGGCCATCATCAGCAGCCAGCCCGATCGAGTGTATTTTGGGCACACTGACGGCAAAGTTACGATTTACTCCAAGAAAGATTTCGTATGTCTTGGCATCATCAACGTAAGTCTGTACAAGATCAGTTCGCTTGTTGGCGTTGGCGACAATCTGTGGGCTGGCTACAGCACGGGTATGATCTATGTATATGACACCAAGAGCACCCCTTGGAAAGTGCTGAAGGACTGGAAAGCACACGACAAACCCATCGCTGGGATATTGGCAGATCGCACAAGTATTTGGAAGCTAGACAGGTTTCAGGTCGCGTCACTAGGCACCGACACCATGTTACGTATATGGGACGGCATGCTGAAGAACGACTGGCTTGGTAAGTTAATCATGTGCGCTGTTCAATTCAACGCTGACAACGTCCAGAAAACCTAATGCAACAGCGCGACTCTGAATATTGTGAGTTCCGAGAGCTTACGGCAAGGGTTATGACATGGAATGCTGGCGCGACAAAGCCTAACACAATAAGAGGCACTGAGCAAGATCGTAACTTTTTCCGGGAACTGCTGGAGCCGGAGAACCCACCAGATATCCTCGTCTTCGGGTTCCAGGAATTGGTGGACTTGGAGAACAAGAAAATCACTGCCAAAAGCTTTTTCAAGAAGAAGAAGAGCAAGGAAGACTCGGACAGTGAACACATGTCGCATCAGTATCGTGCATGGCGCGATCATCTCATTCGTGTGCTCGACGAACACAGTCCGAAGCAGAATTACGTGCTTCTTCACACCGCGAATCTTGTCGGCCTCTTCACATGCGTGTTTATCAAGGCATCAGAGCGTCCCAATATACGCGACATTTGCGCAGCCGAGATCAAACTTGGCTTTAGTGGACGAGTTGGCAACAAGGGCGCTCTCGTCGTCCGCTTCTTCATCGACGATTCATCATTGTGCTTTATCAACTGCCATCTTGCAGCTGGACAGACGCAAACAGTACATCGCAACAACGATGCGGCTTCCATCATGGAGCAGGCGCCTCTGCCGAAGAATCGTTCACCTTCCGACTGCGAGAACTACTTTGTTGGTGGAGGCGATGGCTCCATGGTTCTCGACCATGAAATCTGCATTCTCAACGGTGATCTCAACTACCGCATCGATGCCATGCCTCGAAACACGGTCATCCAGGCTGTCAAAGAAGGGAACTTGCCAAAATTGCTCGACCGTGATCAACTGCTACTCTCACGCAAGCGCAACCCTGGCTTCCGATTACGCGCTTTCATCGAAGCGCCCATCACCTTTGCCCCGACTTACAAATACGACCCAGGGACTGACAACTACGACACGTCCGACAAACAGCGATCACCCGCATGGTGCGACCGTCTGCTCTACCGCGGCTTGGGTAGGATCAAGCAAGTGGACTACCGTAGACACGACACCATCAAAGTGTCGGACCATCGACCCGTGAGCGGGAAGTTCAAGATTCGCGTCAAGACAATCAATGCAAAAAAGCAAGACTCGACCAAAGACAAGGCTGAGGTGGAGTTCGAGGCTGTGCGACGGAGGATAGCTGGAGATATCAAGTAAGCTCTTGATTGCAGTGGACGTACCTTCATTCTCTAACATGTTCCCAGGCTCGACTATCTGATCAATGTGTTTGGTCTGACAGCAAAAGAAGCACAGAAAGCTTTGAAACAGGCTTGAAAACAACTCGACTGTTGTACAACACCATCACATCCATTTTTACAATCCTACAGGGATCACCACATCTACAATGAGGTCACATCCATGTACAACTTGGAACTAGATCTCTAAATCGCGGGGCTACGTTTTAGTGGCGGATGATACGCGATACGCGATCGCCCGGTGCACTAACGAGCTTATGATGAACGGCATAGGCACCCAAAACACAGCATTGGAAGCGCACCTTGACCCTTATTTTTCACGCGCATTTGGCGATAGCGCAGGCGCTACAGGAGTTTACTGATCGAATCGGTCTTGAAAAACGATCCCCGGAGAGAGTCGTGCAAGAGTACAAAGTGCGGGAGTGTTGTATTATCATGGTGACGTCAGGGTCTGAGCTCAACTGCAGTGACGTTCCACCACAATAAAATCAATGATGATGATGGTTGAAATCATATAGCAATCCACATCAATCTGTCTTCTTCCTCTTCCTCCCACACACTACCTTCATGTCCGCACCTGCAATTGCTCTTCGCCGCCTGCCATTGCTTTCACACTCAGCTGCGTTACCAAGAGCGAGTCTAATTGCTAACCACCTCACGCGACATCAACGCCCGTTTTCCAGATCTGCTCTCAGGATGGATAAAGACCAGAGCCGCGGCGAGTCGACTACGGGCATCTCAGAGTGGAAGCAGCGCCCCCCGTACCGCATCCACGAGAAGAACGAAGACTTCGACGTCAAGTACGAAGCCAACTGCCACTGCGGTAATGTGAAGTTCCAACTGAGTCGGCGGGAGCCGCTGGACAGTAAACTGTGCCATTGCACCACGTGCCAGACGCAGCATGGTAAGTTCAACCAACCCATCCTGCAAGCCATTTTAGAGATTGACTCTTGCAGCCGCGCCCTTCCAATGGGCCGCCATCTTCCACAAAACCGACATCAACTTCACCCACGGCCACCACTCGCTCGAATGGTACGACCCGACCGACAAATCCATCGAGCACAAGTTGCCCTGCAAGGTGCGCTGCTCGTACTGCCACAGCCCCATCATGGACGAGGGGCGCAACATGATCCTGCTCTTCCCGTCGCTCGTGCACCTCAAGACGGACGAGGACAAGGCGTACTTCAAACCCCGCTGCCATATGTTCTACGGCCAGCGCGTCATGGATATCCCCGACGGCTTGCCCAAGTGGAGCGGGCTGAGTGGTGAGAGCGATTTGATCGAGGATAGTCCTAGGGAGAAGGTCGTGGAGTTGGAGAGGAAGAGGGAGCAGGAGAGGGAGAAGAAGTTGAAGGAGGGGGAGCCCGAGGAGACGACCAAGGAGGGCACGGGCGCGGGAGGAAACAGGAAGGAGGGCAGGGGTGCCAATGCCTCGTAAGTGGTGTCTTGTGGAGAATGAGGGTTTGGAAGGCGTTGAGGTGTTGAAAAGGGTCGATGATGATACCCAGTGGTGGAAGCCATAGCTTCCGTGTGCGGCTCGGCTCGGCAGCTAAAGTAACACGAAACTACAATTGCGGTTGTGGTAAAAGGAAAAAAATGTATCAAAGTAACATGTTGATCATATGTCACATTGCTCATGGTTCCCACATCATCTCCCGTCCAAGTTTGCAAGTGTTTCAAGCATCAGCCATCTCATTCTGTATACGCATGCCGGACGTCTTCAGCGGCATCTCTAGCATAGAGCGCGCGAGGCTTCTCAGAGACAAGGAGGTTATGGAAGGCCAGCCGAGGATTGCGTAGACTAATTGATGCTTTCGGGGCCCATGCTAGCAAGTTCCCCCCCCCCCCCCCCCCCCGAATCAAAGCAAGTAGCATATTCCAGCAAGTCGATACCCAACTAGCTAACGCGTGCGTTTGCAGGCCGATAAATACAGCATGGTTTTGGTCTAAGCCCACCGTCTCCCGCTGGGCGCCGCAAGCATGGAGGAAGGATCTTTTCTCGAAGATGTGCAGATTTCAGACAGAACCATTCCTAGAAGAGAGTTGGAAGCAAGCTTGGTGATTGGTCCAGGCCAATCGTGGTACAAGACGATCAATTGACCTGTGCCGTTGAACTGCTTTCCCTGTCAAAGGTTAGATTTGCCGCTCGTATTGGGATGCGCTCCATGTCCTTCTAGCGGCTACATGTCCCCATGTCTTCGACCTTGTCAAAACGCCCGCAAATGAGATGTGGTCGGTATGCGCAGTGAATAATGTCAATTTGGTACTGTCCAAGAATCTGCGTCAGCTGTGGCTCTGTAACTGGACAGTCGGCATGCACTTACTTTCTGGCTACATGGCCCTTTTCCTCCACACTCAACTTCTCGAAGCTGCAAGTGCTTCTACGTCTTAGATATTGACCGCGCGCTCGAATTGCCTCTGCTTTTCATGATTGACGACAATTGTACTCGCGCCTAGAATCCATGGCTTAGGCGAGCAGGTCAGCAACATTCATTGGCATCTCATCGATCTGAGTTGAGTAGTACACTGCAGCTTGTTAGTGGCTTTTCTGCATAGTAATTGACATACATACACTCGATATCGCGAAGAATGCGAACATCCTCCTGTGTGACAAAGTTGATGGCTACGCCCTTGCGTCCGAAACGGCCACTTCGACCGATCCTGTGGATGTAGTTCTCACGGTTAGATGGGAGATCGTAGTTGATGACGAGCGAGACTTGTTGCACATCGATACCACGTGCCCAGACATCGGTCGAAATCAGCACGCGCGAGTTGGCCTGGCGGAAATCCTGCATAATGCTGTCGCGCTCCCTCTGGGGCATATCACCGTGCATGGAAGACACTGTGAAGTTGGCCTCGCGCATCTTGTCTGTCAGCCAGTCGACCTTGCGGCGGGTGTTGCAGAAGATGACCGCTTGTGTGATGGTGAGTGTGTCGTAGAGATCACACAGTGTGTCGAACTTCCACTCCTCCTTCTCGATAGCGATGAAGTACTGTTTGAGACCCTCGAGCGTCAACTCGTCACGCTTGACTAGAATGCGCACCGGATCCGTCATGAACTTGGTCGTCATCTCGAGGACATCGTATGGGAGCGTAGCCGAGACGACCACGACTTGCGTCGCAGGCGGGAGGTAGCGGTACACGTCGTAGATCTGCTCGCGGAAACCACGGTTGAGCAGTTCATCAGCCTCGTCCAGGACCAGCATCTTGATGTTGCGCGTGCGGAGGTTGCGGCGACGGATCATGTCGGCGACACGTCCTGGGGTTCCCGAGACCACGTGCTGGCCGTAGTCGAGCTTGCGGATATCCTCGCCCACGTTCGTTCCTCCAATGCACGCGTGGCACTGCACGTTCATGTAGTCGCCAAGACCCATGATGACTGACTGGATTTGGGTTGCCAGCTCACGAGTCGGTGAAAGTACGAGTGCTGCATAACGTGAGCATATAGCATTCAGCGACTAGATTGGACGTACCCTGTGTCTCGCGCACTGCTGTGTCGATGACCTGGAGGATGGAGATGGAAAAAGTCGCCGTCTTTCCCGTTCCCGACTGGGCCTGCGCGATGGTATCGCGGCCTTTGCAGACCTGGACAATCGCACGCGACTGGACTGCGGAAGGCGACTCGTAGCCATACGCGTAGATGCCGCGCAACAGGTTCTCCTTCAGGTGCATGGCTTCAAAGGTCGGCGCCACTGTGACCTCCTTCGAGGTGGAGAACTCCATCTTTTCGTCCGCATTTCGATCGATTCCGTCGGCCATGTTGACGTGGAGTTTGATTTTAATTTTGGTGTATCAAGGTGGTGGTGAGGTCGTTGGTGATGGGCGCAAGAAAGTTTGGAGCTCCAGCGGCAGAACATCGGACGAACTATTGCGCTAGCGCGTTGGAAATATCTCGCCGCGGGAGCTCCAGCGTCGGTCTCCAACGTCAACGCCGCCAAAGGTTTGCACACTGCTCATCGACTGCTGCCGGCGCATTACTCATACTTCATAGGCGACCGCAACAATGCTCTTGGAAGAACAGCGCCGCATCCACGAGGAGTTGGAGCGCCTCGAGGATGCATGTGCCGACCTCCTGCTCGAGGACCCACCACATGTACGTCTTCTCCCGGTACCCGTCGCGTTCATCGTACTGACCTCGCTCCAGATCCGCGACCGCCTGGCACGTGATCATGATATTGCGAAATATCTCCAGCAAATCGAAAGCCTATCGCGCCGCTTACTCGCCATCTACGAGGATAAGGACCACGCGCTCGAAGAGGAATTGCGCAACCTCACTCTCGGTGAACAGCCCATGGAGTCGTTCATGACCGAGATCGCGGCCATCAAGGAGCACCATCGCCGCTACCCCAATGAGCCCGTCGAGAACCTCGAGAAGGCGTACAAGAAGCGATCGCCAGAGGACCGCGGCCCTTCAATTGCTTTCGTTGACTCCATGTTCACTGGCGAGGAAGGCTCTGGGCGCTACTTTGACCTCACCATCCTGCACGATCAGTATCTGAACCTGCCCGTTCATTCGCATTCGCGCCGCTTGACCTACCTGCAATACCTCGACCTCTTCGACGCATTCTCTCCGCCACAAAACAACATTCGTCGCGACCAGAAGAAGTCGGAGTCTTACTTCCAATACCTCAAAGCGTTACAAGATTATCTCGAGCAGTTCATGCGCCGAACGAAGCCTTTGGAGAACCTTGACAAGCTCTTCGCTAACTTTGACAAGGAGTTTGAGGAGCTGTGGGCAAAGGATGAGGTTCCGGGTTGGGAGAAGATCGCGCCGGCATCGGCCGAAACCAACGGTGATGCGCAAGGCGATGGCTTCTGGTGCTCGGCCTGCAAAAAGGACTTTGCCAAAGAGTCGGTCTACACTGCGCATTTGACGGGCAAGAAACACAAGAAGGCGATGCAGGAGAACCAAGACGCGCCAACAAACGGTGCGGCTGCCAAAACCAACGGCGCATCATCGGACCTTCAGCGCTTCAAGGAGCGCGCTGTCGCTGAACGGGAGTTCAGGATCAAGAAACTGGCTGCGGCCATGCAGACCGAGCGCAGCGATACCAAGGTCAACGTCGAGCGAAAGCAGGGCATGACTGAACGCGAGCGCCAGCAAGAGCTTGAGCAGCTGTACTCCGAGACGCCCACCGGCGGAGAGAATGAGGAGCAGCACGACTCTGATGGTGAGGATAAGATCTACAACCCACTGAAGCTCCCTCTTGCATGGGACGGCAAGCCCATCCCCTTCTGGCTGTACAAGCTTCACGGTCTGGGTGTAGAGTTTCCCTGCGAGATCTGCGGTAACTTCGTCTACATGGGAAGGCGCGCGTTCGACAAGCACTTCAACGAGCCTCGCCACATCCACGGTCTCAAGTGTCTGGGCATCACAAATACCACACTGTTCCGGGAAATCACCAGCATCCAGGAAGCCGAGACCCTGTGGAAGAAGATCCAGAAGGACAAGAAGAAAGAAAAGATGCAGGCGGAGAACGTGGTAGAGATGGAGGACAACGAGGGCAACATCATGCCTGAGAAGGTCTATAAAGATTTGGAAGCTGCGGGTTTGCTGTGAGAGAAGAACACATGCTCGACTATCAGTCATGTTACAGCCTGTCTCGACCAGCGCTGTTGTCCTGAAGAGTTCCTCGACGCGATCGCGTTGAATTCGCGGCACTTGCAACTTTTGCACCACGATGATCTTCAACCTAGATCGTCCAAGGTACGTGGTAGTTGCAGGGAGTCTCGCCAACGGATCATACCGCGACCAATTGTCGCTTTTACCCCCTTCCTCGTATTAAGCTTACCAATAAGCTGTGTCAACTACATTGGCGCCTGGCGAAATTTGGGGGTTGAAATCCTGGGTTGGATACACGTTTGTTATGGAAGCATCTATGTAAGACACATGCAGCGTCTATGACATTTCCGGCGTTCTAACTTTGTGGAGGTCTTAGCTGGAAATTGGTTTATAGATGCCCCCTTGTGGGTTCTTTTCGACGCTTCTGGTCCAAAAGATTGTGGCGAAATGAAATACAGAAACTTCAACACCTCGACTCGTCATGTTATATTACCAACGGTTTCGATGTGATACGTTTTTACTTTCCACATGGGTGTCTGTCACAGCCCATTAATCAACCCTGTGCTGCAGTGCTCTGACTACTATTGAAGACCAAATGCCAGGTGAAACGCGAGCCTGAATACACCCGATGGCTAAGCGCGCGATATACAGACCCAACTTCGGTACACTTGCATTACTCAGCGGTCGAATACAACGCGCCCGGATCTTTGTAGCACCTGATCAACTTATCCGGTTCGAATACGATGATATTGAGATAAGCGGCCGAAATTCTCACGGTTCGGACTTCCGGTAGAGGCAATTTATTCTTCTCTCATGGAACCGCAGCCTCCAGGACCCATTTCAAAAGAAAATCACAACACATAAAAGCCCCCCGAATACTAACCCCCTAAACATTCTGCAAGCACTTCCCACCCCCACAAGTCCAACCCCAGTTCTACAAACTCCCACTCTCCCATCACAAAATGCACATCCCCCTCCCCCTCCTCACGCTCCTCCTCTCCGCCCTCCCCACCCTCGCCATGGACACCAACAAATGGCCCTTCGACATACGCTGGCAGACGCACGGTCTGCACCCCTGCGTGCACACATGCAACGCCTTCGGCAACGGCGACAAGTCACAGGAGCTCGCGTGCGTCACTTGCTGGCACTATGGCAAGGAGACGATCGATGAGTCGTGTAAAATGTGCGCGTTCAAGTGTGCGAAGAAGAGAGAGTTCAGGCTGAATGATGAGTATTGCAATAATTGTTTGACGATGGGGGCGAATCCGGCACACTGGTGAATGAGGCGCACTGTCGGTCAGGGACCATCCGTGGAAGGGATGAGGAGCAGATTGCTGACTAGACGGAAATCATGTTATGTGTACTAAGAAGAAACCTGGACTAAAGGCTTCAGTCAAGGAATGTGGTCACTACCTAGTGGTATATAAATAAGATAAAAAGCAGAATTTGCTCTAGCGAATGTGAGACGTCCTCTCTAAGGCCCGATATCTTCCCTGCAAGGACAATCCACGCTCCAACGCTCCAGTGTAGTTCATGGTATCGAACTATTATGACATCATCCAACTTGTTTCATGCAGCGCGCCGTTCCGTGATGCGGCCGCAAAAGGTCCGCGCGAAATAGATCCGCGGATGTCTACCAACAGTCTTATATTTGCTGACATCGGCCACCTGACACAAGATGGCTGTTTATGAACTTTGCAACGACGTTACATACGGTGCTCTCCATCAGCAGTATTAACTTATTAGTCTCCGGATGCATGTCGCTGCTTTTCAACCTCTTGTAAGTTTTGATCTTCATATATTGATTCATTCCACAAACTACCACATGTGGAAACGTTACATCATATGTTACCTGCTCCAACTTTTCCTAGGAAGTCTTTATCAAGAGACCGACCTTGGTCAAACGGCACGTCAGTATGATCTGAGAGCGGAAGAGTGCATGCGAACATGTCAGCATACAGGAGACGTGTCCAGAAAGAGCTTGGAAGAGTGGTACTATGCGGGCAGCAACGAATATCGATAAGTTTACCGACCTGCAGCATATAACGGTAATGTTCGCTCGCATCGAGACAGCATGCGGGTCATCTTATCGCGTGATAAGGCTGTCCAGATGAGGGGCAGGTTTGCCGGTGGATCTTCAGGCGGGCATCGTGACTTGTGGTGCCGTGCTGGACTCCACTGTGCGGAGGCTGGAATTAGGCGAAATGTGGCACAAAACGACGTTTTTCGTGGTACCGGTAGCGAATGGTTCACCATCTGAGACGTTGTAAGACGATCATGTCTCAGACCACCCAACTCTCATCTCTATCAGACTATATCGACCACAATCGGCGTCACAATCTTCAAGGATAGCGCGGTTAATCGCCATTTCATGTGACCATGGAAAACCTTCCGCTTCCGCCTTCCGCTTCCAGCCATCGCCTTTTCGGCCCGCCCCACAACATCAACCGGAAGAACACCGCGCCGCAACGCGCTCTTCACGAACACCACAAACGCCTGCAGATTGCTGCGCAGGCTCCTCGTCAGGAGGTCGGCTATGGGATCCTACAAACGGAAGCCTTTGCAATTGGACGGCCTCATCTACATCGCATGATCGACTCTAATCAGCAACGCATGACGCAACAGCTTTAATCAGCATTATGTCGCCAGACTTCAACGAAGCGCGATCACCTCTGACTTCGGACAACGTGCAATCATGGGGGCGCACCTATTTCTCCGCACCCTTCCGAGCGCTCCCTCGCTTTGCGAGACTCAACTGGACCGGCTTCGAGGAATTATCCATGAGCAGACCCGTGTGGAGGTCGCTTGGTCGCTCGACACACAAACAGCTACTCGTCATAGGCGGTTACGCACCCGGACCGGACATCGAAGAAGAACCAACCGATCGCGTTGTAGCACATGTCCATTCAGATGAAGCGGAAGTCAGTTTTTATCGCATTTCCGAGGTCGAAGATAGCAATCTGTTTGAGCTACAACCTGTAAATTCGACAGCCACAGTAGCGTTCCACGCACCATTTTGCCACGTTGGAGATGATACTGGAGGATCGAAAGCTATACATCGGGTTTCGGCGCTGATATTATATTACTTCCTGGTTGCGGGACACGTGAAAGAGCTAGTGCGAAATAAGTCAGATCCCACAATGTTTACCAGGAACTTTCGGGATGCGTGTTTATGGGTTGAAAATGGAGGCGAACGTCCAATATTACCGCCAACAAGACGTTCATCTGGTCTGATCACATCGCCGCCATTATGCAATAGTGTACCCGTACGGCCAAAACGCTCCTCGACAGTTTGTACGTTCAGTAGGCCTGGGAAAGCCAACAGCGACCCGCTAACACAGGATACAGCCTCCATGTCCCAATACAACCCAGAAGACACCCCCGCTCCACCAATCACACGCTCAGCCACGGACAGCATGAGCGTAAAAATCAAACGCGAAAGAGACGAAGACACGCCCTTGCGCCCCAAAAAACACCCCCGGCGGACCCTCAGCGAGCAAATCGTGATCACGAAATACCAAGACTCAATCCTCAGCCCCAAATCCCCCATGCCGCGGAGTCCAGCGCCCGAACGCGTCAACAAAGCCCTGACCGACCGCATCCAGCACCTCAAGGACGAAAACGCCGACCTCAAAGACGGCATTAGCGGCCTGGAAGGCGACAAAGAAGATCTGCAACGCAAGATTGCAAAAGATGCTAGGATTTACCGCGCGCTCAGGCTCGAGAGCGAGCAGATGAGACAGGATCTGACGGCAGTTATGCTGCGGTTGACAAGTTTAGAAAGCGAAGTGGCGCAAATACGCGCGAAGCCGGGGAGGCCGAAAGGGTAAGGGAAAAGAGGATTCGCATATACCCACACATATACCCCGGTTTCAACAAGTTAGCTGGGGAAACCTTTTTCAATTTCTTCTCTTCTTCGTACTTCGAAGAGAAGAGGGACAATTTCTATAACGACGCAGACGGTCAGTTTGATTAGTCTTTTCACAGCGTAGCGATTTACTTCTTCTTCTTTTTTGGAACATTTTAAGCATGAGATTACGAGCCTGAAGCTTCTCGAGGAATTATATATATTTCACATTGTCAAGCCTTATGCTTTGCCGAACGCTAACTCCATCCTGCGCTGGTGTGCGGCGCGCCGCTTTGCTTGGGCGGTCATGGGTTTGACGAGGGTGGGTGGCGGTGTGATTGCGATTTTGTCCACGTCTGTGATTTGAACGGGCGATTGAGCGGAGCTGGTGTGTTCACAAGTCGACACCTTTGTTTCTGCGGCTACTGGTTGAGCGGGTGGCGCAGCTTGTTCTCCGGGCTTGGAGACTGCTTGTGCGTGTGTCTTTTCCTCATTGTCGGTCGTTGACTGGCCAGGTGGCGTGGGTAGAGGCTCTAGCAATGTCTTTGCTTGTGCTTGTGCTTGTGCTTCTTCTTGTCCTTGATCCTCGACCGAAGGCTTCTCAGGGAACGCAACTAGCTCTTCGGGCTTGGGCGCTGCATCTGCCTGCGCCTTCTCTTGTTTAACGCATGTCTGGCTCAATCCATCGGGTATATCAACTACTACACTCAAACCTCTTATCGCTTGCGTGTCTGTCTCGTTTCCCTCTTTTTTTGTGATGTATGTTTGACTCAGCATCCTTTGCTGAAGCAGCGTCAGCTCGGCGTTATGCGCGGACTCTGTTCCCGTTTCAACCTGGTTCGATAGTACCGTTGCGACTATTTCTGGTATTACAACCTTATGGCTGACTTTGGCCGTTGGTGATAAAGGCTTGCGAGAGACGATGCTGGATGTGCTCCGAACAGAAGCTGCACGTCCGTGGCTTGTGACGCTGTGCTGCCGTGGCATATACTTCGCACGACTTATTGGGTCTTGTGCTGTGATTTGCTGCATACCAGACTCGTGCTCGCTCCCCAATATATCCGACGTCGAAGCGCTAGCTTCTAGATCTACCTCGCGGTATTGCTCGAGCACCTTCTGCCGAATCTCTGGATGTTGCAGAGGCGTTGTACTCACCGCTGGACAAGACGCGACAGACATCGACGAAGATGCGACGACAGAACTCGTGTCCCACTCCGTGCTATGCAGCTTTTCGCTCTGTACACGAGGTATGTCCATCCAATCCGCCAGATCCTCCGTGAGTGAGGACTGGCTCTGCACATGGGGCAGCTCCGTAGGCAGTGATCGGTGCTTATCGACACTTTTGCGAATGTAGATCGGGTTCGGTATGTACCGTTTTGCTATTCGTGGTACGGAGACAACGGCGATCGTCGATGCAGTCGATACATTACGTTCAATGGTCTTTTCGCTGAGCACTGGAGGCGCTTGATCTTGTTCTAGAGAAGCGAGGGGAGCGAAAGTGGCTACAGGTTGGATAGGAGATGCCTGCATCTCCTTGTATGGGCGCGCGCTGTCGAAAGAGGTCATCCGAACTTGTTCTGGCGAAGATGGCGTGCGGAGAGATCCATCGAAAGGGTGTCCAATGATGCAGTCCTCGGTCTGTGACTTCGGGTTTGACTGCGCCAAATCGGGTAGTGTTGTGCTGATGCCTATTGAGGAAAACTTGCCAGCACGATACAATGGCGAATTACGGAAAGTCTTCTCAAATTGCAGTCGACGGTTTGATGAGGGCCTGTAGCGGGTAGGGATGGTGACTGGTGGATGATGTGAAGGGATGATATCATCCGGCGTGCTACCAGGCAGCTCAGCCGGAAGAGAGTTGATCGATTGAGCTTGAGGATGATGAGATATTTTAGTCATAATTGGAGAGGTGTATATGCTTACTTTCTATGCTGTCCTGATCTGCCTGAGTGAGATTCACGCTAGACATGGAGAGTGTCTTTTGGCTCATTCGGTACTCTCGCCTCGAATAGGGTCCTCTCAAAGCAAGCGCAGCATCGTTCTTTACCCACAGCTGGACAGGTGCCTCGTAGATCGGATCCTGCAAGGTTCCATTGGTCACCCCACATAGTTCCACTGTCTGCATAACGTTGATTGTAGAGACGAGGCTTTGGTGGCATGTTGATAGCAACTGCTGTCTAGCGAGGAGCTTTTTTTGATGACTGGCAATCCATTCGAATCTTTTCTTGAGCTCCACTGCTCCCCCATCGTATCCTGCGACGCGGAATGTATCCATGTAGCTACCCACATCGTTCAAAGCGCGGCGGACATCCGTAAATATGGCATTGATCCATGTTTTCTTGTCAGGCCAGGCGTCCAGGAAGGTCGAAACTGCTGGCGACAAGTATAGCCGTGATGCTTCGGAAACATCTTGCCGCACGCGGTGGATGAGGTACGCCAAAGTATGCGCATCGGAGGAAGTCCTACTTGAACTGAAAACAAAATCGGCAAATTGAAAGGCTATCGTGATCGATGGAAAGAACTTGTTGTCGACAGAGGCAAGATCTGACGGAGGGATTGATGACACCTCCGCCTCCTTCGCCTCATGTTTGGTCTGACCGGACTTTCGCTGAAAATACTTCAGCCTTGGGCCGTCGGTGTCCGTATAACTGGGAGCGGGTCGGTCGCTACGATGCAAAGTTTCTGGCAGAAAAAGTCCAGCCGTAGGAAGCATTTCGGTAGAGATGGGCTCGGTTCACGACCACTGATCCAGAGAGTCTTAAATCACTCCACGTCGAGTAGGAGAAGAGGACTGATCCCGAGACAAGGCTACGAGACTATGATTAAAGTTGGAGAAGCACCGACACCCCGCAGCCTGGGTCACCGTACTTTGTGCTTGCCTTCAGCAGCAATCTGGGCTGCACAAACTTGTCGATCTACAATTCTGAGGTCGGCTACAGCAGGAAGGTGGCTTAGACCACTGCAAAGTGACACGGGATGGGCAAAACTGAAGAATTGGCCAGAGACCAGTGCGCCGTGACGCAGCTCCCGGGGTGTTGTTGCGCTTTGACAACATGCAACTGTGCCGCGATAACTGTGCCGTACAACACGCCGAATTCGGCATTATTTACACCACGAAGAGGCTCGTGCTTCAGAGCGCATACACTCTCTAGTTGACTAAAGCCCGGCCTCATATGCGACCCTCTAGCGCTGGAAACACGTAGGCGGCGTCTTATTGGGGGCCGAGGTGCTCAACAAGGCTGAGTTTCACACTTTTTATCATAGATTATTTCCAAGCTATGAATTGTCCAATATTGAAGTCAAAATTTCAAATCACATTGCGTGATCAGGAAGTAGCCCCGAACTAAATCTTCGATCTTGTCAAGCCCAAGGGTTGGATGCAACACAATCCAGTTGGGAGCTGATTTAGTCTGTTAGCCGACGAACCACAGCTTCGCTGAAAGGCCGTGGCGGAACGACAGGCTGTCCATTCTCATCTGAAAGTTGCAGAAGACATGGGAAGATGGTCAAATCGCCTGACTTGACTTCTCCCTCCTCTTCCCAGTCGAAACCCCATGTACTTGGCTGTGAGAACAGTGTAAACGCGAACAAGGCCGACCTTTTCAAGATCTCCTCCAGATTGCGCTTACGGTCTCCGTTGTCCATGCGTGAGTCTGCGAATGGTCGGAGGATGTTGTCGAGGGCGACAACGGCAGTTTGAATATTCTCATTTTGACTGTCAGACCGGGTGAACGGATTACGGGCATATTTCCCTTGCAGTAATTCGGCCGTCGTCACTCGCCATCGAGCCAACTTGACGGAGGATTGATCTATACGGCGTTTAGCTTGAGCGACTAGATTTCAGAAACTAGAACCCACCTGAAGGATTGCCGCTGTCGTTTGCTACCGCCTGGTAGCATTTTCCGATCTCCACTGGCAAAAGACTTGCGGCCCAATCTTTGCTGGGTAGCATCCTCGAGCAGACCACCCACGCAATACAGAACCTCAAGGCAATTTCTCTTGTTGCTGAATTGCCTAGTAAAGTGCTCAAGGTTCCGGCTGATATTGGCTGACCACCTCCAAGAGCGTGAATATCGTCCAGATCGACGAATCCAGGGCTCATACGACCCATTTGGTAGTAGCTCTGAACGTGGTTTTTGATCGAGTTACTGATCTTCGAGATCTCGCCTATGATTGCTTTATCCTCAAGTGGCAGAGGCAGAAGATCCGTTGTCGGAGACGATTTGGAGCCTACAGCGCCGAGCGGTGTTGCGGAAGCATGGAAACCTTTCTCCTGAGGCATAAGAGCTACACTGCTGGCTTCTTGATCTCGTACTCTGATTGATCTTTTCCGTTTCCCCCAGCAGAGCCACAAAACCAGACCAGCGACGATAGCACCGGCAATGAAGCTTCCAACAGCGGCGCCTGCGATCGCACCCGTCGAGATGCCTTTGTTAACTCGCCCGGGTACCGTCGAAGCCTCCGGAATTACGGAAGTTGCGGAGTTTGATGCTTCGGTCGACACGTCGCTCGGAGCGGTCGGTACAGGCAGAGTTGTAGAAGGTGTAACCCCAGCCGTCGGACTAGCACTTTGCGACGGTACAGAGGGTGCTTGTGTTGTTGCAGATCCAACGACGGAGCCCGTGGTGAATGCAGTCACTTTCGCGAGGCCATCCGCAGGTTCCCACGGCCCAGTGTTCCATTTGATGTTGAACTGCGCGTCCCAGAAGAAGAAAGAACTGAGCTGCCAATTCGGCAAAGTAAGCCATAAATTAGGCCCTAAGGTAGCGAGAGGTTGTCCAGGTGCAGTAACATGGAGGATATCTTTAGCGGGCGCTGGAGGTGTGAAGAATGTCACAGCGATGGGTGTCACTCCTGGTTGGAATGCCCATGTGGGAGCGCTTGGTGTAGCAGGCGGCGTGGGTGTTGCTAACTTAATGTCCAGAGTTGCAACTTCCGTGTCACCACTGGCCATGATGTCTGAATGAGGTTTTGGAGATTTGTTGAATAACAGAGCAAGACCTCCCGGAGAATCAGGTTGGAAAAGAACCGGCTTCATGAAAGGCGCACTAGGGCTGCCAGGATATTCCTTCACTAACAAGGTGGAGGTACAAATAGAGCGTTTTTGCAATGCACACTTCTCGGAATCCCTAGAGATCAATAAAAGCGCCGCAGAGACAGCGACACTACTTTGTGAGAGCATATGCTCCCATTGGTTTTCAACTTCGCACTATGGTTGTCTGCAGCCCACCCTGAGACACAACGAATCAGGTCACGGCGCCTGAAAGTTGACGACCCCTTTGACCCTATCGATTGCACTGCCCGTATGCAAGCAAAGCGTAATTAGCTAGCATAGTACAGGGGCCACAAAAAGCATTCGCGGGCGCGAGCTTGGGGGCCGGAGATGTTGATAGAACTGTGCCGCACGGCTGTGACACGGCGTGTACATCGTGCATCCCTTCCGCTTCCTTATAGACGCTCAGCCTGCCAGGGCATACAACCAGGAATCGAAGGACAATTCTGAAGATGGACACATCGATGGCGGCAATGGCGATGAGTGAGAGACCTCACATGGTAATAGGCGTGGATTTTGGGATGACATGTGAGTAAGACTAGCGTTTGTCGGAAGCAGGAGATGGCACGGCCCGTTTGGCGCTAGCGCTAAACCTGTTCTGATCTGCGTCAAATGATCCTATCATGTGCATACTCCTCCATATCAGCGCTGACCTCAAATTTGACGGACAGGTACTGGAGTCTCCTACGTCAATCTTTCCATCGGTAATGAGACTGTCCGCTGGATCCAGAAATGGCCTGGCCGTTTCCAGGCAAACGAGAACAAGGTGCCAACTGTAGTCGTGTACCCTACCAGCAGTCGAGAACCATCATCCTGGGGCTTCCTCTCTGAGACTGCAGCGGAGACTAATGCAGACGATAAAGAGTACAAAGAGTGGTTCAAAACATGTCTCGACCCCGAGAAGTTGCGCCTGAAGCAACAAGAAGACCCAGAGGGAGCACCAGAAAGCCTGCAGGAAGTGGAGAAGTGGTATGGCGATTACCTGCGAAAGATGTACGAGTATATCTCCTTCAAACTCGGTGGGGAGCTATCAGGTGTGCAGTGGGCAGATGCCAGGATCGAGTTCGTGTTCAGCGTTCCTACGACCTGGGCTCCTGTACCCACGGTTGAGAACTTCAAGAAAATCGTAAGAGGAGCTGGATTCGGCTCGCACCGTGGTCACAGCCTGACTATCGGACTTACGGAAGCTGAAGCAGCAGCCGTCCACACATCGACTGAAGCTCCTGGCATCTTCCATGAGAATGATGTTCTCTTGGTGTGCGATGCAGGTGGTGGCACAACAGATCTGAGCGTTCTTCGAGTGACCAACACTGTCAACCAAGCAATCAATCTCCAGCAGCTGGACGTTGTGTTTGGCGAGACAATCGGTTCTGCTGCTATCGACTACGAATTTGAGCAACTGGTAACACAGCGTCTGACGTTGGCGCACACAACGAACCCACTTCCAATCGACCCAGGCGATGCCGCGTGGGAGATGATGAAGAGTAGAGACTTCCAGGCAATCAAATGCGAATTCGGCGCGCCAGATGATACGCCGCTGTTCTCCATCGCCATACCACGTGTGCCACAGAGCTACAACAACAGCGACCCAGATGTAAGGATTCGCAATGGCGAGATGACATTCGGACGTGAGGATCTGCAACGACTGTTCGATAAGCAGATTGAAAAGTTATTTAGGCTCATCGACTCGCAACTGCAGTCGCTATTCCAGAAGCAACCCAGTGCTCACGTCTCTCACCTCGTCCTGTCGGGTGGTCTTGGTAACAGTGTGTACGTGCAATCCCAGCTACGAAAGCACTACGCTGAAACGAACATCCCGAACGCGCAGTCGATCTCTGTTCGTATTGCACCTGATCCACAACTAGCAGTCTGTAAAGGGCTCGTGAGCGACAGGGTGCGCAAGCTTCTAACCTCGCGGTCGGTTCTTGGATGGCGTTGTTGTAGAGCCTCATACGGAACTCTTTGCAAAATTGCGTACGACAAAAGGAATCCAGACCATGAGGGCAAAGAGCTGGTCCGTGACCCAATGAATGGGAAGATGTACATTGTTCAGTCAATTGCCTGGTTTGTGCGAAAAGGAGAGCCGGTCAGTGTCGATCAGCCGATCACGCATACGTTTGTCAAGAAGATCAGTCCCGGAGATCCGCGAAATGCCTTCCCGACAAGCGTGATAGAGAGCAGTCTCGCGGCAACAGCGCTGCCAGACCAGATGAACCAGCGTACGTCATATCTGTTTCTTCCCCTCAACTACGAGGAAGAAATCCTGTTAACGCAGAGCCAGATACCCGCATACTTTGCGAGATAAGATCGGATTTGTCTGCAGCCGACGAGAAGAAGTTTGTTGAGAAAAACAAGAACTTTTGGTCAATGAAGAAGCATTATCTTCGCATAGAATACTCCGTTCGAGTCTTGATCGGGACCAGCTGATATACGCTTCGAGTTGTGGTTCGATGATCAAAAGCTGAGTCGAGATCAATCAATCACGGGTGGAATGGACCCCCACTCAAGCACCTTTGATGGAGGCAGGAAAGGCGACACCAATGGACATGTCGAATCGCGAACCTATTGAACTACCGACTAGACGACCTACGAGAATGGATGCACAGTCCGCAGGTACCGAGATACCTGGTAAGGCGAAGAACTTCGCTTCTATAACTAAAGGCCTCGATGGGAGCCCCGATCGGGCTGACAAAGTGAAGCGCGGAATGGGCGGGCTTCTGGCGAAAGCCCGGGGAGGAAAGTGGACTGTGACTCGATGAGAGTTGGGCTGCAATTGAGGAGCAGTCGGCGCAGTGGAAGTGCTGCCTCGCTCGAGATGAGCATTTGATGGTGCGAGAGGAGTGGTGAGTTCAGACGTGCAGGAGGTCTTGCTCTTGACGCGTTCGGAGCGACGTTAGCGTGTTGCGGGGCGTTCCTGTCGCCACTTCCGAGCGTAGTAAGAACACCCGCTCTTCCGCAGCGGACATAATTACTTTCTATGATTAGTATTCAAACCTCAAGAGTCGACCAATTCCAAAGCACTCGGATTCAGAACCATCAGTTGAACATCTTTGAAAGTGTGAAATTTCTAGTCAGCACGTCAAATATGAGTGTTGTGACCAACAGCACCCACCCAAGCTAGCGAAACTGTTCCTTTCGCCTCCTCATCTCGTCTCTTCTCCGCATCAAAGCCACCATCTCTGGGGGACTTTAAGAGACTGACCACCGAATCTTCTCCGCTGTATTATCCGCTCTCTAGTAAAACCACATCCAATATACCCATTTACGAGCTGCCAGAATACTCTTCCTTGGACTCAGAACAACTGTCTGCACTCCAGGATGAATGGTACCACATTCTGCTGTCAGGTCCAGGAGTGTTTGTCACAAAGCACTTGTACAAAGACAAATCGCTTCTTGACCGCGCAAACGATATATATAGCCGGGTAATTACCGAGGAGAAGACTTTATCTGGCCGAAAAGGTGATCACTTTGCTGGCTCAGGAGCCAATGATCGAATTTGGAACTCCTTTTCGAAGCACTGTCTCCAGGATCCCACTTCATTCCTGGAATACTACTCAAACCCGTGGCTACCTCTGATCTCATCCGCGTGGCTCGGTCCCCAGCATCGTTTGACAGCGCAGGTGAACATCGTCAGACCTGGCGCAGCGGCACAAATATCACATCGCGATTACCATATTGGCTTTCAAGACAACGAGTTATGCGCAAAGTTCCCGAAAGCGCTCCAAGTTGCATCCCAGTTCCTTACGCTTCAAGGCGCCGTGGCGCATTCAGACATGCCAGTCGAAAGCGGACCTACGCGGCTGCTGCCGTTCAGCCAGAAATTTGAGGAAGGTTACATGGCATATCGCATTCCCGAATTTCAACAATTCTTTCTCGAACAATATGTCTCGGTTACACTTGAGAAGGGCGACGGCTTGTTCTTCAACCCCGCACTGTTTCATGCTGCAGGCCAGAACGACTCAGCTGACATCCAGCGCTCGGCCAATCTGCTCCAGATCTCATCCGCATTCGGAAAACCCATGGAACTAATCGATACACATCCACTTATCGAGCTTACTTGGCATGGTCTGACAGAGATGTATAAGAACGAAGGCCTCAGTGATAAGGTCATGGCATTCGTGGGCAATGTTGCGGAAGGCTACCCATTTCCAACCAATCTTGACAGAAGAATTCCAGAGACGGCAGGTATGGCACCGTCAAGTGAGCAGGACCTTCTTATCAAAGGTCTGAAAGCCTCGTGGACGAAAGATGATCTACTCGGCGAGCTGCAGAATATGAGACAAGACGCTCGAGCGTGAAGCAGTGCTTCAAATGATATATTTGAATTTGTCTATCCTTACAAGTCTTCTCCCTACGGAATTTTTACGAATTTATCCATGTCAATAGCCGACGATATGCATCGGCTCCACCGAGCCGACCTGACGTGGGACGGGTAGGGCAAGCCATGTCGCCTAATTCAGTTAGCCATGCGACTTCATCGCGATAGGCTCCACATTGACCCACCTCCAATCCGCAATATCTGCCAACAACGTTACCTTACTTGGCTCATTGCGCGACGAACACCATCACGAAGAAGCTTCTTCGGATACCGGGGCAACTCATCTCTACGTCTGCCGCTTGATATCAGGCAATATTTTGAATGGGAACAATAAGTGTAGAGCAAGAATTATGGAAGTCGGAGCAATGTCATCGCCGCATTGCCGCACACCTCAGTCAACTGACCTGTTTTCGTATTTGCTTCATCAGCACTCAGATGCTTGTTTATCTTGGTATAAATAAGCTTTCTCGGTGTCTACAACATTGAGTAAGGCTTGATGTCCAATACTACCAACATGCCAAACATCAACTTATCCCGCAAAGACATCGCTGCGCTTATTCAAGGTCCCCCACTAGTCGCTGTCCTTATTGGCGCAACAACAGGAATCGGATCTTACGTCGCACGAGCTCTGGCAAACACTTTCGCGAAAGACGGCAACAAATTGCGCGTGTATGTCGTCGGGCGCAATGCCAGCCGTGCAGAGACTCTCCTTACATATGGTCGTCAAACAAGCCCTGGATCGGACTGGCGATTTGTCGCAGTGCCAGATCTGACACTGATGAGCCATGTTGACCGCTTTTCGCAAGAGGTCATCAAGCAAGAGCAAGCTTCGCCATTCACTGGAGGACCACCACGCATAGACTTGCTATATATGAGCCAAGCACTCTCACCAATGCAAGAATCACCCGGTACGACCACCTCATACAAAACTGCCCTCGAAGTCGTGCTAATACCTCTCCAGCAACAAAGGAAGGTCTCGACAGTCAGATGTCGCTCCTCTTCTACTCCCGCATGCGCTTCATTCAGAACCTCACTCCTTTACTAAATGCATCTCCCAAAATCTGCACCAGCACGTCATTTCAATATTCGCGGGTGGCTTTGAAGACGCTGTCAAGCCTGACGAGATACCAATTGGCATCCCATCCAAGAAGGATTACGGTGTCAGCTCCGTACGCAAACACGTAGCATTCATGAAGACCTTCGCCTTTGAGCACCTAGCCGAGCAACATGCCGGAAAGATCAGCTTCATTCACATCTACCCCGGCCTAGTCGACGGCCCAGTATTCTACAGCGATGTCAACCCAACGTGGTTCAAAATCCTGTGGCGCTTGCTGAAGCCCCTGGCATCATTTTACATGACTTCGCCAGAGGTATGTGGCGAGGTAATGCTTTCCCTTGCGACGTCGCGATATCCAGCAAAAGGGGAAGCGAATTCAAGGGATGTTGCGGGCGGGGTGGCGTATAGTACGCAGCGAGAGCTTGCGGGAGGAGCGTATGGAGTTGGCATGAGGGGAGATGAGGGGAAAGACGTAAGTTATGCCAAGGTGAGGAATAATGATACAGCACAGAAAGTCTGGGAGCATTTGATGGAAGTGTTCGAAGGTATTGAAAAGCTGAGCTCTGACACAAGATAGAGGTACCGGTTAGCGATAGTACATGTCCCGTTGCCCCTTCTCCATTTCCGTAAGATCACTCCAGTGACTGGTGGTCGTATATATTTGAACGATGACTCCTCTTCTGTCGATACCTGTTTCCCTAAGTTAGCATTCAATCCCGTTGTGAGATGCGAGACAACGCGAGCCGGGAAACTTACGTCCATGTGCTTCTGTATGAACTTGCCATTCGCCGTTGACCATAAGCTTTGGAAGTACAGTCAATAGACTATCGGGCTTTATCGAGAAAAGCGAGCAGCGCAAGGAATATGCCCAGATCTCCCGAAAGGCCACCGTGGTCCCCTATGTTCGGTTCAATGAACCCATGATACATGGCAGGTAGGAGCATCTTGACCCATTGAGCGTTGCTTTTGGTAAACAATCTGGGTTCTGTTCCCTTAATCTTCAGAAGAGACGCCATTGTATCAATCTTCCATTCGAATGACAAAGGGTGCCAGACCTCATGGGGTCGTGGCATCGTAGCATCCGCCTCCATGATACAGAAGCCAAACCCCTCGAGGTACATCATGGAAACAGTCTTATAAGGTTTGACCTCCTTGGAGATATCCCAGCGTTCAACTGGTTGGATTTGACCTCCTGTGAAGCTCCACCATTGGTCGGGTAGTGACCCAGGAATGCGAATGTTGTCTCCTGACACAGCACTCGGTTCCCACAGCTCATTTTTACCACGTTTTCCAAGGTATTCCGGGATATTCGTGAACTCGTCGAAACGAAAGCTGTAGGACATCTCGCTGTCATGGCTCAACCGTTCCTGCGATTGTGTGCCGTCTTGCTCACCCAGCATTATCGCATGCTCTGCGTACGGTTCTTGGCCTTTTGGCAGTATGCTTTCGAAGGATGCCTCTTCTGATTTCAATGTTTCAACCCCTAAAACATGTCTCGGCCATGAAGAGTATTTGGCCGTTGAATTCGGCTTTTGTGGCATCATCAACGGTGCACTTGGCATCGTTCCGTAGCCACTACGCATCTGCTCGGGAGCAGAAGGACTTAACGGTGTAGGTGCAGATGGATGCCACATCGTTCCTGAGGAATTGAAGACGTCACGAGATGGTATGATATACGCGCGACGCATATCGCCTGAGCTTGCGACCACATGTCCGTATAATGACCCTGTCTCCACATCGCACACCAAACCTCCACAGTCGCCCCAGTTGATGGGCTCTTCTAGATCGACATGATATACTGTCCGAAAGGTCAAACTTCCTGGTAACCGCATGTATGTGCGACTTTCTGATAGCGTTCCCCTGAACCCGATTTGGATGCCGTCAGCTCTTAGTGTTGTCCAGTACTTGACTTCTCTCACACTTCCTGTCATACTGGCAACCGATAAGTTCTTCGATATTGATATGTCTGTCTCGAGGCGGATGGCGACAAAGTCATCTCTTACGTCTATCAGTACCCAGTCCTGATCTGCGGATAATTTAAGTAGCACGCCGAGTGGCTTGAAGGCTGACCCGTCTTCATTCTTCGTGATGAAGAATTGATTGGATTCGTCTTTTGGCCCATTTTGTGTATTTGAATTGAGTGATGGACTCCTACTAGAATCGTGTTGTTCGGAATCTAGCTTTCCGTTAGACTGTGAAATGTAGTAGGATGTATTAATGCTACTGCATACCTCTAACATCCATCATTGTTTTGCTCGTATTTACCGTCTGAATCGGTTGAACCTGTTCGCCTGTGTCGCTACTGCAGTCGCTGCCGAAGTCATAATCGCCGTCATTGTCTAATGTGCCGTCACGATCGGATAACGTCTGCTCAACGAAGATATGTGACACAGACATCAAGAAGCATTTTTCCCCTTGATAGACTCTATAAGCAGTTGCCTTTCGCCATCTTCCATTGCGGTGCTTAGCAAATATAGCCATGCCGAGTGCTCCCACACTCCCTTGGGGGTCGTAATAAGCCTCAGTCAGGTGGTCAACCCTTTCTGGACTCAAATCCTTATTTTCTGACACGTCGGCTGGTTGAACTAGTGGTCCAGTTATTGGTTGTTCACTTTGATGGCCAGTGCGGAACCCGGGCAGTCGAAGCAACAGCCCCCTTTTGTCGAGCACCTTCTTTGCTCTTTCGCGTGGTTCCTTTTCCTCACAAAAGAACATGATTGTTGGTTTCGCAGATATTTCGTCCCTTCCTATCATGAAAAGCTTGAAGTACACAGTGCTGCGATAGCTGTCCTTCATGTCCGCCTCGAGCTGTTCCTGGACATATGCTTCAACAGCTTCGAAGTCTTCTCTCGCCTTTCCTGTTGCATACCACCAATGTCGCTCATTGGAGATACCTATGAAGCTCCCCAGACAAGTTTGCACACCCGGATAAGCCCTTGATCTTCGTTTGAATATGCTTGACATCTTGACATACGATTCAGTTCGGACCGCTTCCATTCTGAGTAAATTTTATAACATGGGTATGCGCAGTAAGCTTTAGAAAAAAAGATCTGCTGATCATGAATTTTGGTTGAGACAGTACTATAAGTGCGAACGGACACTCTGCGTTGGCACACTGGCTGCACATTCGCCTAATGAACGCTGTCTCCCCTTGCCTGATTGGCTCTCTGACTGACCGGTCAAGGCCAGAGCGGGGTACCGTGCTGTAAGAATACAGTCCGCTCGGGAGGCGCTGCAAAGAAAGAAGTCTACTCCTCGTTGACAAGCACACAATTCACGAGCGCTACGCAAGCTCTCCATCAATGCCACTTCGCGACCCTCAATTACTCCATGAGCCGGTCACGCCAGGAGCAAGAGTGGACATTTTCCGCTCTTTATGGCCCGATCGATCGCCACAAATTACGCCAGAACACCAGCCTGACTTGAAGGCCTACTTCAGCTATTATACGAAAGAGTGTAACAAGGCGTTGCTTGATGAAGGGCAATATCTTTCCGCAAGAACTCATGAAGACTTTCTTCGGATTGCAACGCTACTCAGGACGAAGTCAGATAAAGAGGAAATCAAGTTAGAGATTCGTCGCCATCTTACTGCGGGTCGTTCTTCGAAAGCCGAAGACAAGATGCTTGAAAGCACGATCAATCTCGTGACTCGCTTACTCGCAATGATCAACGTCGGCCCACTTCAGAACGAGATCAGCCCGCAGTGGTCAACACCTTGGCATGAAGTGATCCCTTGACAAGGCCGTACATGCTCATTTCAACAATTACCTTGATACGAATTGCCAAGATGACGTGCTTCAACCCCATTTCACCCTCCGCAATTTCGATCGTGACGCAAACATCAGCATTATCTGGACAAACAATCTGGTCGATCACCTCCGCCTGGTGAATAAAGACAAGGGACTATGCGTGTTTCATCAGGTTTCGTTCTTGAAGTGGATGCAGAAAGTCAGCAGGTCTGCTACCCATCTACTACCTACAGTAATTGTACTGAAAGTTCTAACCAGTCCCATGTACCCCAAGGGTTTCATCGAGGAAACAATAGACACCCTCACTCTACTACTTCCCGATACAGACCGAAGGACCAGGCATTGGCTAGAGTGTGAGCTTCAGGATTATGACCTCACTGGGGTGGACCTAAACCTTCGTCATCTGGGAAGCTTCAAAGCTAACGATCCTGCCAGGCGGCTCGAACATTTCAAATTCTGGCGCGAACGACTGGGTGTCCTTAAAGACGTTGTTGAGGAAGAGACCCCTTATCCCAAGGTGCTACTGAGGGTGTTACATGACCGGAAGCAAGGCGATCGTTGGCTCAATTCTTGGGTTGCGCTCGTGGCGATCAGTTTAACTCTAGTCTTTGGGCTTGTTCAAAGTATCGAAGGGGCTATTCAGGTGTACAAAGCGTACCACCCGACTACTGTGTAGCTATGTGATAGAGTCCAACGGTTGTGTCGTAACGTGCGGGTCACTGAGTTTTAGCAACAGCCATCCCGAGCTTATCACACTTAATCCTTACCTAGGTGGAAGTGCAGACGCTCAACGCGCGAAGCTCTCGACTCCAAGTCATTACTCTATTCTCAACATGTTCAACCACCCGAACCAATATGATTGGTCATCGCTAAGTGGAGGTAATACTTTCGTCGTTGCGTGCCGCAAAAATATGTCATTAGATCATCATCAGGCTACGAAGAGTTCTCGAGCGGGCAAGGAAATCATGTAAACGTATGTTATGATATGGAGTGAGCCAAGAAATAAGGCAATCGGAAGTGCCGAGGACGAAGATATACGAAAGCGCACAATATCACAATTTATAGCCGAGCTAGACGCAATGCCGAAGGCATCAGCCCTCAATTGAAGTACTTTCCATAAGCACCGTCCTCGAGGTTTGTGAGGTCTTTCGTGGTAGAACCTCCCGCCCAGGTAACTGGACATGTGTAGACGCTAACGACAACGCCTCGTTTGTGTTGCCCTGAGATAAGGTCAGCGACCGAGAAGTTAGACGTAGAGATTTGCAGTGGTCTTAAACATACATCCATGATCCAAGGTATGGGGATGCCATTGCGAGCCCTGGAACATCCATGGTAACCACGTGGGAAGGTTTGCGGGATCCATTGACAGCGCAACCAACGCCAAGAAGATGGGCAAGTCACCTCGTAAACCCCCATAATTTGGATTCTGGGTATATGGGCCATGGTAAATGTTTGGAAGTAACTTGTGCGCCCAGAGTTGATCAGGTCGTTGGCACTGCAATGTATCGCACGCTCCGGCTGGAGTCAGGTAGGAGGAACCATCGGCTACAGGGTCAAAGCGGAGCGGCATCCAGGCCTCGGATGGATCAGGTGTTGTTCCGTCCCCTCGAAGGACCCAGAACCCCCCTCCACCACTGTAGAATACCGAGAACGTCTTGAAATGATTCAGTGGCTGTGGCAGGCTCTGTACCGGCACTTGACGAATTCGGTCTGTTTGATTATACCACCACGTATTCGAGATGCCGCCGCCAGATCTATAGTTGTAACCAGTGCTAGTCGACGGAATCCAATGACCTGATGTGGTGCATGAAGGTCGTATATCTGGGTGCTCGCGAATCTCATCGATCTTAAAGACGTACGGTGGCTTCGTTGCCTATGTTGGTAAATGAATAAGAGGCTCGTGGACTACAAGTGGTGCCCAGACTCACCATCGTGTTTCAATTGCCCTAAAAGTGACTGCGATAGCTTTGCCAGGTTGGTCCGGGAAGTACGTCCGAAGAATATGCCTGTTCTCCTCTGGCCAGCCGACTACCCCTCCTTCGCGGCGCTTTATCTCTGCCATTGGAGATGAGGCTCTGCTACTCCCAAGCTCATTCGATTAAGATCCTGGTTCGAAGGTCATGCGACGCTATATCTGCCCAAATTGGTGATCAATTGCCGATGAGCCACAGGAGCCAGTTGCTGATAAGCTGGTGGTGCTCTAGCGATGGCCACGGCTGCCTAAACAACGCATATGACTTTGCGATAGGAGCCAAGTCAAGCAGCCCTACCCCGCCAGCTGTATGCCGTAGCATGTTTCGGGTCATGTTTCCTTATTGCTGTGTAGCCGTTCCAAGTAATCGAGCGGGGTGATGGTCATCCATCCCGAGAAACCCTGAAGCATGGTGGATGCCACCAGTTGAGTGTTCGGATGGCGGTATGCGAAGGTATACTGAAGCATGTATAGAGGCCCGAGGGAATTGTGGTTCGTCGTAATCGGCGGACGTGTCACTGCGATCAATTAATGGCACCATAACCTTTCGGCAGAGTGTCGAGGAGAGTGCGGAGCTCCAACCCGTTCCACCAACCAACTCATGCAGCACAACGCCAGCGTGGAGGAGCTGGCCAGACCCTGCAAGTTCGGAGCGCCATCACATGTCTGTCATCCGCCACCGCTTGCTCCATACCCGAACGGAATCATCGCTCCGGGAGACACGTGCCCCAGGACTGCAACAGGTAGACCCGCTGGCCGTGTTGGGGGAGAAGAACTGTAGGCTGGCCTATGGAGGATGTCTCGTTTGGCTGCGATGCACGCCTAGAAGAAATTCGGCGTAGTTCCCCAAATGTGCAGCGTACTGACCAAGGTGGGCTTGCTTTGTCTTGAAGGGAAGAACAGTTTGCGCTCGGTAAAGGCCAGTAGAGGAAATGCTACGTCGATCGTGCCGTCAGTGCAAGGTTGTGCTGTCGCCACCGTGAGACGCGCATGTGCGTCAAGTCAACATGGGCGATTGCGGCTCTGCTCAGATGCGAGAGGTTAAAGGCGGAGGAGCTGGCATTCGACTGCTCATGGGTCGCTATGGCGCTTATCGACACGATCGCACACGAAAGGATTTGTTCTGCAAAGACCCACTCGGCGGCTAGAACAAAAAGATTGAAAGGTGTGTACTCGAGGATCGAACTTGGCGGCGCGAAAAATGACGGTGACGAACTCGAGGGACCATGAGAGTTAAGTAGAAGTTCTTGACCGGCTGACTGCACTAGGACACGTAGTAGCCAGATGCGCAGATGCAAAATGGAGGACCTCTGTTGCTGCATGATTGCCTTTTTGCCTCGTCCTCCCTTTGCTTGTCAATCTGAACTGTCCGCTTGCGTCCGCAATGACAGCCATGCCACGCCAATCTTAGCCGACTGACACTAATAAGAGCACATGACGAAGCCAACGCTATGTCCCGCCTCAATGAGGAGGCACACCATCCCCTGTAGTGATCAATAATGGCAGTAGTCCGCCTGCTGAACCCCAGCGGCCCTTCACCGGAACCATCCCTGTAGTGACACGCCAGACGTCAACCACCACTTTAACAGGGAGCAACAGAGGTCAAATCCTCACCGGTACTATTTGGAAGCTCTCTGGCCGAGCTTACCGCAACGCATTCCCACATTATGTGCATGACAGCTTAGTGTCGCGGTCTCCGGAGCACAGGATCACTTCGCCTGTTCGGAGAACGCGCCTTTCTTCAATTGCGCATTACAGAAACCTGTCGCGAAGGCCACCAATAGCGTGGCGAGTACTTGTTCAGATCAGGCCGCACATAGACACGATGCATCGTGGTGTCAGCCTGGAAATATTCTATCAGTGGAGTGACGATGAAGATGATGGCGAAGATCATGCATTTCAAACAACTCGCTCGGCGTTCGTCAGCATGCCAAGCAGTTTCGGTAGAAGACAATGAAGCAAATGGCATGAGGCATGGCTACGCGCTCAGCTTGTGCCCCAAGGAGGCTCGCAGATATGTCCACATTTGGCTGCCAGTCATCGAGACGTCGCAAAACTGATGCAAGACTGAGAAGGGGAAAGAACCATCCGGAGAATATGCGCAAAAGACCACCGACAGAGGGAGTCTTCGTAGATGGCTGGATAGCGAACGCTCTCGGCCATTGCGTTGGTGCTTCGTCCCCTGCAGGTGAGCAACACTTCCCTCACAAGCATAATGATTGGCAGACGGGGGCTGTATTCTGCACGCCGATCACTGATGTTTTACCAAGAGCTTGTGATCGCGGAACGCATCTGCTTGACGAAGCGGCACAGTCCTATCAGGGGCCATTCGAACTTCGTCCTGCTCGCCACCGCCGAGCGCGTAGCAGAACGCACATTCTTCGGGTGTCGCAATGACCCGGTACCCAGATGTGGCGAGCCGGCAGATCCCGTCGTAGGAAGAGGGTAACACCGAGATGCACTGGACACCATGACCACTCGGTGGGCAGAGGGCAGAGCTGTTCGCGGCCGGTTCATGTGGCGGCGCGCGTCCCGTGAAATCCAACCCGTGACGGGCCGAGGGATGAGCCGTGGAACATATGGAAGAAGCGCTTAAACACCTGTTGCCTCGGCGGTTAAGGCATCTGAACAAAGTGAAGGGGCCGGCATGTGCCTGTCGAGAGTGGTCTGGGCCGAGATGGCTTGCCTTCGGGGAAGGGTGCCAATGCGCAACTTGGATCACCACTGAGAGTCTTTAGTAGCCTTGAATAGGCTGCAGGTAGGTTCAGAAAGCATCAACTGAGGTTGAAAGAAAGACTGCGGGAGCTAAGACGGAAAGATAGTGGTGTTTGAGTGCCTGCTTGGTCTCTTAGTAGGTAGCCGAAAAGCAGCCAATCAGAGCTCAGCCGCAGCTGCCAAAAATTTGCCTTCTTTTGGTTCGCACAACGACACGCCCCGCCACGATTGTGAAATTTGTGCACAAAACACCACGCCTGGAAAATTAGCTCGACAATCGAGATACTGAAAGCGATAACGTACAACCGACCTGAGACGTTTCGCGAAAACACGGAAGGGCGAGAACGCACACTGCATTTCAACTCGAATTTTCAGCACTACACAAGTTTTCACAATGGCGACAGAAGCGCCCCAAAAGCCCATACACTCCCTGATTCTGGACACTGGACCACTGATCAAGAACGCCGTATCAATTTCCACCATTATCAACTCAGCTGAGGAAATTTACACGACATCTGCCATCATTTCCGAGATTCGAGATGAGGCAACCAGGTCACGGGTGCAGACATCGCTCATGCCATTCTTGAAAATTAAGAACCCGAGTCCAGCAAGTTATGACGCAGTCGTTGCGTTTAGTAAGAAGACTGGCGACTATGCTGTGTTGAGCAGGCAAGATTTGGGAATTCTGGCACTTGCCTATGAGGTGCACTGCGAGAGGAATGGTGGCCCATGGGGATTGAGAGAGGCGCCCAAGCAGCCCTTGAAGATGAGGCCGGGAGAGAAAGAGGCAGAGGACGAGGCAAAGGAAGAGTCTAAGGTGGATGAGGGCATCAAGGTCGAGGAAGGCGACATGCATGTTGAGGATATCACAGCCACCGAAGGTGTGCAAATTAACGACGGAGTCAAAGTTGACGAGAGCGAGGCCAATCAGAGTGTTCAGACTGGCGACGAAGTTATGACTGAGGAACAATCACTGGAGAATGATACGGAAGGTTGGAGCCATGTGCCTATTAGATCGTCGAAGCAGGTCAAGGAAGAGAGGCCGAAAAAGCAAAAGGGCAGTGCGAAACACAAGCAAATGAAGCTAGAGAAAGAGCAGAGAAAACAGGCCAGAGCTCTCGAGGCCAGCGCCAGTGAGCAAACACCAACGACCCAAAACCCGGAGGCTGTCGAGACTGACGAGGCTACAACAGCGCCTGCGCGGGAGACGTCCGAAGAGCAAACCATCGGAGGAGTTTCGATTGAGCAAGAACATATTACACAGGACAAGTCCGAGGAGCAGACCATCGTATCTGAGGGAATAGCAATCGAGCAAGAACCGATCATCCAGGACTCTCCGGAGAAGTCTGAAGAGCAGACCGTCATGTCTGAAGGAGTAGCAGTCGAACAAGAACCTATCACACAGGACTTACAGACAGAGCCTCAACAAGATTTGGTTACTACAACCGAGTCTGTCGAGTCTCAAGTCAGCCCTGAAGAGGAGGCAGAAGCAAGCAGCTCCACCGAGCCAACGGCCACCGAACCCCTGTCCCAAGACTTCTCAACCCTCAACATCACCACCCCTCCCTCGCCACCCGCTACCGAAGACGAAGACTCCGACGACGGCGACTGGATCACCCCAGACAACCTCCCCACCCACGTCGCCGCCGACTCGGGCCTCCCCTCCTCTTCCTCCCCCAACACCCCCCAAGAGCAACTCGACGTCGCAACCATGACCATCGACTTCGCCATGCAAAACGTCCTGCTGCAAATGAACCTGCACCTCCTCTCCACCAACATGCAACGCGTGCGCAAACTCACCTCCAAAGTCCTGCGCTGCCACGCCTGCTTCCTGACCGTCAAGGACACGTCGCGCCAATTCTGCCCACGTTGCGGCGGCTCCACGCTCAAGCGCGTGAACTGCAGCACGAACAGTAAAGGCGAGTTCCGTCTGCATCTTTCGAAGAATTACCAGTTCAACAAGCGCGGCGATAAGTACGCTATTCCTAAGCCGATTGCGGGCACGGCGAATGGCAAGTGGAACGGGCTAGGCGGCGGACAGGGTGGCTGGGGCAGGGATTTGATTCTCGCGGAGGACCAGAAGGAGTATGTCAAGGCGGTGGAGCAGGAGAAGAGGGCCAAGGGTGCGCGGGATCTCATGGATGATGATTATCTGCCGGGGATTTTGACGGGGGATAGGAGTGGGAGAGCGGGCGGGAGGATGAAGGTTGGCGCGGGGAAGAATGTTAATAGTAAGAAGAGGCATGCGTGAGGGATGGGTGGAGGGGTGCATTAGATAGGCGTTGTGGATGGGAAAAGTAACTGCATATGCGATATAGATGGGTATCAAGCGCGGATAATGTCATCTGTCCCATGCCCCATACTACCACGCTGCCGTCGCCGCCAGCACTCGCCCATTCTCTGCGCGTCTGGCAGAAGGCTACAGCAGACACTACGTCTTTTTTGCCTGTCTGGCCAGCGACTATGCCAGGGCCTTGGACCTCTCGCATCTCAGAGTGTTTGAACCGGTGCAAGCATTCTCCACCGAGTATGTCCCACACGAACACCATGCCGTTGTCACTCCCACTAAGCACCACACTATCATTCAAGCCCAACGTACTGCGTACGCGTAGATCCTTATTGACGAACGCATCATCCGTGTACGCCTTTAACATCTCGCCATTCACGCGATCCATCAGCCGAACCGTCGAGTCCAGCGAACTAACCAACATCTCCGTCCCTTTCTTCGTCACACCCAGACTGGTGCACGGGTATCCAATGACGTCCGCCTGACACAGTCCCGTGCGCAAATCATAGCTACGCACTCTGCCGTCCACGCTGGCAGTTATGATCTCCGCATCGGATATGGCGACATCGGTGATGGCGTCTTTCGCATCGTCCAGCGACATGACGGGCTTGAAGCTGTTGGACTTGACGTCCCAGATCTTGACCGTGCCATCGAAGCTGCCCGTTGCAATGATGCTATCGCCCTCCCCGCCGAAGACGCCGCGATTCACGCGCCCCGCGTGGCCTGTATAGCGCCGAATCGTCTGCGCGGTCTGCACATCCCATAGAAAAACAGTCTTGTCTCCTCCCGTCGATACGAAGCGGTCATTGTCGTGGTTGACATCGATGGAGAGGACTTCGTAGCCGTGCGCCGAGTACTTGTTCACGAGACCGGGCGGGTATACGTTCGATGCGGAGGGGGCGACGGAGGTAGTCGGCGCTTTTTGCGGGTTGTACAGGCGGATAGTGCGGTCGGACGAGCCTGTCAGGATGTACGACTGCGCGCCGGAGGAGTAGGCGACGGCGTGAACGATGCCGTTGTGGCCGGTGAGTTTGGCGATGGGGTTTGTGGGGAAGGCGGGCATGGTGACTGAAGAGTCTGGTTTGTGGCCGTTCAAGGCATGCTGGGGGTTGGTCTGGAAGTACTAGTTCGTATACCTAGTACTTCTTGATACGCTGGTGGTGAAGGATGGAAGAGTCCCCACCAAAAGTTCGAAGCGCGACGGGAGCTATGACGTCTCGGCAGAACTCCGGGTACACTTTTTTGTGTCGCAGTGACAGCTGCCTGACAGCTTCCTAACTTACAACTTACCACAACTTTCCGTTGCGCCCAAAACTCTGTGTCCAAATTCGCAGATACTTTTCAAGTGTTCATACCAGACCAGAAAGTTCACAATGGCGATCAGACACCTTGACAGTCAGCCGAAGATCGAGGACTTTACCCCACTAGAAGAGCATGAGCAACAAACACCAAGCACATTCTTCGGCGCAAAGCCTGTTGTATATGCGCGATATGCAGGATTGACACTCTCCGCCCCCTCTTCGCAGCTCCAGCAAGATGCAGCGTTCTTCAGGTTCAACACCGAGACCGAGGGCGACGATGCGCTGATCAAGGATGTCGAGATTTGGGTAAACTCAGAGTGAGACAGCCACGTCGCACCAACACAGCCATGTGCTGACGAATTGCAGGAACCTCACGCTCTTCCAGACTACCCCAACATCGACCGGCGTTGCGATACCCTACCCCTCAATCGCCCTCCATGCGACCATGAAGTACAAATCCACCGTCGATGCGCTGTACATGAACCTCTCCCTCAACGACCCCGAGACCGTCAACGAGGAGGAAGACATCCAGACTCTCGAACTCACCATTTTGCCACCAAGCTATGCAAGCAATCCCGACACGGCATGCATCAAGGAGATCTTCAACGCCATGAACACGTGCGCGGATCTACACCCAGATGGCGACGCAAGTGACGAGGATGGTGAAGACATCCTGGACGACACTGCGCCTGGTGCAAGTGGCTGGATCACCGCGGAGAATATGGACGAGTACATGGACGAGAATGGCAACTTCACCGGTATGGTGATCGGAAACGATGAGCTTGGTCCAGGAGCAGGCACGGTCAGGACAAGGGATGATGCTGATGGTGGTGCGAATGGCGTCAATGGCGACGGACATGAGGAGAAGTATCACCGCACCAGCTGAAGATCATGAAGATACGACGGACATGAATGGTCATGATTAGATTCGTTGGAGAGCTTCGTGAAGTGGAAGACGCCTAGCAGCTACAAGACTGCGGCCCACACTTGAAAGTTGGATTTAAATGTACGTATAGCTCCCAGAATCTCTACACAACATACTGAGCACCGGCCCAGCAGCACAAACACCCTTTGAGATTGATCATGAAGCGCCTGTCTTTGCGCCAAATAATCACAAGTTCTTTCCAATCAATCTTGATCTTGCCAGATCTCAGAAACCCCCTGTCCCATCCACTGTCAAGTCTCTCCATATCCACATCGAAAATCACAATTCAACCATCCGCCTTCCTCGCCCTCACAACCTCAACCCCTCCACCCTTCCCCACCCACTCCAACGCTCTTCTCGCCCCCCCTAACATCCTTCACATAAACCGGCAACGGCTCCCGCACAACCCCCATCTCCACCTCCTTATCCACCATCTCCACCCTTGGATCCTCATCATCACACCTCCGCCGAATCTTCCCCTCCTTCACACCTCTATTGATGCGTCTTCTCAGCATAACATAGCCGAATGCGAGAATCGCAATGGCGCACACGACGACGCTGACGATGATGCCGGTGCGCAAGCGCTCGGGCGTTATTTGGGGATTGGTATGGGGTTGTGTAGTGGGCATTTTCTCCTTCTGGTTTGAGAAATGGGGTATGGTTTGCGCAAACGGGTAAAATGAATCCAGCAGTGACTTGTTTTCGACGATGTGGTGACGCAGTGGGGATGTGACTTCGCCGTGTCATTGTACTACCGCACCAGAAGGCTGGAATGCTGCCCCTCGCATAACGCCGCGCATTCGACAGGTCGGCATTACAACACGTTGTCAATTGCTGTTCAGCTGCTGAGAATACATGAGCGTGTCCAATGGAGATGGCACGTCGGGGTCTTGGCATGTGTGTAGCCTTGCGGCGCTGGCGGCGGAGGGCTTGAGTGGACTGCGAACCTGGGGAATACGGTGATGGCTTAGGGCTGGAAGAATATTGTATGTGATCGTGATGAGTGGGCTTGCATGAAGGCTTTGACAACATGACAAAAAAGATATATACTAACAAACAATATCTCAGCCTCCCAGCACTTTCACTTGCCCAAGCAGCCTTGTCAACCTCATCTTCCGCACAGAACCACTACGTTACATATATTATTTACACTCCCGCATAAACTCCCGACCACCGTGAGCCAAGCCACTACCTCCTTCACCCGCTCATGTATCATCTGTCGCGGCTCATTCGACGCCTCGATCGCAGGTTTCTCAGCCATCTCAGCGAGGCTATGTAGAACGAGCGTGTGCAGACATGAGACGAGGTGTATGCAACGCGCGACTTTTTGCGCCGGGGTGGGAGCCTGAGACTTTGAGCTAGTTTGAGGGATGCGGATACTGCTGGTCATAATGTAGAAGGCGCGAGACTGGACAGAGTACACGGTGCGATTATGCGGCGTGAGTTTTGTACGATGGTGATGGTGCTGGCATTGTCAACCTACACGTGTTGGCAAACAAACCAGGGTCAATGAAGGAGGGGTGGGGTGATGATAGACTTGCAAGAGGCGATGAGGTGTTGAGAGTGTTGCGTGAATGGGTGGGGGTTGTCGATTGAACTTGACAGTAACTGTGAAGCGGTGCTTTGATGGTACAAACGCATGTCCCCCCTTCCATGGGGGGAGTATGGATATATCGCGATACCTCCGCAAAAGCGCGTATTGATGCTTCTTCAAGCTGCACTTCATACTCAGATAGCACATTGTACCTATTACGTAGCACCAAGCCACACACACACACACACACACACACACACACACACACACACACACCTATCCCTAACCCACAATGACCTCAATCGACACCCTCCTCGCCCTCTCCACCGAACTCGCCAAGCTCGGCACCGAGCTCTCAGAAGTCGGCGGCAAGCTGACACAAGCGGCCGCGACGCTGCAGCAAGAAGCTGCCAATATCGCAGAGGAGATGTCGAGGCAATGGGGCGTCGATGTTAGTGTGAATGTGGGGGTGAGGCCGGGGAGGTATGGGGGTAATGGGGCGAGTGAGGTTGTTGTTAAGAAATAGGGATTTTTTGGGGAGGTGGGTCGGTGCAGGGCAAGGTCGGATGGGTGAGGAATGAGGGATGGGGAGTGAGGGATGAGTGGAGGTTGATAGGACGGGGACGGCCGAGGATGGGATGATTGAATGTGTCGAAATCAGGCGAGATGATGGAGAGGAAACGAAGGTCGACGGTGGTTTGGAGTACGAGGAAGTGCGGGAGTTGTGATATCGTGTGCTTCCTATGCTACTTTGCGTGTGAGGGCTAGTATCTTTTTCGCTAAGATGACGAAGGTCTCGTAATCGTTGCAGCCATATAATGTATGAAGCTCGAGGCATGCATCTATCAGACCATGTCTATCTGGCGAGGCTATCTGCTGTTAGCATGTCTGTTCCATTGTCTATCATCTGTTCGGCTTTTGTGTCACTATAGAGCCCAAGCATGAGAGGTACCTGTTGCCCAACAGACAGATATCACTAGTTCTATTGAAAGGTCCAAGAGACATCCTAATCTTGCATATGATCGACAAAGCATATGTACCTAAACAGCGATGTCGATCGCACCGGACGTTGTACAAGAAATACAACTCAGTGGGGAAGCGGTGACCGTTCAATCTGGGTATATACACCGTATAGACTAGGGCTTCCCTGATTATAATGTCCAGCATGTGAATGCCTCAAAACTGTTGGCATGCAGAGGGCTGCAAGTTGTCCAAACAAGCTTCAATGCCGCTTCACAAATATGGTACCTTTGTTTGAGGAAATCGCGCAAGACGATGATCGTCCATCACACAACACCCGGTCCCATAGTCGCTGTCGGCTGTTTTCATCCCCTTTGCACTACTGCGCGTGCCATCAGCGTCTGCTGCGTGTTTGTTTTTCGATCTAACTCGCGTAAGATGCGAGGCGGTCCGACTCAAAGTTGCGGTCGAGATGAGTTTGCATCTAGCGGTGAACACACCATCAACCAAGTCGAGAAGAAAACAGGTTGCGGTAATTATCTGTGGAAATGTCGCCATAAGGTTAATGTACGCATCATGTTGTGCTCCTGAAGGTCGTTGTTTTAGAGTTGTGTGCGGATCGACGCAGATCCACCGCGGGAAATTTGGTACTGGCTCTCAAATACCTCAGATAGTGGTTGCGATGCGTGGTTTTGGATTGGTAGCACCACTACTATGGTAGTACCGTAGTAATCAGGGGCGCCGAGGTGTTTGTTCGGTGCTGTGGCTGTGTAGTACCATTGCTACGCTGATAACGATGTGCAGGATCCTGCATGCGACGCCCTGCGCACCGAGAATTGGAATCCGTGTCTGCGCAAGTGCTGACGTACTAGCCCAACGGACCCCAAAACTCACGATGATACCAAGAGTCTTATCGAAACAAACGGGAAGGTGGGCGGTTGCTGCGGACACACAGAGTGCCTGGATTTCGGCGATCCGTGAGATCGAGAGGAAGTCAAGCCGAGCTATCCGAATTTAGCACTGCGTGCGGGGCTGCCGGTGATCGTCCGCCCTCATGACATAGGCCCACCTGCCGCAGAACATTGGAACGTCGTGCTTGTTTGACATCGTGACGTTTGGTAGTGCACCAGCCGCAGTTGTACGTAATTCACCGCGTCTGGACCACGACGCCCGGCAGAATGCCATCATACGGTGTCGTGTGAGCGTGCTGAAGCATTATCGGCTTCGTCAGGATCGTGAGAATTGTTGCAAAGATTTCGATGCCGTGGACCCATCACCCATCATGTGGGTATGTGGGTCCTCTTGCAGCACCTTGCAGCGCATGAAAGAAATGGTTTGTGTGGGCGAAATCTTGGCTTTCGCTTTCTCGCGGCTGAAAGGCGCCCACGTTCGAAATAGTTTCTTTGGCTGCAGATCGGGCAGTCTAGAAACACCCTCTCCGTTGTTCTTGCATGGCCCAAAAGTGCCATGCAGGAGACGTCGCAGACATCCAGCCGCTTGCGACGCCCTGCCCATCAACGTGGCCATGATAGCATTTGGACAGACAGACCGTCTTTCAACAAGCGCATAGCGGCCCAGTCGGCGGGTCCCCCTGGCGATAGTGAAAGAGAAAGTGTTCCAGAAAGAGAAGGCTGAGAGTCGGTGGCGCGTCTTCCTCTTGTCCAGGCACGCACGGACACTCCACTCTGGCCAGGATACGACACCAACATCGTCATCTTCAGCACCAAGGATGGCTTGTGTCATCGTGTGCTCTCCGCGCAACCGTGCCGGGCAACCTGGTCATGAGAATGCTCCACGAGGAACGCCTCACGTCCGCCATCGTGAACTATGGAGTAATAAGTGAACACCGGAATGGCTTCAGACTTGTGAAACTTCAGGTACTATTGGCGAGTCCCTGTCGTTGCAAGGAGGGCAATGCAAGGAGCTGAAAGTGGCTTGGTTTTCAGCGATGCCCCTGAGCCGTCGTGCTCCCGCAAGGAAAGTCTGGGGAAGCGGCGACGTTTCTATGGTGGGACCGGCTCTGGCGGTGTGTGGAGCGCTCAAAAAATGGCGCAGTTTGAAGCCGGGCTTGATCACGTATCCAACTAGGAAACAATCTGCCGCCAATTACGTTGCAACTATTGGGGCTGATCGAGATGCATGCACCGGTGTCTGGGTTCTGAACCTATCGTCAGAATGCGATTCGTGCTGTTTCTGACGTTGCGGTGTGGTACTCGATCGTGAGTCTAGTGGTCCCCGACGGCGCCATGGGTATAAAGAGATCGCTCTCTGCCACCCTCGAAGAAGCAACCCATTACTATCAATCTTCAGTCATTCGAGCTCAATCCATACTCGGACTAAAGACGGGATCTCCATCAGAGAACTACCTCCATACAAACCTCGAACTACTATCATCAGCCACTCTTGCTCTTAGCACCCATTCAGCCATCATGCCTAGTCTTCCATTCAACGACACACCTTCCGCTTCTCCTTCTGCTTCTCCCTCCTTGTCGCCTTCGATAGTTCTCAGCAGTCCCGAGACGGGTATATTTGATCAACCAAACTTAGGCTTTCCATCTAATCTCAAAACAGGGAGCGCTTCAACAACAATGGAGCTGCACAAGTCAAAAGCAAATGCTGCTGAACAGTATCGCATGAACATGGCGAAATACTTTGCGGCTACGTTCAATATGTCAATGACCGCTGCACTTGCCGAGGCGGATGCCCAGTTGGCACCTCGCCGAGCATCGAGTTTTTCGGAAGCGGAATCGTTTAGGGCGATTTAGCCTCTATGGTTGGATGGCGTAGGAGTTCGATTTTACGACTTGATGACATTTGCATTGGAACATCATGGGCATTGGGATGGGGTCTTCGGCGCTTACTGCTTGTCGACATAATCAAAAGCTTTGCTTCTTCTCGTGCTATGCTTGCAATGCGAAGCCTTGCGCTTCTGCTAACGTGATGTGTCCAGGTTTGCAACCGCCGCCAGGACCTGAGAACGAGCAGGGCTACACGGCCTGTGATGTGTGCGCTCATGTCAGCCGGTGTCTTCGTTCCTGGATCAGCGTGTCAAGGCGGGTGTGCACAGTAAGTGTTCGAATCGGCGCGACGTTGATGGAGCCGTCAAGACCTGCAGCGCCGACGGCCAGAGCGCCCTGACCACGTCTCCACGTGGGTATGAGGCTCTTTCCTATCGATACGACACCTAAACCCAACGACACTCGAGGTACTTATACTCTCTTTCAGACGTTGATCGTCGTCGATGTTTATCATTGTTCTTTTCCGTGTCTGCTTACCCTCCGCAGTCCGCTTACTGTCAGCCGAAGTTTGCTTCCGAGGTGTACTCGGTGGTTTCGCCGTGTCCACAGCGGCGCATGTTTACCCTCCGAGAAAACTCTAGGCGCTGCACGTGTCCACAAAACAACGACAATGCCAATCTGCTTGGGGCGTTTGGGACGAACACGATTGGTGGTTCCGATATTTGCCAGTCGAACCAGTCCCAGCCGCGTGGCGAACATCAGCGCCCCATTGTTCATCCCATCGAACCATCGATGAGCCACAACCAGAAGCCAGTGAGCGGGACAGCATACGCAACACCGCCTTATCTTTACCACACCAGCTAAGATAGCATGAGGTCGATATGTCTCCACGACAGTGACACCAAGCTGTAATTGCTACACCAAGCTGTGATTGCTACACTAAGCACGCGGACAGCAGCGTTTGTGCAACGTTGCTAGCAAGCGATCGCATGTCATTGCACGATGCCAACAGCCCAGACATCTCGGCAGCGGACTATTGTGTCCCCGTATCGAGATAAACAGGGCAGAGGCGAATGAAGTTCTTGGGTCTTGTCAGCCAAGATGCTTATCCACTGGTACGCCTCACGCTGAGTGAGCTTGCGACTCTGTGGCGTACTGTCCGTTATGGCCACCTGAATGAAAGAGGGTGCACTGCGACACAGAAACAACAGATTTTCTGCATGGAAGAAAGGTATCACTGTTCAAGCATGCCGCGGTAAACACACCTGCTTCGCTGGAATGGTGATGCGAAAGTGATGAGAAGTCCCAAGAGTTGTATGCTTGGTAGGACCCACGTCGCATTCCTAGCGTGCGTGACCCCGCCATCCCGCAGTCGAGCAAGCTGCCTATAAGTTTACCCCACGGGCGCCTCCAGATGGCTCTTCACAACCAACACCACACGCGTGTTCCTGCTTATTTGAATGGGTGAAACCGTCTTGCCTACCGTCGAGGAGTCTTCTCCCCAACTTGACGAACCCCCTATATGTGGTTTAAATGAGCCGCATATTGCACCCCATCAAAGGCAACTCCAGCCAAAACCAGCCGATGGCAACGCACCGCCAACGCTGAACGCCCCGCATACACTCTCCTTCCAAGAAGTTGCAGAGACACTGCGCGTGGACATCAAGTGAGAGAGCACCTTGCTGCTTTGCCGTTCAGCTTACTGACTATTTCAGCAATGGACTCAGTAACCATGAAGCTGAGTCGCGCCTCCAGCTCTATGGCCCTAATAAGGTTAAGGGAGCTGAAGGGCTTTCCTTGTGGAAGATTCTCATGAGGCAGATTTCGAACAGTCTTACTTTCGTCCTCATCATTGTCATGGCCCTAAGCTTTGGCATTGACGACTACATTGAAGGCGCTGTCATCACTGCAGTCATATGTCTGAACATCGTTGTCGGTTTCTGGCAAGACTACCAGGCTGAGAAGACTATCGAGTCCCTCAAGAAGCTCACCGCCCCAGAGGCCACTATCACTCGTAACGGCGTATCGGACCTCAAGGTCAAGGCTATTGACCTTGTGCCTGGTGACATCGTACAGCTCAGTGTCGGAGGCATCGTGCCTGCTGACCTGCGATTGATCGATGGTGTCAACGCCTGCACCAACGAAGCATTCCTCACAGGTGAATCTATCCCTGTTGAGAAGACGCCTGAGAAGACGTTTGACGACCCCGAACTCTCTACTGGTGACCGAACGAATCTCGCCTACTCTGGTAGCGAGATGACATCCGGGCGATGCCGTGGTATCGTTGTTGCCACAGGCATGGAGACCGAAGTCGGAAAGATCGCCGTCATGCTTCGCCAGAAGAAGGACCACAAAGAGCGCAATGAGTCTCTTCCCATGAAAGTGTGGAGGAGGTTTGCCAGTGGTGTCAAGACTATCCTCGGTCTTGTTGGAACCCCACTGCAAATCACCCTCAGCAAATTTGCCCTTCTTCTGTTCGGTCTCGCTATCCTCCTTGCCATTATTGTCTTTTCTGCAAGCAAGTGGCAGATTGGTGGCGAGGTTCTTATCTATGGTATCTGTGTTGCCGTTGCCGTCATCCCCGAATCCCTCATTGCGGTGTTAACAATCACCATCGCAGTGGGAGGAAAGGCCATGGCAAAGGCCAACGTCATCACAAGAGTCCAATCCGCTATCGAGGCTGTTGGTGGTGTCACCAACATCTGCTCCGATAAGACCGGAACTCTCACTCAGGGTCGCATGGTGTCGAAGAAAGCCATCATCCCAGGTGCAGGTATTATCACGGTCGATGCCATCACTGATCCCTTTAACCCCACAAGCGGCCATGTCAGTCTCGACCAAGAGCGTCTCACCCTGGACAACTTCACGCCTAATCCAGCCATGGCCCGCTTCCTCCGCACAATTGCCCTTTGCAATAACTCCAAGGTCCGACCAGCGTTCGATATGGACAACGGCAACGACTCCCCAAGCGAGAAGAAGGGAGCACTCGACCGCACCATCAGTGATGATGGTCGTGACACGGATGCTTCCACAATCGAGTCTTTCTCACGACCCCCCACGGCCATCATGCAAGGCCTGTCGGCTGGACCATGGAAGGCGTACGGCGAGCCGACTGAGATTGCTCTCCACGTTCTTGCGTCTCGCTTCGGCATGGGCAAGGAAGACATCCTCAGCACCCACAACATCCACCTCGCCACCGAATTCTCTTTCGACTCGACTGTCAAGAAGATGTCAGTCGTCTACAAGGACAACCAGTCTAGCCTACTCGACGTCTACACCAAGGGTGCTACGGAATTCATGCTTCCAGTCTTGAACATCTCGGAAGAGGAGCGCACTCAAATCATGCAGTCCGCCGAAACCATGGCCAACGAGGGTCTCCGTGTTCTCTGCATTGCCCACAAGTCGCTCCCAGCTGGCTCCGACTACAGCGTCCGTGAGGAGATTGAGAGCAACCTGAACTTCATCGGTCTTGTCGCCATCTACGATCCCCCTCGTCTTGAAACCAAGGGCGCTGTTCGTGAATGCAAGGTCGCCGGTATCACCGTCCACATGCTCACGGGTGACCACCCCGGTACTGCCCGCGCCATCGCCAAGGATGTCGACATTATCGATGACCACACGCCTGCCTCTGCTGTCATGATCGCCAGAGATTTCGATCAATTGACTGAGGACCAGATCGACGCCATGGAAACACTCCCCCTTGTCATTGCCAGATGTAGCCCCAAGACTAAAGTCAAGATGGTGCAGGCTCTCCACAGGCGAGGCCGCTTCTGCGTCATGACCGGCGACGGTGTCAACGACTCTCCCGCGCTCAAGCAGGCCAACGTCGGCATGGCCATGGGCACAGGCAGCGACGTCGCCAAAGATGCTGCCGAAATGGTCCTAACCGACGACAACTTCGCCTCTATCGTGAAAGCCGTCGAAGAAGGCCGGCGCCTCTTCGACAACATCCAAAAGTTCCTGATGCACCTGCTCATCTACCAATATCGCGCAAGTCATCCTCCTCCTCATCGGCCTCTCCTTCAAAGACAACGACAACCACTCCGTCTTCCCCCTCTCTCCCATAGAAATCCTCTGGGTTAACCTCATCACCTCGTCCTTCCTCGCCATCGGCCTCGGCCTCGAGGAGTCGCAGGAAGACAGCATGTTGCGCCCGCCGCACGATGTCAAAGCAGGCGTCTTCACCAAGGAGCTGATTACAGATAAATTCATCTACGGCTTCTTCATGGGTGCGCTGTGTCTCTTCAGCTTCGCCATCGTCGCCTACGTGGGTCCCGGCGGCGGAAACCTCGGCAGCGGGTGTAACGAGGGTTACAACGAGACGTGCGAAGTCGTGTTCCGCGCGCGCGCAACGACATACGCAACCATCACACTCCTACTCCTCGTCACGGCGTGGGAAGTCAAGCATTTCGCCCGCAGCTTGTTCAACATGTACCCCTCCTCCACTACCACCCCATCCTCCTCCTCCAAAATCTTCTCAATCTTCCCCACCCTCTACCGCAACCGCTTTCTCTTCTTCGCCGTCATGGCCGGGCTGGCCGGCATGTTTCCCATCATTTACATCCCCTTCCTCAACGAGAAGGTGTTCAAGCACGGGCGCATTACGTGGGAGTGGGGCGTGAGCGCCGGCGCGGTGGTTATCTACATCGCGGCGATTGAGATGTGGAAGATGATTAAACGACGCATGGGGATTTGGAGTGGAGCGCGCAGGACGATTAGCAGGGAGGATGCGGAGGCGAGGGCCGGGGTAGGCGGGGTGGATAGGGCTGTTGTTGGGAGTGAGAAGATGTGAGTGGTATAGTGAGGGACGTTGATGGGGAGGTTGTTTTGAGGTTTAGCTGGATTGACCCTTGGTCTGTCTTTATGATTAGTGCAACATGCTACATAACACTCCTTAGCATCAACGATTACGCGATTTATGATCAACTTCAATTGTTTCGTCACAGACATTGCTGCGTCTTTCATGAGTGTAGATATCACAAGCATCTGATTATATGCAATGACGACGACATGTACAGCTGCTCTCACGCCACACTCTCAATCCAGACACATATGCATGAAGTGATAAACTATGCTCTTTCGATATCGTATCTTACAGGTATACACATGCCCACTATCCATACCAAAGGTCGACTAAGAGCGCCGTACCTCCTAAATCCCATACCCATACCCATACGCCTCGCTAGATGATGCAAATGCCTCCCACCTTCATAAGCCACGTACGCCTACCCATTTTACTCCTCCACTAATGCGCCCAAAATCAAGCTCTGAATAACAAACTCCGCACACGTGATTTTCACCTTCTTGCCACCAATCTCGCCCCTCGCAACGAGCTCTTCCTTCTCCTCGCCCTCCTCGCGCTTTCTCTTCTTGCCTTTCTTCGACTTACCGCTCGCAGCGGGTTTGCCGGTGCCGAATAGCTCGGAAGCTGCGTCGGCGACGCCGGCTTCGCCGTTGACGTAGATCCAGTCCCACTGCGCGTCGCGGATCATATCTGAAGCAGCGGCGAGGTCCGCGCATCGGCCTACAGTTGCGGAGCCGAGAGCGTGGGTGAGGAAGATGAAGGGTTGGCGTTTCTCGATTTCCTTCTTGGATTTGCCGGTGACGAGGAGGACGGTTTGGTTTTGCAGCAGAAGGTCGCGGTTACTGATGGTTTGGTCGAAGGAGAGGTCGTCGGCGGCGGGGTCGTATGGCATCATGGTGCGTGAGCGAACGACGCCATTGGGGTCTAGGAACTTTGAGACCCCAGCGGGAAGCTGATACTTGATGAACGGCACAGCGCGGGAGGCGTTTAGCGAATCTTGTACCCATCGGAGATGTAGGCAAGGCACGTTGAGGGCCAGAGCTTGGATGTACTTGGTGCTGCGCGAATGTGAATCTGAGATTAGGGCCACAAAACCAAGATCTCTATACGAAGGCTTCAATACCAGCCCTTCAGCTCCGTCGACAACTGAGGCAGACTGACGCCGGCTCTGCGATGAAGTCGGTGCGTCAGCCGATTCGTAGTCGAACAATTCGTGAAAACCTTGTCCCAGTACCATACCACCGTTTGACTTGATGACTCTCGAGAGCTCTTCTTTGTCGACATCCATAGCGGTTGAGGTCAACACGAAGGCCATGTTCGAGAACACACCACTGCCAGATCGTGCGGAAGAAGATGCGACTGAAGCAGCTCGACCGGTAGCATTCTTGAGAAGCGATGGTACTGTCATGCCTCGCCGACTAAACGAGGGCGTGGTCAGAGCATCTGCCGCATGGACAGGTGTGCCGATACGAGACGTGGACTTGCTGGGTGAGTTGGGTGGTGAGAAGTTGTATGATCGATCGCGGAGCCTCATCCAGAGCTGGGTTGTCAGATAGATGCGACCCATGGGTACCGAGATGCGCTTCAGAGGCTGCAGTGTCTTAGCTGCAGGAAGACTGTCTCGTCGCTTCTCCTCTAATACAATAGCTGAGTAGCCGCGGTGATCAGTGGTAGGGCTGTCCTGTGCAACGACGTCCTCAATTTTGTCCTTAAAGCCGACGATCACGTATGTGTGCTTCTTCATACCTGCCTCATCTACCTTGACATGGTCTCCAGGGCGGAGGTCGAAAGCACGAACCTGACTGGCGTCTAGAGTGGTGGTGTTACCATCGTCGAAGCGAACATTTAATTGACGACCAGCGACTCGACCAAGACATATCGCTGGATAGAAGTGGCTGCCTGGCCATGATGCAAGAATGCGGTTGGGAGCGATGATGTCTCCTGCGGATGCCTCACCGCTGTCTGAAGCTGTCTTGACGACGGCTTCCTTGCTCGCGGGTTCTGGTGTTGGGTCCGCCAGCTCATCTCGCTCTTCATCAGCATCCGGCATAGCAACATCAACATTAGCGACCGCTTTGCGTTTGGCTCGCTTTGTAGGAGTGACAGGTGTACTCGTACGGCTCCCTACAGCAGGTTCAGCCTTTGACGGAGAAGATGACATGGCAGCCAGGATCTCTCTATCAACAGACTTGAGCGCCCCCTTCTTCTGGGTCTTCACTCGTGTGGGCTTAGGTGCGAGTTTCGTCTTGAGGGTGGCCTGTCGAGTGTATGAAGCTTGTGCCTCTTCCCTGGCCCGCACGGCTGCGTTTGCTCCCTGATCCTCGCGCTCTTGAGCCGATGAAGTCGGCGGTGTATCTACGAGCGCTGGACCTTGTTCATCTCGTAGAGATGTAGGAAACTGATCAGCATCGATGGTGGGAGCGGCCATTGGTTTGACAGGACTTCGAAAGACGTTGCGCTTCGTAGTGTATGTCACCTTTCGTCGCTTCGCTGATGGAGGCGCGGGAGATGAGCTGTTCACTAAATTCTCGTCCTCGTCGTCGAAGCCACTGAGGCGGGGTATCTCGATTTCTTCCTCCATTTGAGTGTCAGGCAGATTGTGGATGTCCTGCAAAGAGCGAAGGCGCTCGTCAGCCATGATGGAGTCGCTCCCATTCTCCTTGGAACTTTCTGGAAGAAGCGGGTCGTGTTGAGAACCAGGCAGTTGCTCATTTGCGGTGTGGAATGGCTCGGTGCTGTTGGTCTGGTCCGGCGCGCTAGGGTCAGCTGTCTGATGTGTATCGTCGTGCATGGCAGAATCGCCAGGAAACAAGGATGGTTGCGTCTCCTCAAGCGCATCCGTCTCAGGAACAGTGCTCTGACGTTGCCTGCGGAGCGGCGGTGACGTCGCAGGGGCTTCACTATCCTGAATACCTTCCGCGGGCGCTGAGTGCTCTTGTGCCCGCTCCTCGTGAAGCTCCTGCGGCAGCTGCTCTTGCTCCAGGGTTTCCGAAACTTCATGATTTGTTCCTAAGTCGACCCTCTGATGCTGAACCAGATCCAGCTCGTCGACTTTTTCGATGTCTTCTTGATCCGGGCTGCTATTCTCATCCTCCTCAGGCTCTGGTTTGGTAAGGGGCAAATCCTCCTCATCCTCACTTGCTGCCTCTTCATCAGGAGCTGTAGGCTCAACAGACTCGCGAACGCCACCACCCTCAGCATACTCATCGTATGCTTGGTCATGTTCGTCGTACGTGACAGAGCCATCGACCGCAGAGATGGGGGGACTGCTAGGCACGCCATCTTCGTCTTCCGGCATGATGTCTTCGTCCAGGCCATTCGCTGTGTCTTCCGGACTTAAGCCTGGTGGCAGTGGTGGTATAGAAGACGAGATGACTTGGCTGGTGTAACCAGTCTTGGAAGCCATGGTGGTCTGGTTGATGCTGTACTGGTTGATTGAGGGCGATGAGGGGAATCGTAAGGATTTTGGCCGTGGTATGCTGTCGTAATTGGCAGTTGTGTCTGGCTGTGAGTCCATGATGGCAACGGAGTCGCGGCTACTATGGGGTCGAAGCGCTTCTCTGGGAAGCGGTTGCGAAGCAGGTGCTTGGGGTTGAGATTCGCGTTCGAGCTGGGAGGTTGGAGTTGCAAGTTGAGAAGAGTGGCGTGGAGATTGGCCTGATTGGGTCCTGATGGGGTGAGAGGAGGTTTTCGGAACCTGGACCCTATTTTCCTTGCTACTTTGTTTCACCGCGTCCCGGGAGAACTCGTCAGGTGAATCGTCGTTGTCTTGTTCGTGGGTGGTCATAGCTTGAGCGGGCTTTTCTATCGGTTCGTCGTTGTCGCGACTCTCAGCTGCGGGCCGTGCTGCAGTTTCGACTGGTGAAAAGACACTTCTCTTCCTCCCGCGTCTCTTGCTCGAATCCGGAGAGAAGGGTGCTGGTGCTGAGACATGCATAAACGACATGGCGGCCTTCCGCTCAAGGTCCTCCTTCAGCTTTCTCTTCTGTATCCGGAACTGGGCAGCAGAGGGCACCTCCCAGCTGTCTTCCTTCACTAGTTGTACTGGCTTCTCGCGCGTTGTACGCTTGCGCCTCTCCTGCGACTCCTTCATTGAGACGTATTCTGCACGGGGCTCGCTTGACGATCGGACGGGCGGGTCGCTTCGCGGTGTTTCGTCGCGCATGGCTTTGATGGGGCTCGACAACCCTTCGGCCGGGCTGGAAGGGCGGACATTGGTGAAGTTTGGCGAGGGTCGGGTGAAAGCCACATCCTCACTGGCCTCAGGCAGTGCTGGAGAAGTAGGTGCTTGAGTATTCTGCCACACCTGAGTGAGTGACATAGACGCACCACCGCCACCACCACCAAAGCCTGGGAAGGCGAATGCGGCGGCAGATGCGACTGTGCCGGGCGTAGTAATGTTCGTCCGTACGGCTGAGCTGAGCATCTGTCCCGAGCTGTCCCTCTTCCTCCCCGCAATTGCAGGCGTCTCGAACTTGAGCGGGCTCGTGGGCGCATATTGGCCGGGCGGAAGCACACCTAACACATCGTCATCGTACATGACGGTTGGGCTTGTGATGTTCGGACTCTGCTGGTCTTGACTTGATTCGACGAATTGGAGACCGTCATTTGGACTGTCACCCTCGCCCTCGTCCACATGTTCCACAAAAAGCGACTTTGGAACAGATCCTTTTCGGGCGACTGGTGTTTCTTGCGTTGGATGTACGGCACTCGTGTAATGGTTGTATATCTGACTGTCCGGCTGTGTATCGCCCGGAGCGTCAATGCCGCCGGCAAAGCTGTGGAACATTATGGGTGCGCCGTCCGTCTCTTTCACGAATCCGGTGCTTGTGGGCGCGCTGTGGTGGGTAGGAAGCGCGGGCTTGACATTTCTCGTGGATGCGACGCGTCGTGGGGAAAGCGCGCGATTGAACGGGGCAAGAACGACGGGTGGTTGCAGCTGGTCCGGGAGGCCGCTGAGAGGCTGCAGCGGGACGGCGAAGATCGATGCAGATGCGGGAATGCCCGATTGATGGCTCTCCGTGGACGTGCTGAGGTGAAAGGCCCTGTCGCTGCCTGCGCGCTGCCGGAGCAGCTGTGAAAGTTGAGATGGATCCTACGTGTGGCGTCAATGGTCAGTGACAGTGATCTGCGAGAAGGTGCAGGGGTCTCGGTCGCACTGCGCATCATCGCGTATGCGCGCCCGAGGTAAGGACTCACATCGAAGAAGCGTTCGTCGAGCCCCGTGGAAGCCTGTGATTCTGACATTGCGACTGTCCATCCTGCAGCGGAGAGTGCTCCAGCCAGGAAGTGGTGGTGGTGCACGTCTTGCACGATTCAGCCGAGTCGCGTACGCGCCAATGAACCGACGCAAAACGCGCCCTCACGTGGCAAACGGTGCTTTGGTCCTTCCATGCTAGCTCCATTTCCATGATTCATTGTCTTCACATGTTCGCGAGCGGTCCGCGCTATAGATCGTCGCTAAGGTATCCTTTGACTTTGATGTGCGATGTCCTTGGGGAAGCATTTTGACGCCGCTTGTTAGTTCCAACTTTCATATATCAGGTGCGTCTGGATCCCACTTTCTTATGCTTCAGCACTAGATTGTCTCCATCACTGGATGGCCATCACTGGGCCTTCATGGACTTGCTTGCCAGTGTTCATATATCAAAATAAGCATTCGTTTAACATGTAAATTGTACAGTGTTTGTTCTGCTGCCGCAATGGCTGCCTCTTGCCAAGCATTCCCCGACTTCTGCATCCATTTCATCCATCTCTCTCTTCCCGATTCGCCCGGTTCGTTCATCCCTCTCATTTCGCCATTCTTAATCTTTGACCTGGACCCATTGTGATCTTGGACATTCAATAGCATCCACCCAACCCTCTCTGCTGCATCTAACCAGCAAAGACGTAGTAAAAGGTGCTAATAAACGTCAACGCGATTGCGGTCCACCCCGACTTGATGACCGCCGCATTCTTCATTCCAATGCCAAAATCCCACACCAAATGCCTGATTCCCTGGTATGCGTGGAAGAAGAACGGCAGCGCAAAGAAGCTCTTGACTCCGATCTTGACAGCGGCGGGCCATGCAGCGACGGCGGCGACCATCGACTGCGTCTCGAGATGCCAGCCGGTGTATGGCGCTGCAAGATAGGCGAATCCCCACAGGTAGAAGGATCCGGTGATGATGACAGCGGTGAGACGATAGAGGCCCGAGGAGTACCAGGTGATTTGCGGCCTGTAGATGGACAGATGCGGGGAGACAGGGCGGTTGATACGTTGCTTGACGAGGATTTCATGAGCTTCGGCTTGGGAGGTTGCGAGTCTGTGTGTATTGTTAGTATATGCCCTGGTGCTGGTGGAGGTGCTGTCGATGCGGTCATACCTTCGCTGCACCAAACTGCGTCCCGCGGGCTGGATCTTCATTGCCGGCGCCGCCGCCCGTCGCAATCCCAACTGAAACAATCGCATGCTTGCCATTTTCGCACTTGACTACAACGCTGTCAGCTGGTGTTGGTTCGGTCGTGGTGGAGTATCGCTCGGATTCCATGTCGTCAAATGCCATCTTCGCCCGCAATCCCGAGTGCTGCTGCCAGCCAATCAGCACCCGGCAGTATCCAAGCTTTGCCGCTTAGTCACCCGCCCGCGAACCCGATATTTTCTCGCGATTTTCCGTCCACCCTTTGCTCTTCTTCACGAACCTCGATATCGCCGGCAACGAGCGCAAGCTTTGAGTTGTCGGAATGACAACCTATTTGTCTGCTGGCGTTATGTCAGTGGATTGGGTCCATGAGTGTTTGGAGAGGAGCAAGCCCGTAGTTAATCGCTCGTATAGTCAAAAGCAATGGCTGCGCGAGTTTCATATCAAGGCGACATATCAAATAGTGAGATGACTTTGGATTAGTCTAGATGCACTCAGCTTCAGTCCAGGTTCTGTTGTTGGGAGTGCGAGAGATCAATTAGACCCTCGAGTGATGGACGGGTGCGCCTTCCACGTATACAAAACCGCGTCATGTTGCGCACGTATACGTGCGCAACTGTCATAACTTGCGACATCTCAGAATTGACAATGCCTGAAGATGTTCACGATATCGATAGCAACAGCCGCACGTCTGACGACATGAGAGCGCGCTCGATCAGCTCTGCGCCTTTCGACTGCAAAATTTTCTTCTCTCGTCTTCACCTCACTCGTGCAACAGGACTAAGGCGTACACTGACTCTATGAAACCGTGACCTTGATAAACGCAAATTAAGCAACTTCAGGATGACTGCAACGACGGTTGCAAGCGCCAGCGCGGGGCTGCCACCAAACTCGTACATCTACAAGATCACCTCCACGGCGCCACGGCAAGATCCTCTCACATACTCCAAGCTCGACCAACTCGCGATTATATCATCAGACGATTCATTGCGATTCCTTGATCCATTGACGTTAGCCGTGAATGGCACCATCAAAAATGCCAACGATAAAGTCACATGTCTTGAGCGAGCGAACGATGCGCCAAGCAATGTCATTGCGACTGCGGGAAGAGATGGGATGATCAGATTCTGGGATAAGAGAACTCGCCAGAAAGCACTTGAGATTGAGAGTCGTATGCACATCCGGCTGCGCGTGTAAGCGTTGAAGCTGACAACACAACAGCAAACAAGCTCATCTCGGCCCTGGTGTGCGACACTCAGAAGAACTTCATCGCCGCCGGTATCGAGAACCCCGAAGACGGCGCTGGCGTATCTCCTGTCTACGTCTGGTATGCTACCTCATACTCTAGCAAGAGCATACATTGACAAATCTTAGGGACCAACGCAACCCATCGGCACCTACTCTATCTCTCATTGAATCCCACACAGATACCATCACCTCTCTCCAGCTCCATCCAAGTCACCCAACTCTCCTACTATCTTCCAGTACCGACGGTCTCGTCAACATCTTCGACACCTCACAGGCCGAAGAAGAAGACGCATTGTATCAAGTCATCAACCACGGATCCGCCATCGCGCACGCTGGCTTCATGTACCCCGGCACTGACATTTACGCGCTTGGCACAGACGAGACGACGAGCTTCTACGCTCTCCAAAGCCAGAAAGAGGAAGAAGAAGAGCCCACGCCCAAAGTATTCGGAGACGTTAGAGAAGCACTCGGGTGCGAGTATCTCGTCGATATGCACTGGGTTGGCCCGCACCCCTTTATCGCTGCTGGAAAGCACAGGTACATCAACCCTGGAATTCCATTTACTCTTTCAAGCTTCAGCTAACACAAAATAGCAACAGTCAACTGGCTCTCGTCCCCCTCACAAACTCCTCCCCAGCCCCGCTCGACTACGCCTTCGATCTCGGCAAAAGCATCCAACTCCCCGGTGCTCACGGCGAGGAAATCGTCCGCGACATGTTCACAGACATTCATGTGCGTTCCGAATCTCTCCAACCTCTTCTCCGCCCTCTGCTAATAGATGATAGACGCGAACGACGTACACGTGCGGAGAAGACAGCCACATCCGGGCATGGAAACTGGCTGAAGACGAGAGCATGGATGTCGATGAGGAAGCGGAGCCGAAGAAGAGGAGTAGCGAGAAGAAAGAGAAGCGCAGGGATAGGAAGGAGAAGAAGAAAGACGGCGAGAAAAGGTTCAAGCCGTATTGAAAGGGTCCGATGTGTGTGTGTGTGTGTGTGGAAGACACAGATGGCGAGCCATTTCGACTCGAAAGATTTGGTGTTGTAGAAGGGTGATCTCATGGAAAGCGTGCGGGGGCTTTCCTGGAGAAATCATCAAAGTTCAATCGTAGTATTTCTTTCAAAATTCCTCGTCTTCAAAAGTGTATCAAAACCCGTCGTGTCTTTCCCCTCAAAACATACGCAGTACTCTACATCCCCAAAGTCAAGATATTAAACTACACTCGCATCCTCCATCCTCCGTCCGATACCCGCCGGAACGTACACAATGTTGCCGTATGGTGTCGAATATTACATTGCTCTGCACGTATTCTTGAGCATTATGCGTTGTCGTCAAACTTGCATATCCCGGCACATACACCGCGTCATGAGGCAAATGGTAGTTGGAGTACGCTACCTCGATAGCCAGACCGTTGTTCAAGTTCCATACGTCTCTACTGTAGCCCCATTCTGTGGAAGTCGCCTGCTCAACGACACAAACCACCCGCGGTCGCTTGATCATTTGTTGGCATCATGTTCGGGGCGTACGAGAGGGCATCCCTGTACAACAACAACGACTTCATTGGCTGGGGTGAAGGCTCCGCTGGTTGAGACTGTCCCAGGAGATTTTGTTTCGAGTCGAACATTGACCCGGACGTTTAGATACGGTACGCAGTCGACTAGAGACTTGATTGTTCGGTTCATGCGGTGCTTGGTTTAGTGATTTGGCAAAAAATTAATGGACCTTTGTGCGGGAAGAAAGGCCTGAAAGGATTTTAAATTTGTTAATGAAGTATGGTTATCAAGATGAAAAAAAGAAATGGGTATCAAAACTGCAACGCCGAACCAGGTACGCTAATTCTAGGAACACTTCTCCTTCGCGAGTCCAGCATGTACTTCGACCTTCAGCCCCTCCTTTGCGTAGATATGAATAATCCCCTCTTGCGAGTCGTAATTGAAGGCGCCCAAGCTACGGTTACCACCAGAAGGCTGCAACGGGCTGAGTATCTTGTGTCGCTTCGCGTTGGGCGGACTGATGAGTTCGACAAAGCTGCGTTTCTTTGGTGTCGCTTCTGCTGTGGACATCGGTGTCGGTGAGACAGCAGTGGCTGCGGGGGTGGGTAATGCTAGGGTAGATAGTCGCTCAGAAGTATCTTCACGAACGAGGACGCGGAGCTCACGGGAGGCGCGGACACCTTTGCCTTGTGTGCTGCCATCGGCAGAACATTGAGTCGATGAGACTGTTGTGTATGTATGTTGCTGTGTCTCTTGCACCGTAGCGTCGCTCAGTTCATCGAGTCGCACCCGTGGTGTTAGTGGGTGTTATCGTCATGACAGTCTCCTGTGTCGTACGCGGTGTAGTCTGCTGTGTAGTATTGTCGCTTGTCACAGTCGCTTGAGAATCATCGATCTCCTTACGATACTTCTTGATCAAGACTGCAACGTCTTTAGCATGCCCATCGAGCTTGTCGGCATCGGGCACTTCCCACTTCTCCTCTGCCATGCGTTCCAAGTCCTCGATCGTCGCACAGTCTTCCCATGTGCGGTCGTGGTGGAGCTTCTTCACGCGAGGATGCCGCAGCATCTCAAAAGTCTCATTCTGAAGTTTCTCAAAGCCACCTCCGAGTATCTCTGCGACGAATGGTTTCTTGAAAGCCACAGTCATACGTCGATCGAAGCTTTTGGACTGCTCAACATCAAACGCGTCTGTCACCCCATTTTTGCGCAGATCTGCCTGACGTACGTAACCTTGAATGTTGAGGTATTTGACATCGGGCTTGGGGATGCATTTGTCGACACTCAGCGTTGCAACGATCTTGAAGGATGGCTTTGCCCCGCTCCGTTGGACAGCGGTCCGGTTCGTGCAGCACCCTAGATGGAAGTGCGTCCAGTGCAAGGGCTTGAGACTGCTCTTCGGCGCGACCTTTGCATCAAAACTTGCGCCAACGATCGCGAAGTCGCCCAAGTCCCGCTCTCCGCCCATGTCGCCTAGGTAGTCTCTCTTCATTTTGATGAAGAAACCTGCTTGACGATGGCCTTGCTCTGTAAGCAGCGGGAAGTACGGCGCATGTAAGGGTTTCAAGACCAATCCTTCCTGGCGAGTTGCGATGTTCCGGGCGAAGGCCTGCTTGAGGTCCATTACGCCGTCCCCTGTCTTGAAGTCTACCAGGGTCCACTCCGAGCGCATTGACCGCCCCGGTATTGCTTTCACAAGGTCTCGCAACACCCTGCGTCGATCTTGGAGTCCATGACGTAGAATGGGCTGATCATCTAAAACGAGCACATCGAAGAAGACGATCATGAGGTGCTCCCATTCATGCGGTAGCGAATCCTGCCAAGTGCCGATGAAGGATCCTGAGCGCGAAACGTGCTTGCGGATCTTGGAAAAGGGCAGGATCTTCTTTTCCTTGTCGCTGTAAAGGACCATTTCGCCGATGACGATGCACCGGGACTTGATTAGACAATCAGGGCGACCGATGCGCAAGGCGCTGCGGATAGTGGAGTGCAACGGTTCTCGATCTGCGGTCGCATCCTTGCCATTCTTCGAGAATATTTTAATGTCCTTGGGTGAATTCGTAAGGTCAACGTGGATCTCGCAGTATTCGCCATCGTACTTGACCTCGGCAGCCCATGCACGCTGCCCGACCAGCTGGAAGCAGTGCTTGAATGACCATGCTTTGTGGAACGTCGGGCGTCCCACTTTGACACCGACAACTGCACGGAGCTTCTGAGCGGCTTCGATACGCATGTGTTTCTCCTGTGACGGCGGTGGAATGGCTGGGTAGGCGCTTAGCTCGCCTCGTAACATCTCGAAGACAGCTTCGAAGTCGTTTTGGAACATGAGTAGATCCGGTAAGAGGAAGTGGTACTGTCCAAACACATAACGCTCATCCAGTTCGATGGTACAGTGGTCACACAGAATTAGCCGGACAAGCCATTTCGCCTCCCATGATTCAAGGCGTATGAGAATGTCCTTTAATCCGGTGTCGGTCTTTACATGCCTTTCGCGCTGCTGTCGAATAGCTTCATCTGAGAATCGATACTTGGCCGCGAGCTGAACTAGTAGCCGGTCTATCTGCTCAATTGAAAAGGCGTGCTTTCTTTTGAACGTTCCGTCCCACATTGCCATGGCTCTTTGAGTGTACGCGCCGAGATCCCCCATCTTGCCATTCGTCCAGCCATCAAACATCGCTCTTTGGCCATGGCCGAAACCGAGAAGGGCAATGAGCTTCTTTGCAAGAAGAGGGGCCTGCAGACCGTATACTCGATCTTTGCGACGATGCGGAAAAAGTGCAGACAAGACAGCCCCCCCATTTGTTCTAGGATTGTCAAGGTTGTGGCGTTGATTGGCAAACCAATTTGCAGTTATCGCTCGAATGTTTTCTCTTTCTTGTTTCGGGGGTAGTCGTGGTTGCCGAGTAATAATGTTCTCGACGCTTTGCAGAAGACTGCATATTGCGCCAAAAGTAATGGTCATCAATAAGGATGATTCCGTGTGCAGTGAATATGATGTGTGAGGGATGTCCAAGCAGTTGACCAAAACAATGTTGCGCTGCCAAAGCCTGAGAGATAGGATGTTGCTGGTTGTACTTGACTTGGCCACCGCACGTGCTCTTGTGCCAGGACCGGATATGGGCTGTAAAGTCTCAACTACCGTTCTACCATAATTTCCTGCCCAGAAAGATGAACAGCACTCAAGTCACAGTCTGGAGCTCTCCGTATCTCCAACATTATCGCGTCAAACAGAGCTTTTGATTGGTTCAAGAAGCAGACCAGGTACAAAGAGGCGCGGTGCAAGGACGACAAACAGATCAAAGAATGAATGGAAAGACTGCTTCGTCGTGGCACGGAGCGTGAAAGGTTCGAGCGGGGTCGAGCACGCGCTTTGTTTAATTACGAATCGCGCTAATGCGCGACATCACATGAGCTAATCTAGAATTAGCAATGGATGGCTGACTCGCAGGCAATCATTCGCACTGGATTGTAACACGCTTACCAGTGCCTTTCTGTGATCAAACTTAGCCAGAATGACTCGTCCTGTATCCACTGGAAATCCTACAGACGAAAAATTACTTCTTCGAGAAACCGACATTTCGCTACACGGCGACCGCGGAGGCCGTCTTGCTAGCATCATGACGTTGGGAGTGGGCTGTCCAACCAACAGCCCCACCCAACTGTTTATCAGCCTCGCGCTTTCGAATGACCGAGTAAAAGAGGAATTGTAACAAGGCGGTATATAAGAGCTGTTTGAAGCTCATGGTTCTATAATCACAACAGTCCCAGTACCAGCTGTGTCTTCCAGGTACACCACCCTTCTGAACACGCTCCAATTCATCATTCTCACATCAAGCAGCATGTCTTCTGCAAAAGAGAGTATACAGGACCCTCGCTCAGACGAGTCGAAGAAGAAAGACCTGATCGCCCGAGGCGATTACACCCCGACGCCTGCTGGGAAAATCACGTTCTTCGTTCTCCGCGCCATTGAGCCGTATCTCCAATACTCGATCCTCGCCCATGGCCTCGGCTCGTCCCTTCTCCACCGCGTGGGTCTGCACACGCTGCCCGCGGGGCTTCCTGCGAACACGGGCATTGGCCTGATCGATGGCCTTGGCCTATCACCCTACAGACTGGTGCTCTTCAGCATGGCAGTCGGTGCAGCGGTGAAACAGAACATATGGGTGATGGCGCTCTCGGGCGAGCCCATGCCTGTCGACGGCGCAATTGCTGTCGGCGCATTCAACGCCATCTTCAACACTGTCAGCAGTATCGCATTCTTGGTGCGGGCTACGTCTGCGTCCACCGAGTCTGACTTCCCTCAGCCGTCGCTCATCATTGGAGGCACGCTGTATGTCGTCGGCATCGTCACGGAGCTGGTGGCTGAGATTCAGCGCAAGCGGTTCAAGTCCGATCCGAGCAACAAGGGCAAAGCATACACGGGTGGACTGTGGCAGTTTGCACGACACATCAACTATGGAGGGTACACTTTGTGGAGAGCCGGCTTCGCAATTGCTGGCGGAGGCTACACGCTTGGTGCTCTTGTGGGCGCATTCTTCTTCTGGGACTTTTCGCAACGTGCGGTTCCCATCCTGAATGAGTACTGCGAGAAGCGATATGGCGCAGTGTGGGAGCAGTTCAAGAAGGACACGCCGTATAAGCTCATCCCCTTTGTCTACTAGGACTGCAGACAGCTTCATCGCGTTTGTTACTCAGATGCAATTACAGATCATCTACTTCAACACCCAAAATCATCTCTTGCAACATCACATTCTCTCAAAATCTCCTTGACTGACTCAATTGAAGCACTGCTGTGTGCATAAGCCGTAAGCCACATTGTCATCCCCCCAGCCTCTCCACCACAAACAGGATTCACAGTAATTGCCAGCGCACCTCCACAGCGCTCGCGTCCAGGCCGGATCGACGCAGCTACAGCGGCATGAGCCCTTAGCGCACGCTAACATGAAATTGCCGTAGCCTGGACGGCAGAAGGAGTTTCCATCGCTAGCTCATCACCTGATTAGGAAGTGCGCGATAAGCCAGCTTGGAGTCGTGCGAGGGTTGCACGATGCAGGTGGTTTCCCGAGCTTCCGGGTCTTGGGTCGGTAAGATGGTGGCTGTCGGGACGAAAAGGAAAAGGTGAGGATTGGATTACTGTTATGGGCGTCTGACTTGCAGCCCTAGACTTTGGGGAGCACTCGATGCGGGATTAAGCTTACGAGTACCGTGGTTTCTGCCGCTGCGGACTTCGCTCGACGATGCGGACTCGCCTTCAATACTGGAAATATCGCCGACATCCTCATGCTAATTTGTCTGATTCATGTTAGCCATGGTATGCGGAAACTTTAAGCTTCAGCATGTTCAGTTCAGGCTGTTCGCATCGGGATCTGGTAGGCGTTTGGCCGATTCGGCATGACTTCGGCCACACAGAGCACGCTCATCGAAGAGTTCAAAGGCCGAAGCCATCTAACAACGTGACCATCAGGAACATTGGACAACATTTGGACCTTGGAAACTGCCGACGACGAAGGTGCTGGAAAGCATAAGCGCTCGTATGACACTGGATGACATGAGATGATTCCAACAATCGGACGATTGCGATTTGCAGCAAGATCTTCTCCACGGACATGTCTATTTCGGCATTTTTGTCGTCTTTCTCTGGCTTGCCATGCAAGGCTGTGGTTTATTGAAGACGACATGGGAGTATGTAACTTTCGGGCAATTCAAGGCCGGGTGGAGCACTCCCCGCGCAAAAAGACCGACAAATAACGAGGCGACGATGATCTTCAGCTATCCTTTCGTGTTGTCGCTGAGGTGAGCAAGCAACCCTAAGTCCTCATTCGCACTGCCGTACTGTTACGCATTCGAGGTTCTCGCGACCATGACTCCGAACACGAACGTGTTACAGCAGAAGTTGGCTACAAGTAGCAGCGATCAGCAAACCTGCTGCCAATTTTGGCTGTCCAAGGACCCTGTGGCGGACGATGGTGCTCAAGGATTGCTATGCCACGCTAGATTCTCTAGCGGTGCACAGTTTTAGAATGCATCTCCACACTTGCATGGCAATTCGATAAAATTCGGTGGGCAATGGCACGACAGCGTCGGTTTCGCCGAACAGCTTCAATGACGAGCGAGGAGCTGCTCGGGCGCTGCAATTGTTGAAAGTGGAGGGTGATGAGGCGTGCAGCGGCGGCGTCTGCAGAAGAGTGTACCCCGCCTATCGATCTTCCGCGGCTCAAGCAAGCAACCGTTCAGCCTATGGAGCCGAAAACGTAAACCACAGGCTTGGGAAGGTGACAGGAATCCTCTCCACCATCCGTCAGCACCATGTATCGGAAGATACCGAAGGCGCACGCATACTGGCCCTGGTCTCTTTCCGACATGACAAGCTGGTTGTCGCACAGGAGTGAAACCCATCAATACAGGCTGCTTCACGATGCAGACGTATTCAGGGTGCTGTTCAAACCTGAACGCGCCCCTGTCCTAAGCAGTCGCTTAATGCCCTGCAGGGCATCCTTCCATGTTGTCAAACATGGTGATGCTGCGGGATTTGATGGTGGCCTGAGGCCGTCGCAAGCAGATTGACATGGGAAATTGTGTAATTATTTCAAGATGTGGCGCGATCTGCCCAACGTGGTACTCGAGATACGATGTGTGATAGAGATGGCGTTGGGGTAGCAGGATGCAACGACGGCGATCATTTCTCGCTTTATTCGAGGGTCACTCGGCAGCACGTTGGGCGATGATTCGACAGAGCATGGTACATGGTACCCCGTACTCGCGAGAATTCCGTGAATGGGAGGGCGACCAGGGCTAAGAACCGCGGCGTGTGCCCAGGATGGTAGTCGCACACCGTAAACGGGGCCGTCTCCGCTGGCGGGTGTTTTTGACGACTGAGGTTCCAAGTTTTGCAGCATTAACAGTCGAGGTTATGAACAGGCACGGGAGATCACGATCGGTCGCGCGAAGGCTGCTATGCTATTTCGTCATCGACAAGCCATGGCCAGGTGTGGTGGAGACGTCTTCGGCCTTCGCATTTCTAGCGCAATCGCCTGCAACGGCACGCACGGAGGAGTGGTGCAGCGTAGCTACAAGAGACTGAGTCGTCCCGCTGCGAGCACCTCTGCATCCCTAGTGCATCCTGCAAGTTCCTTTCTGCTGCAGCTCATCCACGGCTACGCTCCTTTGGCTTTATCGTGGAGAAGGGACTGTAATCGCTAAGCTGAGACGGGCTGCACCTGCCGCTTGCGCCCAGCACAGGACGATAGGACCAGACAATCACTGTACCCAGTAAGCCGATATCACCGCACGCTCCGCCCACGTTGCTCTGGTTGGAGGCACCAAGCTCAATCGATGCAAGCCTCAGCTGGAGCTCAAACATTGAAATGGCTCGTGTTCGCCCACTGACGCTTCTTTCTTTAGAGTAAGCTTTCTTCTAGCGCCGTCTGCTGTTGAACGCCGCAAAGAGCGAAGAACGCCTCCAAGCGGCCTTAAGGACATCCGCCCGCACTCTCGTCAATCTGCCTCAAACGACTGCAAATCTCCCCTGCCGCCGCCCGAAGTTTCTTTGAAAAGCCTCATATTATTTGCTTGCTGTCAGCCCGCACATCGCCCCGGGAGTCAGCACCGTCCAGTCCCGCTGTTGCATCAGGCCATCGCCGGCGCCGGAAGCAGAGGAACGTCGACGCTCGCAGCGCAGGGCTGCAGCACGCAAGCAGCGCCAAGCTCACCCGCCTATCACCGCCCTCCACCACTACAAATACACTCTGCACCCCTTCACTGCGGGCAGTAGACGTGTACTGGGTGCATCGCCGTCACTCTACCTCCAATTGTCTCGTCCATCCATTCACCTTGACGTCAGGGCGTGCATCTGTGTTTCACCTACCGAAATCCCCAAGCGAGGGACTGAGCGTCCAGCATGCAGGCCGCTGTGATGGCGCAACCATCGCCCGCTCCGGCATATGGAGCTATCCCTCTCCGCCGCAAGCCCATAGCAAACCCCGGAGTCGCAGTCCGACCTACATCGACGCAGCAAATGTATTCTGACGCGCAAATGGGCCACTCGCGGACGCGAACCACGAGCTCCGGCATCTTCCCAGTCGCCGCCTCGCCCACCACCACCATGCACTCGCAGTATCCCTCACAATACCAGGGCGGTCTCCGCCGCACGCCCACCTCGTCGACCAGCTCCACCAGCGGCACGCCAAACCGCTCCAACAGTGGCCAGCTCCGCCGCTCGTCGTCGGCGCGCTCTGGCAATTCCCCTACCTCATATGTCGCCATGATGCGGAAACAGAAAGCCACCGTCTGGTGCGATAGGGCCCAGTACGAGGACCCCCGTATGCTTGCCGCACAGCGCCAGGCAAAGGCGCGCGCCGTGCAGGAGGTCGCTGGCGGATCACATCATGCCCCCCCGCGAAGTGCTTCCGGAAGCTCTGGCGTGGTCGGTGGAGTGAGGTCAAAGATTGGTCGTCATCACGGCATGCCAAAGGCGTCACTCTATGCCCCGCAGACCTACACTGGTTCCGGAGTGCCCATGCGCCTAAGTGCATCCGAAGTAGACGAGGGCGATGACGAGGACAACAACTCCCAGAACGGCGGAGCACCTTACCATCAACGTACAGGGTCTGGACGCAGCTCCCTTGGCTCCGCGCGTCGCATCTCATACGCAAACCCTGCGGGCCGCAACTCCTCCAACTCGACCCCACCTCAGAACTCGTCACCCGAAGACCTTGGCGATGTCCAAGAAGAACCAACACCAAACCAGCAGTTCGATTCCTCAGACGCATACTTTGGGCACACAAAAACAAACCTCAGCACCGGCAGTGGCAGCAGCGGCGAGCGCAACTTTGGCGAAATTGGCCAGATGCCAATGTCGTTACCAAAGCCAGAGAAGAAGGGCACAGACGATCTGGTGCGGAGGGGCAGCGTGGACGAGCGGACCACGACCATGACCAACACGCGTCTTTTCATCGCGAACCCTGATCTTAGCGACTAAGGCCACCCCAAGGATTTTAATTCTACGATACCCAGCAACGAAGATTTTACACGAGAAGAAGGACTTGGATTGATTGCGGATACACCACACGCTTGTCTGATAGGATTCGACAGCGCACACACCAGCACATGCACTATTTCTCATCTAGCGAGTCTCGTATTAAACAGACTTCCACTTTTTCTCTTTCCATCTCGGCGCAACGCTGGCAGCATAACTGTACTTGTCGTTTTCGGCCTCCTTAATTGCAGAGCGTTGATGCGCCTGTTGGATACTTGTACATAGCATACTCGATGGTCGTTCGGAGCAACCAGGAAGCGAAGAATCATACAAACATTCATATCAGCTGGCGTCTGTGCTGTGACCCTGAATATGCGATAACGGCACGGCAGCGCAATTTACCCGCTGCTAAGGTGCATTTTTCGGGACGTGAGCATTCTTTGCACCGAAATTGGATGTTGCCGTCGATCATCCGGGGGTTTTGTGGGCTTGTGTCTGCCAAGGGTTCCGATTATGGGAAGAGACGTGATACGGACGAAAATGAATTCAGGAACGGTACTAGTGCTGATATGTCTTGGGTGAGGTGACAGGAGATTTGTGGTTGTTAGAAAACATGATTTAGGGTGAAGTTTAGGTGCTGACGAATGATGTCAATTTTGCAGGTCAGATCTCAAAAGTTTATGTACAACTCGATCCTGCATCACATCGCATTGTGATAGCAAAGCTCATCTTGCAGACTGATAACTTTATACCTGATGTTTTGTGACGATGATTGGCCAACTGTGGTCAAGATGTCCGAGATGCTACAAAAGTCTGCTGATCTCGCGCCAACCATAACTCACGCGTTCCGCCAAGATCGCCGACAGGGACCACACCGCATCCTCCAAATACTCCACGGCCCCGCCAACGTCTGCAGAGATGCTTTAGTTGAATGTGACTCTTGTCTGAGGCAATTCAAATACGAGTAGACACGATGGCCAAAGCCGATAGCAAAGCAAATGGCGCAAATGGCAAACAGATCCCAATGCAGAGCAACAAGGCTGCAGACGAGAAGACGGACTACAGCAGGTGGAGGTTGAAGGACGATCGAGGGTGTCAGACATGGCATTATCTCAAGACTGATGAAGAAGTGAAGGCCTGGCCACAGAGCAGGGCAGACAAGTACTTCCTGGGCCTGGAAACGGTACGTCTTCCACGGAATCGCAAAGCCATTGCAGCATCTACATCCATGTACACATACTAACACAAACATACAGGGCCTACCCACCCTCCCACCCGCCAAAACCCCCCTCGAAGCCGCCTCAAATGGCCTCGCATTCTTCTCCGAACTCCAGCTCGAACCCGGCAACTGGGCCTGCGAATACGGCGGGCCCATGTTTCTCCTCCCCGGCCTCGTCATCACCTGGTACGTCACCGAGACACCCATACCAGACGACCACGCGACGGAAATCAAGCGCTACCTGTTCAATCGCCAGCACCCCGAAGATGGCGGCTGGGGTCTGCATATCGAGGGTGAGAGCACCGTCTTCGGCACGGCGATGAATTACACTGTTATGCGTATTCTCGGCGTCGATGCTGAGGATCCAAGGATGCAGAAGGCGCGCGCGACGTTGTGGAAACTCGGCGGTGCGCTCAAGGGCCCCCATTGGGCCAAGTTCTGGCTCAGCGTGCTGGGCGTGCTGGACTGGGATGTTGTGAATCCCGTGCCGCCTGAGCTGTGGTTGTTGCCAGACTGGGTACCGATTGCGCCGTGGCGGTGGTGGATTCACATGCGCATGGTGTTCTTGCCCATGTCGTTTATCTACTCCAAGCGGTGGACGTTTCCGCTGACTGATTTGACAAGGGAGTTGAGGAAGGAGTTGTTGACGCAGCCGTTTGAGACGATTGAAATGAGCGCGCATCGCAATGACATTGCACACACGGATAATTATCATCCCAAGACGTGGTATCTCAGGCTCTTGTTTTGGTTCGTGGTGGCTATCTGGTCGCCGTATTTGCGCTGGAAGGGCCTGGTTAAGAGGGCTGAAGAGCATGTTTGGTGGCTTATTCAGGCTGAGGATAAGAATACCGACTATTCGAATCTGGGGCCGGTTAATGGACCCATGAATACGCTTTGCTGCTACATCGTGGGCGGCAAGGAATATGAGCCGTTCCAAGAACATCTCAAGACCTTACCTGAGTTCCTGTGGATGAAGGATGAGGGCATGCTCATGAACGGTACCAACGGTGTACAGTCCTGGGACACGTCGTTTGTCATCCAGGCCGCCGAGTCATGCGGATTCGTAGACGACAAGAGATGGAAGCCCATGCTCACCAAAGCGCTCGAATTTCTCGAAGACCAACAGATTCTCGAGGAAGTCCCCGACCAACACAAGTGCTACCGCCAACAACGCAAAGGAGCCTGGGGCTTTAGTACACGCAAGCAAGGCTACACCGTCAGCGACTGCACATCCGAAGGCATCAAGTCTGCCCTCATCCTCCAAAACGCCCACAAATACCCCGCCCTCATTCCCGAGCGCCGCCTCAAAGACGCCATCGACGTGTGTCTCACGATGCAAAACGCCTCGGGCGGCTGCGCTTCCTACGAACCCACCCGCGGCTCCATCCTGCTCGAACACCTGAACGCCGCCGAAGTCTTCGGCAACATCATGATCGAATACGACTACCCAGAATGCACCACTGCCGTCGTAACCGCACTCCACATGTTCCAGAAATACTACCCCTCCTACCGCGCCGACGAAATCGCGGCGTTCAAGGACCGCGCGGTCGCGTACATCCGCCACGCCCAGCGCCCCGATGGCTCGTGGTACGGCTCCTGGGGCATTTGCTTCACGTACGCGGCCATGTTCGCGCTAGAATCGCTCGCGTGCGTTGGCGAGACGTATGCAAATTCCGAGCGGGTGCGGCGCGCGTGCGAGTACTTTGTTGACAAGCAGATGGACGACGGCGGGTGGGGCGAGACGTACAAGAGCTGCGAGAGCGGCGTGTGGAGTCAGCATCCGCAGAGTCAAGTCGTACAGACGGCGTGGGTGGTTATTGCTATGATTGAGGGCGGGTATGGTGATGAGCCGGGGCAGAAGGAGGTGCTTAGGCGTGCGGTCAGGTTGATTGTACAGAGGCAGCAGGCGAATGGAGAGTGGTTGCAGGAGGCGATTGAGGGAGTTTTCAACAAGAGCTGGTAAGTATGCTGTGTATGTGTGTCGAGATGATGACTGACGATATGACAGTATGATTTCGTACCCGAACTACAAGTTCATCTTCCCAATTAAGGCGCTGGGTATGTATGCGAAGCGCTTTGGGAATGAGGAAGTAATTTAAGGTGTGAGATGGGAATGGTAATGTATAATGGTACCGGCTATGGAGAAGCAACGACTAGGAGTGTTGTATATTCGGTAAATTTACAAGAAAACTCGAGGTGTCGCCCTTGAGAAAGCCGAAAATATGACCTCACTCAGGCCTTTCACGCTTTTGCCCTACAAAGCCCTAACTACCAATTGATTTACTCTTGTTTTTTCAACCACGCCAGCTCAATTTACTCAACCAGTCCAATCTACCCAAGCCAACAAAGATACTCCGAGTCTCAACCGTCAAGACCAGAATGACTAGTAGGCAATCGCGCAAGCAAAAACAATCTCGCAAACACACATTGACAAACTGTAGAGCAAGACAAGTCCGACAAGGGCAAAGGAGCTGCTCTCCGCCCAGAAGCAGATGAACGCATAGCTACTCCAAGCACTTCTTCCTCAACTCCGCTCGCTCCGACCCAAGAAGACGTGATCATGGACCCTCAGGGAACTCGCGAGACTGAGCAGAGGGAAACGGCACTCACAGGAGAGCGCCCCAACGACCGCCCCAAGAACGACTGCAACCAAGAGCCAGCCAGCTACAACGTCTTCCCAGCACAGTCTTCCAGCTCCCGCACCGCCGCCCGTAAGTCCCCTCCCCACCCCTATCTTCCACCCACCAACACACCCAGCACCGCCCACGACCTTCAACCCCTCAGCCCCCAACCCCTTCCAATCCCGCACCGCAGCCGAAACCTACGGCTTCATGTCCGCCGCGGAATCCCGGGCACTCACCAACACCAACACCACCGCCTCCTCCCCTCCCCCCCGCCAACCAATCTTCCGTCCCCTCGCACCCAACGAATTCCTCTTCGATCCCGCGCTCTCCCCGCGCCGTCGCGCGGCTATCGTCGGCGGCTGGGTCGCGTCGGACGGCAGCGAGGCGCCGGAGCCCGAGGTGGTTAACCAGGAGATGGAGCCTGGGGTGGGGTGGAAGAAGACGCATCGGGGCAAGAGGGGCGGGAAGAAGAATCGTAGGGGGAGGGGTGGGGGCGTGTATCGGGGGGAGGGTTGGGAAGAGCGTGGTGGAGGTGGGTGGGGGCGGGGTTGGGGAGGAGGGGGAGTACTATGAGGAGGAGGTTTGAGCCGGGGTGTGATTCGAAGGGGGGTCAGGTCGTACCAGCGCAAGGAGGAGCCTGGTGACGATGCGGACATGGGCGCGGCGGATTGGGTTTTGTGAGATGGATAGTGATTGGAAGGAGATGGAGGGCGCACTGATGGCGTTGACGGGATTGAGACGGATATACAAATGAACTCGGCTGGGTATACTTGACTGCTACAGCTCTGGAAGTGAGGTATAAATTGTCTTCCATACTCCGGCTTGCTTGCTACATTGACTTTACTCGTGCGCGTGAACGAGGTGTTGAGAGGGCGTGAAGTCTCCATGAGACTGAAAAGCGTGGTAGTTGTTATTACGTCATATGAGTATCTACTCAGAGCTGTGTCATGTGGTTCATCATGTGCTTGTCGAGCTGGACTTTGGATAGTTGGAAGAGAAGATCGGGGCATGTTTGTGGATTCATGACGTGACATGAGTGAAGTAACATGACTCCTGCAGCATCCTAGTGGCCTCGAAAATGACTAGTGTCCTCAGCCGAGATCGCTCCCCTCATTGAAACTTGCCCATCTACATTCACCACGCGATTTTTGCAGCCTATTTATCTTCCGTCTCAAAATGTCATCGATATCATGGCATCTCTTGCCACAAAGCCTGGTCGAACTCCAGCTCGGTCAAATCGACCTGCTATTAGCGATGTACCCGGACGAGATTCAAATTGAGACTACTTCGCAAAAGACTGTCGACATCTTAAGAAACATAGAAGATGGAGTTCCTACTCATCCGTCTACAGTAGCGCCTTCAGTTGCGATGCTGCTGCAGGTCGTTATCCCAGATGCAGACCAAAACACGCTAGATCTTGACCTTACTTTCCCATTCTTTTACACAGGCGAGGAATTACCAGAAGATCCGCCCAAAGTCAAAGTGCGAATACGGCAGCCTTCATGGCTGAGCAAGGCAGCTACAGCCGATTTAATGACGGACTTGCCCGAGGACGAAGACCTGCTGGGCACCATCGAGCACATCAAGGAGGCCGCCGCGCGACAGCTCGCGCAAACTTTGCTCGTCACTACCACCTCGGCTTCACAGCATGTATCTAGTACAGGCCCGCTTGTGCGCGTATGGTTTTACTTTCCCTCCATCTCTACCCGCTCGAAGCGCGACGACTTCATTATCCATGCGCCATCATATCAGCTCACTGGGTTTCTTTACGCCGGAAAGCCCGGGCTCCTCTGTGTGGAAGGCGCCTCTCAAAGTATCGACGACTACATGAAGTTCATCAAGACAGAGAGTTGGGGCGATATTCCAGCGCACCATAAGAAAGTCAGCGAGCGGTATCGCGAGACAAAGGATGTGAAAAGAGCGTTTGAAGACATGACGGAAATCACAGATATGGTCGGTGAGAGGAGAGGACAAAGGGCGAATAGAGGCGATATGAAAGCTATGGAAGAGTGGCTTATTGAGAGAGGGTTGGGGGAAGCTTTCGCAAAGGTGCTGATGTGAAAATGCCGAATCAACGTCCTTCTACGCTACTACGCCTCTCATGAGCACCAGTCTAGTCGATACGAAACAGCAGGCTTGGGTAATCACCAGGACTCTTCCCCTCATACTCCGCCCAGAAGACCGTGACATCCTTGATCGTTTCATGTCCCAGCTCTCGTTTCCTCTGAATCAACAGCCACGCCACACCAACTCCGTTCGGCGTCCCCAGGATCGCTTTGCCTTCTTCGCTGTCAATATCGAAAGTTTCGCCAGGATAGGATGTGAAAGTGCCATGACCGCGATTAGCCATCACCCTCTGGACTACGGCAGTCGTTGTTGGATTCATAACCCTGAGGCGGAAGACGTATCTGATCGAATCCGGCTCGGAAGCGGTCTGGTCACAGGCTTCGAGCCACTGCATATATGCAACGTCCGACCAGTGATGTAGAGACGGAATAGTCAACTCAGGGCAACTACGAGCAATTGCACTGGCAGAAGTATTGACATTCGCAATCAAAACGCCCTGATCCGGGTTACAGATTTGTTGGAAACTCGCCGCGTCGTTCAAATACTCGATACCATGTTCGTGCCGGTGCACAATGACTACGTTCGTGCCTCCATCGCAAATCAACTCTGTGTTTACGCCGATCCCCTCGAGAGCGGCTTTCAGTGACTGGAGTGCTTTTCTATCGAGGACGGACGGCCATGAGACATCTGTGTAGCCATAGTTAGCTAGGGCTTGCCTCGAAGTGAATTCGCTCTGGGCGGTGGGGCGTGCTGGGTTCATCAGCTGTCCGGCATCGTGGTCGTTTGATTCCAGCATTCGCAAAAGCCTGGCGCCTTTCGCAATGCTTTCGTTATATGCAGTATCTGTTATTGGCCCTGGAGTGTCCAGGGGCAAGATGATTGGGTCAGACATAGAAAGCCTTTGGTACTGAAGACAAGTACTTAGTACAGGATGAGCTTGTCGGTGCTTTACACGTCAAAAGAGACTGCGTAGCCAACAAGCAGACATTATATGTCCTGTTCCAAGTTTGCTGTAGCGCAACGAGACTGGTCATATTCTCGGACGAGATGATTCTGCAGCAAGCGGAAAGATGTCAGTTGGACTCTTGAGCCTGGCTACCTGATAGTTCATAATCCTGACGACAGTTTGCAACCGGTCAAAAAGGGGCGTTTGTACAAATCCGCGACTTATGTATCCATTAAACTTTGCAGAGTAACGCGACAGACGACCTAAACCGGGGTATAAAGCGACGATGTTTTCCCCGCCTTCCAACACCAAAGCCTTCACTCGTTGTCCGCAACCCGATTTTTCGCTTTACACTTCAAGTATCATGCCATCAAATCCCAAACTCCGATCGAAACATTAACACTGTCCAAAAGATCTGAGAGCTTTCAAGAGCCCATCAGATCGCCATAATCGACTCTCCACCGTCTTTCGTGATGCGCTTCCGGATGTTCAATTTGAGTAGTTGACCCGGCAGTTTGATCAAGGTACCATCCTCCTCTTTACCCATCACCGCATTCGGAGCATACACAAGAGCTTCACCCGTCTCTAGGCTCTCGATTTGACGTAGAATCTCCTCGTCATTCTCCATCGCGTTGATATGCTTTTTGAGGGCAGAGTACCATGCAGGGCTGGTGAAACGATGGATAACTGTGACTGAGCAAAGCGCAATTAGATCGGTCGACAAAGTTGGCTCTTGTGTGGAGATAATGACGCGTACGCCCTTATGGCGCTGCAAACGTATGAGTGTGGCGAGGTGACCCGTCAGCATCTTTGAACCGGGTGTATTCAACATGTACTAAGGTTTCATTAGCTCGCGGTATTTTTAGTAAGAACATCAATGACATGCTTTGTGGGCCTCATCAAGTACGACCATCTTGCCCAAGGCTCGAGACTGGGTGAAGCGCTCCAAACCAAGCTTGAACAGTATGCAGGCCGTGTTGGGCGTGATGAAGGGATCGGAAAGGTCCATGATCGTGATTTCGCCGGGACGGAACGTTGGTTCTGGCGTGTTCTCGTCCTTGTCCAGAAACGATTCGAGCAGGCCCAGGCGCATATCGAGCATGTTGGTCTGCTTGGGATCGAAGTTTTCCATTGCAATCTTCTGCTTGAATAGAGAGTAGTCGAAGACTCCATCCTCGTTCTCTGTCGCGATAGCACGCAGAATGCTTTCCACTTTAGCCATGTAAAGAGGCACATCTGATTTCTCGTTCATGCCCATGAGTGTCAGCAAGGTCGCTATGTCGAGCGATTTGGCCCTGAGCTTGAATTCTAGGACCTTGATGCCAGGTATCGCTCGGTAGAATTTCTTGATTGCTGGGTTGGACGGTGACACTAGAACAGTGATTTTCTTCACTTTTTGACTCGCGGTGTCTTGGTTAGCCGATCCCAAGAAGGCAGCTTCGCTTAAAGTGAAGCCAGAGCCACCGCTGCTAAACTCGCTGTAGCTGAAGACCAGAGCTGCGACAGGAGCTTGAAGGCGACCAAGCTGCTGAGAAGGAATCAGAGCATTCTCGAGCATACATGCCGTCGTATGACTCTTGCCGCTCCCTTGCACGCCGCAAATGAACGTGGAGAATGGCACATTCGTGTTGTGGAACAGCTTAATGACTTCACCTTCCGTGCCCTTGCTGCCAAGAAAGCCGTACTGTGGCACGAGGTCTTTGCCATATTTAACAATAACACTGGCCGATACGAGAGGTGCATGGCCAATGTCCCTTTTAATCGCTTCAGGAAGGATGGTATCGGTTGAGGTTGTGCCTCTCCGTGTGATCAATTGATCAATGAGGCCGAAATTCGGCTCCTGGTACTCTTCACTGGGCGCACAGTACGATTGCTCGGACTGTGAGTTTTCCGAGGTGATATCTTCTGAGGCACTATCCTCAATACTAACGCTCGATCTCTGCATTTTTGATTAGTTGATAGTTATGCTTTTAACAATGGAGACATGCCTGGTCCGAGTCCGACGAATCCCGCTTGTCCGTTAAGAACTTATGCTTATTGACAGAGTCGTCGCAGTCTCTAGCAGCTTTCTTAGAGACCGGTGTCTCTGTGAGGCGAATACCTCCTTCTTGCTGCTTAGCAGCCCGTCGCTTAGGCTCTTTGTTTGCTTCTACAAGACTGAATTTATGTCCGGGAAGTCGCATACTGTCCACTGTTAATGTATGTCCGTGTGTAAAGCGGATGTGCTTGCTCTTTTAGGGTCGCCCTTATCTCAAGACTACGCGCGGGCTTAGCTTTGACCAAGGCAGCTGAAAAGGCCGCCCAACCGATGAAGCCGGCCCCCTTGAAACCTGTCTCTGGATACAGAGAACTAATCCAGACCTGCAATGATTCATCTGTAGTGGTAGTGTGTGCATGTGATGGACCATCGTTTGCGCCACCCGGTGGGACAGACAGCGGCTTGGCTAGTGCCGGTACTGCTGCGCGCTGTAGATTGGCCTTTCTGATTTCCTGTAGTCTTATCAAGTTGATAAATGTTTGGCCGGGGTGGAGAATGTGATACATACCGAAGAATCAATTTGTCCCGTTTTGCGTCGTTCTTCAAATCAGGTCGCACCCGCACCAATTGCTCCGAAAGTGCTGCGACATCTGTGAACTTTCCATGCTTGTTGGTCGGAAACGCCTGACAAATGTGCTAGCTTTACTTAGTGATGAGTTTCATCGAGGGAATACAGATGGCTTACCTCGCAGATTCCTATATCAAGTCTCCAAACAGTTAGACGTGTCACATGCAGATCGCGTATGCTAGCTTACCGCTGTACGCAATCTGTAATTGCGGCGGCAATGTCTGGCCGCAGCTTGATCAGTCTCGAGAGAAATCTTTCAAGATTCACCGCTCCACCTAGTCGACCATACTTGTCGCAGTGCTTTTCAGTGTACTGTGCTCTGACCCATTCGTCGACGTCTAACTTCATTCCGGCGGTGATTGAATTTGAAGCGGTCCAAGGCTGCCGAAATATGGAGTAATACTGGAGGAGCTTAGCTATGGGGCGGGTGGTTCAGGTATACTTTGGTAGGCCGCAATGCGTTGCTAAACTAGCGATTTGCGGCCCCACTTGTTTTGCTTGACGCAACCCGCACCTCTCAGCATGAGCATACGAAATCAGAGCTTACCTAATAAGTTCTATTATGTTCTTCTACGAACGATGTGTGATGAAGTTGCCGCTTTTCCAAGCTGTTCGTCGGTGGGCAAGAATGATTCTGGGGATCGCTATCTAGGCATATGAGCGAGACCAAACATCGTACTCGATGCGTAACAAACAACCTTACAGTCAAACCATTCCAGCCAAAGTTCATAACATTATCATTTTGCTCCTAGCATCGTGTAAGCTTATCAGCACCGGAATGCTCACACTAGGTTTCCCATGGCGAGACTCGGGTGGCACAAAGGAATGAATGGAGCACCAACACAACTGTCTAGCGACGGCCACAGGAATTTGAGAAGTAAATTTGTGCATCTATCCTGGAAGTATACAATATTCTATCATGTGGATCTTATTTGTATTCATCATCTCTTCTTTGCTCATACTGCACTAACTGTTCATGTTACGACAAGAGTTCATCCCAACCGCGTGAAATAGCTGCAAGCACTGCGAACACACGCAGATGAATTCACTCGATATATAAGTTCCACGAGGGCAGGACTGAGACTTGAAAATGGCTCCAATACTATTATTCAGTTATGCATGATCCAGCGACCGCGAGCTCTGCTGTGTTTAACAAGACAGCCAACTGAGTCACGCCACAGAAGCTATAGAGAAAAGCCTTCGTAGGGGTCGAACGTCAGTCGAGAGCCTTCGCCGACACCATGCCGTGCTACCTCTCCGCGTGATCGAGCGCACCATTGCGGCACTGGAAAGATCTGCCTGGAGAACCTCCATAACCCAGTCCTCAATGAAAGAATGGAACATGCACTCATGTATGCTCCTGGAAGACTTGTACGAGAGCTTAAAGCACTCAGCATAGTGAGACTACTCCGCCGCAGTGGTTGCCGTGGCGCTTGTAATAAGTCTGTGTCCGACTGACGCGTTGGAAACAGAGGATTGGCCAGAGAGCTCTGTCGATGGTGCATGCTTTGAGTGTTTGACGCCGTGGCTTGAACTGTCGTGTCTAGCTTTAGGCGATACTGAGCCCATGGGAGGTGATGGGATGGGAGCTGGTCCCTAATGAGCTGGCGCAGTATTACCATGCGGCGGGGGCTGGGAGACGGGCGGCTGACTGGCTCCGGATCCGGTACCCGAAGTCAAAGGTCTGAAGCATATGTCCGTGGGGGCCTGGTTCGATGTCGATGAATTTGGTGTTTGAACGGGAGGAGGTGGCCGTATCCATCTCAGCCCCTCACCAGCCGCGCGAAAGGGAATATGTCCTAAGGAAATCTTGTCAGCTCATAGTTCCTGGTGTTGCAGATACTCTTACCTAGCAACATGCATGTCTGCACGTAAAGTGCTTTGTTACCCTCATCCAAACCATCGTCATATCCGCATACGAACAAGAAGCTATAAATATCAATGTGGTGATACTAGAAGAGCTTTTTTCATGGCATAAGCATATATGATACGGTATGTCTAAGTAATATATCTTAAATAACTTTGCTATCTACTTATTTCAGCATTCTAATCCGAAAATGCAAAAGAATCATGTATCTTAATAATACACAAATCAATTCTATCATTATTGTATTGTAATAAGGCGAGCACCTCTGGCTGTGTCTACGTGGATGAGATGCGCACCAAATTAATCAAGAAACCCACTCCGGCTACCAACCAGACATCCCTTTTCAACCACCAACGGCTCGAATGCAGGCACCTCTTTGCAGACGAATGCATGGATGTCGTACTATGGCAGGCCCCATACGTCATCCCGTGTCGATAACTGCTGCCACGTCAGGAAGATATTGCCAACCTCCAACGCCATGTCCTTGACCATCGGCCACAATGGCCCTGGGATCGGCTCGAAACAGAGACCTTCTGGTCCTTCGACCCAGTGCGCAGATGCAGTGCCGTATTCCGCGCAATGTAGCCTGGAGGCCACATTGCCAAGGTAATGGCCTTCTTTGAGGTCAACTGCGGAGACCAGACGCTGTTTGCCGGCTATGGTGACCACCGTGAGGGAGTACGAGCGCAAGCGTTGCATATCCCCCCTGTATCCATAAACGTTCCAATCGAAACTGCTCCGAATGCCACGTCCGACAAGTCCCACTCCAGAATTTGATTCTGTAAAAGGCTTCGTCGGTGCATCGACAAACTGGGATTCGAGTAAGGGTTTCGCTTTTATGTCTGAACATTCAGTCCCAGAGAACGTCCATGAGCGCTTTTCCATGGCTGTGTATCGCACACCAGCTTTCGCGTCGCGGTCCAAGTACAGCTTCTTGATACGTGCGTGCCAGTCCCGTGGCCTGGGCTCTGTTTTTGATATATCCTGTGTCTGCCAGATATGTTGACAGAGCGGCCCAATCACAGCGTACCAGTTCTTCAGAGCGTCGTCGGTGGGAGCTCCGAACTTCCCGGTCAGAGGCTGTGTCCATTTGTCGCGTGGACCAGGGCGAGAGCAAATGAACGCAAAATACTCCTCCGGTACCTCACCCACGCGTCTTAGCCCACATCGGTATTTCGAAATTGCCGATCTGTGTCTTCCTGTGTCTGACCCGAGCGCTGTCATGAGCTCTAGGTAGACCTTACTTTCCGCGGTGCTTCGAGGTACACCCTTCTGGACCCGTCGCTCGATCTCGTCGCTAGTCGAGAATTTCTGCTGATACTCAATGGCTCGCTACTCCATTTGCGAAGATGGCGTCTTCGTAATGGCTTGTTTGACTCGGCTGAGGTACTCGGCCCAGGCATCGGTGCAGTCGCCCCCTTGATCGCACTGAGTCAGCGTCACTGGCTTTTTCCAATCAAAATTTTGAAGTAAGGCATGGATGTCTATGCGCCTTGCCGTTCGAAAAGCATTAAGCACGGTCTCCTCAGCTGCTGGGGCGAGCGCCTGTCCGAGGCCAAGCTGATTCGCGAACGGGCTCGTTATTCTGTTTCTCGATACCGGTGTTCTCATCCGCTCTAGCATGGGGGCTATAACGCGTGTCGCTAGTCCGTTCCATCGCCGATGGATCTCTTGCACATTCACTGCGCCAGTAGAAACCACACGAGATTGCTTTGGCTGTGTCGCTGCTGATTTGCTGGACATGAGAGACATCTTGCGCTTTAGCGTATTTCCTTTGGTAATGGTTGCCGTGGTGCTTGTAGTAAGGCAGCGTCCGACTGAAGTGCTCTCTTTTGTGGACTGTCCGTCCTTCGCTGTTGACGCATTTGGTGGGTCCTCGACAATGTCGCTTGAAGTGTCTACCGTTTCGAGCAACATTGAGCTTGCTGGGGGTGCATGGGCGTAAGGAATCACCGCAGAATCGTGCGACGAGGGGGTATGGGGGGTCTCTGGTGGCGTTAGGTCATCGTTTGGTGTAAAGTCGAGAATCGTCTGACTTTCTAGTGTCGACGATATGCCATCAGATTTTGGGTTTTCTGGTGGAGTCGCATGATCGTCGAATGTATAGTCTGGAGACAATGGAGTCGGAGGGTCGTGAGGAGGATTTGTGTCTTCATTGGACGTAAGATCGCGTGCCGATGTTAGAGGCGTGTCGGGATGGGGTGACGATGGATTGCCATCAGATGCAGAACCCGCACGTGATGAAGCCGAGAAGATGGGAGGTGGCTGTGTCGCTGTGTGCTGCGCAACAGCGCTGCGAACTAGGCTCCAAGCTATGGTTTTCTTGTCAGTTCATGCTTTCTTGGAACCACAGATTGCCTTACCTTGTGTAAGACATGCTTCCACCAATCTTGCTCTGGCGTCTTCGTCAAAGGCATCACACATCCCAGTCGAGGCCACGAAAGACGTCCATGAGTTCAAGACGGATGTTTTCGGGGTCCTCTTCATCGTGTTCCGCCATATCTAGACTGAGTTTTGGAGGAAGGGGAGAAGGAAAAGGATAAAGAAGGAGCGAAAAGAGGGTGTTGAAGAGTGCTCGCCGTCCTCGCTCTTATACACTCTCTCTGTGCCCCACAATTCTTGCAACTAGTACGTCGCAGCCCACGTTCCTATCACCTCAACGCGGTGCCGCGGCTATGAGAAGTACATTCTGATGGTATTAGAGCTTCAAAGCCAGTATGTCACCCAGAAACGTGATCCGGATGAAATCAGCGGTGACTTCCACATTGGAAAGACGGGCTACACCATCAAGGTGAGAGAGAGGGTATTGTGGAGGGTGAGAGTGCGGCTAGCGCAAGCATAAATCAACGGCCGACGCCCATCTTGGACTGTAGACTCTACACTCCACTCCATTGCGATTCATGACACCCACACCATAATCGCCGACATCAGCGCAGCCATGTTCGATCTCGACAAAGGTATGCCCGTGCAAGATGACGGCCCATCATCCTCTGAATCTCCAGCTAACGAAACGGCAGAAGCTGGCATGTACGAGCCCGGTGGTGACGGCGACAATGTCATCGACAGCGACAATGACGTTGAGATGGGCAATCAAGACGACCAAGACTGCGAATCAGACGACGAGGGCCTATTCCGAGAGGATCAAGTCTCCCGCAAAACCCTCGTCGCAGTGTACGATTTGGCATATGAGCTAGACGCAGCCATCACAGCCGCAGCCGACACACCCGCAGCCGACAATGCACCACCTTCCGCTTCGATGTTGACAGAATCTGCTGGCGAGAGGTGTCTGATGGCTTCGAAATTGGTGTTGCGCGAGATTGATGAATCTTGGGTGGGCGAGTCTATGTAAACGTAAGTTGCGGAGCAGCATGCCGATGGGATTCACGAACCTTCAGAGTCATCCTTCTCCATCCGAAGCTGGGAGACCAAGTCGGCAAAGCGCGGGTTCTTGGTTTGCGCATCGCCGATCAGGTTCAGCAAGTAGCCAACCTTGCGGTCGTCGGCTGTGTCGCCCAGAAGAAAGGTATCTCCTCGGTTGACGTTCTTGGATAGGAACTCGCGCAAGACCTCGGCCACGTACTTTCCGTCTCCGGACGGGTACTGCTCTAGCGCAGTCGCATAGTTCTCTATGTCGGCTTTCAGGTAGGGCTGATCGTTCGGCATGGCCTGGTAGGAAGGGAATTCGAAGTCCGTCGAGGGTAGACCCAGGGCCAGTTCCGCGTTTGCGCCTGGGTGAGATTGCTGCGGGCTCTCCATGGCTGCCCAGGTGAAGTTGACGCTGATGCGGAGTGGATGAGAGCGGCCAGGTCGTGTGTAAATTTGTGCTGATCCGGAGCTTCGCCACTGTGTATATCACGTGCTAGCTACGCTAAATACCTAGGCAGGTGCACATGTGGGTTCTTAAGCTCTACACCGAATTGCGCCAGCAGATTACCTCGGGTTACAGTTTATGGATCTGTTACAGCACAAAAGCATCACCAGTGTGCAGGCTGGGCATACGGAGCTCAATCCTAACAACAATGTGTACAACGAGGAGAGAGAAGGGCATCGATTGGAGCCAAAGGGGACAAAGCCAGTATGGCTGTCGATTGGCAGCACGGGTGGCTTGATCGCACGTGATTGCCGTGGGCGGTTCGTCGCCACTAGCACGATCACATGGATGCCAGGTGCGTCTACGGATGTTCTGCGACCACTTCTTGAAAATCGTTATGAGACCTGTCAGGTGAGCAGCTACCTCCTTCGGTCACATGAGACAACCACTGACTCTCGAAGAACCTATGCGCGCTCGTTGCACAGCAAATATTGTCAGAAACGGAACTTCACTGGATGGCGACGAACCTCGCAACAGTCGAGACTGCTCTCGAGAAAGCGCGGTCTCTCATGCCAACAGAAAACGATATGAAGTCGGGCGACCCAGCCGATCACTCTGCGCAGAAAGTGTCGGCTCGTATCAGGGAAGAAGAGGCACGCAAGGCGGCCGGTCTCCCAATCGTTCTAGGTTTGAAGCAGCTCGCCAAAGCTCAGGATCGCAACAAAGTCAATCATGTGACCGTCGCATTCGCGGCGGCCTATCTCTTGCACTACATGCCCCGAGTGGACAAAACCCGGTACATCCAACAGGCCGACATAGCCAAGCTCATAGTGAAAATGATTGGAAAATACAGTCGTCATGGAAAAGATGATGGCTGTGTGAAACTTCTGGCGTATGACACAGCCGGAGGTTGGCTTCGCGAATACATCGCGAAAAAGGATAAGCGCTCGGGCTCTGACAGTCAGAAAAAGAAGCAACGAACGCGAAAAGGCAACTCTATCATTCATGTTTCACGGGACGAGTTGAAGGGACTTAGAGACATGAGTGCGATCGCAAGTGCCAACATGGGAATTTGTTGCACGACGTACGAACAATTGGACACAGCCGGCCTATCCTGGTCACCGTTCCAACGAGGCCACCACATCCTTGGTTACGTCTGCGCTGGGCACCCATTGTTCAACAAGTACTACCAAGTCGCCATGAATGAGTTGTGTGGCAATGGACCGATGCCACTAACACCGCGAGGATCCCTCGCACCATCCATCCCGCAAGCAGCCCTGGAGGATCCGGCTCTGAACGAAAGGATTGGTTCGCTACGGAAGACGGTCCGGCGGATCTGCTCGGCAGATATGTCAAGCGACCCCAAGGACATGACCAGTCATATCAGTCATGCAAGCCAGCAGACGCGAGTACTTCGCTATCACAGCGCGATCTTCTTTGTCGCGCTAACCGAATTTTCGAAGCAGACGAGTGAATGCTTAGACCTCGGCGACGACGAAGACACTACCCGAAACATCATCATGCAAAACCTTGATGATATCACCAGGTTCTTGGACAAAGTCGAGAAGAAGGGCTGGCTCGACACCACCACAGCAAACTCGGCCTATAGCGAAGCATACCTACGGTCGAGACACCACATTCTTGCCGAGCACATCCAAGCCTACACTCGTAACGACCCGAGCAGACAGCCCGACCTTGTAGTCGATGAAAAAGACGGAGGGCCACTGTCTCCTGGTGGTGCAGACAAAGTGCTACCATAGCTGATGATGCTACGGTGGAGAAGTGTATGACACAGCCCTATTATCGAATCCAATACACGGATGGGCATCATCTACTTACCTGACATAGCCTCATGAGTATCTTAGACGAAACTCATGCAAAAAAAAAACATGCTTGATGCGTTCAATGCGATGTTCTAGAATTTCTGATATTGTGCTTCACCCTTACAAAGCGCTAGCGTGATACCGGTTTTGCCTTGTGCCCTCCGACGAACGCCATAACACCACCCTCACTTTTCTCCGAGATCCTATCAAAATGTCGAGTCCTAGCGAGGTCACGCTACGCCAAGACAACGAGCTCCTAAAAGCCCAGCTCAAGAAGGCCTAGAAAGACAAGAGTGACAATTTAGACGCGCTGAACAACAAAACACGCGCCTATAAGCTACATAAAGAGGCCCTGCAGCACATTGCCACGAGCGCGCGTTACGCGCATGACCGCGTCATCATAGGAGAGCAGAACACCATATTCGAAGATCACATGATCAAGGCCCTCGCAGGAGAGCGAGCGGCCAGGGACGAACTCGCAGCATATGTCGCCGTATCTGGTGAGCGCAAAAGGCTTACTGTCAAGCTGGAGAGCGCAATCAGCAGTGATGAGCCGACCGTATCTGGTTTCTTGTCATCAGCACAGTTGATGGCGACATTGAATGACCTCACCCTTACGCAACTCCACTAAGACTACCCTGAGGCCGGACAGTTCCTGGTAACTCAAGCAGCCCATGCTACTATGGTGTCATCTCACTGTCCGTGCAAGAAGCGACCGCGAGAGTTGTTCGAAAATTCGCAGCGCTTCATGGACGGCAACCAGGCGCACTACGCCCTTTATGAAACACATGCGTTTCATCCCAAAGTCACCGCCCGTTCGGTAGTCGAGCAGCTCATCAAGAGCCAAGTGTAAGCATCCCCTGTCAGCATACAATATACATGCTAACTCTTTCAAGCGCGACCTCCGTTCGCTCGCGCTTGAGCCTCGCACTCACGATGCCCAGCGATGAGCTCTACGTGGGAGGACTGGGCGAGTTCAAGCAGCTCGGAAACGGACTCTTTAATAACATCTACCCTTTCTACGACATGGCCGGCGCCGCCAAGTGGTGTCAGAAATTGGATGAGAAGGATCCTCCTGCCCCGCTCTTCTATCTGCGCCCGAGCGCATACCTCGACACCGTCGAGCCTCACGAGGACGCCAAGGTACGCCCCGCCCGCGACATGTCTTCAAAATATGACGTGAAGGAGGAGTACAAAGAGGAGGTGTCGTACGAGGTCTTGGCATGGCGTCTGCGAAAATAATACTTCCTTCGTTACACTTCCACCGTACAAGCTCAGCAGTGGATGCGTCTGCTAGGTACTTCTGACAGCTACAGCCTCAGACCATTTACCTACAACAAACAACAGACTCGCTGCATAGTAGCGAAGCTCAGGCATCTTGACTGTGACGCAAAACCGCAATCTGTGCTCCTTCACTGTTAGTAGTGACATTCGATGAAAGGCCAATATAGTGACATTCGATGAAAGGCCAATACATGGATGTATTCTCCAGGAGTAGTTGTGTACGGATTATCAATTGATGGAAACGCGGACAGAAATAGGAATAGATGTTATTCGAGGTCGCTATTTTGTTGGCATAGGGGTACTGAGTCAGACGTTATATACCCAAAGTGAATTGAACAGTCTGCAGCTGTTCGCCAGTAGTTGTCTCGGTGACATCAGCTGCTTCAAACATATGCTTTGATAGCTGGAGGCTTTGAAAATGCTCGCTCAGGTGTGCTGTGGCCCCGGACTTGCCAACTTGAGGACGGGGTGCCCACGTGGGCGCCTGCTGCTTCGGTCGATTGGCACTAGTGGCGAGGACTCACACACCATCACCACCACCTGCATCTCATTGCTACCACCTGGGCACACGTCCGCCCGGTACCAGGTCACTCCAAATACCATGACAGACCCGTCGCGCTATCCACTGCGATCCGGCCAGGATGGAATACCCGGGTCCGGTTCAGGTACCCAACCTGTTTTCTGCTCATGCCAACCTTCACCGCTAATGCGCAACAGGCTGGAAGCGGGCTCAACTGTGGGTCGACCTGCCCTCGAATCTGACGGCTAGCAGCAGCAGTGTCTATCAAAGAGGCAGTAAGTTTGAAGGGCCAGCACGGTGAGACTGAGACTAATCCAGAATAGTAGGAAGTGACTACCATCACAGCCCTACCAGACTACCGAGCCCGCACAATGACCTCTCAAGAGACATTCAAGCTTCGCAGGCGAAATTGGAAGATTGACAAAGTTCTGCACCAGCACAACCACCCATTGAACATATTTTGGGCCTGTTTGCCGGGCAGTTTCAAACCGATCTGAGAGAGGCACTGACGCCGATTCCGCTCGAAACTGCCGGGAAAAGCGCAACACAGATGGCGGACGCAGTCATGGCCTTTCATAAACGACAGGAAACGCCCTCAGGACTCAAACGTACGTTCTCTGGCACATATCCCGATGCTACTGGTCCCTGGTGATGCACATACCCCAGAGTCACGAAGATGTGCACCAAGAGACACAGCCCGAAGCCAAGAAGAAGCGTGGTCGACCGAAGAAGCGCACCGAGGAAGAGTCTGACATTGAAATCATTCTGTTGGTCGGTAGCAGAAGTGATGGTACACCGGACTACCGCGCGATAGAGGATGCACCAGCTGAGCTTCAGTCCTTCATCCTCGAGTCTTTCAAGGCCGCCTACTGCGACACAAGAGATCATAAGAACTCATATATGAACATTGTGGCGATGGAGAACCGAGATGAATCTGCAGCATCGCCGAGATGTATCAATATGTGAATGAATGCCCGGCAGAGGAAGCTGGACCCTACTTTGGCGCATGCTTGCCCGTACTGCAATTCAACGAGCAGGTTGTGCGCACGCGTCTTGTATGACGGAAACAGCCTCAAACTGTGCATCTTCCCCATGGTTGATCCTGGTGAGGCGACGTGGAAAGACCCGGGGTTTTGGCTGGAGGATGCCGAAGCCTACAGCCTTGAACCTGAGCCCAGCAAACTCGCAGGCATTGAGTTCGCAAAGGGTCAACCAGACACAGCCTTGGAAGGATTCGGCCTGCAGCCGGCAGGAACCCCTACCGGCCAGGAAGCTCATGAAGCTTTGAAGCAGAGCAACGAGGACAATCGTACATTAAGAGATGCTTTGGTGGAAGTAGTAGATAATAGCAAAGCTAAAAATGCTATCCAGGAAGCAGAGATAAGGCGACTTCAGGAGGCTCTAAATGCGTCAAACTCTCGGCTACAAGCGCTCCGCAATGCTCTAAATGCGCTAAACGAGCAGTATAGTACATAGCTCGTCCAGGCATGAGCGAGAATAGTTTTCCAGTTTCGAAAATATTTCCTGTTAATGAATTTGTCGTCTATTGTTATGTTCTCTCCAGATCTAAGTCTCGCAACTCACGCCGCAGTTCCTGCTATTCGCAGCTAACTGTTGGGATCTACGCTTCTGTTTCGGCTATACCTGTGTCTTGTATACGCATCTGTGCCTATCCTCAAGCGCAGTGATCCAGCTCCATGCAAATCGCAGTATCATCATATCAACGACACATGTAGACTTCCTAAGAGCGACAAACGTCAACCACACATTATGACTATCTGTTACTCCACTTTAATAGACAAAATTTGGGTTAGAGCTGAATCTTTCCCGGTAGGGTCAGGATTGCTGCGCCTGAGGTTCACGAAATTGCCATCATTTAAGTCACTTTCATCCGTCGTCTGAAGGTTTTGGTCTTATCGCCCTTCGCAGATTTGAATGAGTACCGAAATGAGCGAATTCTCACCGACATCTTCAGGTAGGTACGCTTGGGAAGCACGTGCACAAACGGCCCTAGGTAACCCCACCACACTGTCAGGTGTGCAAGCACTCCCACGAACACTCAAACTCAACACCGACACCAAATCGTGCTCTCAATATAGACGTCCATGGCGCAGCGCGACAGAAACTCAGGAAACAGCATGGAGGATGCAGATAAACTCATATCGCCAGAAAAGAACGCTCCCGCGAGCGCAGAAGGTATGCTCCATCGAGGTGCACGCTAGGGTTACATCGCTAGCGTGGAGCACCAGAAGAGCAAGACTAACAGCGCGCAGTATACCGGCAAATGCGACAGCGATTTCGAAGACTTTCGGAGATTCCAAAGCCACAGGATAAGTCACAGGACAAGTCACAGATCCTGACAAAGGTGACCATTCAAGAGCTCTGCAGCCTGGTAACACTTCAAGCTATACGAGCCACTCTCGAAGACAAGACCGATGAAGACATCATGGAGGAGCTCCAACGAGCGCAGCTCTGGCTGGATGATGTTCTTGCAAGCCATGCTAAGCTTCTAAAGCGAGAGCACTATATGCGCATGTTCCGCTTGGCGATCGAGAAAGAGCTGGCAGGTACCAAGGAGCAGTGGACGCAGATGGAGAAGGTGTACATGGCACTGACAGATCCCAACGCACCAGATGTGGCTCAGAGACTCCGTTCGACAATCGTCCTAGTTCTCGAGCAAAACTTCGCAGACCGACTGGCCCACGTCAGCAAGCTCGCCACAGAGCGAACCGAAAGCGTACAACGCGCCAGGACACTTGATCAGGATGCCAACGACATACGCTCCAGAATCGTTGATCGAACACGAGAAATCCGAATTGACCACTTCGCATGCGCAGTACCGCTTCCAAGTCTGCAGCTGCGCGCTGACATCGTGGACGACAACGAAGGATGCTGTCCCATCTGCCAGAATTCGTACACGAACCTCTCCACAAACACAGTCTCGGATCTACTGGCCGACTACCCCGTGCGCATCAAATACTGTGGCCACGTCATTGGCAAGGCATGCCTAGAGCAGTGGATGAGCACGCCAAAGATAGACGAGGCCAAGTACCCACATCGGACGTGCCCGCTGTGCAGGGTCAAGATCGAGGGTGTACAGGCTCCACACTACCCAAAGGGCCTGAGAACTCACCTTAGGACTGACAGGATTGCGAACGAGTCTTTGAGGGAGTTTCTATACGGCTGGGACATCGAGATCGATGAATGCATGGACACCATTGCGGCTAGCATGAGCGAGGAGATTGCGTGTGAGGAGCTATTGATTGTCATCAAGAAAATGGCAGGCAAGACCAGATGGGGCTACGAAGAAGATGAGAAGATGTTGAAGAACAAGATGCAGAAGGTGAAGGAGGAAAGGTGGGTCTGGGGCTTTCGAGGTGATCGGATTTGGAGACAGATGAGGGATGAATGGATGAACAGCGGAACAGTGAGGAAGGGCTGATTCCATGGGCACTTGACAGATGGAGGTGGGCACATTTATGATACCCAGTAGTTCGATCTCAGTATGGGACTACATTGAATGCAAGCTACTACCGAATGCATCACGTGCTTGACACATACTTCAAGGCGGCCGATCGCCCGCGGAGGCCCAGACCGCAACAGACGTCTGCCGCGCTTTCAAGGCACGAAACATGGTTGGACAGGTCTCGGCACAGTTCCAGTCTGCTGTTCCTGGCCGTCATGCCTCATATATTTTGCGCTATGACGTCGTCATAGTGATATCGCGTCTGCCACTTATCGCTGGGCAACCCTTGGCAGTGACGAACGACTAAATACAAACAATCAAAAACAACTATGCTCGCGTGTCTCTCAAAAGCAACCTCTTTTCCTCAGCGATCAGCAACCCAGGAAACAAGCAAAATGGGTGTTAACATTGTCGATGTTGGCGTCTCAACGGTCCGTTCCCCGCACTTCCTTGGTCCCGTGCAGCCGTGGGGGAAGCCGAATTCCGAACCCTGGCGCTAACATTTGCTACTTCAGACCCTTGGAGATCGCGATCAGCAACAAGATCGATACATTGCGTTCGAGCCACGAAGCCTGAAGTCGCGGAAAGAGCTTGCGCTATTTGCGATTTTCGACGGACAGTACGTTTTTGGTTTAATTGCGTGACTGCAATAACACTGACATGTTCACAGTGGCGGCACTGAAGCTGTCGCACACATTCACAAGAATCTCGTCAAGCACCTGGAGGACCACTTCTCCTCAACAGAGAAGACGCCAGGCGCAGAGTCTTACAAGCAAGCGATCCAACGGTCGTTAAAAGCAGTGGATCGAGACATCAGCCGCGATGATCTCGATGGCGGCGCAACAGTTGCTCTCGTGCTCATCGACACGAAGCAGAATCTGCTCGTAGAAGCCGATCTTGGAGACTCCCACATCGTGTTTGGCGACCATTCCGACCACCGGGGCAGCCTTGATGGCGCAAAGAGCATGGACGATTGGGACGTGAAGGTACTCAGCAAGGAGCATGCACCCGATGCACCGGAAGAGAAGAAGCGCATCGAAGAGGCAGGTGGCGAGGTCAACTACAGCACGGGTACTGCACGAGTGGGCGCTGTCAGTATGGCTCGCGCTCTTGGCGACCACGAGTACAAAAAGCCACGAGTGAACCGCCTGGCCGGACACGATCTCTCGGATCTGGATGGTGTTGAGACAGGTGTCGCACCCGGCGCGACGGTTACGCATGATCTTGTATCCAACAAAGCGCATTTCAGCACACGACAACTCGATGGTCAGAGCCTTATCATGCTCGCATCCGACGGCGTTGGCGATGCAGGCGAGGCGTGCGACGATGCACGTGAGGCCGTGAGGATGTGGAGTGAAGGTATGAACCTGAAAGACATTGCGGAGTCGATTACGGAGAGTGCTGGCAAAATGAAGAATGCCGATAACTGTACCGTTTTGCTAGTTGTGCTCGACACAGAGGGCAATGGATCAAGGAGAGATTCTGGATCCAGCGTTCACAGGAATTCGAGTAGTGGCAGTTCACGGAGGGGGAGGAGAAGGAGCAGCATCAGCGCTTTCAAAGACAACATCAAGGAACTGCTGAAGTGAGGAGTCGGACAGGATGGGAAAACCCCAGAATGAATCTATGAATGACACGGGTCGAGATACGAAAGCAGATTCGGCGCACGATACCAGCGCGCCCTTCGCGCAGCGCGCAGGGACGCTGGGCGAACCAAAAGCAACCACGATCGAAGTCGCCCAACAAGGACGACGAGGTACGAAGAAAAATTATCAATAACTTTTATACTACTGTATATCTATTTACACTTTATACACACTTCGCCTCCTTATGGCATATTCGCGTTCGGCGCCTTGCCACCCAGCTTGAAATGCCCCGGATGCAGTTTTTGGAAGACCTGCTGCGGATCATACTTCTTGCTGATCCGCCTCAGTCTATCCACATTCTTCGCACCATAGCTGCTAATCGGATCCATGAACTGACTTGCATAGTTCATGTAAATGTACTCATTGTCCAGGCCCTTGCTTTGCGCCTCCGCCTTCACCGTCTTGATAATCGTGCTGAAGAACTTCAATATAGCAGCGTCATCGGCGGCGTTCGTCCACCTCGACGACATATTCATGACGAAATATGGTCCCTTGGAGGGATTCAGGCCTAGTGCGTTACCGCCGTTCTTTTGCATGCCGGCGAGTTGGCCTTCGGTTATCGCTTGGATCGATATCGTGGGGAAAGCACCGGCGAAACCTGCCACTTCGGGGAGAAGCGTGTAGAAAGTGTTTATGAGGAAAGTGAACAAGTCGCGGTCGAGCTTCAGCGTTACATCCCATTGTGTTTGGCGCTGGCCGTCTGCGGCGCCTTCATTCATCTTCACGGTCATGTCGGCAAGCGATCCCAGCCCAGTATTGTCTGCGATCGGCTTCAGGACGGAGAAATCGGAGAACACAGAGGCATTGGCGACGGGTTTGGCGTAATGTGTTTGTACGATTGCAATCTTCCCGACGCCAGCGATGTTACCAAACGACACGATTTCTGCAGCGTCCGTGTCCTTCGCTGACCCCGTTTTGGCGAATTTGTAGATTGCATCGAGGACGGCGGCGAAGTCGTTTTCGGTGTAAATGCGCTGGCCGCCCCACATTTGGCCCAAGGGGAAGGCATGAAGTTTGAAGTTAGTAACGATACCGAAGTTACTGCCACCACCTCGCAGCGCCCAGTACAAGTCTGAGTAAGATTTGGGCGTGGCGTTGACGACGAGGCCGGAGGCTGTGACGACCTCGTAGCTTTCTACGTTGTCGCAGGCCCAGCCACGGAGGTTGGAGAAGAAGCTGATGCCACCGCCGAGGACGAGGCCTGGTACGCCAACAGGTGCCATCTATGTTATGTCATTAAAGAGAACTGGTACCGTGCAAAGGCACAAGACTTACGCGACCTCCAACAACACCAAGATCGAACTTTTGGAGAGTGGTGTATACATCGACCCAGCGATTCCCGGGTCCAATGTCAGCAGTCTTCCTGTCGGCAGAGACTTCGACTTTCTTGAAGTTCTCCATCGAGACGGTAATACCGCCATCGATGTTTGAAGCGCCGCTGAAAGCTGCATGGCCACCACCTTTCACGGCGAAAGGACATTGCGTCAAACGCGACAGGAGAACGAGAGAGGACACTTCGATGGTTGATGTCGGCTTAAAGATGCAGCGCGGGTTGACTGCAGCTTGCATCGCCGACCAGTATGCGCCCGTGAAGGCATCGTAGGGCGATGAGCCCTCGACGAGGAGCTTGTTGTCACCGTATATGATCTCCAAAGAGTTGCACTACATATTGCAATCAGCATTTGGCAGTCACGAATTTGACGTAAAAAGTTGTACTGACAGCAATCGAGCATCCACTAAACGTCGACCTCTCTACAAGCGGCGCAAGCTCAGGCAAAGCCGAAATATTAACACCATTCGCAAGCAGTGCCTCCGTGACGTTGAAATCCGGAGCTTCAAACTCGTCCATTTGCGCACGAACCCCTGCGGCCAAGGCTATCGCCGGAACAATTGTAAAAGGCCTCATCGCGCACAATAAACCAACAAGTACAGAATGACAAGAGACTAGGAACGCGATCCCTCACTTCATTATAACACGGAGGTTGCAGGACCCTTTTAATATCAGTATGCAAGGAAATGGTACTCCGCGGGAGACCATTGGTGGGTGAAGGTGCAGGATGCAGGCGAGGCGCCTGGGCGCGGCTCAGGGACCATGGTATTGGAGCGGGATATGAAGCCTGGTAATGTACATATCGGCATGCATCTAGTGGCGAGAAATCGTTTGCTTCATCAAAGCATGTAAGTCCTACGATACTGACGTCCTAATGTCTTATTCGCGAGTGATCACGATCACGCGAATTCGACAAAGGTATCAGAGCTTCTTTGGTGTTCTTCTCGTCTTCTCGATTGTATCTTTGTCAAGATCAATCCGCAAGTGTTGAAGTTGGTGGAACAATTGATGAACAGTGGAGCACGTGTGCCGCTAGCGTCACGCTAACGCAGCATAACGCGGCATTCTAACTGCTTTCCCGACCCCGGCCGCGAAGGATGCGTCGTTCCTCATGCACATCGAACTATACGGAATACGATACCAAGGTGCTAGACGCGGGCCGCTCAGAATCCGAGCCCGATTGACCCCAAGGCCTTTCCCAAAGATGGTATCGGGCAAAACGTGACAACGCCGTCTTGAAGTCAGTCATGTCTTCTACTTCGAGAAGATTGTCATGCATCTGCTCAACATATTCTCATTACAGCCACGAGGATGGGCAGCTCATTTTTGGAACAACTTGTTCTCCTGCACTTCAATTTTGAGACAAGCCCGACACTGCGGTACCGACGGAAGCGCGATACGCCACCCGGCCTTTCTCCATGCACTGTGCCGCATTGTTTCTGCCGTCTGACTGTCACTTTCCTTTCTCGTGGTCTTGTCGTTGCGGAGTCGTTCGTTTATCCTTTCCATAGCCATGGATTGAGATGAGAAAGCATGTTGATCGAGTGGAGCGAATCCCAGTTGGTGTAGCAGCAAGAGACGTAACCATCTGTAGGCAGCATGGCTCAGCTCGGATTGTCTTCCACGGGGCCAAGCTTCCTTTGGGAACATTAGTTTGGGCCTTCCTCTGTCTGGAAGGTCTGTTCTTCCAAATCTGCGGGACAAGCAATTACCATGTTGCACTCCTTGCATAGAGCTAAAATTTTGGCTGTTCAACGTCCCCATCGAGAAGGTGGCGTTTCCAACATTGAGAAGCATATCGGGCACAACTCCTACGGACTTGGGTGCGTTTTGCGGTGCCTGATGTTTAGGAAATGTGTCTCTCGCTGAATGCAGCGTTGGTGGTTGCAATGTTGATTGACCGTTCGCTTTCAGCAATACTCTGATCATTCGCGTCACGATGTCGTCGCATCAGCCTCTTCCAAAGACACCCATCAGCCGTGCAGAGCTAGTTCGAACCAATTGTTCTATGCTTGCTCTTACATCAATTTTCGTTCTTGCTCGTGCTGCTGTTCAAATTTCGAAACGCAGGGCCTTCGAGCTTCCCGACTTCTTCATTTATCTTTCTTACATACTCTACGTCGCACTATGGTAAGTGACTACATCTATATACAGTACAACCAGTTTTCTAACGCAATGTGTTCGATTTATAGGAGCTGTTATATCATTGTCGTACCGCCAATGTTCCACCTTTATGCCGTCATCGGCCGCGAGATACCCCCGTATAAGACCATGATGGAAGACGCAGCTCTCATGTTGAGGCTACTCACCGCTGGGCAGATGTGTTTTTATACACTTCTTCTCTCGGTAAAGCTGTCATTATTGACGCTCTATCACAAGCTACTTGTTGGTACTCCTGTCATATACAAAAGGGTGTGGTGGGCAACGGTCGGATTCTGTATACTTGTAAGACACTCCCGCGATCTCCTTCGGTCTCTCAGCTCACCGTGTCGTAGGCTTGGGTAGGGAGTGTTTTTAGCAGCATCTTCACGTGCGATAATCTGAAGGAAAAGTTCGAGAAAGGTAAATGCGGTGGAACGGGCAATGAGAATCAGAGGATCATCTTCAGCCTGTACTTTGCGTATGCTGTTGATGTCGCCGCTGATCTTGCAAGTACGACATCCCAGACCCGTGTTCTATAGCTGCGTGACTGACATAAGATAGTCATGTTCTTGCCAATCCGCTTAACCTGGAGCCTGCAGATGCCGAAAGCCCAGAAAGCTGGCATCTTCGTCCTGTTTGGCAGTGGCTTTCTCTGCATTGCATCCGCGACGCTGCGAGTCGTGCAGTTGGGTACCGATGGACGCGGCAAGACGACAACACCAGAACCGAAATGGATGCTCTTATGGACGGTACTCGAATGTTCGATAGGTATGTATCAGTCCCATTGATGCGAATCATTCTGCTGCAGTTCCCAACTGACATGCGTTTTAGCAATCATAATCGGCTGCTGCCCCGCATTTGCCGTGTTCATTCGCAAGCGTCTCAATAGCTCGAAGAAGCCCTCCTACGACGCTCACGGGTACCTCAAGCAGCCGACGAGCGATAACATACAGTTGAAGAGTATTGTCCGGGCGAAGCCGAGACAAAAGAACGAAACAGTCGACCCCTATTGGGACGACCGAGGTAGCAGTCAAGAGGAATTGGCGAAGAGTGCAGGTCGCATCGTGGTGAGGACAACAGTGTATCAGAATAACGAGGATAGAGCAAGGCCTTTGTGAGCCTACCAGTCACTGCGTCGGAAGCTAGGTACGTGCTCTGTACTTTTGCACCATAATGGATGGTGCGTGGCACATGCTTAAGCAAATTGAACAGTGTATAGCAAAGCTTCATGTCTCTCTGGTCTCCTGATGGAACATCACACTAATTGACCGTCACATTGCTTGTATTGCACCTCGAGCGCCCATGAACAACGGCAACATGTAGCCGACAGGTGTCTGGCTCGCAAACAAGATACGACAGGGAACCAGGGTCCACACACAAAGCTTTCCGCGTCAACCAATCGCGCTGTCCCCGAGGTTGATCTCCCAATGCCCATGACTTTTCCTCCTTCAGGCCACCAAGGACACTGGCACTATTGGGGCGGAGCATGTTGGCGCTTTACTATATTTGGCTAAGTGGACTTGGAAAGTAGGAGTGCCAAGATCATTCTCCGCCTAGCCCCCATTATCTTCATGCCCTCGTCCTTACATCTCGTCGAAGTCACAATGCGATTATTTCCTATTGGTGTTCTGCCGAACAGATCAGCATCACGAGGCTGAGCGGCCAATGAAACACTGCGCTCCTATCATTACGGCCTACAATCGACGTCACAGGGTCGGTGAGCCGATCTAAAGAAAGATGAGTGCCAACTATCGAAGGCTCAAGATGGTGGTTCAATCGCTACATGCGTCGAATCGTGGCGTTCCCGCGGTGGAAATGAAGCAGGCCACCAGCCTTGCTATCAAACATTTGTGCTAGAAGGAGTCGTTCAAAACGATACGGACCTTGTACTGCTAGTCATTCTACAACAAGCATGAGCCACAATCGGTATGTACGCCTAACATCAGAAGGTCCTTCACTCTTAAACCCTTCATTGCCCAACTTCACTTGGGTCTGGTCATTTAAACACAACATCAATCCCAATCGCACACCTCGGTTTCGACCTTTTACTCTTTCAGATCCCGATATCGTCGAACCAAAACATCTCGCGCAAAATGTACGGTCCCACTACTTGGACTTTTGTAGCGCAACTGCTCATCTCTGGCAGCCACGCGCAGAACAGCTCTGCGGCTACATGCGATGACGTCAAATCCTTTGCTCGCCCCTGGAATTCTTCGACAACGCGAGAAATTCAGGCTCTGAAAGTCCAACTCGGTCAGGGCGAAGCCTACACTCTCTCGAACGATTCTGCGAAGAAATGGGAGCTCTCACTTCGCGTCCAGCCACAACTCTGGGCCAACGGCACTCCCACGCCGGAAGACCCTGGATACCTGCAGACTCTTTTCCTAGACACCAAAGACTCCAACATGACCAACATTGGCTCCTGTCATCAGACTATACAAGTGTCTGCCGGTCTTCAAGGATACCTCTTGCCAAAATCTACCCTTGAGCGCAGCGTCGGCGACAACAAAGACTGTAGTGAGATGCTTACGAACAAATGCGTGCAAGCCTTGAAGAGTCGAGCACTCGATGAGGCCCTCAATTTTGGTATGAGATACGGAAAATGTTTAGGGATGAACAACACTTTACCAGAAGAGTGCTCTGGAATGCCCTCCACGTTCGACAGGAGTCGAGGTAAGTTTCAGATTCACATCATATTTAGACATGTGCTAATGCGACGGCAGAAATGAACCTCACCTTTTTGGACTCAGCGGAGAGTGGTAGGGGTATTCCCAACTCACGCTTCAGTCCAGACACCGAGTGCAGCTCTGTCAATGCCTCGAGCACGCACATTTTGACTGGGACTGACCGCAGCTTGTACTACGACCAAGCTGTCCGTATGCCGCTCATCGATGTTGTGACATTCTGGCCAAACCGATCCAGCGGGCCACGGCCCGGTTACAGCTCAGACGATGTGCGTTTTGAGGTCTTCTGCTTGCGACCCGACGACGATATCGAAGATGGAAGCGCTGTACCTATGGGCGCAGCTGATCTTTTGAGAGAGAAGGATGCAAAATTCCCCATAGGCAGTGGTGCTGTCGCGTTGAAACAAGGAGTGTTGGGCTGGATGGGTGTGGCTGTAATGGGCATCATGCTTGTATTGTAAACTGCAAAAAGCTACTAAAACTTTCGAATATTCCACATAATTGCAAAAACTTCATATTATTAATGAATTCCAATCCATATGTCAACTCCTCTTCTAGGCACGCCCTGCGTACATCCACGAAACTCAATCCTGACCCCACGCGCTAGTCGCTCCATGATCCCGTCTATGCGGCGCTTTCTGCTCATGACCGACCCCGCGGCGACCACTGACCCATCTTGAGGAAGTTTTTGTCATTGTCGTCGCCAAACATAATATAGTGCTCGTCCCCACCATCATGTTGGCGGAAAATACCGCGGCAGTCATTTATCAAGCCAAAATGCGCGCAGGCCGACCAAAGCATGTCTTTTCCATCGTTTGAGCACTCTAGCAATACACGCTTCGTCTTCATGGTAAAGAGCAGATGGTGCAGGTGTTTCTTCGTTGCCCAAGTCTGCAGCAACGTGCCAGCAATGATACGCGTGCATTTGTCCACAACTGACTGATGGAGAGAGATGGTCTGCGACCCCGTGGTACTTGGGGGTGTCTGATATAGCATTGCGGAGATGAGACGCTGGTACACATAATTCTCTCGTAGCCAGTGATCTGTGCAATCGATTTCTCCGAGGTCGATATGCAGGATGTCGAGCGGCAATTGCGTGAGGATGAAAGGGTTTGTCGCACTGCGGGCGCTCAGCTGCTGTATGGGTATACGAACTTGTATGTGTCGAAGATGTTGTTGTAAAGGGCCGAGACGTCGCAATCTGGACTCAAACTCCAGACCTGAAGTATGACTAAGATGAAAACAAGTCATCTTCAAAGCCTTTACAACCGCCTCGCCGTGTACTTGACGACATGTGGCGAGGATGGTTAGATTACTCTTTCCGGTAGCTGGCTGTGCTAAGAAGACAAAGTCGTAAATGTTGAGACGGATTTCGGTAGGTAGAGCCATGAAGGGCAAATCTTGTTGCCAGCCCATCGTCTCCACGCGGAATGTATTCCTCGTGTAGAACGGTTTGAACGTGCGCTTTCCACCATACTTATCGACTTGAAAAGCAAGTTTGTGTAAGGCTTGCATGGTCATGCTTTTCAGTGTTGCTATGTGCTTATCGGAGTAGATAGTATTGTGGTTGAGGCAGGAAACAGTGTTTGAAGTTGAATAATTGTGCATGGTATGCTGTAGAGAAGAGAATGATTTTGTCGAGCGACGATGGTCCACTAGTGTTAGTGAAAAGGTTTGATTAGTACAACCGCGATTGCGAGGGTTCGGGCGCTAGTGGAGCCCGGTCATAGTGAATGTTTGGAAGCGAGTATCGGGAATGGTCCACCTCCGGACGAGGAAAATCCGGCTCTTTGTTCACAATTTTGCAACTGGGAGAACGGTCTTCGAAACAGTCACTCAAGCGCTCACAACACCCTTATCCTCAAAAACTTTCACCGCTTTTCAAGATCCTTAATACTATTGACGATGGGGGCGATGGTCTCCCAGACGAAACATCAAATTCTTGTTGACGCCAAGACTCATGAATCCAGAGGGTTCCTCGATCTCCCACCAGAACTGCGTCTCAAGGTCTATCGGCACATCAGTCCGACTCATTCCGGCTTTGACTATGACGACTGGCGAGGCTTGTACTCATCGTGCCGTTTGGTCAAGTATGAAATGGACAACGAATGTTCTAAGCTCATTCAAATAGCACTGCGCGATGTGCTGAGCCACGAGTGCGTCTTCGCCATCGAAGCCATCTTCTTTAACGGCACCGGATACATCCATAAGCCAACGAAGTTTACGCACCTCAAGATCATCCACGTCACGTTACATCTTGATGTAGACACCTACTGGAAAGATCGATGGACTCTTCTTAGGACCAGTTTTCTGCCCCATGTGTCGTTTCGAAAAGACTTGTTCTACGAAGATGGCAAGGGGACTGCTTTCGATGAAGTTCTCGCTCCCTTGCTTCCATGGGCTATCTCCGAATTAGTATGTCGATTCCGCGCCAACCGCTTGCACCCCGCACCTGTGAAGTGGGACTTTGGTCAAGCCGCATACTTTGTGGACGGGACTGTAAATCTTCTTCACAGCAGGTTACAACTAGATGGAAGTCAGAATACGTCACCGATCAATAAACACCTTCGTAAGATGATGGTCGACATCGATTCCCAGCAGTCCTTGCGAAATTTGCATCTTCTTCACGTTGGTGGCATACATATGACCCAAAGACGTCGGAGTAACACCATTCATTGGATACAAGGAGCTGGCGCGTTTATTTGTGTTATGGGATGGAGCCTGAAAGCCCATTCGTTCATGATTCAGGACATCACGGCGACAAAGATGAATTGCCAGACCAGAACGAGTTTCCAGAAGCTGGACCAGTTCTGTGCGACCAGGAGAAGAGGGGGGGAAGCCGTTCAACCACGAGGATGAGAGTACTACGACTAGTCTTGCAAAGCAACTCCAATTTTCTAGTGGGCTAAGAGCTTCGCGCATCGAAGCAGCTACGAAGTCTACGAGCGGTTGCGTGTAAGTCGATTTAAAACACAGTTGAGTCTATTAAGTCTGAAATGCTACAGATTGAACCCCGATAAGATACAATTTTGTCAGTGAGAATAGTCGTTGTCGCGCTACTGCGTTCGATCGATCCGGCAGAATCACTTAGAACATTGTTCATCCCAAGGATAGCGCTGAGCCTCCACACATAGACATGTAAGAGGATCATACAAATGTCAATTTCATATTGTTCAAGACGTTGAAGAAGTGACACTTGCACTACACGCAGGACCTGGAAGTGACCAGGCAGTGACATGTCATGATCACAACGGCATGCGCTGTCTTCCGCGATTTCATCACTTGCCACGCAGTCAATACCACACACATGCGCTATTACAGAATGATCTACGCCATATAAAGAACATTTACTGTGAAATATTCATCCGCTGTCCGCTAATCCATCCGCCTTGAAGAACAAAGTCATACTTCACACCATCCTGTGCCTACTTCCCGCACCCAAACGACCCTCTCCGACCCTTCATTATCCTCACCTGCCCAAACTCCTAACTGACCACCATAATTACCGCTCTAACAGCACCATCTACTTTACTGCGCGCGACGTCTGCCAAATTCACCACCTCCCATATCTAACCACAATGCAGCCCCAAATCTATGGCCCATCCCCCTACTTCTCCTCGCCCTTCAGCCACGCATCCGAATTCCTCGAATTCGCCCAGCGCTCAGAGACATTCAGGCGACACCCAGAAATGCTCAAGGTGGAGTCTGACATGGAGGACGTGGGGCAAGACTCAGCAGCTTTCTGGCCCGAGAAGATGTTGGAGTGGGTGTGGAGCAGGCCGGGGGAATATCCAGAGTTGCAAAGATGTGCGCAGGGGTGTGTGAGGGAGGTGGGACTGCATGGGATGATGTAGTGGGACGGGGGGATGGGGCAAGTGGATTTTACATATTTTTATTATTGTTACAAGGTCCGAGAATGCGATCCTGAGTAGCTGACTTATGAAATCGCAAGTAAATCCCTCAAGTCAAAACTGCCCATTATGTCCATAAACTCCATCAACCTGCACTCGCAAATCTGTGCAGAGTATCTTTTCCATATGCTATCCTCCGAAACGCCTGTTCTTGATACCGCAGCACCAAACCATGCATATCACCACCCTATCTGGCCTTCCGAATGACGGTGACAGCCGCGACCTTTGCCCTTGATTTCCTAGGCTTAGCCGGCGTCTTAGCCTTGGGCTGTACCTTGGCCTTCTTTGTGACCTTGGGTTCGTGAATCTTGCCCGCTCCGCGCTTAGTACCCTTCATCGGGGTGTCCTCATCCTCAGACTGCTCTTGCTCTTCGAGTTTCTTCGCACCACGCTTGACGCCCTTGTCCGATCTCACCGCACGCTGCCTCTCTTCCAAGAGTCCATGCTCTCTGATGTAGTAGATGATGTCGAGCGCAATGTCGCAGAACTCCTGGGTGCCACGAATCAGCTTTGAGGGCTGCTTGTTGGACTCTAGGCCTGCGCGCCAGCGATCAATGACGGCGAAGAAGATGTCATCGGGGTCAGCGTCCTTGGCGTCGCGTACGCGCTGATATTCGGCAACACCATCTTCGTCGTGATCGTTGTGCCAATGACCACGACCCAGTCCGTACTCATCACCGATTTCGAACTGTACGAAGGCTTCGATAACCATGACGGCGACGGTGTGGAAGTTGAGGATGGCGACCGCGGGATTGGTGTCTGGGGTTTCGAGCCTCCGCTGGTTGGGTAGGAAGATATGGAGGAGAAGATGAGTCTCCTGCTCAGCATGATCTGGGGAAAGGAAAATCTCTTCTCGAACGATGCCGGGAATCGAGACTTTAGCAACAGTGGGATCGTTCTTGGTTGCTCCAGGCTCAAACTGCGCTTCAAACCGTGGTAGAGTCCAGTCAATGCTGCCGGCACTTGACGGCGGGCCCTTGATAGCTGGTCCGACAGTCTTGGTAGTGGAAGGAACTGGACCCTGTTTGGGCGCTGATTTCTTCTCCTTCGTCGCCTTGAACCCCAGTTTAGGCTTGGATGCGACAAACTCGACCTCAGACTCTTTGCCTTGATCCATCCGCTTACCCTTCACTGTAATAGCAGATTCGCCGGCAGCGGAAGAATGATGAGCGACACGCTTGTGCAAGGGTTCATCGTCCTCGCTGCTGTCGAATTCCTCAACTGCAGCAGATCTTTGTGGGCCTTGTTGACGCGTATCAGGTCGAGATGCAACGGGCGCAGACGTTGGTGGCCGTTGATTCGACAGAGCAGGGGCGGATGGCCGAGCTTGCATTGCATACGGGGAGCCCGGGAATTGATCGTAGGCTGTCATGGGGGAATATTGACCGTGGGGTTGCATTGTGTAGGGAGGGTTCTGAAAGCCCATCATGTGCTGACGGTGTGCAGCATGCGGCGGGTGGTTTTGTGCGACGCCCTGAAAGAAAGGCGACATGGGACTTGAGCCTTGCAGGAAGTTGTTCGCACCTTGATGAGCTTGATACCCCATCTGTTGGAAACCTGGGTGTTGTTGCATATCATGCTGCTGAAAGCTCCTCGGGTCCTGCATGCCCGGAACCGCACGAGCATTGAAAGCCTGTGATGGCTGTTGCTGACCATAGTCTGCGTTTGCGAAGCCCGGGAAGCCATGCTGGCCATTCAGCTGCATTTGGCGAGGATCCTGATGTGGCATTATGTAGCCTACACCACCTGGCACATGTCCTTGGCGCCGAGCCAGCCCAGAGCGGGCGTTGACGCCCGCACGGATCTCAGTCGCCAAATTTCGCAGATATTCGTCATCCCATTCAACATCTCCGTCATCTTCTTCAACATCGCCGCAGTCATGCTCATCACAGGAAGGCTCATCACCAGATGATTCGCGTCCATTGTCTTTTGAGTGCAGACGGTCGTGAGTGTCGCCTAGAAGGCTCTCGGTGTCGCTCAGGACTTCTTCGACTGAGGAACCGCCCTCGTAATCTTGGCTGTACTCTGCGACTTCCTGAGCATCCATTGTCGGCATTGGCTGTTCAGTCGCCTCATGCTGCTGCACCTTGCTGACTTCGTCTGTCTTCGCATCGAGTTCGGTTCCTTCATGTCCATGGTCTGTGGCGACAAGAGACCCTGAGAGTCTATAAGGATTACCCCTGAGTGACTCTGGAGTGGCGGATGGAGGTACCGTCTTTGATGTATCGGTAGACACAGGCTCGATCTCGTTTGCCTTCGCCTCTTGGTTGACGGTATTGTTGGCCGGTACGTCGGCTTCAGCGTGGAATGAAGAAGCGCCATGATTCGCACTCACTTCGACTTTGTCGTTCTCCGGATTTGCTTCGGTTAGCTGTGGGACTTTGGCAACCAAGTGGTTCTGCGAATTAGGCCAATTGGAAGCATCTTGCTGCAGAAGCTCTGGCTGCTTGCTGGGCTCCTCGGCCGCAGTTTTCAGCTGATCGATGTGCTGTTGAAGCTCTCCCTTGACGGGCTGCTGCTGCACCGCCACGTCCGACTCTTGGTTTGCGCCATCTTGCGGAGCATGGCCAGTTGGGGATACGGTGGCATCGCCGCTGTTATGGCGCTCCTCGCGCATCGGCTGTTGTGAGTCCGTGCTGGCCGCGGTGGCCTCGTGAGGGTTGAGCTTGCTCATGGCGTCATGAGTGTCCATACCGCGCGCAAGACGAGCTTGACGAGAGGTTTTCTTGCGGTAGAGGTAGTTTTGTGCCTCCAAGAGATAAGATTCGTGCCGCTGTGGCTGTGGCTGTGGCTGTGGCTGTTCGCTTTGAGCTCAATAGCTTCGACAGTGGTCGAAACTGTGGTGGGCGTGGAGAGCGGGGTGCAAGAAAGAGGAGAGACGGTGGGGGAGAAGCTTTATATAGGCACAAGCAATATCGCGCGGCTAGCGGTTGCAGGCTCTGCCTTTACCTCAAAAGCTCAAACAAGCAGTGTGCTCGACAAACTACTGGCTGAGACATTTTACGTAGCGTCACTCGCAAATGAGGAGTCTGCCTGTTATCAGTGGCTATTTCAAAGTGAAAAAGATTCCCCCCACCTCACAGGTAAGTCCGAATAGAAAACTCGAGGTCTTACTTAGAAGCGGCCCATCCCGCGATTGAAGCAGAATCGAAGAGAGCTTGAAAAGGCGAACAAGAATCGTGACATGCGATATTCAGACAAGACGTACGGTGACAAGCAGGGTCAATATCACAAGCACAAGCAATGGCGCTCGCAATGTCGGCTGCGGCCGTTCTCGTGATCGAATCGGGACGGGATGTAGGAGGTTAGACTGCCCAATCGACAAGCTGTAAATGAGGAGCAAATTCGGTGGGATAAGCATGACAAATGCGTTGACTTCGTTCTTGGAATTTCTTCTGTCTATAGAGCTTTCATGTCGTAATGCCGCTTTTGAGGTCGTCCAGTAGTCTTGTCACGAATCCATCGAAGAGCGGATAGAGTGAGCAATCGCGGTACTTGTCGACAAAAAGTCCCTCCTTACTGCCATGCGTAGTCGAACCGGCTTCTTTACCATTTGGCGCCGCGCTGACATCCGTACCGGCCATGATTGTTCCTTCAGGGTACAGCGGCCTTGTCCCTTCTTCTACCAATTGTACGAAGGCCGGGTCGATCGGTACAGACCCAAGGAATGGCACATTGAAGTCTCTCGCCATGACTTCACCCCCGCCTTTGCTGAAGACATTCGTGCATTCCGAGCAGTTCGGACATACGAAGCCGGCCATGTTTTCCACCACACCGAGTACCCTTATGCCCGTCTTCTTGCAAAAATTGAGTTCCTTCTTCACGTCGGATATCGAAATGGCCTGCGGGGTAGTCACGACTACAGCGCCAGCAAGGTACGGGAGGGACGCATGCGGTGTCGTAGACGTGTTCTTGAGGAGCGTCTCAAGCAGTGAAATGTGTTCGTCCGAAGTGCCGGGTGGGGTATCGATGAGGAGGTAGTCGACCTTTGGCCACAGGACGTCTGTAAGAAACTGGCGCACCATGGCTGTCTTCTTGGGACCACGCCAGATGACGGCATCACTGCGGTTTGGCAGAATGAAGCCCAGAGACATGCAAGATAACGCGCCTATCTCTTGTCCCTCCGCAGTCTTCTGTAAGCGATGCGCGGACAATGTTTGCTGCGCGTGTACGTCGACGGGGATCCAACCACCAGGCGCTTGGCGCACTTTGCTCTCTTCGATGCCGAAGAAGCGCGGTATACTAGGTCCGGTCAGATCGATATCCAAGACGCCGACTGTGTGGCCCTGCAGCGATAGTGTGAGGGCGAGTTGTGTTGTTATGCTGCTTTTGCCAACCCCGCCTTTGCCGGAGAGAACGAGGACGATGTTGCGAACATTGTCAAGCGGCATTGTAGCGTATCAGTCCGGGGCGCTTGATGAGGTCCTGGAGAAGTCTGGCGCGAGAATCTGGTGAAGGAGCATGGCGTGGGTGAAGGTCGCAAGTGGAGCGCTTTGAAATCATCATCGCAAGAAGTGGCGTTGCGGGCGCGATCGGAGGTCCGCTTGGCTTGGCACAATAGGTTATTTTGACCCTGTTTGGACGTCCCTAACACATCATCAGCATGACTTTTTGGCGTAAGCTGATTGCGTACATAGAGACATGGAATCTTGGGAATACTGATGTGCATTCACTGTGTAAGAAATTACATCCTCATAGAGCTCCAACTCCGCCATGCAAGACTCGCATACATAAAAACGCATTACAGAAAAATATCCACTGCCACCTAGCGCTTTTGATCATTGACCCGTTCTTCTGGAAATTCCGCCTATTGGCAAGCTGGCCTCATCATCACTTCCGTACAAGTCTGGTCGCTGCACACCTGGTCGCACACCTCGCCCGGCGCCACGTACACGTACGGCTGAGCTGCGAACTTGAACTGCTTGGTGAAGTCCTTCGGGTTCCACGCGCTCGTCCTGAAGCCTGCCCTGCAGGCACAGTAGTACTTTTCATTTCCTGTTGTAGTGCAGCTTGTGGTGATGTCGCACTTGTTCTGGGCAGGGTCGAAGGGGTTGCATTGTTTGGGACAGATACCGGCGATGGTTGAGCCTTCGTATCCAGGCGTACCATAGCCACTAGGGGCAGCTGTCTTGGTTGACGTGACGAATGTCGTCTTGGAGGAGTAGCCGTAACCACCCGTGGAAGAAGCACTGTAGTTACCATAGCCCTCATCCGTTGTTGTTTCCTCTGGGTACTCCTCTGTTGTGGTGTCATCTGGATACTGGTCGGTGAACGTATCCTCTGGGTACTCGTCTGTTGTGGTTTCCTCTGGGTAATCATCCGTGGTGGTGTCCTCTGGGAGCTCGTCGGTGAATGTATCATCCGGGTACTCGTCGGTCAAGGTATCATCTGGATACTCGTCGGTGAACGTATCATCTGGGTACTCGTCTGTGTTCGTGTACTCGTTCGTGGTGGTCTCATCAAAGTACTCATTAATGGTAGTGCCATCATCGTATGTTTCTGTATTGTCGTCAGTGTACACGTTGCCCTCTTCATCCGTGTACACATCGCCATAGTCCAGAGCGGTGTTGCCAGGCGTAGCTTCGTAGCATACGTCAGGACACTCCTGTCTCTCCACTGGCTGGCATGCCTCTCTTTTTTTTCCAGAAGACTCAAGAAGCCAATCGGGAATGTCATCGCTGCAGTCGTCTTCGGCAGTCGCCCTCATGGTGTCTCCAGGCCACCGGAAAGCTGCAAATCCACCATTGGACGATGGCACGTCCTGGCGTGGACGAAGCTTGCTGTTGCCTTCATAGCAGGAAGCTGGGCATTCTTCTTCGAAAGGCAGGACAGTGGCATCTGGCGCTGCAGCACTTTCCACGTCAGAGGTTGTGGTGGTCACCTCGACCGCATCGGTGGGCTCGCTGACTATTGTCACAACGAGGGACGAGGTTTCAGATTCGACGGGAGTCTCGATTGCGACTAATTCGACGGGAGTCTCGATTTCGTTTAGGATCGGAAAGGTAAAGCCAGGCCCAGCAGTTGCGTCTGCACCAAACTCTGCATCGGTAGTAGCTGGGTCCACGATGACGTCCGCTGTACCCGTGGGAAAGGTAGAGCTGCTAAGATCAGTCTCAGCTGCTGCTAGTTCGCTGTCTGTCTGCGCATTCAGCGTCTGCAGCAGCAACGTGCCGAGCACAAAGACCTTCATGGTGGCCTGACGCTAATGAAACAAGATAAAGAGTGTGTGCGCAAGACCTGTCGGAGAAATCGTAGCGGTCGAATGAATGACGAGAAGAAAGCTTGGCCTAGACATTGTGTGAGATACAACGCGTCACTTTGATATAGATTCTCTTGTTGAATTCTTCAATTTCAAAATCACAACAAGCTTGGACGACCTGGCGCTGGACAAACTACATCCAGGCCTTGGTGGGTAGCTGCCAAGACAGACATGGTGGCATGTTGCACAAAGCATGATTTTGTCTTGTGGAATGCATTAAACGACTGTTTAAGAGCACAGGGTCAGCCAAGAAATCGATGAGTCATCAGGAAGGTCACTGCGATTTGAGTGTATATACTGATGCCTTGCGCGGCGCTGGCGAGAGCGACACATTCCACCTTTGTTGATGGCACTGAAGAATGTTTCTTCACATGGAGAGTCTATGGCATTCCGGCACGATAGTCCGTACGCTCATTGAGACCCCAGGCTGTAGAGGACTGATCGTGAACCGTTGCTCTTCGCATATCACGTACGTATTTGCCCTCAAAGGCTCCGCGACGAGCAGCGTGCATGACACACGTATTATCCTATAGTCGTCAGCAACTCTTCCCACAATATAATGATCAGACTCACCCATATGATGATATCTCCATTGCTCTCCCACTCAACTTCGATTGTGTACTTCTCTTGCGTTGCATGGCTTAGCAAATTCCGAATGACCTCTTGGCCGACATCTTGTGACAACCCATCGATATGATGGGCATGGTGAGCAATATACAAATTCGTTCGACCGCTAGCCTCGTGCGTCTGCACAAGACGATGACGTGCCATGAAATGTTCCTCGGGTTTCATACCCTGAAGAAACTCACAATCGGGCGCTGCCAAGCGTCGACTGTGCCACAAAGAATGACTGACCACATGGTCCTTGATTCTCCCTTTAGTGACCTCATCAAGATCCGCGTATGCTGTCCGTGTATCTGCGAAAGCAGTTGCGCCACCGGTACCCTTCGGAGGGAGCTCATGAGCTCTGAGAACGGAATATCCGGCGCGGCGAGGGTTGAATGCCGAATCGACGTGGAAAAGTCCGTTGCCCAGACCAAGCTGGAAGCGCAAGCTGTCGGTCGATACGATATTGCCATCATCATCTAGGTTGCTCACATCGAACAACTCAGTATATGGCGCCAGGCGGTGCTTGCGGCCCGCTTTGATGTACGGCGTTGAATCATCAAGCTCGCCTAGTTGAGCCGCAAAGGCAACATGTCGTGCATCATCAAGCTGGGCGTGACGAAAAACGAGCACGCCGTATGTGGCCAATCCACAACGGATCTCTTCCACTGTTTTGGCTGGCAATGCTTGTGCGAAATCAACGCCAAGGCATTTCGCGGCGAAAGTAGCATGTAAGGGGTCGAATGTCAAACGCGTCGAGACCATTGTTGCAGAGTGGTGATTTGTTTGCTCAGTCCAAATGGGCAAAGTGTAGTGTAGGAGGGGTCATTTCGAGGGACATTGTGGCTTATCAGCTCACTCAACATCAGTCACCGATGTGATGATAGGAGGATGCCTAACTACGCTTCATGGCTGCTCTACGAGAGGGGTTGTCAATACGCTAACTTAACTAAGATAAACCCGGGTTAAACCCGACTAAGCGCTCCACGATACGACACACCAACGCTGAATCTCACAGCTTGGGTGAGCCAAGGATCAAAATAACATGGAGAAAAAATTGCTGAATGTCATATTGCTGGAACATGTCTGATCGATGACTTGAACAACTCATTTTGAGGTCACCGAACCCGGGGCTCTCACAACACCCATTGTGATGCGGTCGTCGTCTTAGTATTGCACGCTGAAAGCTCACAATGATCGCAACTCCAATGACTTAAATTAACGATCTTTCCAATCCAGTCACGCATCTGATCTCTTTATTACAGAACTTTCATCGACGCAATGACTCCTTCAATTTTGACGACGTCCTTTGAAAAGGCGCCTGGAGGGCCGCTATCAGATAAAGCCTTATCTTACCTCGAACAGAACTTAGGAGATGGAGACATGAGAGAAGTACCGCGTTTCCATGCACTAACAGATGGTTTGGCAATTTCGCCACGAAGTCGGCTGGCTATCCGAGCACAGCCTTCTTACAATGTCATTACTAATGACCTCGGCCTTTGGGTATCGGTAGTTTTTGACAATCTCGACCTAGATTATCGTGACATCAGCAGCGAATTTCTTTGGGTAAACATGATGCGGTGTGTCATGGCTGGTCTTCTCAAAGAGGAACCTGTGGAAGCTTTCCTCCGCTTGTATGGTGAGCATGACGAAGACGCGGAGTACGTTATCGACGTGCTGACATTCCTAGATGCCTTTGCTGCGCTTCCTGACTCTGCGACTACATCAGCTCGTATGAATAAATAGGTGGTTGTAATCTCGAAGTTGGCGAGCGAAGCGTTTGTAGCGCAACGCTCACTCTGGCAGGACGCGGTAGCGAAGCCATCTACACCAAGCCGTGAGACCCGGCTATTATTCTGTCTTGCTTGGAATCTTAACGCGCGTTTAGTGTTCTATTGTAACCGTATGGGTGGTCAAAGTATGAAAGATTACAATATCGAGCTAGAGCGCCTCCGAGAGCGATCTGGCATTCCTTCAGACTGGGAAGTCCAGAGCGAAGTCAGGAAGCTGCGAATAGAGTTTTCCGCCGAACATGAGTTATTGCAGCGAGACTTTCAACTGAAATGGAATGGCAAGCCCATCAACGTTTGCGAAGTGTCTGCTCGCGCATCGGCGGATGACATGGCTGAGAACGACTGCATCATCTGTTCTGACAGTCCAACGAATCCGGCCGTCGTCACTAAGCCTTGTGGACACTTGTACTGTCAAGACTGTTTAGAAACCTGGATCCATGCGTGTCAGCGTCAAAGCCATACTTGTCCCGCTTGTCGTACACAGCTCTTTCCCAAGCCAAACTATGTGCTCGACGGAGATCATTCGGTCCGGGGGTGGCAGGAGATTGAGTGCGTAGAAATTAACCTGCGGCAGTTGAATGAGTTACTAGAATCGTGGAATTGGCTGAAGGAAGAACGGTCGCTGCAGAAGCGTTACGAATGCAAATACCGCTAGTCGGGGCTCCACAGGCGCTTCAGACTATTAGCCAAGATACCACTGTGCTTTTTTGGACTGTCAGGTTCAAAGTCAGTACCGCCTGTAAGATTTAAACATTCACATGTCACACATCACAGCTTTTGTACAAATTGTAGCGTGAATCTTCAATTAATACATATTCCTCATTTCCCGTTTTCCTCAGCTGTTGCGTGCTCTCGTAGGTCGAATCCCCCGCCAATTTGGTCTACCTTAAGCGCTCTCTGTAAACTTTGTCTCTCCATCTCGAAATTCTAATTCAATCTAAGAAACATCCAAGTCCTACAACATGCAGTTGCGCATAGTAAGTTTCCAGACGTCTTGTTTATGCATTTATCCATGGGATCCGCCAAGGTCAAGTGGACTGGAGAGACGTGAGAAGCGTGGAGATTACCCGGTTAGTCAGGAAAATAGCATATGTTTTTGGCTTCATTTGCCCTGAATCGCAAACCCAGACGGTCCTTTGTCTGGATTGCTGTTCTAAATTGGCAGCACATGTGCGGACGAGTGACAGGAATCACAAAACTGAATGTTTTTGATTTTGTCTTCCTACCAGCATTCTGCCTTTTTGCACACTTCCATTCGTTATCCCGGATGTTATTTCGTAAATTTAAGGGAATGGCCGGACTTTGCTATGCGGTCAGACCATGTTTCACTGTTTGGGTTCCGGTCCCACACGCGTCCAAGTGTAGTACAATGCATTCCCATCCTTGACACGTTCCTTCAGCTTCCACAACTCTCCAAGATCAGAGCCTGAGGGAAAATGCTCCGTCATGTTCACCTCGGGTCGATCATTCAATTTGACCATGATCGAAACCTGCTTAGTGTTGACTGTGCCCACCTCTTTCATCTTCGCGAACAGCACCTCAACTACCCACTCATACCAAGGACATGCATCCGTGATTGTTCCGTCAAAGAATAAAGATATAGATTCCAGGTGAGAGGCGAAGATTGGCTTGATCGTGTTCCAGTTGTCGTCCGTTCTGTACAGCATTCCTGGGTGACTGAGGCGGAAGAACAATTCATGTGTGTGCATCACACGTTGTTGAGGCCGGATAGATGGAGGGATCCTCAAATTAAACCACTGTCGGGTCACGAATGTGATTGTATTGGGAACCGCAACAACTGGTGACACTCGTAGTGTATTGGCGAGTTCAGTGAAGTAAGGCTCCGAGGCTCTCATGTACTCGGCCTCGAATTCTGCCTTGACCTGATGAGATGAGAGGTAGAGGCCTGCGTATTCGGACATGTGTGTTGTACGGGGCACTGCTTCTGCAATGTAGCCATAGATGTGGAGTCTGAGCTCAAGTGAAAGCTTGAGGAATGGAAATGTAGACGCCGTAGAGGATACAGCAGTATCGCACATACTGGCCGATAGCAGATCTTGATGATAGGATGTGGTATTGCTCGATTTTCAGCGTGGTGTCGCAGTTTTGAGTGGGAAGAGGGGAGGTGACCACATTTAAACCAGATGGAGGTCGCACAAACGTTACCCAAAACCGCGCTAGCGTACCTACCTAGGCAGGTGCTACGAACAAACACTTTATCTCCGGCTGCCCAGCTTCAAGTACAACTCACCTCGTTGCACAACATGACCTCCTTCCTTGATCTACCGCTAGAATTGCGCTATCAAGTGTATTTTTACATCGCCATCCCGAGATACACTTACTTCTCCACTTATCATGGCCTCTACCTGTCGTGCCACCAAGTTCGCAACGAGATGAACCAGGAATGCGGCTCCATACTTCAAAAGCACCTGGACTTGATTGGAGATTCTCTGCCTGTAGGAACGATCAAGTTTGATCCCTCAGTCTACGCAAAGCAGCATGTTCAAATGTCCCTAGACTTCCTCTTCACCGGCGCAAAACTCAACACGCCAGACCCAGGTTTTCTGAAAGTCTGCGAGCTATACTTTGCTCTGATCGAAGTCAAGTTACTGCTGGAAGACTTCTCGCTAGGCGATACACTGAGAGTTATCTCTTTAATTGGAGGTTTGGTTCGCCGAAAGGTCGTGAATGCGGGTTGCATCACTCTTGAGGCAAGTGCACCATACAGAATTCGGATGTCATTGAATGTAAAGCTGACTCAAGTCATTGGTACTGCAGATACCGGGGATGAACGCACGGCGAACAGAGAGATGCCGGGATCATGGGATTGCGGAGGCGGAGAGGGATCGTTCCGCCGGCAACGTGTCTGAATTTTGGTGGCACAAGGACCTCGACGGAAAAGTCAAAGTCATGTGGGAGACTAAGTAAATGCGCAAAGTTAGCACCAGACGGCAGCGGGATTCATGTCCGCCTTGCCTCAACGAGAAAGGGTCGAGGTAATCTGGATGTATTCAAAAGTTTCTGTAGAATCATGTAATGTCTTGTAGTTGTGTATGTAATCAAACCACTTTATGAGATTATAAGCGTGTTCCTAAAACTATTGAATCATGTCATGTAGGTGTAAAGGGAACACGCATTTTGGCGCTGCCTGGTCTCGGCATTGAGAAGATAGATGGCAGCCCCCCATCAGCCTGATTGAGGACTTTGAGCGATTCAATCTCGGTAGGGTAAGGAGTTGCGAGAATAGATGCTAGGTGAAGGGACAATCCACGTGTACCTAGATAGCATGCGCAAGGAACCAGTAGCTACGCTGTTTGTCATGTCAGACGCCGTTGGATCCAATGATCTTGTCAATTCCACCTCCTGATATCGCTCACCGTAACGGGCGTAGAAGTAAGTCAGCAGCTCTAGCTTCCAGTACTCAATCTCCTCCTGCTCCATCTCCAAACACCACCTCGGCCGCACTTGTCGCAATCCGATCGCCCGTCACCATGACTTCCTTCCTCGACCTCGCCATAGAGCTCCGCTACTACGTCTACGAATACATGGCAATGGAGATCCCCATCTCCGTTCCCTTCACGGCCTACCTCGGCCTCTACCTCTCTTGTCACCAGATCAAATCCGAGATCGACAGCGAATGTCCACCGATCATGCACGCCCACATCACCGCACTCCAAGATTCCATTCAATCAGCCTATCTCACCATCCCGAGCTCTTTCCTCACACGCCAACACCTCCACGTGTGTCACATACGACAACTTGACTCTCCCGACATACTGTTCCCCAGCTTTGGTTACAATCATCTTTTGCCGCTGTGCAAGCTCCACCTAGCCACTCTTGCTATGGTTTCTGCGCGTGATGTCGACGGATCGCGCACGATCGCGTTGCTTTACTGGGTTATTTCACGAATTCTTCGCGAAGAAGTGAATGTGCGCCGCATTGTTGTGCACATGCCGATCGTGGGAAAAAGCAGAGCGGATGATTTTCGGCATACCGTGGCCCGCCCATCGACAGGAAAGTATGTTTTCCGATGGGTTTTGACGCCAGAGGGTGTCGAAGCGGTCTGGCAAGTCGAAGGCAGTGGGGGCTGTGGCAAGCAGGATGAGAGGGTGATGCGCGTACTGCAGGGAGCATTGACTGGGTCAGGAGATGTGGGCATGCCGCCGGGCACATATCCGCTCGAGCATTCTTCCGCTACTGGGAATTAGGAGGCTCATGTTATGCATCAAAGAGAGCGAGGAATCCTGTCCTGCGGTGTTTTGGAATTTTGAATGGCTTTTCATCCAGGAGCTTGTGTCGCCTCCCGTATACTATATGAAGAAACTTAACAGCATCTCCCGACACTCGCATTTCTTCTACTACATGAAGATCTGAATCGGGTTTCAGATTCTGAGGAAAGGAACAGATATCGAGCTGCTCAGTTTTCGTGTTCAGTTAATGCAGTACTTTTAAGCTTAGGTACTTTTTAATATCGAGCTGCTCAAGTTACAATGGCGTTCTTAATGCAGGGCTTATAAGCTTTATGTTCTTGTTCTGTCACAGGGGGAAATATCGAGCCGCTCGATTTCCAGAGCAGAATACACCGGCAGCTTTCTAAGTAAGAGTTTTTTATATACGTTGTACTTTTTTTACAGTGGACATCAATAGTGACAAGGGAAGTAAACTACTTTAGTTCATACTAAAAGACGTCTGCTTTGTGGATAAAGGCTGAGAGACGTCGATGTTGTCAAGTGAGAGTAACTGGAAACGGCAAAGGCGCCGACTAGCGCGGAATGCCGCGTTGAGATGACGGAAAGAGCCGCCCAGCGTGCGCTCGACTATCTTTCAACACTTCACGCATCACTTGCCGACGAGCTGTGGGATACTAATCATAATAAGATAAACATGTCGATGGCATAACACCAAATGCGCATTCGACGCGCACCTCAACATGGACATGATACATATCGCGGAGCTCAACCCAGAGCTGCCCTTCCGCGACACGAAGCAGTTCAAAGCCGCCGTCACCCTGATATGGCCCTATTCCTCCTCGCAGCGACAATTTGCGCTACTCCTCGCCGAATCTGACTTCCGGTTACGGCGAAAGAAGGGCCAGGTCCGGGTTCGCTTCTCCGGTTCCAGCGCGAAAGCACTTGCGACAACGGGCGTGGGAATTGGAGATGAGGTCGTCCTAAGCTTAAGAGGCGCGCAGTTCGTACAGGATGACACTGTCAGCACGCCGGGACGGAGCATCGACTGGGAGCTGGAGTATAAACAAACCGTGGCAGTACAGGTCTTCCGCGAAGGCGCCGAAATCGCGAACCTCGAGCTGTACGATGCAGCACCAACACCTGCAAGACGGTCGCCTGTTCGCCAACAGACCAGTTCCACTCCCGGTTCTGCCCAGCAATGGTCTTCTCCGGCATTCCTCAAGCGCGCACGACTGTCTGATGGCCCGTTCTTCGAAGCTCCATACGATCCTTTGACAGACGAGAATGCAGACGGACATGACAAGAAGAGGCGGCGGAAGTCTTACAGAGACTGGAAAGCATGGACATACAATGCGCGGACACCATCTCCCGAGAAGGGCGATGTCGGGACCGAAGAAGAGCTGGAGGAAATGGACGCATCACCCAGTCGCCCATCACAACTACCGCGAACCCCAATCTCCCCCTCCAAATCACAATCGGTGTCTCTTGCTGCAGGAACAGAAGTGATAGACAAGGACAAGCTTCAAGCAGCACCGATCGCAGACCCAAGCGTACAAGGGGTGGACACAAAAGCAATGCAGAAACCAAATCCCGACGACTTTGTTCGAGACGGCGAGTACTACGATTTGTATGCTGGACCTGACGAAGATCGACCTATAGACTCACAGTACGCGTTTGGAGGAGACACAGAAGCCAACACGGAGGAAGAAACACTGGAGGATACAGATGCTGCTAGCATCAGTCCGACCGAGGCTGCCACTGAAGACATGGAGCAAAATAGCCAAGAGCCAGACCGTGTAGCGGGGAAGTCGTCCCAGCTTATAAGTCAAGGATTGTCTGGAGTCCACGCAGGGGACATGGTCCAAGATGGCGGTACCCTAGCAGAGTCGCAGACCCGAGATATTGTGCAAGTCACGATAGACGACGTTGACTCTGTAGGCGCGGAAAAGATAGAGGCAGTACCCAGGATCGCCATGCCGCCGCCGACTCTATCACCTCTCAATACGAGCTTCAATGTGCCTAGATCTCCTGGGGCGCTTACACCTATAGGAAACGAGCCGGCAAGTCCAACCCTAAAGCCTCTAGATTCAGCTCTTCTCCCTCTTCCTTCGCCATTCCCTGGAGAACGTGAATCCAACGTCGAATCATATTTCGATGAAGCCTCGACCAGCGAACCAGCGGTGGAGCTCGAGACGGCGGAGGAAGAGAGGCCGCCCAGTGAAGCTAGCTACATCATGGAAAATTCCTTCTTCAGCTCAATCGGATCGTCAAAAGCGAATCCGTTCCACCCAGACCACGAGTCAGCTTTCACACCCGTACGCTTCACGTTTGGTATGGATGGCGCTGGCTACAGCAGACCATTAGATCTATCTTCGCCGGCACCGGAGGCCGCCAAAACAAGCTCGATCGAGCTTGATCAGGACGATGCCGAATCTGTAGCTTCAGGCGGCTCGGACGAGGTACCGGAAACAATCCCGGACAACGCCACTTTCAAAACAGAGACAACCAATAACGCGAGTGGCCCAGCAACAGCATCTAAAATGGTCGATGAACTTCCAGTGGCGGGGCAAGCGTTGGAAGCGGAGTCTCCAAAAGCCAAGCAAGCAGTGCCTGAGGTCATCGAACTGTCCTCAGACCCCGACTTAGAGGACTCTGATAAAGATGAGATCGAGGAACAAGCCCAACCAGATGAAGCCCCAATTGCGGACGAGATCGAGAGGGAGGACGGCATGCCAAAGGGGCCCAGCCAATCCGCCCCTGTATCCACGATTGTTGACTTGGGGTCGCCACCAGCTAGCAGAGAGGTGGACGACATGATACCGGAAACTCTGAACTACAACAATGCTGGACAGGCAGATCAAGAAGGCTTTCAGAATACCCTCGATGCTTCTCTCCAACACCAGGATGTTGGCCCATCGCACACCCAGCCAGTGAATCCGGAAAGTGATGAAAGACATAGTGAGTTAATAGCCATGGACTACGCGCCTGTGTTTCCAGACTTTACCACGAACACCCACGGGACAGCAACTGCTCACACAACAACACAGGAAGGATCACGGGCCATGATGGAAGCCAATGTGCATGACCAGCCGTTCATGGTGGATCTTTCTGGACCATACCCGGGGATGGAAATTCCTGACACGTTCATGGAGGGAACCCTACTCGAGGCCGATTCTTTCTATAGCGGGCAGTGGGAGACAGAGGATGTAGAGGGACTCCATCCTGATGTGAAGCTAGAGTCAGTCGAGGAGGGTTCGGTGTTCCGGATGGGCGAGCTAGATACGCAAGGACAAGAAACTACAGAACCGTCTGGAGAGATGCTGATCGAAGTGTCTGAGGAGGGTCACAAAGTCGGGGAATTACACACCATTGCCGTGCCTGCTTCCGGACCTGCAAGGAATACTAGGTCCAAAGCTAAGACATCTGCATCGCCTGCCAAGGATGACATCTCTCCACCGAAGCGTACCACGAGATCGACGAAATCCAAGGCGTCTGTGACTCCTCTTGCACGAACGACCATGTCCCCACCCATGACTCAAGACCGATCTACAATATCACCGTCGGTAGACGGGAGCCACGCCTCGCCATACAGTCTGCGTTCGCGATCGAAACTGCTCTCGCCGATCAAGAGTACATCAGCTATCACACCTGTCGCCGCACATCGCAGCCCTCGCAAACATGCATCGCAACCAAGTGTAGAGTCCATACCTGATGTTTCCAGTCCTCAACCACACGATATGGACAATTTCCTAAAAGACTTCCAACCCTCACAAGCGCTTGATGCTTCTCAGGGTCGATACTCGAATGCGTCCTTCGTCAAGGACTCAGAAGAGGAGAGCCTACACTCTGAGCGCTCTTTGTCTACTGTCAAGTACTCGGACGAATGGAACACGTTCACAAACTTTAGTGATCCACTGGGAGATCACGAACAGAACAAATTCTCAAACTTGAAGCCTCCCCCAGCAAGTGCACCGCAAGCCGAAACTCGAGCAGTAGTGAGGACCGAATGGAAGAGGAGCGGAACGCAAGTGGCACCTAGCAAAAGTAGTCCGGCTCGTTCAGATTTCTCGATGGTTGACCCAACATCTCAAGGCAGCCCTGGCCGAAAGCTGCGCTCAAGAGGCTCGACAGAAGCCGCGTCCAGTCCTCGCGTAACGCGAGTAACAAGGCAGCATTCACGCAATGTCTCGTTAGCATCACAACAAGCAGATAACCTTTCAGAGTCAGCAACGCCCAAAGCAAAGCGACTCGCATACCCTGCGGGTGAAGGTGAGGTCATTGAGCTTCCAAGTTCACCTCCGGCGTCAGCCGATATTGACGAAACCATGCGGAGCTCTACTCCAGCTCCTGCGCCTCTCCAATCACTAAACCGCCAGTCGATCATGGACAGTAATAGGCCAATCACTCCAGATGCGACACAGCAAACCAACAAGGACTCGCAGAACAGCACACTCGCCGTGCAGCAACAACAGACCTTGCCAATTACACCCCAGCTCACTCAAGCCACATCCGCAGGGTTGCGCTCGATCAAAAAATCTATGATGACTGAAAGTATGGCGGTTGAGACTCCCGTCAAATCCTCTCCCACCCGCGTCACAAGATCAACACCTCGCCGCAATGCCGTCCAGACTGACGCCGCCTCCCCTTCAGCAAAACCAAGAGCACACTCACCCGACGTATCCTCCGAGCACTCCATCACTACCGTCGAAGAACCCGACGAACCTTCCATCGGCCTCTCCACACCATTAGCATACTACACCCCCCTCAACGCTCTCACATACTTTCTCAACCGCTCGTCACAATTTCCACACCTCCTCGAACCCCGATGTCCTCGCTCTGGTCACCGACGGGCACCACATCTGCCTCAACGCTCCACCAGGGGCCCGGAAAGACTGGACCACGACACTGCACATCACCGACATATCCACCTTAGCCAGCCACAACGACCGTCAACATTCTTTGCGCCCCTACCAAAATGCCCTTCCAGCCGCTGACACAGGCGACGTCGTCCTCCTGCGCGCCTTCGCCGTCAAGTCACTCAACCGTCACCCCACACTCACGTCCGCGGACGAAAGTAGTTGGTGTGTGTGGCGCTATGCGAAACCTGTTTGGGGTGCGAAGCGTAGTGCGTACGGGGAGTTGAGGGCGCGAGAGGAGGTTAAAGGGCCCGGTGGTGGAGAGGGGCGAGGGCGAATGGAGGGAGGTTGAGAAGATTAGGGGGTGGTTTTTGGGTAGGGTGAAGGGGGAGTTGGAGGGGAAGGTGCATACGAGGAGTCAGGATAGGAAGGAGGAGGAGGAGGGGAGTCAGAGGGTGACGAGGAGTCAGGATAAGAAAGAGGGGATGGAGGAGGGAGAGGAAGGGAGTCAGAGGGTGACGAGGAGTAGGGATAAGCATTTAGAAGGGTGATGCGGGTCATGGCGTCTGCATACGGATTTGCATGCCGGGATGGCACAAGGCGTTTGCATGGACATTGGGAGCATATCGTTAGGGCAAGGTGTTGGCATCGATGTCAGTTGCACAGCAGCTCAATCCCCTCAAATCAATCACATCACATGAGCTGGCACATCTCTTGAGATCATGCATTGTGTCCCATTTGATTCTACATCATGTTCCTTTTCATCGCGATCATATCCTCGTAGCCACATCAGAGTAACAACCAGCACCTTCATCGCAGACACTTCGCTACTCCACCAGACCAAACCGTGCCCTTCGCCAATCCTGGCTACTAGACACCAGTCCATCTAGCCTTTCAACAAGCGTCCGCAACTCCCATGCCAACCGTACCCCATCAGCGTGACACGCTTACGGCTTCTCGTAAACCCAGTCGAACTGAGCAGACTTCCAGCTCTGGACCTCGCCCTCCTTGAACCACAGGGCAATCTCCTTCTTGCCGTTCTCGACCGAGTCGGAGCCGTGGCACACGTTGCGGCCGACGTCGAGCGCGTAGTCGCCACGGATGGTGCCGGGCGCGGAGGCGAGCGGGTTGGTGGCGCCGAGGATGGAGCGGCCGGTCTTGACGGCGTCACGACCTTCCCAGACCATGGCGCAGACGGGGCCGGAGCCCATGTCTGGGTGGTGTTAGTGGTGTGTGGGGGAGGGGAGGAGGGGAGGGCTATTTGTGGGGGGGACGCACAGGCAATTAGACCGGGGAAGAAGGGCTTGTCGCTCAGGTCCTCGTAGTGCTTCTCGAGGTGCTCCTTGGAGGGGGTGATGAGCTTGATGGCGGCGAGCTTGAAGCCACGGTTCTCGAAGCGGGAGATGATGGGGCCGATCAGGCCACGCTGGGGGGTGTTAGTATTGCATCTTCAATGGTAGATGGACGGCTACCCCTCATTGCAGCTCAATGGACTTGAAGCGTTTGATGAGAGATACCCGGGGCAATTGGCATACCTGGACGCCATCAGGCTTGATGGCAATGAAGCTATCTCAACAATTAGTACACCGCCGATGATTGTTGAGTACCCCTCCATCTCAGTGCAAATCATCAAACGTACGTCTGCTCGTTGCTCATATTGGCGGCTTGTAGTGCGTCGATATTCTTTCGTAAATAGGATCTGTCTTTGGGTCCAAGTCTTTTGAAGATTGGTGGATCAGAAGAAGAGGAAGAAGGGTCGGACATGTAAATTTTGTCGTAGGTAAGGTGGGGTATGCTACGCTGGCGCTCAAGGTCTGGGCATTCGAGGGGTAGCACGACCTAGAGCTCGATGCATAACTTTGTGCAAAAAGGGTCCAAGTTATGCACGCCAAGGGTGCTTATGTAAGGAGCTACACGTTTCAACATCGCTGTGACGTTGAAAGACGGTCAAGATAAGTTTGGGCTGGCTTGCGAATTGTGATTTTGTTAGCTGCCAGCCATGAGTTCGATGACATATAGTGCCGCTCCCCGGTGGACGGCTTTGTTCCTGCTATGGGCGGTGCTCTGCAGCGTATTCGCTCCAGCTGGTATGTTCTCGCGTCCCGGAGCTCCAATCGCCCAGATACATCGCTTCTGGACCTCTATATCGTGTGGAGAATGCTAACTGATCGTTGCAGCTGCTGTGAAGCACGAAAATTTCAAAACTTGCGACCAGTCCGGCTTCTGTAAGCGCAACCGCCAATTCGCCGACGATGTATCTGCCTCGAGCTCCTGGACCTCACCGTATGCACTTGAACCCGCGTCTATCAAATTCAACAAAGGCCAATTAGAGGCTGTCGTTCTCAAGACTGTACAAGAGGGCGGTGAGAAGGTCTCCCTCCCGCTCACCATCACGTTCCTCGAATCAGGCCTTGCGCGCGTCACACTCAACGAAGAGAAGAGGGCGAAGGGGCAGGTTGAGCTCAGGCATGAGAGTAAAGCGAGGAAAGAGCGATACAATGAGGCTGGACAGTGGGCAATCGTTGGGGGCCTAAACCCAGCCTTGGGTGCGGCATTGAGCGAGACAGCCGACGCTGGCTTCACCAAGGTTGTCTATGGCAATGGCGGCAACCACCAGGCCATCATCCGACACGCGCCTTTCTCAATCGAGTTCCAGCGCGACGGCGAGACCCAGGTCAAGTTCAACGAGCGAGGCTTCATGAACATGGAACATTGGCGGCCAAAGGTGGAGAAGCCGGTTGTAGAGAAGAAAGAGGGCGAGGAAGGGACCAAGGACGAAGAGCCAGCGCCAGAAGCACAAGGACCGGATGAGAGCACATGGTGGGAAGAGACGTTTGGTGGCAACACGGACAGCAAGCCCCGAGGGCCTGAGGCTGTTGCGCTGGACATCTCGTTCCCTGGCTATGAACACGTTTTTGGTATCCCGGAGCATGCCACCGGGTTATCATTGAAGACCACCAAGTAAGAAGCCTCTGGTGAAGAGTGAGAAAAGGAAGGCTGACAAACGTACAGGGGCGGTGACAACGCTTACACGGAGCCCTACCGCCTATACAACGCTGACGTATTCGAGTATGAGCTGGATAGCCCAATGACTCTCTACGGGGCAATTCCCTTCATGCAGGCGCATCGCAAGGGATCGACCGTGGGTGTCTTCTGGCTCAATGCTGCCGAGACATGGATCGATATTGTCAAGACCAAGAACACCGCCAACCCGCTCTCTCTGGGCACCAAGGGCCACACTGACACCCAGACCCACTGGATGTCCGAAAGTGGTATCATGGACGTCTTTGTTTTCCTTGGTCCTACTCCTCAGGACATGACCCGTCAGTATGGTGAGCTCACTGGTTACACTGCCATGCCACAGTCCTTTGCTATTGCATACCACCAGTGTCGATGGAACTACGTCACCGATGAAGATGTCAAGGATGTTGACCGCCGCTTCGACAAGTTCAACATCCCATACGATGTCATTTGGCTCGACATTGAGTACACCCAGGAGAAGAAGTACTTCACATGGGATCCTCTCACTTTCGTCAACCCTGATACGATGCAAAAGCAGCTTGACAAGAGGGAGCGCAAGCTAGTAGCTATCATCGACCCGCACATCAAGAATACTGACAGCTACCCCGTCATCGATGAGCTTAAGAAGAAAGACTTGGCTGTCAAGAACAAGGATGGCGACCAGTACGAAGGCTGGTGCTGGCCGGGCTCTTCCATGTGGGTTGACTGCTTCAACCCAGCTGCCATCGACTGGTGGAAGGGTCTGTTCAAGTACGACAAGTTCAAGGGCACTGCGCACAACACCTTCATCTGGAACGATATGAACGAGCCTTCAGTCTTCAACGGACCTGAGACTACCATGCCCAAGGATAACCTGCACCACGGTAACTGGGAGCATCGCGATGTGCACAATATCAACGGTATGACCTTCCACAATGCCACGTACCAAGCCATTGTCGAGCGCAAGAAGGGCGAGGTTCGCCGTCCTTTCGTTCTCACGCGTGCTTTCTACTCCGGCAGTCAGCGTAGTGCTGCCATGTGGACAGGTGACAACCTAGCTGAGTGGGCTCATCTTGAGGCCTCGCTGCCCATGGTCCTCAACCAGGGTATCTCTGGCTTCCCCTTTGCTGGTGCAGATGTCGGAGGTTTCTTCGGCAATCCTAGCAAGGAACTTTTGACTCGTTGGTACCAGGCTGGTATCTACTACCCCTTCTTCCGAGGTCACGCTCACATCGACACTCGTCGCCGCGAGCCCTACGTTGCTGGCTCGCCTTATACCGAGATCATCACTCAGGCTTTGCGTCTACGTTACCAGCTGCTCCCTGCTTGGTACACTGCTTTCCACGAGGCGGCCACCAATGGTGCACCAATTGTCCGACCCAACTTCTACGTACACCCCGAAGACGAGAGAGGTTTTGCCGTCGACGATCAGCTCTACATCGGCTCTACTGGTCTTCTTGCGAAGCCAGTGACCAAGGAGGGTGCGGACAGCGTCTCCGTCTACATCGCCGACGACCAACCCTACTACGACTATTTTGACTACACCACCTACAGTGGCGCCGGCCATCATACCGTCCCCGCGCCTCTCGAGAAGATCCCTCTCCTCATGCAAGGCGGGCACATCATCCCCCGCCGCGACCGCCCCCGTCGCTCCTCGGGTCTAATGAAATACGACCCCTTCACGCTCGTCGTCGTCCTCGACAAAGACGGCAACGCCTCCGGCACACTCTACATCGACGACGGCGAAACCTTCGACTACCAATCCGGCGCCTTCATCCACCGCACCTTCAACTTCGACGGCGGCCGCCAGATCCTCACGTCCGGCAACCTCGACACCAGCGCGCCCAGCTCCAAGGCGCAGAAATACATCAAGAGCATGGATAAAGTCAAGATTGAGAAGATTATCATCGTGGGCGCGCCAAAGGCGTGGAAGGGCAAGGAGAGTGTAGTTGTCATGGAGGAGGGCAGTAAGGAGACGAAGAGGAGGAGGCCAACGGCGGTGGAGTGGCATGCGGCCGAGGGCAAGAAGGCTGCGTGGGCGGTGGTGAGGAAGCCAGATGTTGGTGTTGGGAGGGGGTGGAGGATTGATTTTGGGGAGAAGGAGGGGCATGAACATCATGGGCATGAGCATTGAGTGGAAGATGAGATAGGGGTGGACTGAGGAATGTTATGATGAATGTGTAGACTGTAGAGTATGGAATACGAAATATAGGCGACATGTCCTCATACTAGTGTCTAATCTCTACGCCATGCTTCCCAGGCTCGGAACAACTACTCCCCAAGTCATCAACTACGAAGCAAAGCTGAACTAGTATACACCGGGTCTTCGCATCGCGTTCCCCGCGGTCAGCTCAAGAACAATTTCCCCCAGTTCCTCCACGGTACATCCCGTCCCGATGCGGTTACTCGTACACGTTTCTTCGACGCCGGTACGTAGTATTGAGAACCCTGTTGTTTGCCACGTGGAGCATTGACCTTTGCTTTTGCCACGTCTACAACACCGGTCTCTTTTGCGGGACTCTTGGGGGCTTTCGGTGCGGCAGCGAGAGAAGTGACGGCGTCCTGTGCGCTTTGTGGAAAAATGGGCGTAGAAGTGTTCCGACTAGAAAGTGCCCATGGAGAGATCGAGAGCGTCGTGAAAGAACGGGGAACATACGGAGAATTGTCGTCTTGGGCGGAGGGGTCGGGTTTAAGATGCTGGAATGACGGCGGGCTCGAGCTCTGGTGGGATTGTGGTACATCTTCTTCTTGCCTGCTCGAGCACGGGTTTTCAGCTGTTCCTGCATGGAGAGCGGCTGTTGGCATCGATGCGCGTTTGGGCGTTGGTGATTTGAAGGGCTCTTTGGAAATGTGCTGGACGCTGTTGCGAGGAGTAGATGTGCCAAGTGGCTCCGTATACATCTCCCTCAACAATGACGACGGTCGACGATGAGGAGGGACCTCAGGATTCTTTGGAGTAGAGGTAGGTGAAGATGCAATTTCATCTTCGGGCTCGCTGTCTACAGTCTTTGATATCTCTGGCTCATCTTCTGGTGGATTGGACATTAACTCCGCAAAGTCTGAAAGGTCGTCGAGATATCTGTGGAGCATATGATTTGACGTGTCTTTCATGATGTTCTGCGGTAGTTGAGCTTGCAATTGGGCGATTTGCTCAAGTATCAAAGCCGTATCATCCTTGATTGCTGCAGTATCCTTGCGAATCTCCTGGGTATCGTCTTTGATGTCCCGAGTGATCGTGATAGCCACCATGTCGAGCGCAAGGCCAAGCGCAGTCTTGTGCGTCTCCAGACTTGATCTGAACTTCGTCATATCGCCTTTGCCACCGCCCACAGCCCAATGTCCCGCTCTTCCCAATCGCGAAGCACTGTGTTTCTTAAGAGAAGCCTCCACGTCGGTGACAACATGTTTGCAGTTCTTCAGAATATCGATAATCTGGTCTTTCAATCTTTCAGGCAATGTCGCAGTGTGAGGTCCTTCTGTATCTTCAGCGAGCAGCTCGAGCACGGATTTGAGCGAGACCAGTTCCCGAGAGATTGCATCCAGGTCTCCACGTGCATCGCGAACTTCCCTGACAAAGTTTGTCACGGCAACCGATACCTGCGTTATTGTCGTGATCAAGGTAATGCAGGATACCGATATGGACAATGGGTCCATGGGGTGCTGTGGCGGTGAGTCAGTAGCCTAGGCGTTGCGTACCAAGGTCTGCGATGTACGGTCCGTCCCGATTCGCTTCCCGGAGGCTGTTGAATGTGCAGGAAGCACTTTAAAGATAGAGACCCGGTTTTCAAAAGCCTGAATGTAAACTGAAGTCGAAAGGAAGCTGAAAGTAAAATTTGGTGTTGCGGGAGGCAGAAGGACCAAGGCTGAACCGAGGGTTGCTGCGGCTTGCTGCAGGCTGACAGGCCAATGACTTGTCTGCCCGCCATCAACACTACACATGCATATTTAGATGTCGTAGTGATGAAGTTAGATGCATCAAACGCATCAACTCTTGCTCGGTTCTCCTCTCTACATCCTTCGTCTACTCTTTCGTTTACTACATGCACCCACTCATGCGACCCGCATATTCCTCGACAATTAGATTTTGACTGCCCAAGCCTACTTACTGCCTCGAGGAAGGAGTGCAAACACGACAAACTTCATTTTTACGACGTCGACAGTGTCATGAAGGGTAACACGGAAGAAGAGGGCGCTTGTGCAACTCATAAGTGCCTTTTAGCTTGTGGAATTGCGACTAGAATCGTGGTGAGAGAGAACAAATGTATGGGAGGGATGATTCCCTTAAAAGCATCCGGGAGTCGGAAGTCAGTGACGGAATCAACTTTTGTACCATAGAATCCCCCAAAGCCTCATTTCACCGTGAAGTGAAATCACAGATTGTGGAGTGCCCATCAGAGAATCTTCACAGTGTAGATTAAACTAAAAACACAACAGACGGCTCTTTCCCCTCACCCCTCAACTGCTTTACGCCCTCAATCGCGCCAACACCATGGAAGTAGCTTTCTCCCACAAGCTCACACTCATTTACAGATGCACGCATACGCATAACAAACGGCACTGCGCCCCCAGGTATCAGACACACAAGATCGCCCGGGCGGGCACCGCCAGGTACTAAACCCACCATACCACCGCGCGTCACGCAGAACGCGCGATCCCACGACGTGACGAGCACAGTGTTATACCAATCGACCATTTTCGCTAGCGTGTCGTCCATGGGGTCACGATAACGATCGCTGTATTGCTCTATGTCCTCGAAGAGGGAGGTAGCTGAGATACCGGAATGATGCGATAAGGTGTATTTCCATCGAAGATAGCCATGGTATGTATCTGGGAGTGGGCGGGTGCGGTTGCTGGTGTTCGCGGAATCGGCTATTGTTGTGCGCCAGAATGCTTCGAATAGAGGAATGCTGGTGGATTGAGGTATCGTCATGGTGTAGGGATCGCGGGCGTGAGTAATGGCTAGCTTCTCAGCGGCGTCAAACCACGATATGAGTTGTTTGTATTCATCCTCTCCAGCAGTGCTGTGTAATTTGGTGCTGATGTGTTCGATGTAGTCGATTTCATAAATCTTGAGTTGCAACTGACCATCTTCATGCAAATTTATGCCTCTTTCTGCTAGTGGAACGGTCTGTGGACCTTCGTAAAAGTGCCAGTACAGCGGTTGGGCAGCTGGGATGTTCGTCCAATCGGGCACATAAGAGGGAAGACCTGGAAAATTTCGATCAAAGCCACATCCTGCCTTACAAAATAACTCAAAGGTCCCGTACTTTAGAAGAATTTTGTTCACTGCGTCTGTAAGTACATCCTCCACAGATTTACTGTAGTCGGGGATGATACCCAGGCTGTCGACGTCGGAGGCGAGAGCGCATAAGCCATAGATACAGTCTCTGATGTTCGTTGCTTGTCGAAACCAGCATTGAGGCAGAAGGTCCAGAAGTGAGCATCTTTCGCCGGCTTCGAGCAGATCCCTTAGCCATTGGATGATGGGTATTGCGCTGCAGCCATCGGGATGGCCGACACCAAAGTCCTCACCTTCGCCGGGCTCTTTAATAAACATGCTGTATAACATGCTATTGTCATCGCCCAGTATATGCATACGTTTCCAAGGTATCATATGTCGTCCGTATTGTATGACAACATTGCGTCCCACAACAACTTCTTGGAAAGTCCAAACGCGCCGCCACCAGGGATGATGTAGGAAGTCTCTCAACGCAGTCCACTCGGGGGATCTCATCCTAGGTCGATGTATTCCCTGCATACTCTGAACAGTGTGTGTTCCGGCATCATGTTGTTCGTTCAGCTCGTTGAGCAAGTCCACGGCCAAATCCGCATTCCCTCTCGGTCTCGGAAACCAGATGACGACACGAGATGCCTTTTCGTATACGGCCTTCATTAGCAAAATTTGATGTTGCTTTTCTTCAAGATCCTCCTGGTTGATACAGATAGCGTCTATCCAGATGCGACGAGGCGAAATGGCGTCTCGAAGTTCGACTAGTGCATCTTGCGCGTTCCCGAAGGCGATGAAACGTTTTCCATCAATCTGGATTGGGTTCTTGGTATCATTGTTGCCCCAAGTATAGGAGAGTGCTTCATAAACTGGTAAGGAATCTAGACTGGCGCTTTCCAATGTACACGAAACAGGATCTTTTGTGCTGCCTGGAAGGACTGTAAGGATCCTGATCTCGGACCGAGCATCTTTGAACTTCTCAAACATGTAATCTGCCATGATAGGATAGCGGGCTGGATCTGTAGATATCAGTGTGGCAATTTGCTTGAAGTCTCCAGCTGATTCTGGAGCCTTGCGAGCGATTCAAGAGGGGCATCAGGCTGCTACATGACGCTACACCTAACCGAGATCATCTAAGCAATGAGGCTGAGGACATGTCCTTGGTCTTTCGACGTTAAATGATTGAATCCTCGGTTGATTTCCAAAGTTCTGCTATGTCTTCTCTTCAGAGCCCAGCCGCAGCCCCTAACTCTTTAAATCATCATCTCACGCGTTGCGACCTCGGAAGTGTTGTGTAGTTCTGCCAGGAGGACAAGCGCGAAACGGCGAGCTTGCCGGCATCTCAATCTCACCACAACTTACCAGGAAAGGCTACATGGCATGTATATCTGGATTCAGATACATCGATCGCGCCAAAGAAGCACGACCATCATGACATTGAAGTCACTGGACGATGTCGACAGTACCCTAGTCCCCATATTAGCGTCCCACTAGCCCCGTCTAACCCGCGTACCCCTGTCACCTATCATAAAGCTAGCAATCATCCCAGAGATCCCATCAGTCTTCCTCCACCAACTCGCCGCAATCTTGAATACAACGACTCTGATTCTAATAAACTGCTATTTCCCACGAAACCAAATCTCAGAATCTTTGAAGATGCCACGCGGCAAACTCATCGTTCTCGAGGGTCTCGACCGCGCTGGAAAATCCACGCAATGCCAACTCCTCGTCTCATCGCTGCAAGAAGCTGGCTTGAAAGTGCGACACATGAGATTTCCCGGTAAATGCTGCGCTTGATTCATACAGAATAGCCGTAGCTTACAGTATATTAGATCGAACAACGCCCATTGGGCAAATGATCAACGCGTACTTGGCTGGCGACACTGAATCTGAAGACCACGTTATCCATCTGCTATTTTCTGCGAATCGGTGGGAAGCTGCGTGAGTGTATATCTATTCAGAAAGGATAAGAAGTGTTGGAATTGATTTAACGTATGAAAGTGCGTCTATCGAAGCTGACCTACGAGCCGGAACTACAATTATAATCGATCGGTATTACTACAGCGGCTGCGTATACTCCGCTGCCAAGCACAATCCCAGCATGACGCTCGAGTGGTGCAGAAAACCGGATGTCGGTCTGCCGCGGCCAGATCTATGCGTGTTCTTGGACATCTCAGCGGATGATGCGGCGAAGAGAGGCGGATATGGCACGGAGAAGTACGAGAAGAAGGAGATGCAGGATCGTGTGCGGGAGTTGTTTGAGACGCTGATGGGGAGGAAGGAGGGCGAGGATTTTGTGAGAATTGATGCTGGCGCGAGTTTGGAGGAGGTGCAGAAGAAGGTCAAGCATGAGGTTGACCGGTGTATTGAGCGGGTTGATCGGGAAGATTTAGCGCTGCGGGTGGTAGAGGAGTGGTAGAAAATCATCTCGATTTCTTGACGGGAGACGGCTCTTCGTCTTGACTCATGTCTTCCATCCACGTCTCATCAAGCTCCTCGTCCTCTTGTTCGAGCGCCTGCCCATCAGCTGCATCTGACTCTGCGGGGTTGTCTGATTTCCTCTTCCGCTTGGGTTTGAAGAGAAGCTTAAGCTCTTCTTCGCCGTTTGTGCGCAGACTGAGCTCTTTGATCATTGTTGCCCATTTGATACAGCTGCGGCATCCTGGACAAGTACCTTCTAATGGAACGAGAGTTTCGAGCTCCCCTCCTTCGGTGAGGAATTTGTTCGACAGACAAGACAGATGTGATACTGTCTGACATGCTTCGATGGGGCAGACCAGTATCAGCGATGATGACATGTCCGCCGGATTCTTACACACACCACAACCCAGCCGTTGATCATCTTCAAGCACCCTTCTCGACTTTTCAATGTACTGCTTGCAGTCCTCGTATGCGACAGGGATTGCTCTGATGACCTCGGGGATAAAGTGTGTCTGTAGCTCAGTCGAGACGTCACTGGCTAATTTGGGAATCTCAGCTGGCGTCAATTGTATCGTGATACTCTTCCTCAACGTCGTCGTCATTTTCGTGGTGTGTCTCTCCCACTGCACAAAGACATCCGGTGCGAAGAACCTCAAATTCAGGGGCCACCGGCAGAAGCTATCCACACTCAGCAGATGATGCAAGTTCTTCAGCCTTGCTTCGAGTGACATGGGCGGCCTCTTTCTCCTCCTTCCAGGCGAGGTGGCTTTCTTCTTGCCCTTTTGCAGTTCCTCGGCCCTTGCATCTCGCACATCTTTGTCGATATGTCGTGTCGCGTGCGTGTTTTGCCACGCCCACTCAAACTGGAGGGCTGCGAACTTGGAAGGAAAACCTGTAACAATGCAAGTCATCTCCCACGGCCGCTTCCCCTGCATCGATGTACGTTTCGCGCCGCCCTTGCTCGACCCATTGTGCTGACCCAGGCGACGTGCAGGGTTGGGTGTGCTCCCAATGTAGTAGGATTTGCGATTCTTCGATCGCAGTAGATAGCAGCAGTAGAAGGCCGGAATTGGCCTGCTCTCGATTTTGAGAGCCTCCGACATGATCATGGATGGTAGTCGACGTTGTTGTTGATCGCAACGGGTCGAGTATCAACGGCACAGGGCTGCCGGGATGCAGCCGGATGCGGTCGGGGTCTTATTGGCCGGGTGTTAGGCTATCGATCGTGGATCCTTGCTGCCGACCTCAGGTCTCTGGAGCGCCGCAACTTCGGCTTAGTTGCTTGCTACTGAGATGCACGATGCGCACAAGAGGACAACGAGAGAAATTGAACTGCCTGTAAGTGGCCCTATGTTCTATGAGTGCCCAGTCCCAACGACCGAGGTGTGCAGCCTTTCGGCGACGCAACCACGCAGCTGGTCGGGTAGTGCCGCATGCGTCAAGCCGACGAGAGCATGTGTAAGTATAAGTGTCGGCGGACAATGCGATGAAATGAAATGGTGTTATGAGCTTGGGTGATGAGATTGAATGCTTGTCGAGATCAAAGTCGAGAGATGAGGTCGGCAGCCCTGCGTGAGCGACTGGGTATGTCTCATCCTGGCCGACGACATGTCCAGACGCAAATCTAATATCGGACTTTTTTCAGCTTACACACCGGACGAAAATAAAACTGGTTTGATATGTGCGCTGCTGCAGCCAGTGATTTAGTGGGTGTGTGCACCAAAGAGCCTTATATCGTCGGAAAAGGCAGTGGTTGATGTAATGGTCAGAAGTTCTTGGTTCGGGGCCTAGAGGCAGTTAGCGAGCGGGAAGGGCAATCAATGCACGCTCTCTCTCGCTCACCATCTCCGTTTCCCGCACCTGTCATTCCCTCTCACTCCACCACACATCGCCTGTAACAGAACACGACCACGCCGGCTAGACAGCGACTGTCGGTGCGCGAGCCGCCAGAGACGTTCGATAGTCGTTTCGCCAGACACGGTACTCGTGTACATCAACTTCGTCGAGCCGAAAACAGTCGCCTGCCGTTGATACGGCCTTATGCCGCGCCATATATTCCCACGATAACCACCACAACCGCCCGATTCAACCTTCACGACGAGCCCAAAACATCTCCAACTGCCCTCGAATTCGTTATAAAGCTCCTCCCGGGGTCGGATTGGCAGTCGCGCCGGGTGCAGCGGCGAGGAAGGTGCCATGGTCGACATTATGCCCCAAGCAGGGCCGTCCACGGGCGCAACCATGACCACGTTTCGGGTCACAGACAACGGAATGCCAGACGGCGCATCGCCTGCACCAAGATCCAGAATGAGCGGTGTCGCGATGCCTCTTGTCAATGGTGCGCAGCCGAACGGTATGGTCACGATTCCTTTGAGCGCCCGCAAGGCACAGCCGCTAGATCTTGCGACGGTTGAGCGCAGAGGTTTTGGCGCACCAAACAACCAGCCACCAAAGTCAAATCGCATGTTCGGCCTGAAGGAATCACCCACATATCGCCCGACTGCCGAGCAGTTCAAGGACCCCGTGCAGTATATCCAGAGCATTCGTGAGGAGGCGCAACAATATGGCATCGTCAAGATCATCCCGCCCGACAGCTGGACTCCTTCATTCGCCATCGATACAGAAGTACGTGTAGTTCAGTTCCGAGCGATTGAAGCTTTGTCAATCTTCAACTTTTTCGAAACCACCACATGTGCCATGTAGCTAATATGCATCAGCGCTTTCACTTCCGCACGCGACGGCAGGAGCTCAATTCTGTCGAAGGAGGTGTGTATTTTCCACCAACCATGACTTTTCAAATGTGCTAATGCAGCCAGGTACACGTGCCAATCTGAATTATCTGGACCAACTTGCCAAATTCCACAAACAGCATGGCCACAGTCTCACTCGTTTCCCTAGTGTGGACAAACGACCACTGGATCTGTACAAGCTCAAGAAGGCTGTGGAGACCAGAGGCGGCTTCGAGCGTGTCTGCAAACAGAAGAAGTGGGCCGAAATTGGACGAGATCTCGGCTACAGTGGCAAGATCATGTCTTCGCTGTCGACTTCGCTGAAGAACTCATACCAGAAATGGTTGCACCCGTATGAAGAGTACTTGCGCGTTGTGAAGCCTGGAGTGCAGCAGATGCTTGAATTGGAGCACGGTGGGCCCTTCACCCCATCGCCTGCGCATTCGCCCATGAAGAAATCGGCGCAGGGCACACCCGTCGCGAATTCGTCCGACTCACCTGCAATGAAGGCGTCGGCAGCTCTGAATGCGACGCTGCATGGTGATGCTGTGCAGGGTCCGCCCACGGAATTGCCTCGGCCTGCCATGGCGTCTGGCTTCACATCTGTAAATTCCGCTGGAGGCTTCACAGCAGTCAATTCTCAAACCCCACAAGCGACTCCTGTACAGCCACCGACATCAGGCTCTTTCTCCGCAGTCAATACTCCAAACGGCTTCCATCGCGAACATGTTGATTCTCGCACTGCTACTCCTCTGCGCAATGGTGGCAGCCCTATGCTGTCTGCGCACAACACGCCAGATCTGCGGCCAGCTGCGCTTGGCTTGACTCCACTGTCGAGTGGCCAAATGTTCAACCAGCTCAAGCGCACACTATCGCAAGATGCAGAGGACAGCTCGAACGGCGATACAGACGAGAACGGGCGACGTAGCAAGCGGCTAAAGAAAGGTAAGCACATTTTCGTATGCAGTCTCGCTCCACCCGCCACTAGAACAGGGATGTCGTGTCAGCGCGTCTGTTCTGATCCAGGGACGGGTGAGACGGACGCTGCACGTCTCATTGGGTTGTGGACCTCGCTAACGCACCATGCTGCAGATGCGGCGCCCACCGTTGCAGGCTCGCACATGACGCAGCCGCGACAGTCGACACCAGGCTCGACTTTCAACCCTCGTGCACGTGCCGCAGATGAGAGACCCGGAGATGTAAGTGCAGTCACGCTATCCCACACCAAGATACTAATCCCCTGCTAGCGATGTGAGACCTGCGGTACCGACAACGATCCGCAGAGCATCTTGCTCTGCGACAGCTGCGATGCTGGGTACCACGGCTACTGCCTCGACCCGCCTATCAAGGCCGTTCCTACCTTCGACTGGCATTGTCCACGATGCCTCGTCGGCACGGGCGAGTTTGGTTTTGAGGAGGGTGGCGTTTACTCTCTCAAGCAGTTCCAAGAAAAGGCGCACAACTTCAAACAGGCGCATTTCGCCAACAAGACAGCTTTTGATCCTGTCACCAACGCGCCGCGGGCCGTGACTGAAGAAGATGTTGAGAGTGAATTCTGGCGATGCGTTGGGAATCTGACTGAGACAATCGAAGTCGAATATGGAGCTGACGTACATTCAACAACACATGGAAGCGGCTTTCCCACAATCGAGAAGAACCCACGAGACCCTTACTCGACTGACCCCTGGAACCTGAACATACTTCCCTACGCACCCGACTCGCTCTTCCGCCACATCAAGTCCGACATCTCAGGTATGACGGTACCGTGGCTGTATGTCGGCATGGTCTTTTCGACCTTCTGCTGGCATGCCGAAGACCACTACACGTACTCGGCCAACTACCAGCATTTCGGCGCTACAAAGACTTGGTATGGTATTCCGGCTGAGGATACCGAGAAGTTCGAGCAAGCAATGCGCGAGGCAGTGCCAGAATTGTTCGAGTCACAACCAGATCTCCTATTCCAGCTCGTCACGCTTCTCACCCCTGAACAACTGCAGAAGGCTGGTGTCCGAGTCTATGCACTCGATCAGCGTGCTGGAGAGTTCGTCATTACGTTCCCTCAAGCTTACCACGCTGGCTTCAACCACGGCTTCAATATGAACGAAGCTGTCAATTTTGCACCATCAGACTGGGAGCCCTTTGGCGAGTTTGGTGTCCAACGCCTCCAGGACTACAGGAGGCAACCATGTTTTTCGCACGATGAGTTACTCCTGGCAGCCGCCGCGCGCAAGGACACAACAATCAAAACCGCAAAATGGCTTGGTCCCGCACTGGAGCGAATGCGCGATCGCGAAGTCGGCGTGCGCGCGTCCTTCCTAGAAAAGCACAAGGCTGCAAAGGAGCACTCGTGCAAGATTGACGGCACCGGCGACTCTGAAGTACAGTGCGAGCTGGAATTCATCGTTGACGACACCGACATCCACGAAGACGAGCAGATCTGCACGCACTGCAAAGCATACAGCTACTTGTCTCGCTTTTACTGCCGCAACGCAAAGAAGGTTGTGTGCCTGCAACATGCGGGCTGGTACGAGTGTTGTCCGGGAAGCATCGAGGCAGATCGCTTGACTGGAGCTCGTGGCGAGCATGTGCTCATCTATCGCATGCCGGCCGACGCTCTAGAATCTATCGTTCAGAAAATCGTTGACAAGGCCGGAACCCCTGAAGCTTGGGAAGAGAAGATGGAAGCTCTTCTATCCGAAGGTCCCCAGCCGCAATTAAAATCTTTACGCTCTCTCCTCAATGAAGGCGAGAAGATTGATTGGGATCTTCAGGGCCTACCGGACCTGAAAGACTTCGTGGAGAAGTGTCAGGAGGTTGCGGAAAATGCTATCAACTACATCACTCGAAAGCAGCAGAATCGACGCAAAAATGAGCGAGTCTGGAAAGGACGCGGCGCGGGCAAACAAGCAGCAGCGATTGAAGCCGACGAGAAAGAACGAGAGTATCGTAGCGTTGAGAACATCCAAAAGCTTCTTAATCAGGCGAAAGAACTCGGCTTTGACTGCCCAGAGATTTCTTCTCTCCGCGAACGTGCTGAAAGCATTGCAGTATTCCAGGAGAAGGCGCGAACGACCTTGCGCGAACGACCAAATCAACAAAGCATCGCTCGACTAGACGAACTTCTCGAAGAAGGCAAGGGGTTCAACGTCGACTTGCCTGAGCTCGAAGCGCTTGAAAAGGTTGTACAACAGCTGAAATGGCTACAAGAGACCGAAGACTTCAAGTTCAAGCAAGCGACTACTCTGAAAGAAGTGGGTGAATTGATTACTCGAGGTGCTGAGCTTGGCATACCGGACAATCACCTTGAGATACAGTTCTTGCAAAGTAAGAAGGACCAAGGCGAATTCTGGGAGACCAAGGCAAAAGAGCTCATGGCTGTCGAGAACGTTCACTACCAGCAGCTGGATGCTCTGTCGAAGCAAGCTGCAAGCTTACCTGTCACACCCGAGACCCGCGCCGCAGTTGACGCCATCTTGAAGAAACAAAGAGATGCGCAGGAGTTGATAATGTCACTTTATGAACGCAGTAAGGACCCCGACTTCTCGAAGCGCCCCAAGTACACGGAAGTCAAGAACGCGATCGAAGGCCTGAGTGTGTTGAATAGCAAGCCACCCGGTACCATCGACCTCGAGAAGGAACAGAAACGCCATGAAGACTGGATGCGCACCGGAAAGAAGCTGTTCGGCAAGGCCAACGCACCTTTGCATATCCTTCACGCGCACATGAAGCAAGTTGACGAGCGGAATCAGTCGTGTTTTGACCTGTCCGACCAGCCTAGAATGCCGGTCGAGCCTGCGTCTCGCGAGGCAACCCCCGTCGAAGGAGAAGATAGCGTGGAAGGCTCGGGCTCAAACCGCGGAGTGTTCTGCATTTGTCGCCAAAAGGAAGCGGGCATGATGATCGAGTGTGAGCTGTGTCATGAATGGTGAGTTCTTCATTATCGTGAATCGCAACAATCGCTAACTTCAAAAAGGTACCATGGCAAATGCCTGAAGATCGCCCGCGGCAAACTAAAGGAGGATGATAAGTACACCTGTCCCATCTGTGATTACAGGGTCAAGATTCCTCGTGACGCCACTCGGCCTAAACTTGAAGATCTTCAGAGGTGGCAAGACATGTTACCTGATCTACCTTTCCAACCGGAGGAAGAAGACACTTTGGAGTCCCTCATTCATCATGGCACAAAGTTCCGCGAGTACGTCGCACAGTACATCAACCCGTTGATGTCAAGTCCCGATGAACTCACTACTCAACGCTTCTACCTGCGAAAACTTGAAGGTGCAGAGATTCTCCTGGCCAACGAAATCAACTTCTTCCGACAAGAATTGCACAAATGGGCTCCTGTTGCTCCATCACCTCCGCCTATTCTGCAGATGTCACTGTCGACGCGCAAGCCACGGCCTACCAAACAACAGAAGCTCATGAACCAGTTGGGTCTGACCAATCCCGATGACTTGCCACAGCACCTGAAACCAAAGACACAGCAGTTCACCAAGAGCAAGTCGGTGGATCCTACGAAACCCCAGCTTCAGCCTGCGCCCGAACAATCGCACACTCCACCTGGTGACCCTCGGCGTGGCGAGTTTGGCGATAACGACTACTTCAATTCTAGCACTGTGCCCACGTCCGCCTTCAACAACTCGCCCACCTTCACTACCAATGCTCCTCTGAGCTTCGGCGGTGGCTCGTCAATTGCGCCCATCGATCCCGGCCTGTTTGAGACATCTGGACCAGCCCCAACAAGCCCGATGCAAGACCCCTTCAAGAGTTCCGGCAACGGTCACGAGATGTTTGGCGAGGCCATGGACATGGGTGGCGGCCAAGCAGAAGAGGCTTTGGCCGCAACAGAAGGCAACTACATGGATTAGTAGTTCATGTTAGCAGACCTTCCGATACCGATGCCATCTCCACGACGACTTCTGCACGACTCCTTCTCACGACCTTCCTTTCCATTCTGCCACAAGAAAACGACTACTTGCGATGTGTTCCGGCATACACATGTTTAATGAGCTGCTTGTACGATGTCATATGTTTCTGTATATGTATTCGTCTGTTTTCCCTTCACCGACAGGATAGTAGAGGTCACTCGGCTGCGATTGTCTGCTGCAGGATATTCTCAGCACGATGGTCCGAGCCGGTCAAAAACTGTTGTTGCTGCATTATAGTGGGTGTTATGGTGTAGTAATAAGTCCAAATACCCGACACACGGTGTGTAGAGGTGTTCTTGTATTTCGATAATCGATGAATGGATATTTCAGCATTTTGCAATCAGTCTACCTTGTGCTCGTGCTGAATGGTGATGACGCAACGACGTGGGAGCAGAAGATGCGGTTCTGGTCTAAGTGGATGTCGGGCTTGGCGTTCGGAACTTTGGAAAAAGATGGACCACCTCGAGCTCCAACAACGACTTTGGACGCCATCACACAATGCTGCCCAGTAGAGGGCTGCGGCCTGCCCAATTCGCAGCTTTGAGTTCGCGACAACCAGCGTTACCTCGGTCCAGTGCTTCAAGAAAGGTGCGCATACTTCAATCCCCGCATGGCTGGTTCATCACATCTCCGCCGTCACCTCCGCATGCCGCAACTCTGCACCGCCTGTACTGCACCCAAGCCCAACTCCAGGGACCGCTTGTACCGCAAATATCCAGACTTAATGCTGATATGACACTCTCAGTTCTCTTCGTTACCACGTACTGCTGGCCTATCCGCACCCTCATGCCGCACAAGCCCACTTCAGTCGGCTAGGTGGAGGACTGGCGCAACCGGTCGTTCACCTGTTGTGCTGACTGCTTCCTCTGTGCGCAATGGCTCCTGGTACGCTCCATGGAGCTGGGGCAAACCCAGCACTCCCTCTGGCAACGCGCCCGCCTCTGGAACAGAGCAAGTTCCAATCGCCGAATTCACAAATAATCCCGCCTCACATCACATCGAACCCGCCGTAACGTCGACAACACCAGAACTCGCGCCCGCAGGAATAGACAAGGCTCCGGTGTTTAATAGCACCTCGGATGCGACAAGCACGGCTGCTGACAGCATGACCGCTTTTAACGACGCGAAGACAATCGACGACCTGCTCGGCAGTGAGCCTACACCAGACGTCATAGCCACCAAAGCCGAAATTGACCCCACCGCCCTCATCGATCATGCTGGACAGCTGAAAGAGCTGGGTCTGGACTATGGCTGGGGCCTCACAACAGTCTTCGAGCGGACCATCGAATCGATCTACTTGAATACTGGTTACGGTTGGGCAGGGTCCATAATGCTTGCCGCTGTAGCCGTTCGCGGCGCTACCTTTTTCTTCCAGGCCCTTAGTTCAGACAGGATGGCAGCGTTGGCCGCTCTCAAGCCTCTCACAGAACCCATACAAGAGAAACTGACGGCCGCGATTGCACGAGGAGACAAGCAGGCCGAGCAGATGTACAAAATGCAGCAGGCTCAAGTCATGGCGCCGCATATGGGCGGCATGTTCTCCATGGGAGGATTCATGATTATACAAGCTTGGATTGGTTTCAGTGCTTTCAGATGTCTCCGAGCCATGGGAGCACTGCCTGTGCCTGGCATGGCGAACGATGGCTTCTTCTGGTTTAAAGACCTTACCGTTAATGACCCGTACTACCTCATTCCTGCAGCCATTACTGGCATTTTTTATAGTCTCTTCAAGGTACGATCGCCCCCCAGTACTCGCCCATTCTTCCAGCTAACCTCCTCTAGATGGGCGGTGAAACGGGTGTCTCGGCCGAAGCTGCCGGCCAGCAGAACGCGTTTCGACAGAGCCTTATGACGGGCCTTGCCTTTTTCATGGGTATTGTTACCTCGTTTCAACCTGCTGTTCTGCAGCTCTACTTCCTCACTTCTGGTGTCCTAGGTGCTGGGACCGGTTACCTACTCCGCCAAAACTGGTTCAGACGCCTGATCCACATCCGCCAGCTCCCAAGCAAACAGAGCGCAGAGATCTATAGCAAGGTTGTAAAGGGCGAGGTCAGTCTCTCCCAGATCAAGGGCAAGGACGGAAAGATCCGATACCAAGCGCCTACCGCTCCCACAAACCGCCGCTCAGCGACTACTCTCCCTGGCATCAAGATTCGCGAAGGCTTAACAGTGCCCGCTCACCTCAAGGTCGAGGAGCCAGTGAAGGTTAGCAGCGAGCGCCAAGACCGTGACGAGGACTTTGAGGCAGGTGCTCAGGGTACGATGTTGGAGAAGCTGAGCTACTACCGCAGGAATTACCGCCTTGCGTACATTTACAGGCGCACGCAGGGAAGCATTGAGAGGTCATTGGAGAAGATGGGTTATGGGGGTATCAAGACCACCGAAGCGCAGAAAAAGAGGAAGATGCGTGCGGAGCAGTATGAGATTGAGAGGAGGCGGAGGTTTGAGAATAGGAAGTAGTGTAAGAATACCAGGGTGGAGATTGTGGTAGCAGATGTACATGGCAAAGGCTCTTGGTGAGTCTCAATGGCTGTTGTAGATCTTTCTTGTACAATATCGATGCATATGCTCTCACATCAAACGATGTTATAACTCGCTCAATGTAGTGACTTGCACACACGGTATATTCCTTCATGCAATGATCGTAGTCCGGTTCATATGTACACTCGCACGCCGCACTTTGCCAGCCACATCGTGTCAGACTATATCCATCTCCATTCCATTCCACATTTCCCCCACGCCCTTTCCTTCTACTCCAAGCTCGTATACATGTCCAATTCCTGCCCATTCCTCCTCCTCCTCTCCACGGGATCCGCCCTCATCTCGACCCCCGGCCCCACGCGTCTCGCATCCCCTCTATGCGTCGGGAAAACCTGCATGACAGACATTAGCGCCTACACCCCAAAATCCTTCCCCCCTCACATCCACAAAAACGTACCTTGGTCCCACTCCACCCCCAACCTAAACGCCGCCTCGTTCGCGACCAGCTCTCCGAACCCCAGCATCAGCCCGTTTACGAACGGCAGGAACAGATTTATTGCGGCGCCCCGGAATAGACCCCAGAGCGTGGGCGGCTTGTAGAGGATCATGGGCGACGAGGAGGAGGGCGGGGAGGGGGATGGCGAGTCGGCGGGCGCGGAGTAGGATTCGCTATCCGTGGGGATTGTTAGGCCGGAGGCGGTGAGGGGGGTGGGGTCGTCCATTGGGAGGGTTATATGTGTGAGGTTGTAGGAGAGAGTTGGGTTGGAGGTGGTCCCGCGGGCGGTGGTGTTGTCGGATGGGTTATGTATGAAGCGGATGCCGACTTTTTTCTTTTTGATCTCAGACAGGCCTGGATATGGCGTGAGGCAATTGGGGGTTTGAGACGCTTTCAAAAAGAGCGTGTTGAGATTTATTCAGCTTCCGAGGTTGGAGAGCTTGGTGGTGGTGATGAGGATTCGTGAGGCTCTGGGGTCGTGCATCCCGCCCGCGCTTGGCGTTGGTGGAGCTAGGACTTTGACGTGTGCGTATTGAATGTTACTTGCACTGGATTGATACGAATTGAACAGGCATTTTGTTCACTCTCACTGTTTGACTGCCATACTCAAACTACCATAGAATTTCTTGTTTCATCTGGCTATTCTATGAAAGTTGAGTGTTGGCTTCCTGCCCAGAGTGAGAGCAAACGAGTATCGACGTCAGCCGCTGCCGCCTCCACGTTCGACGCCCCCACTCCATTAGAGCTCCAGCACTTTCTCGCCGAGCTCCTCAACCACAACACCACCCTCGCTCTACCTTTACCATAATCGACCTGATATGTCTGAAGGCGCGGAGAACCAAGACGCGCAGATAGCACAACTCGCGAGCTTGACTGGTCTCGATCCTGCGACTGTAGGTAGAATCTCGTGGAAACTCGGAGCTCTCACTAATACCGGCCGCAGGCAGAACGCTACTTGAACGCATCCAACGGCGATCTTACTCTCGCTGCTTCGCTCTACTTCGACGAACACCAAGAACAAGAGCAGGGCTCAGAAGCAGACGTCGAAATGGCTGGCGACGAGCAAACTACCGACCCGACCCCCAACCCTCCTCAGCAGCCTGTACCTGGTGGCGCTCGTAGACTCGATGGCTCATATGTTGATCCGCCCGCGGCTGCAGCATCATCCTCATCATCACAGCCTTCGTCCAGCAGACAGGCTCCCCAGCAGCGCGGTGTGGCGGGTCTAAGGACGCTCAAGGACCTCCAGTCGTCGGGTGGCGGAGGCGGACACGGCCATGCCCACGGAGATGGCGATCACAGCTCGGATGAGGACCAGGACGACGAGAACCAGGACTTCTTCACGGGTGGTGAGAAGTCAGGACTGGCGGTGCAGAACCCAAATGCCGCAAACCCTCGCGACCAGATCAACAACATCCTGAAGCGCGCGCGACAGTATGTCTAGTTGTAGCTTGCAGTCGCAACACCAATACTGACAGCAGTAGGAATGCTCCACGACCGGGCGGTGACGACGAGCGGCCGAGCTCATTCTTCCGCGGTACTGGTACTACACTTGGTGGCGACGATGCGCCCTCGCGTACCATCCCCGACCCCAAAGCGGCTGCAGCTGCCGCAGCTCCCCCAGAGCGTGCTCATCGCGAGCTGCACTTGTGGCGTGACGGCTTCTCGGTCGATGACGGTGCCCTTTTCCGCTACGACGACCCCGCAAATGCGCGCACCCTGGAGATGATCAACACGGGTCACGCTCCACTACACATCCTGAACGTCGAGCATGGTCAAGAGGTGGATGTCGAAGTTCACGCGCACAAGGACGAAGACTACAAGCAGCCGAAGAAGAAGTACGTTCCCTTCTCGGGATCCGGCAACCGTCTGGGTAGCCCGACTCCGGGTGTGAGCTCTGCAAGTGCCCCGATGACGGCTGCACCCTCATCAAGTACCACCGCGGCGTCGACCTCAACCACTCCCGCGGCACCATCGGTTGATGTCGATGCTTCGGCGCCCACCATCACACTCCAGATCCGGCTCGGTGATGGCACCCGTCTGCAGTCGCGCTTCAACACCACACACACCATTGGCGACGTCTACGAATTTGTAGATCGCGCTAGTCCCGCGAGCCAGGAGCGCGCATATGCGCTTATGACGACGTTTCCTTCGAAGGAGCTCGAGGACAAGGCGCAGGTCTTGGGCGACATGTCAGAGTTCAAGCGCGGCGGCGTTGTGGTCCAGAAGTGGAAATAGAGACGTGGTACGGTATGATGTGAGCTAGATCTTGACAGCTTGGCTGAGCATAGTATGCACTACCCTCCACAGCGTACATGGCATTCTAGCCATCGGAACAGATGAATCACCTCGAAAGTAGCATTAGTCTCTAGATGACCAACAAAGTACAACGGAGAAATACTCCAACTGTTTCTAGCTTGGCCCACATGATTCATCTAACTTATATTGCATTCATGTTCAACTTGATGTTTGCCGTGTTACACCATGGTGAGGGGTTCACTATTCTAGAAGTTCTATGACGAGCCGATGGTGCATGGGGGGTATGTGTGTTCTGGGCACTTTGGACGCGGACGGGCGAGACGAGCCGTATACGGTTCGAAACAGGGCTGCGGCTGCGGCTGCGGATACGGATGGGGCAGGGTTGTGGGATGGATGTGAGACGAGATTCCAACGGCAGAATCTGGGTCAGATGGATGGGGGATCTAGACTGTGTTTTTGTGTATAGAGGATAGCGATGGCGATGACGATAGCGATTGATACGGACTTTTGTGAATCTACCACCGGTGAGATGTACTGCTCAGTGTGGTGTTGAGATGTGCCGCTCGCTGGTCCCTGCGACTTGGTTCTATGCATTTGGGGTATTGCGCTGTACTAGATTGCGCACTTGCCCGTGTCATGTTGTGAACTGTTGAACGTCTTGCAGGGTTAGTCTTTTGGAGTAATTGAACGCCCTGGAAGGTGCGTGTTGGTCTGTCCAAAATTTAAGCGCTTTGGATGAGATTGATTCTCTCGAAATAGTAGAACGCCTTGCGCCGCATGTTGGATCTACATGACCTCGGGGAGTAAGCCGGAGTTGTCGTTCAACAAGTCAAGAATGAGATCGAATCTTTTGTTGGAATGATCGAGATGCATCGTGTTCTTTTTTACTGCAGGAGTATTTGAGTTTATGCATGCCTATTCAAGAGATGCTTGGCGAGCTGTCGCGTCCATCTCCACGGCTGGAGTTTTACCCAGCTTCGGTTCCTTCAAGGATGGGCTTGGCTGCATGCCGCCTTCTCTCGATCCGTGGACGGGACTTTTTGTAACCAGCATCAATCCCTCCCCTTGGCGTCGTTCTCGAAACGCAGCCGCGCAAGTGAGCCGAAGCACAGTCGTCGCACATGCAATATATCACGGGGGCGATTCGCAATCCCCGATCTCTATAACTTCCCGAACACCGCGCCTCGCAGCCTATCTGCACTGACGAGAGATAGTCCGCGATTCAAATTGAGGCGATTCCCGCGCGCTGATAAATGACGATGAACAGTCTTGGTGCGCCGATCGTGTGCTTTGGGTAAATGAGGTCTCTGCGACTCATGGTGTGACGTCGAACCGTGGCGCACGGTCCCCTTGCGAAACACGCTGGCCAAACCGCCAAATCACATTTCAGCCTCGCAGCATTTGCGAAACCACGCGCTGGTTCCACTCCGATGCTGGCGCACCAATTGCGCAGCCGCAGGCGGGACAACGTGCGCGATCGGCAGGGCAGCCGTGGGGCGTGCGACGCGGCCTTTTGCCCAGGGTTGAGATGAGCTTCGGGGCCGTTTGATTGATGCGATGGGGGTGCGATGGGCTGGTCGCCGAGTTGGGGGTGGGATGATGGAACGCCGCATGCTGTTGGAAGAGATGATGCGACAAGGGTCTTCCATACGCGTAATCCCATTGCCCCAGCCCACGGGGCAGTGGTGTGCGAGGCTGGTGGGTCCTTCCTCTCTTCTATCAAGAAAGCTGCGCGCGGTCCGAATAGTTTCTTGAACGTGTTTTGTGGGTTTGAGATTGTTCGACATTACCGCGCCTTTTGCTTGGTTCTTGTTGCTGTACCTATTCAGTGCGGCGTCCCCGAGCATCGGTCTTTCTTTCTTCTTGCATTTGCCCTTTTGTGTCGCTGGCTCTGTCGCTCTTTCCCCAGGTCGTTGTGGTGTGCTTTTCCTTCCTGCCAGCGCGACGCTCCTTCCGCTTTCTGCGTCTCCAAACGGCCGGCCGAAATCACCTCATTTCTCTATTGTTCAACAGTTTCTCAACACTACAGTCCCTACCAACTTGAGCGGGAAAGCTTCGCTCTCACAGTCCTTCAGTTTTGCGCTGCGAGCGATGCTGCTGGACCTTTGTCGGTAAACCCTCACGATTACACTATCGCGCTTAGTATACACGAATACGAGCCGGCACCATGCTCGTCCGATCGCCCCGCAGATTTATGATTCTTTCCTTTGTCGCTTTTATCTTCATATTCGCAGTTGTACAGAACAGTCCGTGGACACAAGAGCGTGTGTACGAACAGTTACCGCCGCTGTTCAAGTCGAGCAGCAGGGTCAATCTGACGGAGATTGTTGGAACGAGTGGAGAGAAGATCCATGCGCACATTGAAGATGCATGGCAGTATGCGATTCCAGCGGGCATCTCAGGTGCGGGTGCGAAAGACGGTGGCAAGGAAGAGGTGACATCAGTCGCATCTGTTGAGGCCACGGAGCCCACGAAAACGCTGGTTGTGCCTGTCAACAATGGAAAACCGACTGGCTCGTATCCTCCGTGGGTGACTGATCCTGCGAGAACGACGCCTCCTGCACCGGCTTTCACGCGCCCATCGAACATGAAGGAGTACATGAAGAAGATGCTGAAGTGGAGCCGACCGTCTTGGGATGGACACTGGCCGCCTTTCAACGACTACATCGACAAGGCCTACGACCCGAACCGATGGGAGCAGTTTGAAATGTAAGTACCACTAGTACAGAGATGGTCTCAACAATACTAACAGCGTAGGGACTACCGCGTCTACGAAGCAGGCCACGACAAACTGAAATACGATGATGCGGCCGATCCAATTGCATACAAGCCTTTCCCGAATTACAACAGCCCTGACTGGAAAAAGAGGTGGCATGGCGAGCATGTCGCTTGCGTAGGACCAAGAGCATTGCCTCTGAACGAGAGTACGGACGATGTAGTTCAGGCGTACCGCGGCGTTCCCAGGGATTTCCCACCAGTCTACATTGGTGGCTATGACGTTGTAGGTCTGGATGACAACGTCTGCTTCGACCGGTACTCGCGTTATGGTCCGTATGGTTATGGTGACGATGAATTTCCCGAGAACGTTAGGCACTGGAAGGCGCCGGAGACGATTCCTGAGTGGAGCGAGGTCAGATGGGGAGAGTTGCAGAATGATTGCCTCGAGCGCAACAAGAACAGATTCCGCCCCGGAGCGCGATCCCCAACTGTGAAGGTCCCCAGCACTGTTCTGCCTGAACCCCAGGTAGCTTCCTCGGCTTTTGCGATACCAACCGATACGAGCAGGAGCAATCTCGAGAACCGCGGAGCTCAGGAAAAAGAAGTACCATCACCGAAACTGCGATCTTGATCCGTGCCTGGACCGGGCTACCACTATGAGGAGAACGACATCACTGCCATTCGAGCTATGGTATCTGAGCTTTCGCTGCAGTCTGGCGGAGAATATCAAGGTCTTCCTATACGTGCACGTCAAGGACCGCAATCAGCGAATCTTCGACGACCAAGATTTGTACGACCAGATTCTTGAGGAACACGTTCCAGCGGAACTCCGCGATATTGCTCTCCTTTGGTCCGAATCCATCTTCCCGCAGTGGTACCCCAAGGTTGGAGACTGGCAAGTTTACTGGCAGCAATTCATGTGCCTCCAATTCTTCAGTATTGCGCATCCCGAATTTGATTACATCTGGAACTGGGAGACGGACGCCCGATACACCGGTCATCACTACCATTTCTTCGAGAAGATCAGCGAGTTCGCGGACAAGCAGCCCAGGAAACTTCTCTGGGAGCGCAACAAGCGCTACTACATGCCAAGCGTACATGGCGATTACCAGTCTTTTGTTGAGCAGACACACAAGGACGTGCTGAACGCATCCGCAAATTCGCTGATCCCAGCACCGGTATGGGGACCTCGACCCTTCGTGAAGGCGCAACCTCCGCAGCGGCCTCTAGGCCCCACACCACCTACGAGCTTCGAGGACGACGACTTCAAGTGGGGTGTCAATGAACCCGCAGACTTCATTACCTTACTTCCTATGTGGGATCCACGAAACACGACCTGGTCGTACAAGGACAAGATCTGGAACTACCTGCCCAATGTCCGACCCATCTTCACTCCAGAGGATGGGCACGCTGATTCTTTCACACACCCTGGATTTGTCGATATCGACCGCCGAGTGTTCATCAACACTGTTGTACGATTCAGCAAGCGTATGCTCCAGGCAATGCACGAGGAGAACATAGTAGGAAGAAGTATGCAAGCTGAGATGTGGCCTTCAACAGTCGCACTCCAGCATGGTCTCAAAGCCGTATACGCGCCCCATCCGATCTTCAATGACCGCCACTGGCCAGCTGCTTACAGCGAAGCAATTTTCGATGCCGCATCAACCGTCGACGAAGAGACTGGTGACGCAGTCGAGAGGAGACAAGGCGCCTGGTGCGAAGAGGCAGATTCGCCCTACAACCACGACCGAGAGTACAACATGCAAGGCTGGAGTTGGTACTATGCCAGCCGATTCCCACGCAACTTGTACCGCCGATGGCTCAATTGGCCAATCGTCCGACAAGATTGGGGCCAAGAAGAGCAAATCGACGGCGGTTCCGGGTTTGACGGCAAGCTACAAGAGGAGCGCATGTGCATGCCAGGCATGTTATTACATCCCGTCAAGAGGATGAGCAAGGATCAAGCGAAACCTTGAGAAGGAGCGGATCCGACGCAATTTTTTCACTTCAAAAGCATGGGCGGCGCGCAGCATTAGCGTTTGCATTGATGACTTGATCATATCTGGCATATTACTTCATTATTTTTCTTCTCTCCTTTGCGAGATCAGCAGGCATACAGTCAGTCTGTACTAGGGGGCATCTACATGATAAAGAGGCGTTTTTGGAGGCAGATTTGATATGACTTGGGTGGAGTATATAGTTGGAACATCTTCGTTTTGTTTGGACGAGATGGATCAGGTCAGGAGACATGTAGATATAGATAGATATCCCACGCAAATTTCAGCAGTTCTTATGTTTAGCCGTGGGTCTTGCGGTGTGGTGAACCTGCGCACAGTGTGTGGTGAAGAAAGTGTGTTTGTTCTTGCGTTGGCGGAGGTGGAAGGGGAAAGATAAGGCACCTGACAGCATTTCATCGCCACTGCCCGTTTAACACCAACGGCGCTAGTGGAAACCTGACAACGTTGTTTTGGCCGCATCTTCTTCTCTCTCCACCCGTCTATACCGCGATCACGACTGGACGCCCGCAACTTTGTGGCGGTCCCGCCTTACAATCGTACTCACCATTGACGACTGCACCACATACAACATCAATCCCAACACCGACTGCACCTCCAGTGCACGTCCACAGCTTATTGCATACTTATGGGCTCCGGTCGAAGGAAGCTTCGCTACAGTATAGCTTTTCGACAGAGCGACCTTCCTCACCATCTTCCATACTCGACAGAGCTCGACTCGTACCAACTGCTATCACCGAAACTGCCAGTCTATCGACAATGAGCGATCCAATGCCGCTAACCCGCCGTCATCGAAGGCGCTCAGGTCGTTCCAGGCCCGCCCAGATCAACACATCGACCACAATTTGCGATCCTATCGCCCCTACCTTACGTTTTCGATTAAGCTCAACCCGTGTTGCTGCAACCCGAGTCACCACTCCGACTGCAATGAGCGAATATCAACCCTCCGCCTTGCTCGCGATGCCAACAGAGCTCCGTCTGGATGTCTACCGATACCTGTTCGAGGACTGCCTAGCCGACGGTGAGGTTTCCGATGTCGCCGGGCTCTTCCTTTGCTGCCGTGAAATTCAGCAAGAGCTGGAGGCGGAGCTCATGGCGAGAGTACGACCGCTGCTGACAGCCAAGTACGAGTGGGAGTCGACTAGCTTCAGGAACGGCATTATCAGCTTCAAGTTGCATCGGGGTCTCAATGTCAAGGCCGAGAAGGTGGCGCTTTCTGTGGACCTTCCTTTGGGAAAACATGGCCTACGTTCCATCACGAGTGATTATGAGGAAGCTAAGGACGCATTGCGAGTAGCCCTTCGTGCATTAAAGCCCGTCTTGACGTTGCCTTGGTCAGTCTTCACATTAAGCCTTGGTCGTCATGCTCAGCTGGAGGAGCTTGACATGCGTGATGTAGATGGTCTATTCGATCGATTCTTTAGAGGCCTACACCCAGGCTCTTCTACGTTTCGCACTCTTAAACACATAGATCGGCTTGTGTTGAGCTACGGGCACTCACGATCGCCTGCGTGTGCGAGTACTTCGATCTTGAGAACACTTTCCGATACTTCGGATCGGCTCGGATTTTGTTTGAAAGGACGCTTTTCGCGATCATATACCAATGCCTGGGTCTCGAGACTTTCTACCGGCAAGGACAAGGTATGGCGTTTGACTGTAGACTTCGAGCACGGTATGCGTGCTGTTGATGGAGTGTTGTTCGAGGTGGGACACCCTGGTGGTATTCGAATTCGAACCCCATAGAGACTATTCGGCAATTTGGAACAGGCGTCTGCCAATGGGAATTACGATAGCGACTGGGCTATTCTTATCGGCGGCACAGATAGCGTTTTCGAAAGCATGGGCGAGAGCGGCGAAAGCGGTCCTGACGGTTCAAAGAACGCGGTCAAGAGATCAGAAGACTGGTGGCAGAATGGAAATGTTGGATGTTAGTGGGCTGATAAGGGCGCTGGAGATTGGAATAGGAGCGGAAAAGAGCAGCGAATCGAGTTTCGTCGACTCAGACTCGTGGAGTACACGCAAGGAACCCGGAGCGAGACTCGATTCCACTACAAGCAGCAGGGTCTCGCCATCAAGAAAGCCTGGAAAATATCTCCGACTCGGTCAAGCAAATCGAATGACAATTTTGAGTGAAAATCACACGACAAGACTTCTGCTCTTGAATGCATCCCATATCATACTCATGAATAAGTTTCAAGGGGGGGGGGGGGCTGAGTGAATTATCCCGTTAGGCTCCGACCAAGTGAAGTGGCGAATTTGCCTATGTCGAAATTCACCCTTCAGACAAAGCCTTCTGCGTCTTTTCTTCGACCTTCTCCGCGAGTTGACCTTGAGGGTCTGTGGAGGCAGTCGAGAAATACTAGCCCCACATCTCAGCTAGGATCTAACGATAGGTGAGAGTAAGAAATGTTAGGTCCTTGCATAGTTTGTCTCGCTCGTGGATGGACACAATGTTTCCAGCGCGGTGGGCGTCGTGTTTGTAATAGTGTTTGAGAGTAACCTTGTGTGCTGCTACATAGTCCCTCAGTGCATCTTTCGCAGCATCTGAAATTTCGTCTCCCCCGCCTTCCTCTAAAACGAAAGAGGATCGTCGTTGGATGATTATTCGCAACCTCTCCTCTTCAATTGCATACGGCGTTGGGGTGGGAAGTGCGTGGTAAAAGAGTGCCCCTCTGCCAGGATTTGATCGAGGGAGGGTTTTGACCTTTTCGTGACGTTTCAGACGGATGTCGTTGCCACTCGCGATATCTTTCGCGTCGTTAAGATAGATCATGTAGATAGCGTTGCGTATCTCAGGAGGCATATCCAAAAAGCGGAAAGCTGGCGGCTGCTGGCGTTCATCATTATCAACCGGTTTGTTGCTGTTCTTGGTGCCGTTTCTCTTTAGTACGCTTGCTCTTGATGCGTTCATTCCTACGTGCTTCATGTTCACGATGGCCTGCAAGCACCTTTTCCCAAAGTGCACGGCCAAGCTTCCTGCCCGCTTTCTTGTCCCTTTGCACATCGGGGAGGTCAAGGACGACGAAGGGGGCTTGTAGACTCTTGAGGTATTGCATGTGCAATGTCGCTAGAGCCTTTGTCCGAGAGCTTTTGGCCACGATGGAGTGTAATGAAGTATTTCGAAATCTGTGCGACCTGCATACACATTTTCACCTTATCTTGAATCTGCTTGCTGTCCGATGACAAGGACAATGCAAGTGCCACAGGAACGTTTGCAAGCAGCAAATCCTTGCTCAGTATGTATGTCCAGCAATCAAGAATTGCTCCGTGTGACAGACGCCGCAGTATCGGACGTCTTTGGCGGTTGTCTGCTAATTCCAGTGGTCCTAGGACTATGCCTAGTGTACTCACAGATGGATAAGCGCGAAGATCAGTCGGTTTCAACGAGGGCAGGAGGCCATGAGATGATTTCTTGGTCAAGTCACACACACAGGTCGAGTTGAGAAGCTTAGAATTCTTTCACTACCCTTTTCTACCCCAAAGTATTAAACATTAAGCATCCGAACATAGTCAAGCACCACTCAAACCGGTGTGTCTGACAAAGTGTACTGACCACATGGCCCATTGCCAATAACACTACTCATCTCCGGCGTTCCATTCAAGTCAAACGTCAAAGCCACACCGGTAGGCGACTGACCACACTGACCCTGCGCCACATCGTCCAGTGCCAGCAACAGGCAACTGTTGCTATCCATGAAATTGTAGCTCATGAAGTTGTACCCATAGCAATCTCCATTTTCCTGACAGTCAACACAACAGTCGTATGGGTTCGTAGACTCGGTGTTGATGCTGCTGAACGAAACGGAGCTCGCACCCTTGAGGACTAAGGCGCCGTTGACACTCGCTACCTGGTTATTGGCTGCGCAAGCCGCGTATGTAGTAGCGCCGGGTTCAGTCTCGGTGACGGTAGTTGTGCTGGTGACGATGCTGGTGGGAGTAATGGTCTGTTGGATGACGGAGATGACGACAGAAGTACGGAAGATTGTTGTCTGGGCAATAATGGGTTTGATAGTCGATGTGATGACTGACACCGTCGTCACTGATACGGTTACGAGAGGCGTTGGCGCGGTGATGGTGGAGACCTTTGCAGCCGTCTTGGTGACGGTGCTAGTCTTGTAGACGTTGAAGAGTGCGGCACATCTCACAGTTGACGGGTAAAGAGTTGGCGAGACGATATGCTTGATGACTTTTGACGAGCACTTCTTCTTCTCTGTTGCTCGGAGATTGACACGGCCGGCATGTTCTTCGGTCACGCCGCGTCTGGCGTTGGGGAACTGGGATCGCAGAGGAACGAAGCCATTTGGAGTGGCTACGGTAGAGGTTGATGTGAGAGTTGAGGTCACACCAACGTCAATCTTCGAGGTGACTGTATCGATTAGCCTGGAGCACCTTGTTCAGAGTGAGAGCAGCTTACCTGTAGGGAGGATAAGGGTAGAGGTTCGCGTGGTCGCCTCTACTATCGTGCTTGTGAAAGTATCCGTGATCCGAGGAAGAGTGGTGGTAGTCGTCTGGAGAGATACTCGAGTGGTTGTGAGTGTGAAAGCTTTTGGCGTAATGGTTGTTGACGGTGTGACAGTCTTCGTCCGAACCTCCTTTACGGTGAACGAGAGAGCATACGAAGTGGTTCCAACCTTTGCTGTTGAAGACTTGCCGAGCCCAGTGTAACATTTGGACAGGATCTTGGTAGTATCGGCCGCAGCCAGAGTAGCGAACGCGAAGATTACCAGAGCTGTTGGGAACTTCATCGTGTCGGAAGATTGCAGGGCTGCAGAAAATGGATTGTGATTGATGGTGGGTATGAGTAGAATGAGAGAAGTTCATCCGCTTTTATGATGGGAATCCTGAAGCCGGGAAGCCCAGCTCCTTCCCCTGATTCAGATGACGCCGCATTAAATCTTCAAAACCCACCTCATCGTGATTACTCCAACACTCTGTTTCAATTGAAAGTCTACATGCCTGCAAGTAATGATGAAATAGCTGTGATAGATCTTGGGGTAGCACGGTGGGCGACTAGTCTGATCGTAGGTGCCCGAACGCAATAGGCATGATGGACAAGCAAATCCCACAAGTCGTCGTCCACCATTTGCGCCATGTCTAAGTCGGCAAAGGAAGCTCCGGTCTGATAGCGGCGATACCAAATAAAAAGAGTCCAGCTAGAAGCGTAGGAGTTTCTCCTCATGGACAGAACTTGTCGCCCACGGAGATACTACACAACCCGGCATGTCTCATGTCCATCTCTTTGCCGCAGACATGCTTCGATATGCTTCTGTTTGCCTTTGGCCATGTATAAAGTTAGAAACGAGGCACAGCGTGTCAGATACGTGCTGTTTCCAGTCATCAGCCACGACGAAGAAGAATGAGTGGGCTTACAGTCCCGCCCAAAGCCTACTGGTGCTACATTTTCGCCATCTGCTGGGTAAGCTAATAGTGCGCCTTGTCGTTTGTCTGCAATTAATGGAAGAGATGCTTCTCGGCAGTGTGCCAGAAAAGCAATCCAGAGCTGAACATTGTAGAGTGAACATCCTTGCTACTAGAGGCGTATAGTTGTTGAGGAAACGCGCACCACACGCAATATGTGGTAATTTAATGTAAGCGACTCGCTCATCTCAGATGCACAAATCTGTCTCAAATTAAGGCAATCATTCCAATGTAGAGTTTCTTGGTCGAAGTTTTGGGTGTTGATCGAGGCGGGCTATGTGCTTTTACTGGGCTGTAGAGTGCTGCCACGCGATCGACTAATGTCGAGATACGCACTGAGACATGCAGAGTACCACTTGTAATGAGATGATCAGACCCCATCATTCCGGGAAAACATGCAAATGTGAGCACGTGTGTAGTGTTGTGCAAGCACGGTAGGGCATCGATGACGTTCGGGAGAGATCGGAGAATACCTGGTCCGGTCCGGCTCGTTATCGGACCCACGGGCGATGTCTCTCCATCATCACGTACACCTAGTCACTCACACCACCCATTCTGCAGCATGGGCGCGTTTGCGCATCGGATCATCAGCACGATGGCCTCATTTTTTTTCATTCCAGGTACAGCCACATGACTTGTGCATGCTCTCGCCATCGCGAGCGGGGTTGGGCCTACCAGACAAACGGATGTGACGAGGATCGTTCCAATGAGATGACATCGTATAAAGCTTGCTAACCCCTCACTCACGAGGGCACTCCACAGCTTGAAACAGCTTCCAAAGCCTCATATATCACTCAATTAAGACTCACTTACTTACACATCATTACTACTACACCAGCTACAGCTTCAAACATGGCTGCTAAGTACTCTCGCCGCCCGAGTCACCTCTCAGAGCCACTTTCGCCCTCAATCATACCCGAACTGGCGCTCCTCTCTCAGCCCCTCCCAGCTGATGATCTCCCCTGTGGGCAGCTCGTGTCCAAAAGCTCCAAGTACAACCCTACAAGTCTCGAAGACCGCGACTACGATGACATCGGCACCATGTGGTACAAGGACGTCATCTCCTACAACACCGAAGACGGTCGCTTCGTGGAGAGCTTCGGTGGTACACATCTGCTGCAAAAGCCACTTGACAAAGGCACCGAGGCAGCCACAATTGAAGCTGAACAGCAACACGTGAGGTTGCTCAAGGATGCAGACGCTGCTATCCAGAAAGTCTGGGCGGATGAGACAGCAAGGAAATGGATCAAGGAGCAGGATGAAGCAGGCTTTGTGGTCGCCAATCGCCAGCTTGCCAACGCAAGCTATAAGCGTGCGCGCCTGGTCGATGTGGGCAATGGCAACTACGAGGTTGTACGTGAACTTGGTTGGGAAGGCAAATCGAGTAAGAGGCGAGATTCTGCGCTTGAGGTGAGGAACACGGACAGCAAGTGGGACACCATTGGCGTCGTCGTTAAGAAGATAATTGTTGAGGGTGATCAAGTGAAGCTGGGTGAAGAATTGGGAGTGTCTTACTGGAATTAATTTCGTGGGAAGTTGGCGTGAAAGTGGTTACTTGTTTGGCATATCTCAATTAATTTACTCTGCCCATTCATTCATGTTTGGACAAGACTCTCTAAGCATATTCATCAGTGACCTCTCCGTGTGCATTGCTGTCCCCATCTTCATTCAGGTTCATATGATTCCCATCTCTACATAAAGGCAAGTGTCGGAATCCGCTGAGGGGAATGATCTTCTAGTATTGAGTGAAGCGAGCCTCGTCTTCATGTCTCTATATACCCACGCATCACAATTTCTGCTTTTGCGCGCCCTTCTTCCTCCCCCTAAGCTGATCAGCGCTTACTTCTTCAGCGCCATAGCATTGACAAACATTTGAATGACTTCCGGGCCCTTCGCAGACAAACCCGCATCAATGTCAAGATCCGGGTCGCTCTTCTTCATCGCCCGTCTGTACGCATCTCTTTCGCCAACGCGCTTGAGCCATCCCAGAATGCCCTTGTACTCAGTAAGGTCGATGGGTTCAAACTTGCGCATTGTCGTAAGGCAGAATCCGATCATTACATCCGCTGCAGTGAAGTCTTCGCCCGCAAGCCAGGCATTCGTGGTCAGGAGACGATTGTCAAGATGCTTCAAGTCGATGACCACGCGCGCGTCGTTTCCCTTGTATCTGGGATCGTCTTCTCCCACGCAGCCGCGCGTCAGCCCACGCCGGAAGACATGCGACATGAGCGTAGCATTGCAGAAATGGAACCAGTAAAGATAATCCGAGAAGTTTTTGTGTGTTGGCGGAAGAGCAAGGCGACCGTTAGCGTACTTGTGGATGATGTATTCACATATCGCTCCCGACTCGGCAAGAATGATGGGGTTGCTGGGGTCCGTGAAATCCTTCGAGAAGCGGAGCCGCGCCGATGGGATATTTGGCCTGGAGCTCTGGTGGGGAGAGCAGAGGAGAACGCTTGTAAAGCTCTAGCTTGTAGGGAAGGCCGAGTTCTTCGAGCAACCAGGCCGGAATACGCTCGCCTTGGCCGATTTGAAGGTGGTGGACAACAAGGTTCGGGGATGCCATTTTCGAAATGTGTTAAGATTGTATGAGGTTGGCAATGGAAAGATGGAAAGAGATGACCTCGGCAGCTTCGGACTTGTGATTTGTGAAGATCTACGGATCTAGGTGGTGCCGATATGTGGTTAGTGTAGACTACTTCGATGATCCCCGCGAACGATGATTCGTCCCACTCGAGTCGCTCTTCAGTTTACAATGTGTGTAATGCTTCAAAATCTGCGATATTTTCAATTTATACATCTTCAGGCAGCAGCTGATGTACGGCGGTAGCAATGTAATACAGCTTCCTTCTTGTTTTGATCCTTCGCAGGGCGAACCCATGGCTGACATACAAGGTCACGTGAAGCTCGGCCGAAAGTCGTACAGCGCTCTGTGATTGGACTCTTCGAAAGCTTGGCACAATGGCATGGATATGGAGTCCCTCAAATGCGGAGACAGAAGCATGGAGTTAGGTTTTAAAGCACGATTCTGGAGATAGCCAGGCAGCAGTAAAATGAGGCAAGAGCTCAGAGACGTCTCGGGAGGGAAGTAAGTACACGTGCTTAGTAACTAGCTTCGGCTTAGACTAAGTGGTTTGGCGTAGGTCGCGCGTTACGTCACGTGATTCATCAAATATCCTCAGGACCTGCAAGACCGAGCGCTTGCCTGCGCGTCGGTGCATCAGCCTTGAAGAACGGCTTCTCCGCCAGCGCTGTAACCCTCGTACCGTGTCTTGGTTCGTTCCCTTCGTAATCCCAGCTCGCGTTGTGGATGGTGATCCTGTTGTCCCAGAGGGCCGATGTTCCAGGCGTCCATTTGAAGCGGACTTGAATGTCCACATTGTTTTCGTAAACATCGTAGAGGTAGTTAAGAATAACATCGGACTCGGCCCTGTCAAGACCCACGATACGATCAGTCATCGCACGATTTACCCAGAGAGCTTTCCAGCCAGTCGCGGGATGCACGCGAACGAGTGGATGCACACGTTCAACGTACTTTGGCCCTGCATTGGGGTCATTTCGGTCCAGGTACGGGTGGGCGCTACGGTAAACAGCTTCTCTTCCGTCGATGATCTTACGGAAGCCAGGTGAGAGCTTCTCGTAGGCTGCATAGCCTGAAGCCCAGAGCGTATCGCCACCTATCTTTGGGATCGTGTCATTGTGCAGATGAGTTACACCAGCCGGCTGTCTCTCATGCACCAGATCGGTGTGCCAGCGCGATGCGCCACCAGTCTGTCTGAAGCTTGCAGCTCTCTCTGTCGCCTGCAGCGCAGGCCATATGACAGTCGTACCAACAACACCGGGCACGGAAGGTACTTGGGGCTTCTCGATGTTAGGCTACGACTTCAATATCATGATTGGCGCACTTACATGGACTTCGATCTCGCCGTACCATTCACCTAGCGCCTTCTGCTGCTGAGGTGAAATGTCCTGGTCTCGGAAGAACACAACACTTCGCTCGGCAATCAACAATCCAAGCTCATCCTTTTGCTGCGCTGTGAGATCCTTTAATTGTAATCCTACAATCTCTGTTCCAATATGTGCGGTCAAATGGATGACTTCCTTCGCAGCACCAAAGAGAGCCTTCTTTTCCGGATCTGCACGCGTGCCCGGATCGACAAATTCGCGATCGTAGTCCCGGATCTTGTACACGTCTTGGAGGTATAGCGGCTTAGTATGTTAGCAATTATTTCTCCTGAGTATACCAATGCTGACTGCACGCACTTTCGCTGGCCTATACGGATAGCCGTTGGATAGGTCAATGCCCGCTTTCTCTAATCTCTTCCTGGCGGGTTCGGGGAGGCCCAGTGTGTCCTTGATTGGCTGGACAGTGTCTTTCTCTTGAATGCTTTCATGGGTGGGAATTGCGATTGGTGCCATTGCGACAGTGATTGCAGTCGTTGAGTCTTGATTACCAGCTCAATCTGCCACTCTTCTTATATCCGCGGGCTCGCCGACGCCCACTAGTCATCCACATGCTCACTAATGCAACAACAACTGTCATTCAGGCCAAGGCAGTGCATCGTGTGCAGGTTGCAGAGTTGGTGTTGCGGGGTCGATCACGACATCGGCCAGGAAAATAGCGAACACCCAGTGAACGTCTCAGAACTTATCACACGAGCAATCATTCGTGTTATTGCCAATCCCCACTACAGCATCAATACACTCGAGACGCAGGGTAAGGCGTCTAACTTGGGCATTCCGGAATAATCGTACCATCCTAGACGACTTAGAAGATGGCCATGGTGCCATCAACATCCACTATGGCGCCAATTGTGCACCGTAACTCTGCATGAACGTGTGGGAAGGATGACGTTTGCTTACAAACTCAAACCGTGCATACTCGGTGGGAGCATGAGTATCTCCATGGAGTAACCTTGGATCGCATGTGCGACGTGATAGTCGTCACGTGGCTGACTCCGGCTTATGCCCGGATGGTACCACCTGGGTTCTGCGGCTCATGTCTAAACTCAGCAACACGCCAGTGACTGAAGCTTCATGTCAGGATGGCAAGCTCGAGCAAACGTGTTGCTGTCATCGGGGCAGGTATCAGCGGCATCGCTACTGCTGCACATCTCAAGAAAGAAGGCATAGAAGTGACTGTCTTCGAAAGATCGAATGCTGCAGGCGGTATCTGGTAAATCACCCAGCTATTCGTTCAAGAAGCTCGATCGCTGAAATCATCTCAGGTTATACGATGAACGAAAACCCTTGGAACCAGTGTACACTCCGGTTCCCGTCTCACAAACCGGCAGTTCTTATATCGAGAGTTCAACAACTGACGCAGAAAGACTCAAACATGCCCCGCCAGGGTAAGAACTTCGACTATACTTGCTGAACAACCAATGCTGATAAATGTCGATTTAGTCCTTGTTACATCGGTCTGAAGAACAATGTAAGCACAAGGTTACTGGAAACCACATTAAACCGCTTCCCGGCTGGTACCGAGGATTTTGTCTCGCATGGTGTCTTGAAAGACTACATTCAGAATACAGCTATTGTAGCTGGAGTGCACGAGTCAACGATCTACAACACGGAAGTGAAAAAGGTGTCAAAGTCCGGCAATTTGTGGACTGTCGACACAACAACATTAGCCATCAATAAAGAAGGAGTGACTTCACAAACCTCAGACGCAACTGTAAGTCTGATGATTCACTCGCGGTCAGCATGGCCCAAATTCTTACACGGCTGTAGAGCTTTGATGCCGTGGTAGTGGCCAGTGGTCATTACCATGCGCCAAAAGTACCTAATACCTCGGGTCTAGCAGATTGGAAACGACGCTGGCCAGACAGAGTACAACACTCGAAGAGCTACCGCAGTCCTACAGAATATCAAGGCAAGGTAAGTCTTTGAATCTGTGTTTGCGATTCTCTAGTACTAAGAGTAGTCGAAAGAACTTTCTTCTCGTCGGCGGAAGTGTTTCATCAACAGACATAGCCCGCGAGCTTGGTCCATTCGCAAGCAGAATATATCAGAGTCAGCGACATGGTGCATTCGACTTGCCGGCCGGTCTACTACCCGACAACGGGTATCGCGTTGATGAGGTCATATCCTACGATGTACCGACCGCGGAAGAATACAGCCCCTTGATCGCCTCCGCAGCGATACCAGCTACCGTGACTCTGAAGTCAGGCCAGAAGCTTTGCGACATCCATCATGTCATACTTTGCACAGGCTATCATCTCACGCTCCCGTTCTTGCCACAACTTCACTCGGACGCAACCCCAGCCGAATCAGCGGACGAACACGTCCTTGTCACAGATGGCACGCAGTTTCACAACTTACACAAGGACATTTTCTACATTAGTGATCCGTCGCTCGCTTTCGTCGGAGTCCCTTTCTTTACCGCTACATTCACATTGTTCGAATTCCAAGCCATGGCAGTGGCGAAGGTGTTCTCCGGACAAGCGAGGCTTCCTAGTGAAAAGGCCATGCGAGCCGAGTATTATCGTCGACTGAAGACCAAAGGACATGGTAAAGCGTTTCATAGCTTACGCGATAGAGAAGCAGAGTATGTAAATGAGCTTCTGGCTTGGGTGAACCATGACTTGGAAGAAGCCGGTCGGCAAAAGCTTCTGGGTCACTCAGAGCAGTGGCACATTGCTAGAGAAGCGCAGGTGCAAAGGATGAAGTCTCTTCTTGGTACTGAAAGCCATGAGAGAAGTTTCCAGATCACATGTCAGTAGTTTGCCCATCCTCAAAATTTGGCACATTTGTCCTGCATCAACACGATTCTCCCGCATGTATCTCGCTCTGTTAAGTCGCTTCTTGCATATAATTATTCTTTTCAACAATGGCATATCTACTTTGAATCCAACAAAACACTAGCGCAGGGTTCGGGAATTCTTGACGGGTTCTTATCTCCGCCTGCAGGCACGCCATATGCACGTTCAATTACGACTGCTGCATCCATGTTACCTACCCCGTCTCGAGGATCTTCAGTACCACAACACCTAGATTATCGTGCTACAGATCAACCAGACGACCCGTGTCTAGCTACATTTAGTCGCTTCCCCACGCCATCGCGCCATACCCTCCCCAGTATTCACCATCGCGTCAATTCCCAGGTGCTGCAACACCCTGGGACTTGAAAGCGCTCCAGATGTAACGCCACCGGCGAATGTACCAGTACTAGCACAATGCAAGCGAGATGTCAAGTCCTGGCGTGCAAGATCTTAAAAGTCAAAGGTTGTGCCAGACTTAATCACAGCACTCACATCTTCGATCAGATTTCTTCTTGTACATTATGGGTCACACCGTAGTTGTTTCGAACAATGCCGAGGCAGGTACAACTATTATCCAGACCAATGACGAATTGAAACAAAAGCCGAAGAAATGGTACTTCTACCTCTGGGACACGCTGGACAAGCCCAAGGAAGAACGCTGGTTCATGTTTAAGCTTGATGCCGCGTTGCTTACGTTTGCTTCGCTCGGTATGACCCGCTCATAGCCAAGTAGTCTCACCCGGTACTAATACACATCAGGCTACTTCATCAAGTACCTCGACCAGTCCAACATCAACAGCGCTTTCGTGTCTGGAATGTATGTTGTACCCACAGATGCACTAATCGGACACTGATTTCTTCATAGGAAAGAAGATCTGGGTCTGTACGGGAACGAGTTGAACTACATGCAAACCTGCTGGACTGTCGGCTATGTCATTGGTCAAATACCTAGCAATATCATTCTCACCCGCGTCAAACCTTCGATCTGGATTCCGGCTATGGAGGTAGGATAATCTACATCAAGCAGGGACTTTTACTGACATCTGAAGTTAACATGGGCTGTCTTGACCTTTTGCCTTGCAAAGGCAAATAATGCGGAGACAATATATGCTATACGCTTTCTTGTTGGTATGAAATTATCTGTGCAGCTTGGAGGACAGGAAACTAAGATGCTCTAGGTTTGGCTGAGAGTACATTTTATCCTGGCATGCAAGTGAGTACTCGCAGTGACCATGTCAGATCCGACTGCGAAGAAGGCTCTTACTAATTCTTCCAGTACATCATTGGCTCATGGTATCGAAAAGAAGAACTCGCCAAACGCTCGTGCATCTTCCATACTAGCAGTGCCATCGCTACTATGTTCTCTGGTTACCTCATGGCAGGTGCATACAAGCTTAATGGTAAAGGCGGCCTCAGAGGTTGGCAATGGCTCTTTGTCGTCGATGGTATCATCTCGCTACCCATCGCTCTGCTTGGCTTCCTCGTCCTCCCCGATTTACCAGACACATCGAAACCCTTTTACTTGACCGAGGAAGAACTAGCATTTGCTCAAAAGCGCATGCAACTCGAGGGACGAGAGAAACGACAGCCATACACCAAAGCCAAATTTCGCAAGATCTTCACCAGCTGGCATATATATGCGCTTGTTCCGCTGTACATTTTTTTCAACAATGGCGGCTCGGGCAGTCAGCCAGTATTCCAGCAGTATTTGAAGGCGAGCAAGAACCCGAAATACTCCGTCGGCCAGATCAACACATATCCAACGGCAACGAACGCTGTACAGGTAGTGACCACGCTGATGTATGCTTGGACGAGCGACAGTATCTTGAAGGGTTCTAGGTGGCCGCCACTCATCTTTGGTGGGTGCATGAACATATTATGCTCAACGAGTCTTGCTATCTGGGATATCCCGACGAAGTGGAAATGGGCTTGTTATATTCTCTCCGGATTCGGAGGCGGTCTATCTGGCATATGTATGGCGTGAGTAGAAGTATTCCTCTCCAATACTTTCATAGCTAACGCTTCTCAGCTGGGCCCATGAGATATGTACGCACGACAACGAGGAGCGTGCCATCGTTATTGCATCGATGAATGAAATGGCATACGTCGTGCAGGCATGGTTGCCACTCATTGTTTGGCAGCAAGTCGATGCGCCGCAGTACCGTAAGGGCTTCATCACTGTCACTTTCTTGAGCTTTGCGCTCATCGTTACGGCTATTGTGACTCGGGTACTACACGGGCGAGAGCTCGCCAAAGAGCGAACGGACCAAGAGATTGCTTTCCATCGGAGCAGCTCTAGTGAGGACAGCAGCGAGATTGTTGGGACAAGCGATCTAGATAACAAGCCTTAGTCGTCTGTAGATGGCATATGGCTTATACTAGAAGTCATACCTGTCACATGAGAAGGGAGAAGGAGCATGGACCACCCGTCCATGTGTAGCATTCACTTTAGACAGAAAACTGTCATCAATACAACACAATCTCCCAAATTCCTTGACAGCTTACAGTACTTGTATGCGGTTAACATTGTCTTGATTGATAAGAGCACATATATGGAGCAATTGCATACCTCTTACTCACATCGATTCCTTTCCACCATCGATCTCTCATCCATTCACTTTCGGCAGCGACTAGGGCCTTGGCTATCATTGGGCCTCCCCTTGCTTGCTGTAATTTGATCCAGCCTCTTTTCACAAAGCTCTCCCCAACTCATGTGCGACCACTTTCGCCAACCAGCCATGACAGCCCAATCCGCTTTCCGCTTCCTCGACTTCCCCTCAGAGCTCCAGATAAAAATCTACGATGTCATCAACACGGGCAACTCAGTACCAATGCCCATGTTCAAAGGCCTGTCTTGGTCGTGCCGCCAAGTGAAAGACGAGATGCACTACGAGGGTACCCAGGAAATGGAAAGCATGGTGACGGCAACCGCCACTTCTGGAGCTTTGGACCTCGACTTAACACTCTACGACGACTTTGAAGGAGTACACGAGGTTGTAGCTGCTGTCAACATGCTTTAAATGCTAGAGACTTCTTCGACAGTGCCTCGCTGCACTTCAGGGTACCAGCCAGCCACGAGCGATGATCGCCAGGAGAAAAGCCACCGGAACGTCAACACCCGCGTCCTAACCAATCAGCCACTGACGACAAACACTCCGCTCTGACAGCTGCTCAGCTGAGGAAAGTTTAGAAATGCGTCAAGATGCCCAGCTGCTTACCGAAATCGTGAAGTGCAGTCGATCTGATGCCTTTTCAAGCACAAAACAAGCGAGGGATCTACATGCTCCCGCTTCCTCGATGTCCACATTGGAGACATCGTCCCAAATCCTCGATATCGACAGAAGGAAAGCTAGGGTTTTGTGGATTGTAGCGCATTGTAGTTGAATCAAGACGTGCGAAAGAGGCATGGACGTTGGAGAGAGATCGACCACAGTTCAACAACTGAAGAATGCATAAACTTGCAACGGGCTGCCAGTCACTACAGTCGTCACTGTCCTCAAATCTTGCATTTTTACCTCTACCTAGCTTGAAAAATGGACGTCGTAAGCTTGATACTGCCAGGCCTCGCTAGCACAGCAGCTGTATCTCCACTACCGGGCTGCGGAGTGTTAAGTGATGTCTCCAACCTGCTGCGAATCGGGGATGAAGGCCTACGATACTGCTCGTCTATCCTTAGCATCGGAACTATAGTCGATCCAGTATACTCGACCGTGACAGCGATTCTTACAACTACAATCAGTGAGGTCACGCTCACTGATATCGAAATTGTCAACACCATCTTGAGCGCTGGTACATCATATATCACAGCGGACGAGGATGTTATTGTGACAGAAACTTATACTGAGTGAGTACTTCCCCTCTGTCTAGGAAGAATGCATGCTGACTGCCGCAGTACATCGGTTGTACTGGCATGCCCGACACCCGCTGGCAATGCACCTGTAGGTCGACGAGGACTTGATAGGTTGTGGCACCATCCAAAGCAAACTTCGGCATATTATCCAGTGACTACACCAGCTCATTATGGGGATGGGTATGGTCACGAAAAGCCTTCCAAGCCACGCAGCAAATGGACATACCTACCGAGCTCTGCGAAACATCCCAAGCCGTCATCAAAACATCCTAAACCGTCATCAAAGCATCCCTGGAACAAACCATCGTCGAAGCATCACCCCGCACCGTCGTCTGCGAAAGGTGACGGCAGCTCTTCGACGCAGTATACATCGCAAAGCACGGCGACATCTTCTTTTAGCAGTGTTCAGTCGTCGAGCGTGGCTTCATCTGCCAGCAGCTTATCGTCATCCAGCAGCATCGCTTCAGTACCCACCACATCTTCCAGCAGCATAATATCGTCAAGCAGTACCTCACCATCGAGTGTCCCGGCATCTTCAAGCAGTGTCGAGTCACCAAGCAGCACCCTATCATCCCCAAGCACCCCGTCCCCAACTCCAGATACGCCCTCGCCCACCCCAACTTCGAGCCTTCTCTCCTCTCCCTCTCCCACCCCAACACCAACACCAATATCCTCCCCGCCCCCATCTCCATCATGTTCCACTGCGCCCGCCGCCCTTGTATATTTCGCGTGCGACGTCGTCTCGGCCGCATGTGAATGCCTGTCCCTCACGTCCGCGACACCCACGTCGACCGTGACGACCACGTCAATAATCTCGAGCGTACTCGATGCGCTGAACAGTATCACTATTACTGTCCAATCGCTTGTCACTGTCACTGTAAGTCCATCATCTCTTCCCTTTGTTACACCCTTGTGCTGATAGACATGTCGCAGGTCCCAGCAGTGTTCGATACGACGACGCGCACACTCACGCAGGAGGCGTTTACTACGAGGACGGTCACGGAGTGCCCGTGTGAGAGCCCGACGCCGGATTTGTGTGGGCAGACGGAGGATTTTACGTGTGTGGATTTCGCGAGCGATGGGGATAATTGCGGGGGGTGTGGGAAGCAGTGTGGTGGTGGTGTGTGTGAGCAAGGGAAGTGTTTGGGTTTGAGGATGAGGGGGTTGGGACGGTGGTGAGGGAGAAGGAAGTGTGGAATGTGCAGGTAGGGGAGATGGCGTATTGGTATTGTAATCATGAAATTCGATGTAGACTTCGGTTGTTGCTGAGTGTTTGAGTACGGACTTGTACGCAGTCAACTACGAGGGAGAGTGAAAACGGGCATCCCATAGCCTGAAGCTATCAAACTAGGTTTCGGATTCGGCGGCAAGGCCATGTGTATAGCTTGAGGCTATTGCAAGGGTTGCCTGCTGTTAAACCCTGATCGCTCATGTTTGTAGCGGAGAACACGCGTCTGTGTCCGTTGCATCTGACAGGGTAAAATGATACATTAATCGATACGTCGGACTCATCTCCCAACTCGCATGTGAATGACTGAAGTATATTGACACCGGAGCTCAAGCCTAGACCAAACGTCCACTTCACCGCCTACGCATGTAGACTCACTTGAATCACTCTACAGCAACCCCACGCGCTTACATGTATGCGAACACAGCGATGCGTGGTCTAGAGTGTGCTAGACCGTTAGATATATGCGACACATAGGCCATTAGCGCCACTCAAACACCGACGATGCCTATTTCACCGCGCAGCCTTACGGCGTCGAGAAAAAGGCCCCGACACGGCATGAATCGCAACTCCGTACGTACTGTACAGTAGACAGACTAAATCAAATGCCGGGACCCACTCGACAATCCACCAAGGGGAATGCGCGCCGCACCCGTTCATCAGCAAATGCGGAATTACTCGGTGCGCCATGTCTGAGTTGCAAGCCCCCACGGGTTTCGGAGAGAAAGGCCGCGTTGGTCGGAGGGATGGGCGATGGGCACCGGGACAAACGACTCCCGAAGGAGCCGCGTGCAAGGTGCGGCTTCCGCTGCGCGCAACGGACCGATAACCTGGTGCGTGTTGTGGAAACTGCGTGTTTGAACAGGTCGTGCGTTCGAGATCTGCAAGTGGGTAAATAGATTGGGGAACCTCGGGATGTGGAGAGAGGCAATGCGGAAAGGGTTTTTTGCATGTCTCGCCGACTATTGCCGGTTTCTGTAATGTAGGACGGTTGCCACCGCGTCGAGGCCACGCAATCGAGATCATCAGGATTCAGGAACCCAGGCTCCAAGGCTCCAAGGCACCCATTTTTTTTCTCGTTTTGCTTAGCCAAGTCTGTCTTTGCCTTTGCCCCTCTCGTCCAGACTCAGGCCTCCCCATGCCGAGATGATCGAGTCCATTCTTGCACCTTCTCCGTCGACGGTCGTTTTCCGCGTGTCCACGATGTATTGGGAACTGACTAGGTTGGCTGCATTCCGGGTCCACTCTTCACTTGTGTAATGGTCAAGCGCGCTTTGCACATCGTCCGGCAGTTGTAGGCCCATTAATTGGCACTTTTGTGTGAGCTGCCGCAGGAGAGGCTGTGCGTAATAGCTGAAGCTTGAGAGGGCGCAGAGAGCGCGAAGGCACACCAGTACTCCTTGATAACACTCGCTCCTTTCTGCACCCCTCGGGTCTGGATATTTTTGCGCAATCTCGTCTAGGCTGCCCAGACTTGCCACAGTGATGGGGTGAAGAACGATGAGGATCGCGGTTCCCCAGCAGTGTCGACGTTCGTGGAGCGTTAGTAGTCGCCGTAATTCTAGTAATGAGGTAGATGTCACAGAACGCGCGCGGGCGAGGTATGAATCGTGGTTGTGACAGGAGATGCCGTGATCAAGGACCGGTTGAAAGAGATTGATGATGTTGACGTGATACATCATACTAGCCAGTTAGTACGGACAGAATCGAGAGCCTGGGATGATATACGTACGCGCAAAGTATGTTTACTTTTGAGTCCTCTTGATTGGGATCAAGACTAGCTGGTCTAGTATGCCACCAGGATGTTAGACGAGCGTAGCAAGCTTCGATTAGTTCTGGATGCCGTGCATGGTCCTCGGCTGCAATATAGCTCCTTATCGCAGCAACGCAGTCGAGTATGATTATATGCTTAGCGCATTCTGAACGAAATAGTGCTGTTTAACATAAGCGCTACCCGAATATCGAATTGCACAGGCAACTTACCTTCGACATCCGGCTTATGTTGGTAGGGCATGGCGACTGCTGGTACACTCTGAATTATGACTGGAAAAGAATACGTGAATGACATGTTCCTGATTTGTGTCAGATCTGACAGTAGGTTCGCTGCAAGAGTTGTGGCATACAGTTGGAAGTTGAACAGAGCCCAAGCTGTGACCGCCCGCACGACATCCCATTTTCTCTCTGGTACAGAAGGAGAATTGTGTTCGGCATACGAAGAGTGTTCGCTGAACAACCCTAATTCCTCGCTCATCCGGCATGCCTCTGTAAGGAACACATGGCCTGATTTGTCGCGACCGACTTTTCCAAGGAACAGATCTAGTTGTTTGTCAGTAAAATGGAAAAGGTACAAAGGGGTCGGTGCGCGTGCAGGGAAAGCCATAGGTGTGCCAAGTGACAGAGTTTGACTTGTTGATGCTCACGCAAGTGTACAGGATGGTAGCGAAATGGTGCTGCTTACATAGACATATTGCAGCTTGTATCCTGGTCAAGCTGCTGGTGCCAGCTTCAACATCCCATAGACGTGCTGCTTCAGCGTAGAATGCTGTTGCAATCGACTTGTCCGAGAAGGGCTTGGCTCTATCTTTGACAGCAGGCGAGGTGGACTGTCTACAGTAAGTAAATGTATTATTTCTCCTTGCCCTCAGCCTACATGACAAGAAAAGCGCTAGGGAACGTACACAGGCCGTAGCTAGCACGGCGTTAACCAACAGTTTCGAGCAGAAGTGCGAGCGGCCGCTTGCCATATCGTCAAGGAACGCATCTCGATCAAGGTAGTGGTAGTAACAGAATTCGCGGGTAGTCCACGTAGACAGTATCGAGACGAGAAGATTAGTATCAGTTGTGACGTTCGTCCAATTCCTAGCTGACGCCAGCCTCGAATCCATCGGTGTTTCATCTACAACATCGTGGCTCTCAACAGAGGACGTTGGATGTAAAATGGCATCTATCGAGGTAGGACGCGGGTGTGTGCCTTGGCTGTCTGAGCTGAAGTTGGTCAAAAGTGGTCGTGGGGGTTGCTCACGCTTACTTACCGTGCTGAGACGTCTATGTCAGTGTCGTATCTTCGACGTTGAGTCGGCGGCCCTTCCAAATGCATGTGCATCATGCCTGGATAGGGCAGGCTGTGCGAATCCAGGTTACTGCTAGGAGAGTCCAGTGCAATACGAATCGGAGGTAGAGTGACGGACTTTGCCATGTCAGGCTGATATGGAGAGGGTGGTGGGTAAGGGCTCTGTCGACTAGGTGGGTCGCCATGTCGCACAAAGTCCGCCAGCTCCCGGATGCGCGATGAAGGAGATGTATCAGCTGAATTTGATCTGATGCGTCGAAATATCTCCATAGCTTCCTGCTCAGGCCGCAGCCGCAGGAAGTCGTAGAGTTGGCGTAGATTGGACAGCTCTCCTTGCATTTCTTCATTCTTCCTCTTCATCGCCTGAGACGGCTTCTCGTTGGGGCCCAGCTCGTACACACATTCTGTGTCTTTTTGCGAACAGCATGTGCAGACCGGACGGCTGCCGTCGCATTTTGACTTTCGTTTTCGGCAGGCAACACAGGCACCCAGGGTCACGGTCCTCTTCGGCTTCTGTGTGAGTACAGGCCTGGTCTGCGGCTGCTGAGGCAGTGCTTCGTCGTCTAGAGGAGCAGGCTGCAGCGCGCGGAAGTTGGCCATGATGTGAAGGTGGCTCAAGATGCGGCTGACAGAGTGTAGGTGGAGCTACGAGGACAATGGTGTAGAAGTCATCGGCACGCCCAAAGATGCCAGAGATGCCGCACGAGTCAGCGGCGAGATGTGATAATACTACCGAGCATGGGTGTAACGCATCATAATGCAGGTCAAGAAAGCGGACCGGACAGGAATTTTCTTTGGGGAAAGCAAGGCGCGGGTAGAGGCAGGCAAAGGGACTCAGGCCGCCATGGCACAGGGATGGTGAGGCGAGAAACGACGGACCCACGACGGGAGCACTTCGCCGGGATTTGCACCGTTGTGCATCGATTGCACGAAAGCAATTCCAAAGACCTGACGACAATATGCTTTGCTTGTGAAGGAGACCTTGCTGCGACGTATCGGATCTCTGCGATCCATCACTCCGCGGAAAGTAGCGCAACAGACGCTGCCGAATCCTCCTCAGCGCTTCATCGATTGATTCGCTCCGGGGCGGACTCCGCTGGTGCAGACTGGCGAGACTACCAAGGTTCAAGCATCAAGGAGGCCGACAGCCGCCCGTTAAGCGAACCATACAGCGGACCTATGGTTCGCATACATGCAGCCGTATCACCCTCTGGTAGCCCATTGCAACATGGCTGTGCTGTCCCTGGCGTGGTGGCGATAACAGAAATTTCAGGAGCAGCGCCCATTTCATCCGTGGCAAGTACACATCACCTTGCTGAAGCCGTCTTGTAAACCCAGGCTGCGATCGTCCCCGGTTAGCATTGCGATGAGGTTGCCTATTCCATAGTAGTCTGCTGCTGATATGCCAATACCTCCAAGTAGACTACTCCACACCGGAGGTAAAGGCCGCGGAATCTAGCACAGAGAGCCGCTGCTCCGGAGCCCGCTCCGAGCATGAGCCCGAAACATACATGAAGCGCCTCAGTGCCTCCGATACACGTCTCCAAGCTCTCTCGTCGAGAACACCAGTTTGCCAGCGTACAGGACAGTAGTCTGATCGGGCTGTCCAAGTTATGTGGGCTATGAAACCGCCATGATGGCTGAGATATATTTATGTCGATATATCAGCTACGGCGTATTCATGATATGCCCTGATTGCACTCCTATACCCTCGCCCTGTAGTTTGGTAAATTCTGCCGAGTAGCTCGTACACCGTATTGGTAATACTATAGCTATGCCGACCGATGAGAGTCCGAATGCACATGCAACATGTAACTTCATCTCATGCTACCTCCTCCTTCGTCCGCATGACCTTGCCTTGCTTACCACCATCCACATTTACTACTTGGCCGTGGACATGGCTGCTAAAATTGTGGCTTGCGAGTGACATAATCGTCATTGCAACCGCCTTGACCGGAATAGGCTCATACAGAGCAGTCTGCCGCGATTAGCGATGATGCTCCACAAACAAATATAGCAGTTTCGCTAGGGCTAGGGGTGTGCATAGCGAAGTGACGTAACACGGGACGAAACATGAGAGGTCAATATTACCGTTGCTTGCGCCTCGAGATAGCGTTGGTCGGGGTTGAGCTTGCATTCATCATACCAGCGATCCGTCTCGACCGGACCTGGGGCGACCACGCTGACGCGGGCACATGGCCACACCCTCGGTGCTTCGGTCCTCAGGGACATGAGCAGACCTCCTTGCACGGCGCTCTTGGCCAGCGACTACGCTACGTTCGCGCCCTCGCCAAAATGGCCGCTCTCCGATCCAATGATGATGAGGTTAGGGTGCTGGGCCAACACGAGGCTATCTTGCTTGCTGTCGCAGACCCTGAAACCGGGCTCGTGCTGCTAGCCAAGTTCCAGCCACGTTCACGTTGAGCACGCGCCGCAGTTGGTCCAGGGAGACGTCGGTGAGAGCAGCCGGGTCCAATAGAGAGAGATTAAGCGACGCTAGGGCAATACAGACTTCTATCGGACCATGCGTCTGGGTGGCTACAGCAGAGGCCTCTTGGATCGAATCCCCGCTGGACACATCGAAGTAGATGTTCTGGGGCCGCGGACGTGCTGGGTGTGGTTCGTGGAACTCATTGCTCGAGTAAGCAATGTCGAGCAATGAAACCTTCGACCCGACTGCAAGGAAGTGATCAACTAACACCGACCCAATCAAGCCAGCACCGCCGATTATAGGCACAGAATCAAGCCAGCACCGCCGATTATAGGCACAGATCGGCCTGAAAGGCCGAGATCAAGATCGAGGAAGAGAGTTCATGCTGGCATCGGTTGCAGCTCCACAAGCACAGAATGGTTGAGGTTGAGGTACAATGCGGGGACGGAATGGCCGTCCCGCATTCAACGTGTTAGTCCCTTGCTACTAGGACTATCAATACGAGCTAGCAAGGGTGATGATTTCACATATGCATGCTCGACGAAAACGAAACCACGCTTTTACGCCAAAGAGACGACAGCTATTCACCGCTAATGTAGGACATTTTTGAGAGTTAAGGTTGTGCATGTGAGAGCGCTTGACTCTATGTCGTACAAGTAGTCTCCAGGTTATTCTCCGAAGTTAGGAGACAGCCACAAACGCCACGAAAATGCCGAAAGGAGGAATTTACAAGAGGCACGCGACACCATCTAAGCCGGCTTCTTCTTATTTGAATTAGCAAGCTTTCGCATGAACGCGTTCTTGACGCCTTTGGTGCCCTTGATCTCCTTGTTTCTACTCTTGTTGTACTCCGCATACGCCATTGTCTGGCCGCCCGAAAACTCCGATAGCGTCCCCGCAGCTCTTCGAACCCCCTTCTTGTTCTTGCCCTTACCGGACGCGAAGTTGGTGCCGAAAGCGTCACCCTCAATCCTCTCCTCTTTGCCGTCTTCGTCTCGCGCCAGGAGCACGTCCATTAGCAGCTCGCGGCGTTCTGACGGGGTTGCAAAAGCGAGATCGGTCGATTGCTCCATACCCTCGAGGCGAGTGATAACCTTGAAAGCATAACCCTGGTCGACGAGGAAAGCCTGGCGCTTGGACGAATAGTACATCTCGTCAGTATCTTTCGACACTAGGGAGTAGAAGAAGGCATTGAAACCCTCGTCGTTCCTCCTCTTGGCTCGGAGAATGCGACCAAGTCGTTGTGCTTCCTGACGACGTGAACCGTAATGTGATGATACCTGAATCAGACAAGTTGCCTCCGGCAGGTCAAGACTGGTGTCGCCAATCTTGGACAAGAATATGGTGTTGACGTTGGGATTGTGCTGAAAGTTTTCCAGAATCGTAAGTCGCTCTGCCTGTGGGGTAGCACCGTAGATGAAGACCTTGTTGAGCTTCTTGGCATACTTTTCAAGCGCGTAGACATTGTCAGAAAAGACAATGATCTTGTCTCCTCGAGATTCGTGGTAGTTGATCAAGAACTGGCATGCTTGGAACTTCCTCGGGTTCATAATTGATAGCAACGCCCTCTTCTGTGTAGTCGAGGGCTTGAGCCACTCTGTGTAGAACTCGGGCGTCATCTGGCACCACACTTCTGCACATTGCACACGAGCAATATGCCCCTGCTCGGATAGTTCTTGCCAGTTGGCTTCATACAGCTTCGGGCCAATCAAAAAGTTGAGATCATCGATCTTGTCGTCCTCTCGAAGAAGTGTGGCAGTCAGGCCAAGCTTAGCATGCGACGCAATCTCATAGGTGACCTTTTTGAAAATATTGGCGGGTACAACGTGGACTTCGTCGGCAATGAGCAAACCCCATTCACGGGACCGAATGAACTCCATGACCTTCTCCGCGTCGTATGATCGCTTGCGCGCGTTACTAATCATGGAGTATGTGCTGATGATGATACCCGCGTTGCGAGGGAAGCTGTTTTTGTTGTCTGCAGTGAAAACTGCAACATCTTCTGGATTTATGTTTGACCACTTGATGAACTCGGCTCGCCACTGGACAACAGACATGGCACTGGTGCACAGCACAATGACAGATTTCTTGACACCACAAGCAGCTGTGATGCCGACAAGAGTCTTACCTGCACCACAGGGAAGCACAATGATACCTGAACGAGCGCGCGAATTCGAAAACATCTTGCTGAGGGCTTTTTCCTGATAGTACCGAATCTGCGCATGGGGCTTCAGGTCAATTTCCAGATTCGCGTTCTTGTTGTCGTTGTTGAAGTCGTACTCTTCTGTGAGGGGAAGTCCAATGGCACGACATCGCTTGACTACTTTCTCGCGATCCGCACCTCTGATCTGGAAGGAATGAACCTGAGCAATCTCTTCATCATCATCGTCCTCTCTTAGCGATGCAATCATCTCGCTCGGTGCTGGAGGTGCGGCAGCCGCCTGCTGTGCAGCCATTTGGTTCGCCCCGGCTGCCAATTTGGTACCGGGGATAGCCATCTGACCAATCTTCGGCGCAGCTTCCTTGATGAGACCATCGGTGGTATCGGCTCTACATTCAGCGACAATGGGATCCGCAAGCAGGCGCTTCAGAATGCTCGGGTCTTCACTCTCAATATACGAGAGGGTCTTCTTGAGCACAATCTTGGCTTTGCCGAATGCGGACGTCGACTTCTCGACAAAGTGGACGATGGCAGCTGACAGGTCTGTCTTGGAGTACATGTCGAGCTTGTCGATGATCTCCTTGCTAGAATGACCGACACTGACAGCGGCGAACAGACTGTGCGTAGTCAGCTGGTACTCGTGCATCTTGGAGACACGCGACTGCGGCTCGGCAATGTTGATCAAAAAGTCCTGGGCCTCGTCGAAAAGCGCGTGGAATGACTCGAGGATGATGCCGCCTGCGTCGTTGACCCAGAGCGGCCGGTTGTAGTGGTCAGGCTTCAGGTGGGCGTTCCACTGGTCTGACTTCCTGAAGAGGTCCCCAGCGGCGTCCTTCTTCTGAGTCGCACGCGCGCGCTTTGTCATGGCCTTGACGTCGAACTCCTCCTTGAGGTTGTCGAACGTGTCCTGATCGCTCATGGGGCCCTCGTCCTGATCGTCCCAGCCATCCTCGGCCTCGGCCTCTGCCGCCGTCTGCGCTGCTGCTTTGCGTTTGGGAGGCATGGTCGTGGCTGTGGCTGTAGCTGCGGCGTACAGCGGAGGTTATGCGGCCACAGCCGGAACTCCAAAGTCGAGTTGAGCGACAACAGGCAGGGCGCGACGGGCAGAGTTCGGCTGTGGGCGAGAGGGGGAAGGGCGAGTCGAGGCACGTGAAGTTCTATGAGCGGAGCAGCGGTGGTGAGGAAAGACGATGGTGGCGGAAGCCTGGATGTCTCAAAGGCTCAAAGAGACCGGTCGCTTATGTAATGACGTAGTGCTGGCTAGCTCTCCACCCGTGCTGTTTGTTCTCTCTGAAGATGATGCAACAAGTGTGGGGTGTGAAGAGACGAAGAGACGAAGAGACGAAGAGACGAAGAGACTAGGCACGAGTCGCAGCGCACTTCCTGTGGTGCTGCTGTCAGACTGCACAATGTTGCGTGATTGCGTGTAGTGAGAGGCGCGTCGCCAACCAGTCGCGAAAGCATGTGAGGAGTGACAGCCGGCGTTGGCAGGTGGCAGGTCCGACGCAACCACAACCACTTGGATTCCTCACCAAACACGATGCGCACATAAGCAGAAGCCGTGACATTGCACATCGATGGGCGCGTCCGACTCCAAACTCACCTTTAAGCAGGGCATCTTCCGCCTGTCTGAGCCCAAGCAGATTCCGGCAGACGATGTCTACTGGACCGGCGTATGCCAGCCCTGTGCCCTCGTAGTCGGCCGTGCTAACTGCTGTGCCAGTTCTGGGAGCTGCCAGAGTCGACCGAGGATGTCTTCTCGCTGTTCTCGCCCGCTGACATCCGCCGCACGCGCGACAACAACCTAGCCAACCTTGAGACCCTCATCCTCGCCGTCACCTCGCGCCTCAATGTGCTGCGCAACCACCCCTCGTTCCCCGACCCCGAGCTTGCCCCGGAGCGCGATGCCCTCAACTGCATTCGCGTCCTCACCCGGCTCCTGCCGTTCCTGTACGAGGAGGACCGCCTCGAGCAGTGGGAAGACGACTTCTTCTGGGCGACGCGCCGAAAGCGCAGTCGGCGGGGCCAGGTGCGCAGCGAGGTCATCTTCGATGAAGCAGACCCTGAGCAGACGCCGACGCAGCAAGAGCCCGAATTCGAGACTGCGAAGCCGCTCGCAGAGGAAGTCATCGACACACTGATTGACCTGCTCTTCTTCTCCGAGTTTACCCTGCCAAAAGTGCCAGCGGGCAAGAACAAGGTCACCTACGCCATCTGGCAGAGCGGCGTGGGCTGCAACACGCCCGTTGCCTCGACAAAGGAGTTCGAGAGCAACAGAACCGAGATCTTGCGTCTTCTGCTCACCTTTGCAAGCAAGTCCATGTACATGTCTTCTGGTGCGCAACCATTGTCTTTCCACTGTTGTGGCCTTGCTGATGTGCGCAGGCATTCTCCCCGTGAAAGGTGTCAAAGCCATCACATATATTGCAACCTGTCCGGACAAGCAGGTTGTTCTATCCGTCTTGTGCTCGTTACTCAACACGGTCCGTAAAGGCACTCGCTCGCTTCTGCTCCTGCTCCTGCTGACTTGGACAGACTCTAAAGTACAATCCCGCAACATGGCGCGTGCCCTACGATCACGTAGTCTTCAAAGATCAGAGGCAAATACTTGTGACATACTGCTTGCAACTCCTCCTGGTACTCATCCTGTACCCAATTCCAGAGGCAGGCAACGGTCCTGCGCCCAAGAATTTCTTCCGCCACTTCTTAGGCCGGCTACATAGACCACAGGACTTTCAATTCTTGGTAGATGGCATGACTCGCATTCTGAACCAGCCCGTATGTACGACATCATGCTTAGCAAACATCAACTGACACGCAACAGTTGCAAGCAAACACGTCCTACCTGCCAGGGAGCCAGAAGTCACTGACTTGGGCACCCGAGATGATCATGCTCTTCTGGGAAGCTCTGCAATGCAACAAGCGATTCCGCTCGTTTATCATCGATACCGACAGAGCTCACGATTTCGTGGTACTGGTGCTGTACTACGCAATCGACCAGCGCAACGACCCTACAAAACAAGGTCTGGTTCGAATGTGCGTGTTTGTGCTGCAGACTCTGAGCGTTGAGCCAAACTTTGGCAAGAGTCTCAACAAGACTTTTGAAGGCCAAGAGTCGCTCCCACCAAGCATACGGATCCCTAACTTTCATGGTACATATGCCGACTATGTCATCACTGTATGTGCTATGCCCCCTTTTTTTTTAAATCTGTGCTGACATGAAAAGTCCATTTACACCCTCCTTACAACGGGCAAAGGTAGACTCGATGCGGTTTACCCTGCGCTCCTGGCTATTCTCAACAACATTGCAGCTTATGTGCAAAATCTCGGCCGTTCAACCAGTTCCAAACTACTACAGCTCTTTGCGTCAATGTCGTCGCCGAGCTTCTTATTCGCCAATGAGAACAACCACACACTCCTCCAATCATTATTGGAGGTGCTGAACGCCATGATTGAGCATCAATATCAACGTAAGTACATCACGAATGATACAATTCTTGTCTCTGACACGACACCAGACAACCCAAATCTCATATACGCGATTGTGCGGTCTCGTAAACGATTTCAGGCACTGCGAGACTTTACGCTCGAGAGCGGACAGGAGGAGATAGAGCGACAGAACCAACTGCGTAAAGAGGGTGCATCTGAGCTTCAGAGAACGAACTCGATCGACAGCATCAGAAGTCCCACGGTCTCACGAACGCCCACGTTGGGCAACGTCCCTGAAGAGAACAGTGCCTTTGCAATTGGTGATGATGATGACTCTGATGCCGACGAGCCACATCCAACGGAGGCACCACAGTCACCAATACATTCGCCTTCGGGAGCTTCAAGAAGCGCATCGATAGCATCTTCTATTGATGAAGCTGTGCCGCTTCAGTTGAGAGGCATGTCAGAGAAAGCACGGGGGAAAATGCCCGTGGGGCAGCCCGCTTTCTCAAGGCAGAACAGCATCTCAAGCTTGAGTAGTTTGGCAACACCAGCACTGGCAACGAATGAGTTCTTTACGCCATCTTCTGCATGGGTAGGTAGACTTTCTTTATTGATGCACTTTACTGATCATCTACACAGCTCGAAAGTTGGCTATCGCAGCTGCCACTGCATTCCATCTTGATGTTGATTTCGCAGCTTGGGCCCAAGATGCCGAGCACGAGTTCCAATGACACGGTAGCGGCGCTCGAAATCATTCATGATACAGAGGTGCGAGGCATCGAGCCGTCTCCAATCAGGGTCCACCTCTTTGAGTGGTCCCCCTTGTCCCTCGGCTGGTATGAGTCGCTTCTGTGGGGATTTGTTTTTGCGCAAGAGATGCTCGTAGCTAAGGGCACTGCCGGGGTATGGAACAACACTAGTATAAGGCTATTCAAGGTGCAAGAGGCCGCAGCGCAAGCACCTTCACTGATGCAGCCACGGGGGGCCGTGGATGCAGTGGGAAGCAACCTTGTACAGCGAATTGGCAGCCTCAATCTGCGCGGGGCAGCCACTCAGGCAACGCAGCGGGTCTCGTCGAGCGGCGGAGTGACCGGAAATCCGACAGCGGGTGGTACAGTTAGAGACGTCTAGCCATGTCGACAGATCTGTTCGAAGGCAAATGAAAGCTTATGGTACTATCTACTCATACGGAGCGTTCATTGGTGTTCCTGAACTGCACGTCAGGCTCATTGCCCTCTTTCGAACAAAGTTTGTCGATCACTTCGGCTATTACCTTGCTGCACTGCCACAACGCCACAGTTGTCGCCACAGCAGATCACAAAGTACATGAGTAAACAGCCAACAGCAACGCGAGGAACATCGCGAGGTAGAATCTAGAACATGTCAAAACCGCCATTGTACGCGTACTCTTGGGTTCGTATTGACGTGTCCAGAAGATTCCTTATCTCGTCATGCTACTGGGCACGCAAGAAATGACCTTCCTGGAGGTACTCGTAACCTTGTCATTATTCCGAAGTCTACGCAATTTATTCCCCAGGGTACTTGTTACACTAGAATCCGCTTTCATTTTGAAAACTATGGGTACATGTGGGACGTATTACCATGACTGAATTAGTGCAGAATGAGGCAGAGGCGATTACGCCTTACAGCATGCATGTATGTGCAAGGGTCGATGAATAATTGAACAAGACTTTGCTAATGGCTGCAGGTTTCATTGCGATACCTGGAACTCACGAAGAAGAAATTGGAGCTCACAAGACTTCCACGAGAACTTGAGCTGCCTGGGCATAGGACATGGGAGCATGGTACACCAAAGGCTGTGCTTGAGCCACTACTCGATTTCTGGTAAGTGTTGGTCATAGTTCCACAAATACTTTCCATCTGAAGCAAGGAGTACAACGGCTCTCTACATCGCAAAGGAGAGCAACACACCATCACCACGAACTGATCAGAGTTCAGGCTAGAAGGCTACGACTGGCGCGCTGCCGAAACACAATTCAACACTTCGCTTCCGCAGTTTCGCACCAGCGTCACCATACTATCGGCTACGGATAAGTCTGCGACACACTCACTACGCATACACTTCGTCCACAAGCGCTCGAAACATACAAACGCCATCCCACTGCTTGTGTGCCACTCGTGGCCGTCGTCTTTCATCGAGGTACAGCGCATTATCGATGCACTTACAGATCCCCAATCGCAGCCAGGCTGTGGTGAGGGCGCCCAACAAGCTTTCCATGTGATTGCGCCGAGCATACCGGGCTTCGGCTTTAGTGATGCCAGTTCATCGCTGGACTTCGGATTGAAAGAGACTGCCTCTATGTTTGATGGACTGATGAAGAGACTCGGCTATGAGTATTATGTTGCTCATGGAGTAGGATGGCAAGTGATTTCCGTCGAGATGGGACAAATACTGACCGTCACAGGGGCTTTAGCATATGCCGCGCGCTGGCGCAACAGCACCCCAGACACTGCCATGCCGTTCATACGGCAAATCCGTCTTTTGCTGAGCCAACGGCTAAGCGGAACACAATGGCGTTCCTCAAATACAAGATTGCAAAGTTGACCAAGGGAAAGTTGCCCCTTTTGAGCTTTGGCTATCTCCCTGCTGAGCTTCAGTCGTGCCGCACAATCGAGGACCTTTCCACACCCCGAAATCCGTTCCATTCTAAGCAGCCACTCGGTACAGCACTGCACCAGTTGTACTCGCTTCGGCCACAGACTCTGTCTTTCTCGCTTTGCGATTCGCCGGTTGGACTACTGGCGGCGCTGCTGGATGTGATTCATACTCGAGCACCTTCGAGTTCACCATTGACGTCTCGATCACGCTCGCCATTCCTTTCGCTTACTGAGCTCGAGGTGCAGAACCAGGCTCTCCCAGGACATGCCGGCAATCATTCAAGTTTTGCAGAGCGTCCATACGGGACGACGGCCCGAGACGATGGAGCCGAGGCAAGGAGTTACACATGGACACCTACTGAAATCCTGAACTGGACTATGATGCAGTGGCTTCCAGGCCCCGAATCGTCACTTCGATGGCTACGCCAAGCTCACCTGGACACGACGGTACCAGATTGGGACGACTGCTGCCCGGTACCTCTAGCAATCAGTTCGTTCCAAACGCAAAGCAGCCTTCCATCAACACCATTGATGTGGGGCTCAACCTCATGGCAAATTGAATGGGTACGTTTATGCAGACGCTGCTCACAGCATACAAGCTCACGCGGCAGCAGGTCAAGCGCCACCAACGGTGCGCCACACTCCCCGCATGGGAAGCGGCGGATCTGCTAGTGCTCGATCTGCGAGAGTGCTTCGGGACATTTATGTCGCACGGCAAGCTAGCCAACCTTCCTGTTACAGCAAGTACAGCGTGAGCGATGACGGCAAGCGATAAAGAGTGTGGAAAGCTGCTATAGCTATACCAGCAGGTCGTTATGCGCATGTGGGATACTTTGAGTGTTGAGGCTGAGGCCATCCCGGCTGCACGGTAATATAAGTTTGGGCGTTATAGCAGGGTCCGGGGCGTGGGATGCAGTGTTTTGGAGCAAGGTCGTTGCTATCTTTGGCGGGATCGGTGATGAATTCGATAGTAGACGTATACGGTACAAGCTGAGCGGTAGGGAGCGCGGGAGTGGAATGTGGCTGTTGGATACATGGCGTGTGGTCTATATGCTGGAGCATACTACTACAACAGCACGCAGCTTTTGTCTCTTCGCGACTTCACATGCAATGCTCGGAAGTGCAGACGGCGGTGGTTGTGGCTCGTGCTATGGACAGCGGGGCAGAAGAGCCAACTGCGATGGGCGGCGTGGGCGGGCCGTGCAGCAAGACTGGCGGTGACGTTGCCTGCATGTTAGGAAATACCGCACCTCCACGAAAAATTCGCCTACACGCGACCAGCGCTCTCTCAACACACCAACACACCGCCCACGAATCTACAAGATTGCGCCTGTGAAGCCTAACACTGCTATTCCTGACCTGTTCTTTCATCACTCACAAAGCTTTTCCACGTCATCGCGAGGGTTCAAGGCCGCGACAGAACGCACACGCCCTCTTGCCGCTAACACGTCCCATCGGCGCCCAACTGGCATTGCATTGAACTCCTCCCTCTGCGCCCACTATAAAGCAGACATCGTCAAGCTGGCAGACCTACTCGTCACCTTCTTCCCAACTGCATAGGCTGTGACAGCCCGCAGACCGTTTTCCGCCGTCGACTTGCAACTTTCCATGCGCCGCGAGGATCTGGTACGCTTTCTGTCCAAGCCTGCGAAGTAAGTTGCGGTGCACTACGCGTCTCCACGCATTTTTCCGTGAAGAAGCCTGCATAGCAAGAGAGGTACTGATCAGTGCAGGCCTCGATAACACCCCCTACTCCCACATCACCACCACACCCACCTGAGCAGATCCCTCGTCTGCTGGACCCGATACTTCACCAGGGTATCGGAATCTGGTCGCGCGAGGCCCCTCGACTGACACCATTTCCCGGCGCAAAGCCTCGTTTATTCCGCTCTCCGCCCGACCTCCCTAACATCGGCCACGGTCGACTTGCCATACATTCACCCTCTGCTGCTGGCAAACGCCAGCCTCTTCACTCTCGCGACCCGTGGGCCTTCTCTCCTCAGGCGAGCACCGCATTGCTTGTCTGAGCAGCAGACTGCGCCCCGCTTGACAGCCAGCCAATCCCCCTGTACAACTGCATAGCCAACCCAACTGCTGTCAGGAACCAGTGCGCGTTACGCCCACACAGCCAAGAGATGGTCGCTACTGAAATCCCCAAGCACTACACTGCGTCTCCGTCGTCGCACATTGGAACTCCGCTCTTGACCATCAACAAAGAGGCTACCATCGACCTCGACTCCACCAATTCCTTCGAAGGTGAGCATGCAACGCGTACACATGTTTGATGTGCGGTACTAACAGCACACAGGTCCGGAGAAGCTCCTCGAAGTATGGTTCATGCGCCTCTGCCACGGACCTGCCTGGTCAGGCCGGTCCGCTCGGACTCAAGAAGGTTTCCGCGGACACCTGGAAGGAGATGCTTGATCTCGTCAACTGCAAGGTACTCTCCGTCATTGAGTCTGAGCATGTGGACGCCTATCTCCTGTCCGAGTCGAGCATGTTCGTCTTCCCTCACAAGGTTGTGCTCAAGACATGCGGCACCACCACTCTGCTCTGGGGCCTGACACGCCTCCTCGAAATCGCCGCGGTCGATGCCGGCTTCCCATTCGTGACACGCACAGCCTGGCACTGGTCTCGCCCCTGCTGCTGCCCCCTACCGCGTCTTTTACAGCCGCAAGAACTTTCTCAACCCCGACCAACAGCGCGGTCCCCACCGCAGCTGGCGCGACGAAGTCCGCTTCCTCGACCAGCGATTCCAGGGCGGCAGTGCATACATGATTGGCAAGATGAACGGCGAGCACTGGTACCTTTACATCACTGGCCCTGATACCCAGTTGACTCCACCTCCCAGCCCAGGCTGCGAGGATGCAGACGTTCCCGAGACCGAGACCAAGTACGTCAGTCACCCTGAGCGCATGCTGCGCGAGCAGGTCACCGACGAAGAGGAGGACGAGACTCTGGAAGTTCTGATGACCGATCTCGAAGAGAAGAACGCTCGCCAGTTCTACCTCGAGGACGCAAGTGCGGTTGCGGAAGGTCGCTACATCCAGAAGGCTCGCGAGGCCCGCAAGAGTGCGATCCAGTCTCTCGGCACTATCTCTGAGGAGAAATGCGAGAGCCTTGGTGGGTCTACCATGCTCAACACTTCGACTGCCCCCACGCAGATCTCGGACGACAGCTTCGACGTCTTCGAGCAGACTTCCTCTGACCACTCCGGCTTCGCTTCGGACGAGGAGTTGACCTTCCCCGAGGAATTGACCACCGAAGGTCACACGCTCGGCACCGTCGTCTCCGAAGCCTGTGGTCTCGCGGACGTCTACCCCACATCCAAGTACCCCGATGCCCGCATCGACGCCTATCTTTTCACTCCCTGTGGCTTCTCCGCCAACGGCGTCATCCCCGCCCCCGGTGGCGCCCCAGACGGCCACAAGAAGGGCTCAGACGCCACGCACTATTTCACCGTGCACGTCACACCCGAGCCCCAATGCTCCTACGCCTCTTTCGAGACCAACGTTCCCGCCCGCCAGACTGGCCGCGAAACTGCCGACATCGTGGAGCACGTCGTGGGCATTTTCAAGCCTGGAAGATTCAGCGTTACGCTTTTCGAAGCGAAGCCTAGTGATGAAGTTGCGGCGGCTAAGGGCAAGGCGGAGGTCAAGCGCATGGAGGGGATCAAGGGATATAGGAGGGTCGATCGTATCGTGCATGATTTGGACGGGTACGATTTGGTGTTCAGGTACTATGAGAGGGACGATTGGAAGGGTGGAAAGCCGAGGTTGGAGAAGAGTTTGATTAGAGAGTTTTTCTAAGTGCTGAGTAGTGTTGTTAATGAAGTTGATTTTATTCGGGAATGGGTATTGTTTTATGAAAATGTGTTTGATTGGTGGCTAGTGTTGTTCATTGTACCTTTGTTCTCAAAATGTAATTTTGACCAGACAGTTGTAAATTCCCGACTCCAGGAAAATTTTGATTTCATCTCCCTGTTATGTTATTTAACTTGTTCCTAGTTTTTTTATACTTGATTCTGTTTTCTGTTTTTTCTTTACTCTGCCTTGTTCTACTTCCTTTAACTTCGTTCTACTATATTTTATTTTGTCGAATTATTTCCTACTCTAGCGCCTTTAAAATGAATGTACGATGTGTAATGCTCTCTCTTACAACTTCGGGACAATATTACTACCCCGAGCCCTATGGTACGTAAAATGCCATCGTTAGCTGACTTTCATTGGTGTTACTAATATTCCCCTCCCTCGCCAGGCCCTTTGGGCGAAACATTCGAATGCAACGAACTCTACAACAACATCATTTATTCACATGGAGCCTTTAAGCCGCATTAAGCTAAACTGCACCTGCTAAATAGGCGCAAGAGCATTTCTAGATATATCGTGTCAATTTTCATATACTGGAAGTAGATTGCGTTGTGTCTAAGCTGCGTCCGGATTTGTGTGAGAGAGCAGTAGTGTACATGTCTAGTTTGCATCTGCATGACTCTAGTGCCAGCGTTCTTTTACGAGAAGTATACCTTTGCGTCGTTCTTGTGTAATTTGTTTAATTTGAATCCTCTTATACAATTTATTCAATGTGCATCTACTCCTGTACGAGGTTGTGGCGCGCGAAGATATCTCGCAGCTTTCTATGTCACTTATACTTCCTGCGTGCAGTTCAATCTCAGAACCTGTAAATAGCTTACTTTACCGCTGATGTAGTTCCCTGCCTAAATTAAATAGCTATAATCTTAATGTGACTAGCTAGACTGCGTGTCTAGCCTAGTTTATAATGCATAGTAAGGGATATGCAATTACTACTTACCTATTAGCTCTATACGCGCAGGCAGGCAAGAAAGTAAGAGAGACATCTTATAAAGGCGGGGTAAAAAGGCGCTAAAAGGGGCGGTGTAGGAGCAGACAGGAATCAAAGGTAAGAGAACGGCCCAGGCAGAGGAGGCGCGGGAGGGAGGTATATAGTACCTCGATCGGTGGCTTTGAACCTGAACTTCTACACCACACTAATCTACTTCTTTCTGCTTATCATTCACAACTCCACCTACAGTTTCTGCAATGGCAAAACGCGCAAGGTCACGATCTCCCAGCCGCTCCCCAATCCATCTGCGACCGCGTGCCAATCTGTCCCCAGACAGATACAAGGTCGCTGAACACATTGCAAGCACTTTGAGGGAGGATCGAACCTACGTGGATCGTTTAAGATCAAGAGAAGAATCCGAAGACGAGGAGACCGAGGAGGGGTCGCATGAGACAGCACGGCGACGCTCAGATGCGCGCGCGGTGCGACGAAACGAGCCCTTGAGACGGCACATTGCAAGTTAACCCAAAATGACGATTTTGACTGATTAAAGTGCTAACAATAGTTACACAGGCTCGCAATGCTCCTCACCCCAATGATCTGAGCGTTCAAGAACTGAAGAGACCACTCGCCAAGAAAACCAAAGAGAAGCACTCCGCCACCAACGTACTTTCTCCCTTCTCTACTTCAAGCCTAAACTAACATTTACACTATAGTTCCAACTCACAATCAAGCCCGAAACCGATGCACGAGGTAGTACGAGGTGGTATATCATAGCAGAAGGTAGCGACATCGCGACAGAAAAATTCCAGATGCCCAGAGCCGACATCGCTACAAAAAGATTCCAGATACCCAGAGCCGACGTCGCCATCGAAAGTCTACCGTTTCCTATCTGGCTAGAAGAATTCTGTGAGTTGAGTCGCTTTGAGCGACGGAAAACGTATAACAACCTCTTTGAGAACTTCGTCAATAAGAAGAAGCAAAACAGAAGAGCGTAAATGACATTCAGGGTAAGTACTTCTTCGTCTTTTGAAGACGCTGTCCTTCACACTGACTAACTCAGCAACAGGAGCGTCCACATTGAGCTGGCAGCTGCGCGCATCCTGAACTGCGACTGTCTTAGCAGAAAGTGAAGCCAGCATGGGTGATTTGGACAGCATAGGCGGTGCTTTTATGTTTCTGTTTCTTTGCATTTCATAATTCTTGGCGAGCTTCTTGCCGGCGAGCACTTTGCTCAACAATTTCAACGACTACAAGTGCGGCCTTGGGAATTTTCTCCTAAAGCGAGCTGCCCTAGGCTTACTTAAGTACTTGCTCAGAATATGCGAATCTAAAAGTGCTTTTTCTTTATAATAACTCTAGTGCTAGGTTTCCTCTCTTAAATTTGTAATATCTCCTCTGCCTTTGTCTAAATGCGCATCTTGCTCTTTTTATAAGTTTAATAATTCTTAGGATTTATGTCTAGGCATGCTAAGATGCCTATGCATACTAAGATGCTTATGCATACTAATATCCTCTGCTCTATTAGCATCCTGTGCTACAAGTAGAGTGAAGAGAAGCAGGAAGAATGTCTGCAGAGGCAGCGCAGAGATGCTGATTCACTACAACTTCACTGCACAAGACATAAGATAACTGCGTCAAGCCTGATTCACATTAGTTACTACACAATCACACTGCTTCAAAACATCGATCAACGCTGATTATCGCTGTGCATTCCATGCAACGCTTCACATAGCAATCAGGCCAACGAATGCTCCTCTTTCACTAAATAATGAAGTAGCACAGCTGCCGTCAGCACAGCTGCATTCGAACCACTGTATTTGATGCCTGGCTATGATGAAGTCACGCCTGTATGTCACGGAACCTTGCATACTTACACGCCTCGCGAATCAATCGAAATCAATCGGCACACAAGCGAAAGGCTTGAACAAGTACACGGAGCAGCGACCTGGGCATATGAAGTATTAGCCCCTTCGCGGGGTCTAATTGATAGCTGCAGTAAAATACTTAGGAATCACTACTTGTGGGGAAACCATACTTTCTTACCGAAGTACTCAGCTTGGTCCTCTTGTTCGAGCCGTACCAAAATGAGGACGAGGCGGGTCAAGTCGTCGCGCGTCGGGTATGCGCATCTGTAAAGAAGACGTGAACTTGATTCCGGAGATAAACGCCTGACACCACCCATGCATTAGCGCCGTGAAGTCTAGCCAAAACTGGTCCAGGGAAAGCACTATGACAGAGTAATGTCGCTCCCTGTGCCATCGCCATTTGCCTCCATCTTCACATCCTCGCCGCCGGCCAGCACTTTGGTTTGTATGGTGCCGTCTGGCGGACCTACGCCGGGTGTCATGGCCGCGACATTGCCTTCTTCGTCGACAAATTCGAAGTTGTAGCGCGACAGGAGATGAGGGATTGCGGAAAGCTGAGGGCCGTAACGTGCGGTGTTGTCGTACAGTTCGAATAGCGGGACGGCGAGGAGTTTCATGTTCTTTGGGACACTCAGGACCTCTTTTGCAACGTCAATTCATGTTTCCTTTCTAGAAACTGGGGAATAGACTTACTGCTTCGGGGCAACTGTATGAAGTAGAGCTTCTTGCACTCTTTCGGTCTGGTGACGTGCGCGGGAATGAATGGGTACATGAAGGTCTCGAAGTTCGGTCGCCACCATTGCGCAAGCGTGTCGCCGACCTGCCATTCATCGTTGACGCCTTCACCTGTGAATTGCGTGCCGACTGGTGCAAGGCGCTCATTCAGCCTCGCCTTGAAGCCCTCGATTTCGTCGTCTTCGGCGCGGAGGTAGTCACCAGGTCTAGATTTGTCAGTGCCGTGTTTATGTAAATTTACTGAAGAACGTACAGCTTGAAGAATGCGTTCGCGATCTGCAGCATCAGAATGTGGGGGTGGTTGTGCTCGTGGCAGACAAGGATTCCTTCACATGTTCGTCGCATGCCATGTTCCTGGTAGTGTTCTTCAAGTCGCTTCAGTCGCGCAAGCACGGAAGGGTCTTCTTCTGGCTGGCCATCTTTCGTGCCAAATGTGTAGTTGCTAAGAGGATATAGACGGATGGTCTTCGGCTGGTTGGCGTTGAAATCCTTGGGTAGGACGGGGCTGTCCATGATTAATCGCAATTCTTGGTAGCTGAGCTCATTATACTCACGGGTATGAGCTTTGTGAAGCTTGGTGTGTTATAGTAGACATTGTTGCTGGACTGCGTGAATGGCTTTTGGAGCAGTCGCGACTTCGCGACTTCCAGTGAAGCTGCGACAGGGGTCCAGCAGCGCTCGAGTTCACGTGATGACGCACAGACCTGGACCCTGGGGCCCTTCTCACCCGCACTTCTGCTTACTCTCTCACGCAAGACACTTCGCCGCATATTGGACCTGACTTCACCTCGGTTGCGCAATAAGCCTCGTCTTATATCTCCGTGGACAGCATCTGTCATCCAAATCGACAGCATGCCGCAGATAGCTCTCATCACTGGCGGTAAAGCATGTCTGGATATTCGTCATGCTAGCGGCTGACCAGATGTACAAGCCAGCGGCCTGCTTGGACGGCAAGTACAGCGGCAATTCTTCTTGGATGGCTGGAAGTCGATTGGGACTGGGCTAAGTCGGGTTGTTCTTCCTGATGTGATCAAGCTCGACATTCTCGACCAAAAAGAGGTCGAACGAGTATTGGATGAGACAGCACCCGATGTCGTTGTGCATTGTGCTGCGAATCGATTTCCGGACTCGTGCACTGCGAACCCAGAGGCTGCGAGGAAAATCAATGTGGATTCAAGCCGTGCACTGGCCGAAGCAACAACAGCTCGAGGCATCTTCTTAATCTACATCTCCACCGACTATGTGTTCTCTGGTAAACGTGGCGAGGCGCCTTATGAGCCGGAGTCCTCTCCGAATCCGCCAAACGTATATGGGCAAACAAAGCTCGATGGAGAAAAAGCTGTTCTGGAGGTAGCGACACAGAGAGGCAGCCAAAACAAGGTTGTGGTACTGCGAGTTCCCGTGCTTTATGGCTCCTGTGATGAGCCCAAAGAAAGTGCCGTCAACGTGCTCATGTCACAATTGTGGGCCTCTCAAAAGCTTGAAGACGATCGAACCAAGATACAGGTTGACGACTACGCTCTGCGTTTTCCCACGAATACGCAGGATGTTGGCCGCGTGTGCCGAGATATCTCGAAGCTATACCTTGATCCTGCAAACAGGTAAGGCGAATCGATCATGGTAATCTTACACGCATGAACGTTAACGATGCCTTGTTTAGCGATCGCGACCTTCCCAGCATTCTTCAATTCAGTTCTGAGGATCAGATGACGAAGTGGCAAATATGTCAGACATTTGCTGATATCATGGGACTGCCATTGGATGGCATGGAGCCGTTCACGCCTAATGAGGACTCAAATGATGGAACAGTGAGGCCGTATGACTGCCATCTTGATACAAGTGCGCTGCGTCTATTGGGCATAGATGTTAGCACTGTAGATTTTCAAACATGGTGGTATGTTTCCCACTACCAAGTGGCGCTTGTTCCAACTGACCTCACCTCGCAGGCGCAGAGAAGTTGGCGCATTTCGCTGAAAGCGGATCAGCAATCATCTCATTCTTAAATGCTTTCTTCTTGTGTTTCACGGCCTTTGCCTGCATCAACATCAGCCGCTTCTCGGCCTCCCAAGAGACAGTACTATCACGAAGGCTGCAATATGCCACGGAGACAATCTGAGTGCGCCCAAATCCTGCCTAAGTAATTTGAAGCCCGTAGGCTGATCACGCATGAACCGGAGAAGCCATTGGGTTCAATGAGACGCCATACATGAATTTGCGAAGATCGTCTTGCTTTTGGCTCTTTCAATCCTACACAGCTTGCACAAGATCCCATTTTGGGCAAATTGTGCGGTCGCACAAAATTTGTTATCTGTTATACATTTGGATATCAAGATGCTGCTAAGAATAGTGACAGGGCCCAATTTAGTGCGCTGAGGTTCGGGATGATCCCAAGTGCCACGAACCACGCCACAACCCTGAAACCAGCTGGCTCCAATCGGCAGAAGCGTTCCCCCACCTGTCGCATATTTGCGCGTTTACATTGGACGACATATTCCAGCCGCACGGGAAGATTCACATATTGCACCTCTTTTCCAGAGTGGGACTAGAGTCGTGGAACAAGATGATGGGATTGGTTGATGCGGCGCAGCAGCGCGTAAATTGGAGGCCGGGCGCCTAAGCCTTCGTTAAGTACCAGACATCTTGATGTACTAATGCTGCCGGGCGTACTGCAGCAGCTTGTCGCTTGTATCTGTATTGCGAAGCGTTGCGTTGTTGCGATCTGTCGGTCATTTTCTTTTTGCCTTATTCTTAAGTTTGCCATGGATCACGGTATCACCGTCGCAAGGTCGACGCCGTCGGACAGCACACCAGCAGGAGATTGGAAACGCAAAAACACTCTCTTGTCAAGATTGACAGAGATATATGGCAAGTCCAAACTTTTTTTTTGAATGAATACGAAACTCATTGATCCCTAGAAACGAAATATTGGCACCCACCTGCACTTCGAGCACCAGTGCTCGTATTTACCATTGCGATATGCTGGACTCTCATCGCCGTTCTTGAATATCTACTCTGGAAAAGTCAGCGAGATAATGGACTGATCTTTGCTCCTGTCATTAACGATCTTCCTTTGGGCACTACATTCGTCTACTTATATTTCCCAACCATCGTTGCCGTCATCTTCAGCATTTACTGGGCATGGATCGATCTCGAGACGAAGCGTATGGAGCCATACTATCAGCTTAGCAAACCGAACGGAGCCCTGGGGAAGGACTCGCTTTTATTGCAGTACCCTTTCTCGTTTATACCATTGGCCCCCATCCGAGCGTTCAGAGACAAGTAAGCAAACACCTCGTCCGACAATGCTAAAGTGCATGGATTCAGTCTTGTTCATAAAGAAGGAAGAAGAGTGGAAGACCGTCGGCGGATTTGTTGCCATGTCGAGAGCAAAGGACATCATATACTAACTGCTACGCCACTAGGCATTGGCCAGTCTTCTGGGCTTCTTTCGCAGTCGTTCTTGTCACCTGGGGTCTTGTCCCGACACAAGCAGGTCTCTTCTCGGTGCAAACCGTCACACGTACTACCAATGCGACCTTTGCTGTTTCTACGTACTCCATGCCTGTGGGGAAGCAGGAGGCAAGCCTAACATTCAAATATGGACAATCAACTTATGGTATAGCTACTGCGAACGAAAGTTTACCCATGTATACTGCACGCAATTTTACTCTGGCACCCTTCAAATCAGCAGACCATGAAAGGGAGTCTCTTCAGAAGGGGACACAGACAGCCCCAACCACAATGTACACCCTGGACTTGGAATGCGAGAACGCCTCACACAAAGCAGATAACTCCACGAGGATCTCGTACCTTAGTAACGGCGGCTGCAATATCACCGACTTGGGTCTCGACGGAAATCTCACAGTCGGCGAGAACACCTCGCGATATAAGTCGCTTGAGACTAAACAGTATACGGGCATGTATATTGGTTACCATAATGCGGGTCTCGCCAGCTATTACCTGAGTACGCTCTGTCCGAAAAGCGAGAATACCACATTCTGGGCCGGATTTGCGAAGTCAAAGGTAGCGCCATTAACAAAACTCGGCTTTTGAAGCCTGGCTGATTATTCCGCACAGGCTCGAGCTCAAGATTACCCTCAAGATGTTACAGCAATATTTTGTCGTGCAAGGTACTGGCGACAAGAAGTATCCGCCACCATCGACACCATGACGAGCATGCCTCTAAAAGTGGTGAATCTGGCAGAAAGACAACCGTTGGACTGGAGTGAATTCAATGCCACCTACTTCGAATCTGTTCTGAATTCTGGCCGTCTCGAAGTAAATGCCCGTAGCGACGCCATGCCTGGAGTAACGATTCCCAAGTACTGGGATGTGGTCGCACGAACCAACCTGACTCTGTCCAGCGATCTCATGTCTATGGTTGGACTAGCTGTCGGCACTGGTACCCGACCCCTGGAAGAGTACCTCGACTGGCAAGCATTGTCAAAGGCATACGCCGACGCCTATCGCTTACTATTTGTCCGCGCGATGGTAGACGTCCTGGGCAAGGGCGATAACTTCAGCTCGTCAAAAGAAGTTGCCGGCCAGAGACAAGTTGTCAGTGAGGCAGTCTTACTCGAACCTGTCTTCGTTCACATTGTCGTAGGGTTTCTCGCTGTGGTCTCGATATCCACCATAGCGCTCCTGATCTTAACATTCATCCGACAAAGAAACTTGAGGACCGACCCAAGTACGATAGCGAGCATAATGTCGATGGTTGCAGACAATCGCGCACTGCTTTCCGACTTTGCAGATTTAGACTGCTGTTCCATTGAGGATGTACAGAAAATCATTGGCAATAAACGGTATAAACTCACGAACAACGAGTGCGGTACAGAGTTAGTGTCAAGATTCCACAACGTGAGAATCTACCTAACTTGAGACTCAGGATCCTAGAAATCACACCCAGCGCTATCACATATTCAGAAACAGGTTTCGTCAGCTCCACAGGACAAAGAAGAGATAGTCCATCCAGTATCGCAAAACCTGTCCGCCCCGTGGAGTTTAGCCTCTGGGTTGCATTCCCAATCATCAATCTTTTCGTAGCACTTGCTATTCTGCTAGGTGTTCTTTATGGAAAAGCACACGCAAATGGTAAGTCATTGAGCGTCGGTAATATGATTGCAGAACATCTAACTGGCTACAGGATTACCGCTACCATCATCAAACACTGTTGTACAGAACATTCTGGAGAACTACATCCCTACAGCTATTGCGACCCTGATCGAACCGATGTGGATTCTGATCAATCGTTTACTTTGTATGCTACAACCTTTAGAGGAGCTACAGGATTGTAACGCCAAAGCGGAGACTTCTATCGATACCAATTATAGCTCACTTCCGCCTCAGCTAGTTGTACTCCAGGCGTTGAGGGCGAAGCACTTCGTCCTCGCTTCTGTGTGTGCTATGGCATTGTTAGCGAACCTGCTCGCAGTTGCGTTTTCTGGTCTTTTCAACCAAGTATCGGTCGACATCCAGCATACAATAGCACTCAACCCGACTTACGAGCCCAACTTCGTATTGGTTAATGGAAGTGTGGGCCCGTTAGCAAATAACAATCAAGGCACACCTAACCTTTCCGGCGCATATTTTGGCGGTGATGGAGCGGATCACTTTTTGATCGCAGAGTCAAATATCACACGAAACACTTCTCTGCCTGCTTGGACGGACAACGCGATGTTCTATGTGCCAGTTTTCGACGAAGGCGGCAATACAAGTCATTTGAGCACTTCTATCCTGGAAGCCAAGACAAACGCGATTGGTGCAACACTTGAATGTAAAGAGATGGAATTAGGCCAGGACTTCAATGCACATATCATAGATACAGAAGGCTCCATGAATGTCAGCATTCCCAACGGTCAAGGAAGCGTACGTTGCAGGAATGCCAACAATATATTGGTAGGTCCTTGTAAAGACGAGCCAAGCGCTACCGAATTCGTGGCATTGCTACAAGCCCGTGAGAACGCAACACAAGCTGAGGAAGAGATTTGCATGACTTCAGTCATTTTGGGGTGGATGCGTGAAGGGCAGGGAGTTTGTTCAGCGCCAGGGAGCGTGAGCATACGCCCGAACAATACGCTGTTCGTCCTGTGTCAACCAAAACTGAAGCGTCGAACTGCGAACATTCGTGTTGACGCAGGTGGACGGCTACAGGCTCCCGCATACTACGATAGCCCATCGGAAGTATCACCGACAAACGATACAACAAATCGCTCGAGGACCGTGGATAACAATTTGGTTGGTCATTCCAACAGGTTCCTGTTCCGCGCCGGAGCTGGCTGGCACAATGACACTTTTGCGAACGACTACCTCAACTATTTCATTAAACGTACGACCAATAGCAGTCGACTGATCGATCCAGAACTACCTGTTCCGAAGCTCGAGGATGTGCTAGAACCTCTCAATCAAGTGTACGCAAAGCTCTTCGCAATCTGGTTTGGACGAAACAAGCAGGACTTATTGGTGCCGAATCAAAACAACGAGTCCGCCACACTCTACGGTTCGAGGCTTGAGCCAGAGAGACGCCTTTTCTTGTCGTCCACTATGTTTATCATCTCCGAAGCCATCCTCTGCACCTATGTGGTAGTCGCAATTTGGGTTTATACGCGCCGCCCAGGCCAGTATCTGGCTCGGATGCCGACTTCGATCGCTTCCATCATTGCTCTTTTCGCTGCCAGTACAGCTGTTGAGGATATGCAAGGTACATCACACCTTGATCGAAAGGAGCGTGCACAACATTTGCGGCGACTCGACTCCCGGTATGGATTCGGAAGTTTTATTGGTGGCATGGACGGACGAGTTCATATCGGTATCGAGAAAGTACCGCTTGTTGTGAAGCCCCGCGCTAAGAAAACGACATGGTTAGAGCATAAACTCCCGTTGCTACGTAAACGCTCAGTGGGACCCAGTGTATAAGGATCGGCTATTGGCAGCGGTTAATGGCGACAATTTTGGCCCTCAAAATTGCATTCTTGTTGCAGCCTTGCATAAATTACGGCTACATGGACAATTCCCTACATCCAGCTTTTTCTTAGGCTATCATCAGAGATGATTTGCGAATGAATCCAGGGCAGCTCAACACGTTTTCAATATAACAGGGAGAAGCCCAGTGCGCGAAGGTCAGAGAAGCCTAGTTCTCCTCTGATTGTTTCAGCGTACAGAGCGGTCAGCTCATATAATGGCGTGCCAATGCAGTGCAGGCATGAAAGGCAACTGGAAATTCGCACCACACCGCTGGGTACAGACACCGCTGGGCACACAAGCCATAAATTGACTCAAGTCGATCCCGAAGACAAATCCAAGTGTCAAGAAGTTCTCACTGACTTGCCTCTTGAGGAATAGAGTGATAGCCAAGTCCGCGCGATGCTCTGTACGTGAGTGGTTCACACAGGAAATGACTTTGAAGGCGCATTCGCAGCCTCCAGTTAAAACCCATTGTCAGTCCTAGTTCATAAAACAGCAGATGGATCAAGCATTGAAAGCCTCACTGAAGCCTCAAGATATTTTCCACGCCTCGTCGTTGACAGCCGGTGAGATCTCTTCCATTTCTCTAGGGACGCGGGATGTTTGCTGCAAACTTCCTCAAATACTCGCTCACTTCATCTCCGACATTTTGGGCTAGAGGACGCAGCATGTCGAAGCACAGATATCTTCTACGATCCGACTCTGGTATAGGGACACCCCCCTCCCAGTACCCAGTTGGGTTCTATTAGAGCATTCAGTGGTCTATAGTCAGGGACACTGCAAGCGTTCACACTAGTTTCTTCTATCAACAAGACCTCCCCGTGGCTCCTCCAGTACGCGGCCAAGGCTTTGCTTTAGGGCGTAGCATAAAGAGTCGTCTGCCCATTGCACAAACAGCGACGTCGCAACATGGTTATCAGGAACGGAGGTATTGCTCAAACAAGTACATGGTGAACGCCAAATCTCAAAATCTTCGGGCCGTCAGTGGTCAGAGGGCAAATAAGGTGCACGTCTCACAACAGCCTTGTGGGGACTACACGTCCTTCCTGTATCCGTTCCCAAAAGGTGCTAGATGCGGCAAGAAGCTTCTCAATCCCAAGCAATGTCATTCTCATACCATCTGAGTGGTTGATGGGGAATGAATTGCAATCCGGGCGTCGCCGAACATAGTGCAAGCCATCTGGTGCGGCTCACCCACAAGAGAGATTGAAGGAACAACACGCGGGATACGATGGCCGAATACCGCTTCTCTATACTTGCATGGAGGGGCAGCAAGACATCCTGGGGGCCTCTTGTCCTCGGGGCGAATGTTAGAGGGTACGAGTGGGCCACAATCTGGGCGGATCAGCACAATCCAACAGAGGCCGTGACTTCGCGAGCAGCAGCCACGTCATATCATATCTTTTCTCGAAAATACACCTCGTCTTCATGAGATTCAGTCTTGCCACCGGTCGCGTTTTGGGCCAAGTCCTCTGGCAGTGCAACAGGCCCGAGGCATCATCAAGCTTGTCAAAGTCCGACTGTGGCAAAATCGCATCTGCAACACTATCCAGGATATAAATGCGTATTTGTTTGACGCCTGCATGCCAAACCTCTCGAAATGATGCGCCAATATAGACATGCATCGATGAAATTCTGAGGACTTGAAACATTCGCGCCCAGGGGCTGCTATGTTGTATTGCGATGGGCAGCTGCATGTCGTGGTCTGTTTCCATTCCATGCTGTCTTAGTCAACTGCGAAGCGGGTGGTTGACGCGGTTCAGTACGCGCGGAATTGCATACGGAGCATCCGAGCCCAAGCTTTCAAGTCCACTGATCAGCCGTGGGAACGGCGCGCGACTAGCTGACTGCCTGCTCAGTTGGCACCCCCCGAATTGCCCACCCTCACGACCAATTCCTGAAACAGGCTGTCGATGCTAAGCGGCCAATCAGTTGAGAGATCGGCCAGGGCGACGTAGCGGTGTCTTCATCACGAGCTGATCTCGACGATCTAGTCGGCTGAGGCGACCGCCACCGGCACACAGCCCATCGGGACCTGCATTCGCGCCGCCATGTTGTGCACCACGTTGCGGCGCAACTGTCCAAACATAGGCGTAACGCTACACCTGCAGGCAAATCTCACGATAGCAGAGCTTCTCTACGCCTGAGGACGGAGACAGATTTGGAAGCTTATAACACGCAGATCTTACAAACACGAGTCTCGTGCCTGAGGTATTTTGAGAGCCGACGGGTAAAGCCACGATGGCAGCCCAAAAATAAAGATCATGCGCATAAGAGGGAAGGCATCCATGTTTGCACGCATGAAGTTCTGCGGAGTCCCTTGCGTTCGGGGCCCTGCAATAACGCTGCTACACAACTGTCTTCGCAACGGCCAGACGCCGCCGTGGTGCGAGGCTCTGCGACTAGTGGTCAAAAGCAGCCAGCCTTTGCGCCTGCGTTACGAAGAGGGCGGTACACATGCTGAGGGTGTCACCAGCAGACACGAGATGGGCTGTTTGGTTGGTCGTTGGTAAGACAGCATCGCGACACCAGCGTGCGCTGAAGATGGGACCCCAGCGAATGGGGATGCACACAGCCGCCTTCCTGGAGGCCGTCGACGTTTCAGGCTAACCGAGGGCGATCGTTTATCCACTCCAGGCCGTCTTTACGACTCGCTTCTGCTATCGATAGGGGATGCCGCACCCTGCCACCATGCAGCTCACAGACCGCCGGCGCACTCCTCAAACCTGACGTCGCCCCTGGAAATGACTTCGCCCCAATCGCGACCCATCCGAGCCATTTTCCACTTTTTCGTTTCAGAAACATCTTGCACCTGAACTCTCTGCAGCCAATTGATAGACATGGGTACCTGCCGAGCCAGCTGGATTCAGGCTGCTCACATGCCGTAGCACCGTGCATCCTGTCCTTGCACCCCTGCCGCTAGGCCATGATGGGCATACGAGCCGGAAGGTTACCTTAGACGTCTCATGCCGTCGAATAGCCTACGCCTGTACCTGATCCGCTGTGGCACCTAGGCCCCGGTCTGCACACACTCGTTTCTCGAGTAGGGAGGCGACTGGCGATGAGTGGTAGGTATATAGTCGATGGGACCTGCATCGTGTTTCTACTCCACCACAGGCTCACCACAGCAGTTTCGGAACTTCTTCCATCACACTCTCTTTTCTATATCTTGCCCGCGGCAGATACCACATTCTTTCTCATCGCTGTCTATCGTTCGAAGAGCTAGTCTCCCTCACGCCGTTCCATCTACAATATTCACGGTCCAGCATCACTTCAGACGATTCCAGCCACCACAATCTTTGCTCCGCTCAGCAGGTCTCAGCGAGTTTCCCAAATACCCAAGTTTTACAGTCTTTCAAACGTCAACATGTTCTCCAAAGCCATTGCCATTTCGGCGCTTGCCGCCAGTGCGTCTGCGCACATCGTCTTGACCTACCCAAAGCCTTTCGGCTGGGATACTTTGAACAGCTCTCCCCTTGCTCCTGCCGACTTCCCCTGTAAGCAGCGCAACGGCGTCTACGCCGTCGATACCATGAACCAATGGAACGCCGGAGAAACCCAGAACATCACTTTTGGTGGCACTGCCGTCCACGGAGGTGGTTCCTGCCAGTTTTCCATCACAACTGATCCCGAGCCCACCGAGAAGTCTCAATGGAAGGTCATCCAGAGCGTCGTCGGAGGCTGCCCTACGGCGAAGACCAACGAGAACTTCGAGGAGATCCCAGGCAAAGATCCGCGTACCATTGCTGTCCCCGATGAGTTCCCTGTCACTATGCCCAGCGACATCCCAGAGGGTCGCTACACCTTTGCTTGGACTTGGATCAATAAGGTCGGAAACCGCGAGTTCTACATGAACTGCGCACCCATCCAAGTCGGGAGCAGTGGAAGCACTGCCAGCACTGCTAGCGCAGCCAAGGCTCTGGCAGCTCTCCCAGATATGTTTGTTGCCAACTTACCTGATACTGAGTGCAAGGCCGCGTCAGGTAACTTTGTTTATCCCGATCCCGGATCCAAAGTTATGCAGCTCAAGCAGGAGGCACTGATCAATGCCGTCTCTGGCGCTGCATGCCAGAAGCAGAACGCTCTGGGCGCGGGTGCTGGCTCGATCGGAAGCCCATCCGCAGGCACTCCCTCCACCCCGTCTGAGGGCACTCCTTCTACCCCATCCGATGGTGGCTACCCTACCAAGCCCAGCAGCGGTGTCCCTTCAGAATCACCCATCAACAAGGGACCCACAGAGTCCAAGGCTCCTCTCAACCCGGGTGGTGTCTTTGCCCCAGGCGCATCCTCTGTTCCTGTCTCCAAGCCTACTCCCCAGCCCGAAGCGCCTGCTCCTGCTCCTGCTCCTCAGCCCGAAGTTCCCGCTTCCTCAGCCCGCCCCCGCCGCACCGTCAGCTGCTCCTCAAGTCCCCAACAACACTACTCCCACAAATGGAGAGTGCACTCCTTGCACCAACGACGGAGCTGTTGTTTGCATCGGCAGCAAGAAGTTCGGTCTTTGCAACCGCGGATGTGCTGTTGCTCAGGATCTCGCCGAGGGCATGATGTGCTCTGCTGGTGCGGTTGTCGCCACAACCAAGCGCAACATCCACTTTCCCTCGCGCCCACCTCCACCGCCGTCACAGCGCCGCCCACCTCATCTAAGCGACACACTGTATATCACGATCCACACACTTCTTTTATACCCGGTTGCATCTTTTGGAGTTGGCGGAAAACTATCTTGGATACCTACGCACCGCTTCGTAGGTCAGGCTAAGGCTTAGGGATCCCCCCTTGTTCATATTCTGGTTGGTACAGACACCACTTGGGTCTGACTTTTTGACGTACTGTAACGCACTATACTTTCTTTCATGACCGGACCTTGAGCGGTTCGGCATGCCCTTTTGCTTGTATGATGGAGAGAGCCGTCGGTGACCTTGCGTCGCACACATAAGTACCATTTCGAGTACAAAAACAATGAATAACACATTCACTTGATCAAATTTGCCTCATGACACTCAGCGATGCTTTTCAATGCAGTGACGGTGATTGCAGAAGCGAGAACCGCACATGGCACCATGCGCCGGCAGTATTCCTGCCCGCCTCCTTCCCAACAAGAAGAGGTAAAGGGGTAGCCTGTACATATTCAAGAATCTCTATGGTACGAGATAGAGTATCCTATAGCTGCGTATATATTCAGGCTCCTCTAGAAACTTAGAGTATACCACTAAAGTGTAGGTGCAAAGCGAGCAAGCATTCTGGCGCTGCCTGGTGACGATGATGTACGCCCTTTAAAGTGATGAAGCGATGCTACAAAGCTGGAGATGTTACGGGCGGGACGTAGTGGGTCGCTCCTGCCAATTCGTCTCAACCGAGCTGAGAGCATGAAGCACGTGACAATATGCTCCCTGCAAGTAGATATGCAGGGTGTAAGCGCTCAGGTTTCTGGCCCAGTTCAAGCCTGTCTCGCAGCTTTGAGATGCAAGCAGCAAGGGCTTACACCCTTCACCGGTCATGACGTTGGTGTACCGGGTGATTGTGATTGGGTAGATAGTGCACTTGGCGGGCGGTCCCTCCAGCTACCCCAAGGTCGATTTCTCTCTGCCTGCCTTAGGTGCCGCTGCCAACGCACCACGAGCACGCGACGAGACACATGAACACCCGAGCCCTATGATTTTATGAATTGTATTATTTCCTGACAGACCCAAAATCCATATCGAGCCTCGGCCCACGTTTCACCGCCTGCCGCCACTCGCCCCTCGCCGTCCCGCGCCCCCAAGCGCTCCCTCTTCCCTCTACCACCACCCTCCGCGCCCCCACAGCTCCCGACCTCGTGCGTAGCCCGTCCAAGATGGAGAACAACCCCCAGGATGTCGACCAGGCAAAGTACATGGACAATGCCATTCGCGCAGTCCAGCAGAAGAAGCCGCTCCCCGAGATCGACTTTACGCTGCACACCATGGAAGATGGCTCGCAAGTGAGCACCATGGAACGAGTCTGCAAAGGTACTTTCGCCGCACGGGTCCGCAGCTTCGCATAGTAATTGCTTGCACGCATGCGACCGACCATCCCAAGAACGCCACAGCTAACCCCACTGTGAATGCCAGACGTCCAAGCTCCAGCTTTCCATCCGCCCACTGACGAGCAGTTCTTTTCGCCACAAGATCGCACGAAGCCCAACATCCAGTTCTTGAAGCAGCATTTCTACCGCGAAGGTCGCCTGACCGAGCAGCAGGCGCTATGGATCATAAAGAAAGGCACAGAGATCCTCAAGGCAGAGCCCAATCTGCTGGAGATGGATGCACCGATTACGGTGTGTGGTGACGTTCACGGCCAATACTACGATCTCATGAAGCTGTTCGAAGTCGGTGGAGACCCTGCCGAGACGCGCTACCTCTTTTTGGGTGACTACGTGGACAGAGGGTACTTTAGTATCGAGGTATGAGGCACGGCAGCATGGCCATGTACTTGCGCTGATAATCATAGTGCGTTTTGTACCTGTGGTCGCTGAAGATCTGGTATCCCAACACGCTTTGGCTCCTCCGCGGAAACCACGAGTGCAGGCATTTGACCGACTACTTCACATTTAAGCTCGAGTGTAAACACAAGTACTCCGAGGAGGTCTATGAAGCATGCATGGACTCTTTCTGCGCATTGCCTTTGGCAGCGGTCATGAACAAGCAGTTCCTGTGCATACACGGCGGTTTGAGCCCTGAGCTCCACACTCTGGATGACCTGAAGAGCGTATGTAGGAACGCAGAGAATTGCACGGCAATCACTGACTTGCGCAGATTGATCGATTCCGCGAGCCTCCCACCCACGGTCTCATGTGCGATATCCTCTGGGCCGATCCGCTTGAAGAGTTTGGACAGGAGAAGACCAACGACTTCTTTATTCACAACCACGTCCGAGGATGTTCATACTTTTTCTCGTATCCCGCCGCGTGCGCCTTCCTGGAAAAGAACAACCTGCTTTCTATTATCCGTGCTCACGAAGCCCAAGATGCCGGATATCGCATGTACAGGAAGACTCGGACGACTGGTTTCCCTAGTGTCATGACCATCTTCAGTGCGCCCAACTATCTCGATGTGTACAACAACAAGGCTGCCGTTCTGAAGTATGAGAATAACGTCATGAACATCAGGCAATTTAGTAAGCTTGCAATGCGCCGGAAACTGTTCGCTGAAACTGACCCGCGTAGACTGCACGCCTCATCCATACTGGCTGCCCAACTTCATGGATGTCTTTACATGGTCATTGCCGTTCGTTGGCGAGAAGAGTGTGTTGCACTTCCTCCTAGTTTTGACACTATGGCTAACCAATGACAGTCACTGACATGCTCATTGCTATTTTGAACACATGCTCCAAGGAAGAACTCGAGGAGGAGACTCCTAGCTCTTTGGCCTCTGGTCCATCATCGCCACCGCTGGCCAGCCTTGACCCCGACTCCACAGAGTTCAAGCGCCGCGCTATCAAGAACAAGATCCTCGCTATTGGTCGTCTTTCTCGTGTATTCCAGGTTCTGCGCGAGGAGTCGGAGCGTGTTACTGAATTGAAGACAGCATCGGGAGGCCGACTCCCCGCCGGTACGCTCATGCTCGGCGCAGAAGGCATCAAACAAGCCATCCATAGCTTCGAAGACGCCCGCAAGGTTGATCTACAGAACGAGCGATTGCCGCCGAGTCACGAAGAAGTGCGAAAATCTGCGGAGATTAGCCGAGAACAGGCTCTCGAAAAGGCCAAGACTGAGGCAGACAACGACACGGGACTCGCAACGGTCGCCAGGCGCATCAGCATGTAAGTCAAATTTGCTCCATGGTGTTGTTTTGTACTGACACACGTAGGTCTTCTGGATCTTCACGCAACAAGCGCTAGGGGACCTTGAGGCGTTCAAGATCAGAGAGTGGATCTGAGACCAACACACGAATCGGTCAAAAGATCGAGAGTGTGCGGGAAGTGTAGGGATTTTGATGATTTCTGCACGAGCCCATTGTCATACCACGCAGGCGTATTGCGGGCCAAATAAGAGGATAGAGGGCATCACCTCATGATGAAGGGAAGTAATTTGCTGGCTTCGCGCCTTGGCTCAAGCAGCCGTCTTTCTCTTGAATGAACATATTTCCGCCATGCGGACTGGAACAGCAGCCATCCGTCAATGAATTATTCTTGGCCCAATGCGATTTGTAGTAAGCAACGTGAATGTGATGTGCACGAGCCAAGGCGGGCCGAAGCTAGTTCCGCGCGACCCTACGTCAACTTTGATATTGCCAGCTTTCGGGCGATGCACATCATCTTCCAGCCCGATGCCTCCATGGGTGGCCACTGTGCCGCGACTGTCGAGCCTAGCCAACGGCCGAGTGATTGAACGACTGCCTGCCACTTTGCGCTGTCGCCATGCCCACAGACCGAGCTCGAGAAGCCTCGGCGTGCGCTCCGCATCCACACACGTCGCGCCGACCGCGATAAATCTGCGGCCAAACATACCTGCAAGGAACAAGGAGCTCCACGATGCTTTGTCAGCACTCAGTGGAGCTGCAGAAACATATGTCAATATCAGCCGGCTGCAATTGGCGCTGAGGGGGTTGGCGGCGCAAGATGCCGTCACGCGAGTAGCTGGTACGATGCACTGGTCACGAGAGATGGGGTGGAGGGCTAACTGGAGGAACAGTGCTTGGTCTAAACAGCCAATCGAGTGCGCAGCGACTAGCACGACTACTGCTCGCCGACCCATTGGGTGCTGAAGAGCAATGGGAGAAGGAGCTTCTGAAGGCAGGCGACGGAGGCGAAAGAGCTGTGCTGCTAAAGTATGATCTCCACACGTTTATAATAGGGGAATTGCTGACAGCAGTTGTAGGTACGGCGAAGACACTGATGCACAGACTCCATCGCCACTGTACAAAGCTCTAGCCGTCCCCTCTCGCGTCCTCCGATCGCATAACCTCGAGATACTCGTGTCGACGCTGAACGTGGACATCCCGAGCACGGTTGTTGCTTCGACAGAGAGCTCCAAAGAGTCGGTGCTGGTACCGAAGCTACAGACCGCGTCTGCGAAGGCACTACCCGTTCCATATCCAGTGCACAAGGCGCTTGTATTCGGAGAGGGAATCGACAGCGCGATAGCCTTTGGCAGATTCACGTCCGACGCCAACCAGGACCTCAGCCATGTTGTGAAGCTCGCTCTCGACCTGCCGCCCCCGTCAGATGAACAAGACTTGGGCACACAGAGCGGAAGCGCGGCTATCAACACTCAAGTCGGCACCGAAGCACTCGCCACCTTTCGCAAATCGATACAGAACGCTGTCGCATATGAGAAGGGCTGGTACCGAAGCGGACTGCCAGCTGTCTCGACATGGCTCACACACGATGTCGAGCCTGCGCAACCCATCAAACCCGTCTTAAAGACCCTTGTCACTTCTATCGCGGATGACGTAGAAACCAACATCACCAAAGAAGATACCGCACAGTTCCAAAAGCTTGCCACCTTACCAACCGCCCAGGAAACGTCTGCGTCCATCTTCAGCCACCTTGAAACCTGGGCCGAAAAGTCACACACGGAACTGCGCGATGAACTCGACTCCGCTTTCTCGTCCCGCAACTGGGCTAAACTCGCATGGTGGAAATTGCTCTGGCGTGTTGACGACGTGACCATGATATCTTCCGAGGTACTCGAGCGTCGCTGGCTCGTCAGCGCAGAGAAAAGCAGCATCTACCTCGCGGGCCGAATGAACCAAGCGGGCTTTCCCAGTGAACTTGTGCAGAAACTCGCCGTCGATAGCATCCCAGAGGCGACAACCGAGGAAACAGCACCCACAGCCGAGAATCCAAGAAAGGATCTCGGCGTCTCGACGGATGTGAGGAAGTCGATGCCCTGGCCTGAACAAATCGCTGCGGCGAGAGTCGAGCTGATCAATGACACCGTCCCGCCTTTGCAAGCACTCGCCCAACGACTTCTCCTGCAGACGTTCAGCACAACATCCCTATCTTCAGCTGCCAGTGCACTACTCTACGTCTCCGTATCGAACTTCTCCGTCTTTGAAGCCGCAGCCGTCGGCGTGCTCGGTTTGACTTACTCACTCCGACGGATGCAGAAGCTCTGGGAGGGCTCGAGGGAGAGCTGGGAAGGCACGGTGAGGGAAGAAGGGCGCAGGACGTTGAAGGCGACGGAAGAAACTGTACGCTTGATCATGCGGAATAAACAGAGGGAAGATGCGGGTTTGGGACTTGTGGAGGCCGATGGTGCGAAAGAAAGGCGGGTGGCCAGAGAGGCGGTGAAACAAGTCAGAGAGGCGCTGGAGAGGTTGGAGGGGAAGAGAGATGTCTAGTATCATAGTGTAATTGTACGATGTGATATAGTTTTGGTCTTGCTGGTTATATTGCTCTATTGCGCCTTGCTTCCTCGTCGCTCACTAGATGCATTCATTCCGGTGTTTTTGGTGGCTTGGTCGAACACTGTGTTTTCTTTCTATACGTGGCTATCTCACACAATATGGAACTTCCTCACCTCTGATCCACTCATCCAGTCGATGCTATAGTAATTCACAAAAGCCTCTGGAATCCTCGCATGGCCAATGCGTTCCCAAGCAGGCCCGCCATTCACCACGACCGGCGCGACAACTCGTTGCGCTGGTCGCAGCACCAAGCACACCTGCGGATGTATCAACAGCAACACGACCTCCGAATCCGCAGGAACATGTGACTCCCCTTCGGCGCCCAAGGAATAATCAGCTTCAAACGGTATCTCGTGACTTTCAATCGCGTCTCCCCTAGCGATGCTCACTTCAATCTTGTAGCGCACGGGATCGTGCTTGCCCGCGCCGCCGAGCCAGTGTGGGTCGTATGTGTAGCGCAGGACACCTATGTTTGACGATGCTTCGATGGTGAGTATAGCGGACGCTACGGAGCCGAAGGGGTTTGCACCGGGGACGGTAACAGCCATGGCGATGTTGTCGGGGTGGCTGCCTGCAGCGGTGTAATATGCTCTGTACATTGCAACAGATTCATCGCGGAAATTGATAATGTCGGTCCAGTAGCTGATGGGACTGTCGACAGATACCCAGGACCATGTTGGTCCGCGATACTCGGGCGACCTAGCGCCGTTGTCTGCCGTATTGAGGTTGATGGTCTCGACGCGCCATATGAGGTCGTAGCCGATTGAATCGGACCATAGGCCGGCCAAATAGTTGTTGCGGAGATGCTGGACTCGCTTACACAAGCCGGAAAATGCTACGAGACGATCGGAAGGCTTGGTCCATTTCAGGGTGGAGTATTGCTCTACGATGCGGTGGAAGTGGAATACCAGCTCTGGACAGTCTTGGGTGTCTTCTTCGTTGACTGGCGGTGTAATGGCCGCGTGAAATGGCACGTTGGATGCAACGTCGAAGGCAAAGATGTCGTCATCTGATATCTTTAGTCCGTATACGATAGCCGAGGTGATTGAGTCTTCTGTGCTGGCTCGCGAGATGGCCTCTTCATAAGGAGGTGGTAATTCGGTTTCCGGATCGTCACTGGGTCTCTGAACGTCGTCATTTCGAGCCAGCCGCATAGCTTCCATGCGCACGGCATTGTTTAGACGAGCAATTTTGTGTTGTTCTTTCTCTTGTGCTCGTACCGCGTGATGGTAAGCTCCACCAGGGCTCTTTTCTTGGCTCACCCCACCACACTCACACCTGCTCGCTTCTCTGCACTCCCATACCAACTCAAATTCGCAGATGTGTAGTACGCGGGGCGACAATAGACGTTCTTGAAAAGCCCATCCTCGAGTGAGTAGTGGAAAGTGATCGAGGAGACCACCCGCGGTCTGAACATCGAAGTGATCGAGCGGCCTCCTGACTCCAATGCGACAAGTGCCCACATCCTCTGGCAAAGCGACTTCGATGTCTGGAGCACGATTTCCAATCCTTTTGCTGCTCCCCTCGTTGTCTCCGCTCGAAGATGTAGCCGCGATTGTGAGGACTGCATTCTGGTATATCTCAGACATGAGAGCAGACTGAACCTCCCAATCCTCTGCATCATCCTGTACGATGCACAGCGAGTCTATCCAGATATATCGAACCCCAAGCTTGATTGTCAGTTGCATCGCCTCTCTGAACGTCTGAGGTATTTGTTTCCACGGAACACCAGCTATGCGTTTGGCTATGTTCTTTCTGGTTGTAATGCAATTCTGACGCTTACCCCAGCAATGGCTGAGAGAGACGTAAGGGCTTCGCTGGTTGATAGGTTCAAACAATCGTGCTGTGATGTTTTCGCCGTTGTCACTGTTCAACAACAGCACCCTCTTGGGTAATAGTGGTCGCGCAGCTTGTCGACATGATACGTGTTTCAGCTTACATTGCTTCAAGAAACCTGACACCCAGTCCACTGCTTGCGTAGATAGTGGGTGGCCGCTGATGGACGTCCTTGGCTGGATGCTTTTCCATCCTTACTTGACGTCAGTCAACGCATCGCGAATATACCTAGCCAAGAGCTTACGATGCGGCCGAAGACTGTAGTATTCGAGATCCAACTTGGGTCGATCATCTACGAAGTAAATCTCCAAGCGAAGTGTATCCTGGAAGGAGCTGCGCGACTTGTCGTGGCATCGCGCGTACACTCTGCGTATATCGCGCTGCCACGACCAGTCTGGCTTTTCAGACTGTCGAAGGCCTTCGAGGATGACAAGGCAGGAATCGCAATGCTTGTAGAACGCGGATCGCACGAGTTCCTGGGGTGTGAAGTTGAAGGCTAAGCGCGCATCATCTTCGTCTCTCCTGACGAGATCGTGGCAAAGCGAGCACCGAGCCATGGCGAATGTGCCAATCGTTTGTTCATGTTTTCCTCATTGTCTGTAGCAATGGTTTGAAAATGCGCCTAGGCCATGCCGGACGCTCAGGATGCTAGACGAAGCTGACGTTCGGTAAGAAGCGGGGGATGTGGCCCTCGTCGCTCCCATCCACATCTCACCTTTGTCGGATTTCGGCCTCCATGTTCGTATTGCTCACGCATCGTCCAGCTTGGAAAGCGCCTCAAAAGCCATGAGTGACGGCTTGGTGGAGATTGACATTGTGCGATGGCGCAGGACTGGGCGCATTCGGTCCCGCTGACTGCTGTCGGGGAAGCTGCGGCGGGGCCACGTCCGTGTCGGGCCGCCTCAGTACTAAACCAACACCATCGCTCTGCATCACATATATCATTACTTCAACTACTCAAAGCGTACAATTAGGATAACACGCATCGTGCTCCACTGTGATATAGCTTATGTGCACCATATTCGATTTTTTTTTACAACCTTATAAAGAGCCGCTTGAGCTTTCTCTTAGCTCATTCTTGTTCAGCACTGGTCCTTGATTTATCTCCTCTGTCCTTCTTGTACAGTTATTGTGTATGACACAGGCCTATCTTCCGTTAAGAGAAGCTCTGTGCTCAAACCGAATGTACTAAGATAGATAGCCCTTCTTGCCGAGGATTTCCTCCACGACTGCTCACTAGTTCCGACTAGAAGTCTACATTCCTATTATCCGCCACCCCCTGACCGCCTCTTATGGATTGCTTCTTCCATACTGATGACATCTCGCTCAAATGATTCAAAATCGGATGCACCCGCAGCCCGATTAACTCTTCGCAGAGTTTCCTCGTGGAAGCACAGCGCATGATCCATTGATCCCAACGCATACTCTACTTTTTGTTGGTCCTTGTATCGAAGCCGGTGGGCATCCTTTATAGCCGCGCGTGTAATGTTTATTGCAAGCTTAGTGAATGCGACTGAATTGGGGTCGTTTGTCTCGGCCGGGAGAGATCGCTCAAGAATGTCCAGCAGCTCTTCGCATTCGATTAACTTTTTTTGGACCTGTAGAAAAGCTGATTGTTCTTCTCGGATATCAGAAGCCAGAGGCGTTAAGAAGGAGTGCGTAGCTGGAACGGAAGCTGTAAACGATGGCAACCATTCAGCGCTCTTTTCAGATTGCAGATTCGGGGCATTGTCCTTGACATATGTCCGAATCCTGACTACTGCCCGGAAGCGCGTCTGGATGTTACGTTCATCTGATCTAGCTTCCTTGTTCTTGGCAAGTGGCCTTAAAACCCCTTCTGGCCGAAGAAGTACCCAGGTATCATCGTGGGACTGTGTGTCTCCTTCTACGCTCGCCTCGTCGCTTCTCTCATTGGCGAAAAATGCTTCTTCGAATGCAAGAGCGTCCGCAAGGGCAGAACCATCTATTGTGGAAATACTGAGATGATCATTATCACTTCCGTCGCTCGCAATCTTTTTTTTCTGTGTTTCTAGAAGATGGGGACACTTCGGCAGTTGTGCTAAGAGCTATCTTTGAACCGAACGAGGCGATAGCGTCCGGATAGACTTCAATGTGTTCAGAAGCGCTTGGCATGTTCCTATATCCGTGTCGTGTTGAAGTTGCCTAGCGTGATGTTGATGAAAGGTTGGGTCGCATGTGAAATACGAAGGTTGTGGCTACAAGGCAGCCCGACTGGTGTATCACACTGAGCCAAGAAGGGCTCAGGGAACTTGTTAGCAATTCACCTCTGGTTTCCTAGCCATAGTGCATGCGCGTGAACTGTGTTTGAGCGTTGTGTGCCCTATGGTGAAATACTAGCCTCGAGACTAATCTCTGTTCGTAGAACACGCAAAGGGAGCCTCTTTTTCGTGTGTTGAACATATGGGTTTTCCCATCGGACATTGAGCTTACTTAATGGATAACAAAATAATTCTTGCCAACTCCATTGATATCATTTTAGTCAATCGCCGCTCGTCAATATAAGGGTCACAAATGCAGACCGCAAGCATGAATAATACTTCGAATTAGCCGGAAATTTGCATCCAAATTTATGCTGGACTAGAGATAAAGAAACAAGTTGAGTGTTAGTCTGACGGCTCAAGTATAGTTCACACCCACAAACGTCCTTCTTTCGACACCAGCACAACGCGTTGCGACTTCAACCGCGTAGCAACAAACAAAATAGACTTCTCGGTAAACACGATTGCTTTATTTCTACACAGCTGTTTCAAAACATAAAGTCGTCCGACTACGATAGAGCGCATGGCGCTCTCATCTACTTCAATCAAACTATGCAGTGAATTGCAAAGCTGTCGTAGCATTTACGAGTGGCCAGTTGATACCCTTGTCTGCCGCCCCTGTATTACCGAGTCCAGCGCAGTTGTATAAGCCTACCGGGTTGTTCTGCACGGCTCGCAAATATTGTAGATCAACGCATTGTTCTACATTGTGGTTAGCTCAACAGCCATTACTCTATCACGGTCCTTGACAACTGGGTTCGACACTTACTTGTACCCGACGAAGCCTCGAGCGCAATCCTACCATCGGGCATTGCAGTCCATTTCTGCGCGACTTCAGTGTCTGCGCACGGTCTCAAGTAGATATTTGCCATGTCCTTCCACGCGCTCTGGGGTCCTGCATCCATACAGAGCGTTGTATCTGCGAGCTGAATTTTCGTCTGGTTACTTTTGATGTACCACGTTTGCTCTGGCTTAGACGTGAGGCTTTGCCTGCAAAATGTTAGACATACTAAAAGATCCAATCAAATTGGAAGCCTCACACTACGAGAGTGGTGCCGTTCGTGCGTGTCTTGGGGACAACGACATATTTGATGTCTTGCTTTGAAGTGATGTATACACGACGATAACCTTCCGGTACAGCGATCTGAGCAAGGCCTGTTACGGCTAGAGTAAGAGTCGTGATGAAAGTAAGAAGCATATCGATTGTGCAGGAATGATTGTTTCCTACAGCTGGCATCAGAGTAAGTTACCAGCAAGATGATAGAAATTGTGGAATAAGGAAGGCTTATAGCTGAGAAGATCAGGTTGCAATAATTAATTAGGACTATAATCAAGCTTCCACGTGTGAGCTTGTACTCTCTTGGTCCCACTGCCAACATGCATTTGAAGTTCGTGGGGCCCACTTTCAGTCTTCATTTGCATCGCTGTGTAGACACGTAGGTTCATCACAACCCATGTACTGCAATCTAGCACTTTACCCGAACGGACCTTGAATACTCGGTAGTTGACCAAAAACCACGTAGGACGAAAGCAGTCTCTTTTCAATGGATGTTATCCGCTTGGCCACACATTCCGCACAATGGCCGCACTTGAAGTTAGGTGCCGACGTCCTAGGCTTTGTCCTCGCTTTGTGTTTCCGCCTTTTGTCTATTCTTCCCTTCCTCTTTCAATTTCGCATCGTCATCTCTGTTGAGCTCGACCTGAGGCATGAGAAACCAGGCAGCAATGAAAGCGAGCGCATTTAATGCTGCGCTCACAATGAAGATAATCCGAAAGCCTTTGACATACGCGGACTTTAGCTCAAATCGTATGCTGTCGGTACGTTCTTTTCCATATTCCTCACGAAAAAGGTCGGGCGAGTTTGTTAGCAGCTGGATTGCTGAGGCTGAAAGTCCGAGCGGCGTAAGAGTTGATCTAACAGCATTATTGATGATCGTGCCGGAAAGAGCAAGTCCTAATGTCCCGCCAAGATTCCGGATGAAGTTGCGAAACGAGGTGACAATGGCCATATGTTTTCGTGTGACGCCAGCCTGTACAGCTATCAATGATGGTTGAAGCGTGTTGCCGAGGCCAAAACCCGAGAGTAGTGCAAAGCCTATTTGCTTGCCCAGTGAAGCATCTTCGAGGGTGGAGAAGAGGCCCATACCAATGGCCCAGACAGCCCAGCCTAGCAACAAACACTCTCTATATCTGCCGAAGCGGTGGATATACAGGCCCGAAAGCGTGCTAAACAAAGCTTCATAAATGATTAGCACATACGACACAGGATCTGAAGGTCACTTACTCTGGGTGAGCGTGATGGGTAGTAGTAAGGCACTTGACTTGACCGCTGAGTAACCACAAACTAGTTGTCCAAAGGCAGGTATGTAATAGACCTGTACAAGAAAGCCCCAGCCGTTGACAAACATAGTCAGCATCGCTCCATTGACGATCTTAGATTTGAAGATCAACACTACGCTTGTTACTTCATGTCTCCTCATGCTTGGATACTATACACTCACTTGGAACGAGCGGTACTCGCGTTCCTTTCCATTGCCATAACACGAAACATAACGAGACGAAGATGCCGATGGTGAGTGTAGCTATCACGTGCCGAGAGTACCAGGCATGTTCGCCGCCTGCCCAAGTCAGAGCCAGCACAAGTAAGGCCGAGCCTGCAAGAGCAAGGAATGCGCCGAAAAAGTCGATCGCTGCAACTTTCCTGACTTCGTTAGCGTTATGCAGGCTGGTACCCTAGTACATACTTCTTCCAATCACCAGTGACCTTCCTCAATGGCATGAAGAACACGACGCAGGATGTGGTCAAAACACTCATGAAGAGGTTCAGTCGAAATATCCATCTCCTTTGACTATGTTAGTACTGATTCACTGCCAATGAAAAGGAACGTTACCAAGAGTCGTGGCTGATTGAAGCTAACGCAGCGCCTATGGGTGGGCCAATGCCATGTGCTACCGCAACTACTGAACCCTGTCCTGGTGTTAGAGCACTTCTATACCACGGCTATTATTTCACTTACCAGTATACCTTGATATTTACCTCTCTCTCGTAGGGGAACAATGTCGGATACAATGAACTGGGCAAGGGTCATGACACCACCACCTCCCACACCAGTAAACGCTCTGAACACGATGAGCTGCACTGATGTCGTTGCCAAGGATGCAGCTAAAGAACCCAGGAAAAAAATGCCGATGGCGATGATTAAGAGTACCTTGCGGGACCAGATATCTGATAGTCGGCCGTAAAGCAGCTGGAAAGATGTTGAGGTTAGGAAATACGCGCCAGCAATCCATGCACTTTCAGAGCTCGCGTCCAGACTCCGACTAACAATCGTTAAAGCGGCAGCAAGTGTTGTCTGATCCATCAAGGCGAGGAGATCGACACTCGCACAAGCCAAGAATATCGTGATGATGACCTTCTGCGGGACATAGTTGGTTTGTTCATTGAAGTCGATAGTTGTAGCCTTTTCAGTCGATTCTGGTGTTTCTGCTCCAGGAGAGGGGTTCGTAGGCGTGGCAGGTGAAGCATCCGACGACTTCTCGTCAAGGACTTCCGATGGCTGGACTAACGCCATTGGCTGTGCATTCGACATGAGTAGAATAGATGCATACAAAAGTACAGAAGTGAAGGTGTCTCAATCGCAGGGGCAGAGAAGGTCATTGAAGCTCAAAAACGCCAAGTCGCCTAGATCATTCTCTGCCTTATGAGTACGGTGAGCCGCCAATGCCAAGGGAGAAGGTACTATATCGGCGAGAAACGCGTGCTACGTCGGCAAGCTGCGGTAAGCGTAGTCTCCGAACTGCCCGAGACTTCCTTGCCTGGCTCGTGACTTATTCAAGATTGTCAACCGTGAGGAAAGATAGGGTGATGTTGAGGAAGACTCCATGCAAAACTAGACTAATGGGCAGACAAGCCGTCGTTATAACCCTGCCGATGCCTCGTACGTGCCAAACTGCAGTAGCCAGACTATGTAGCAGGGTTCCCAGACGCTAATGCCGATAAATGCCCGTGTGGTGTAAATGGAAGCCAATTGGTACGCTTCTTAGCGCCAACATGGTGCTTTAGTCCTGTAGCGCCTATGTATTCTTGCTTTATGCATGTCTGCAGTGTGGCAGACACCTTGTTGTCAAGAGCGTGCTTACCTAGGTAGGCAGGAATAACTCTCGACTTGCCGACAGCTTCTGTTGTACTGGACGACTTGGATCTGGCACACTGCATCAACGCAAATCTCCTAAACCAACAGAAAAGAGTTCAAGCGAAAAGAAGCCTAAGCACCGGGCGAGGCGCAACGGTATAGTTACCAAGTAGAGTGTGCTTGCTTTGTTCTTCGGAGACGGGAGGGTAGCCCTTGTTTGTGGACCCTGAGCGGTCCGTTAGCAGTACCCTAGCGACCGGTGCTAGCGTGGCACGAAACTCAATAACGTATGGCGCGTTCGCATGCTAAACAACAATGTGCTCATACAACCGCATATCGTCGCAATGGTCAATAGATCTGTCAGAGGCGTGGGGTGACGGACGAGGTAGTTCGCATATGAGCTTGGCAATGTAGTGCGAATGGAGCTTGGCGATGCGAGTTGCTCACAAGGACGGCAAGTGATGTTGACCATCACTGGGCAAATCGCGCCTTCGTACCGAGATTGAGTGTGACAGAAGTACCAGGATAGACGGGTTTTTGTTTTCATTTACCCAATGATCAAAGTCAGGTGAATGTGGTTGGATGCGCTCGAGGCGCATATCCACATCTGCTCGTCACAAGCCAAACTGGTTAGTTAGGTCGCAACGTATATAAGGGGACCACTTCGTGATGCTCAACAATTGTAGCCTCTAAGCAACTCCTTGAATCAATATTATACAATGACATCGTCAACGTTTCTCAACGTCTACTCGGGACCGGATGCCATTCAACAGTACTTTGACCCGGATGTTCATCCGCCTTTACCACTCGTCGAAGTGCCACAGACTCTAAACCCTTACTACCAGGATGGCGTGAGAATCTTCGCTAAGATGATGTCAATGCACCCAGCGAACAATGTTAAGATCATGCCAGCAATGAACATGCTCGAGAAAGGGGTCCAGCAGGGCAAAACGAAAACTGTTGTCGAGTACTCATCTGGTTCTACCGTCATCTCTCTAGCCTTGGCTTCCCGCGTTTATCATCAAATTCAGGACGTTCGGGCTTTTCTTTCAAACAAAACTACGACCCCGAAGCTTAGGTTGATGCAGTTCTTCGGACTGGACGTGTGGGTGCTGTCCAAGTATGATAAAGTCTCCTACTGAACAACGTCAGCACATTGTTTGGTGGCCCAAGCCAACCAGAGCCACTTGACGAACGAGGTGGCATACACCGGGCGCGATTATTAGCGCAAGAGGATGAACAAGTTCTCAACGCGAACCAATACGAGAACGACGGGGTATGAAACATGCTCAAAATGGCTCAGAATGACACGATCCTGACGCCCACCAGAACTGGCAATCGCACGTCAAGTGGACCGGTCCGCAAATCCACAAACAACTACCGAATATCAACGTGTTATGCGCTGGCATGGGAACCTCGGGCACTATGACTGGGCTGGGGCAGTATTTCAAGCAGGCTAAACCCTCGGTAACCCGACTGGGGTATGTAGACTAGTAACGCAACGGCTGGCTAGGCTAACAACATCATGCAGGGTATGTACCGCAGCGGGAGATCGAGTACCCGGGCCGAGGTCATATGCCCTTCTTGCTCCTGTTGAGTTCCCTTGGCGTGACTCGGTCGATGCAGTGGAAGAGGTCGGTTCGAAGGATGCGTTTAGTCTTTCGCTGCAGCTCTGTCGGGAGGGCTTGGTTTGCGGCCCATCATCGGGCTTCAACTTGCAAGGTTCGTGAGTAAATCTCTATCGTAACGCTATACTGATCTGCGAAGGCTTGTTCAATTACCTTGGAAAGCAGAAAGCCGCAGGCACTCTTTCCGAGCTTTCTGGCGCGGACGGCTTGATCAACTGCGTTTTCATTTGCTGCGACCTACCGTACCAGTACATCGATGAGTACTTTGACAAAGTTAGCAGCGAAAGTTTCCATCCTATCAAGAATCAGGTCAGTATAGTTGTCGCCTCACAATGCAACGACTTTCTGATAGCACGTAGAATCTCGCCGCCGTAGATCTGTACCGCTACGACGAAGCATGGGAACTCCAACCTACCGAAGCGATCTCACAATACTCAAGCAGTGATCCGACGGTCTCCAGCACGGTGCTGCTAGATCTGCGAAAGCCTGACGACTTTATCTCTGAGCAACATCCCAGGCTCATACAATTTGCCGTTGCAAAGCCTAAGCTCAACCAGTCCGAGCCCTTTCTTCGATGCCGAAGCGTTAGAACGGCAATGGAAAGAGATCGATAATATGCTGTCTCCGAACACGATTTGCGCATACGATCTTGCTGGGAAGAATGTCGGTGTCATCTGCTACAATGGCGATACAGCTCGTGTCGCCACAAGCGTACTGCGAGCTAGAGGTATTGTAGCGAGTAGCATCAAGGGGGGCTTCGAAGCGTTAACGGCAGAACTACCACAGTTGCGAAAGAACAGTCGGCTGTCTTTCCAGCAATGGTCAGAAACAACTAACGCGACGCCTTCAAGACCGGAACCTGAGCTGCTTTCATCCGATGCTGGTCCTCGGCATGAGGTCATCGTGAACGCTCCGTAATGATGGAATGTGCAATGTGGAATGCTCTGAGGGAGACGGACTTTAGGCGCCGGATGTGATGATGTCACGGGCACCGTGCTGAAGTCTAAATTATGTGCAAAAGTGTCAGTCTTCGCACCTGTACTTCTCTGTTATTGATAGCTTAGCGAGTTCTAGAAAAGGTCATGGCTTCATCAACAGCATTCGTTCTTGTTATTTGCCAATGTCTGATGTTTCGAATTAATCGTGAAGCTTGCGATGATCCTCGTGAATTAGTGTGCAATTCTGCACAAAGTCCCGAGGTCGCGCTAAGTATGGCTGTCGGACTTTGTAGCTAAGGCCCGGAAACATCAAAGACCAAACAAGACAATTCGTATAAGAAGATGGGATAACAATACAGCAGTCACTGCGGATAGAAATTACGCATCAGAACTTACTCAATCTTGCCACATCGTCACACCTTGCACAGTTCTTTTCAAACAACACCAAGGTCTACAATTATGTCAGCTCTCACCAAAGAGATTGTTCTCGTGACTGGGGGTAAGTTATAATGTATCTTTTGCAAATACCAGCCAATACTCATATTCAACAGCGAACAGCGGCATCGGCTTCGAGATTGCGCATCAGTTGCTTGCAAGGGGCACCTACCATGTCTTTCTAAGCGCGCGATCCTCATCCAAAGGCAAGGCGGCCCTTGAGAACTTGCAGAATCGAAACCTGCCTGGAAGCATCGAGTTCCTTCATCTGGATGTGCAATCCGACGAGCATATCGCCAACGCTGCGTCAAGAATAGCTGAAGCGCACGGTAAACTTGATATTCTCGTCAACAATGCCGCTATAGCATTTTCCACAGACGGTACAGAGCGAGAACGTCTGCGTGATTCCTTCGATATCAATGCGACAGGTCCTTACCTTCTCACGAAAGCATTGATACCGGCTTTGCGCAAGTCGTCCAACCCGCGCATCATCAACATCTCATCTGGTGCGGGGTCGCTCGGTAGGCGCCTGTTTCCAGACTCGCCCATGTATAAGATCCAGGCCGTCCCATATCGCGCATCAAAGATTGCGTTCAATATGATAACTGCATGCCTTCATGTAGAGTATGGGTTGGGCGTTGAACAGACCGATGGCGACAAGGATGCTGGCGAAGCTGGAGGAGCGGATAAGAAGACTATGAAGGTCTTTGCGTACGATCCAGGCTTCACTGCCAGCAACCTGAGCTCTTATAACAAAACAGAGAATGGCGCGAGGACGGCGGAGGATACAGTGAAGAGCATTATGGATGTTGTGGATGGGAAGAGAGATGGTGAGGTTGGAAAGTTCATTCACAATAGTGGGGAGTATCCATGGTAGTTGCATGTCAAAACATGATGGCTTACGCATTTCGAGAATTAGAAGGAATGATTTGCGTCTGACTACCTGCAATTCTGAGTGAGCGCGAACAGTTGTTAACAGACGCATGAAGGTGGACGACTGAGCGACGATATCCAACCAGCAATAAAGCCGTTCAGGCCCACATGCTGACGAATTGTGCATCTCGGACAAATGTGATGTGAAGCGCCGAGCATTCACTTTGACTCAGCGAGCTTACATACTCGCTCTCTAGGAAGAGCGATACACAGCACTTGTAACTACAAGGCTGAGCAGAAGAAATATGGCACGGGCAGACATGATGAGGATAAATAAGGACTACGCCGCGATGGAATTTGTATCATCAAGCCGTCCACAGCCCTTCACTTCTACGCAACCATCTCAAAAGCAATTCATCCCTCCTAATTTAATTTGAACAAATACAAATTCATCATGTCTTCTGAAAAAGGTCGTAAAATAGTTATGGTTGGCGCATCGGGCACAGTTGGCAGTCCCACGCTTACCGCCCTCCTCAAAACGGGCATTCACACCATCACAGCCGTAACGCGCAATGAATCAAGTGCCACCTTCCCTTCCGGTGTCCAGGTCAAAAAGGGCGACTACAACGATGATTCCTTTCTCGTATCCGCACTCAAAGGCCATGATGTCCTCATCCTGCAACTCGGTATAATGCAGATGGAGTTGCAAGTAACGCTTATCGAAGCCGCCGCCAAAGCAGGTGTGCCCTGGGTCCTACCCACAGAATTTGGGTCGGATATCAACTCTCCCATCGCCAAAGACTTCGAGATAACTGGCATGAAGAAGAAGTACCGCGACCTGATTGAAGAGAAGGGTTCGAGCTGGGTCGCGATAGTCAACAACCCTTGGTTCGACTGGAGCCTGAAGGCAGGACTGTGGAGCATTGATGTTCCCGGCAAGAAAGCCACGTTGTACAATGTCAACGATACCAAGTTCAACACTTCGACTCTGAGTCAGGTCGGAACCGCAGTAGCAAGACTGTTGAGCCTGCCGGATGAGAAGCTCAATGCGTACAAGAACCGTTCGTTGTATGTGCGCTCGTTCCTCGTAAGCCAGTATGACATTTTTGATAGCGTCGTGCGCGCTACTGGGACAAAGGAGTCCGAATGGGAGGTCAAGATGCAGAAGCCAGAGGAAGCTATTGAGGCGTCGAGGAAGGCAGTCGCGGAGGGCAACATGATGGCGTTTGTAGGAGAATTCTATACAGCTCATATGCAAGCAGGTCGTGGTGGCAACTACGAAGAGAAAGCAGTGACGGACGCCGCAACCATTGGTTTGGAGAAGGAGAATCTCGATGAGGTTGTAAAGCGTATTGTTACCGATTTGGCAGGCAACTAAAGCTCTGCGTATCCATGAGTGTTCATAGGTTTCGACGTGGTTAGGCCATGACAGGGCAAAGTTGTATGAATAAATGGACGGAGATGTTCTAGATTTCGCAGGCCTACAATTTTCCAGTCCCACCTATTTTACCTCGAGCCTCAAGGCATCATACTGCACATATACACTCTCCGGCAGCTCTGCATCTTCTGGTGCAGTCGCCCTTGCAGGCAAGCTGAGAACAAACTCGTTGTAGCCCTCCTTCAACTGACTTACCGGGAATTTGAACTTGTGGCCTGTCGTATAACACGTAGCTGCACTTCTTACTGCGCAGCTGCTGCTATGAGTACTGGGTATAACCCATGTCTCCAGCTGTCTGCCATTTATGATAACGTTGTAAGGTAGATCAGCCCATGCTTTGCCAGGAGCAGCAGCATCATTGTTGCCAGCAGATGTCTTAACGCCGGCAAGCTGTATGGTGAAGGTCGCTTCGGATTTATTGGAGATCTGATTTTGCGTGAGGTCGAATGTGAGTGTCCAATTATTGACATTTGTGTAGTACGGATCTTTGCGAAGGTAGTTCGCCTTGCCGCCGAAAACGCTCCAATGCACGTAATTCAGCTCGTAAAGCGAAGAATTGCCGACGTGGTATTTCACACCATTAGGAAAGTCTTTCACGAAGTCATGTACCGCCCAGTAGAGACGATATTGGCGTGGTTGATTCGTACGAGTGGTATCTTCCTCGTTACCATGTCGGAATTCGCCACTGCTCTTATCAGGGGTACCAATTCGCCATAATTCAGTACCAGCGGACTCGGCATTCCAAGTAGCTGTAGTTGTTGCAAGGGATCCAGCCTTGATAACGATACCATCCTGCTCGTATTGACCGAAAATGTTATCCGCGTATACAGTCAAGCGATATGTTCCAGCCTTTACGGAAGGAATAGTGACGCTTCCAGACTTTTCGATATTTCCCCAGTATTGATACGCGGAAGGGATCTTGTTATTGTCCTGGAAGTCGTGTCCATCGACAGCTAGAACAGCGAGAGCGCGGGTTGCACCCTTGGGAAGAGAAACAGTCGCTTTAAAGGTTCCACGGCCCGTTGAAGGCACCAAGTTTGGAACGTGCTGAGCGATAGCATCATAAAAAGCTGCCCAATTAGTAGATACCATCTTCTTCGCGTCGCTACGTAGAGACTGCAGAGAAGTTCCCTTACTGCCTATGTTGAAATAGTAGACTTGCTGAACTACCTGTCAGTTGATAGCGGAGAAGGTATGCAAAGAGACTTACAGGTCCAAATGTGTGATCGAATCCATTGGCTAGCTCCGGGACCCCATTGCCGTGATGGTTGGAAATCATGTAGTTGTATACGATGCCGTCGACAGTAAGATCGGAATGTGTAGGTCCGTTGAAATATGTGTCTTTCGTGTTCATAAGAAGCCAGGCTCCAAAATTCGTCCCATCGCTACTCTTGGTGCCATCACCATACATGCCGTGCACGGTCTGATCTCTCCATTCCTCCGAGAACATGTATTTCGTAAAGTAGTCCGACACTTGTTTGACATAGGGGTCGCTTTTGCTTCCGCCTACATACCATGATGCGTCTTGCACAACGGGCGCACCGGTTGTGTTTGGCAGAGGCGCAAACATTTCATCACTGGACGACAGATGTGTCCATACAGACCCGGAAGGTCGGAAGAGCTGACGGAATTCTCCTAGGTCACCACCACTTGGCACTGAAGAATTGCTATACTTCGCTCGACTGAAGACGTGCAGGCCTGTCTCTCCGTCGCGCAAGAACCAGTACTGTTCAAAGACTATGCCTGTTGTTTGGTAGCCTTGGCTCATCATAGCCCCAGCGTAGGTCTTGCCGTCCCCATCAGTACCTTTAAACAATTGGTACTTTGCGCCTTTTCCGGGTGTCCAGAATCCGCTGTCGAGGTGGCCGTCGAGATAAGGCCCTCGTCCGCTGCCAAGCAAATTCTGTCCATCAAGGGAGAGCTTCGAGACGTATCCGGTGCCTTTTGCAACGGTGAAAGAAAGGCGATCATTCGAGATGTCGATTGTATTGTTGTTCTCTGACGACTTGATCGCTGCTTGAACCATTGACGCCCAAAATGGTAGGCTTAGGAGAAACCTAGTTGACAACATGGTAGTGAGTGTGCGAAAGCTATCCCCTTGAACGTTGGCATCTGCGCTTTGTACTTTATAGAACGTCTACTTACTCGGTCAAATAGAGGCCGATATTGCTGGACATGAGAGACCACGGGGCGTGGTTGACCTCACGCAGGGTCTAGCTGGTTTACTCCATAGTCGAGCATTTAGGCAGGCTTATCAGTACGGTGCGTTCATCGGATAGAACCACACCGAGCCTGCAGCAAACACCTTTTGAGAAAATCGGTGTCATCAGCAGCGGAGTCGTTGGGGAAAATTATCCGTCCCCAATTAAGGCGTTGTTTTGCAGTTATGATCGGATTCGGGGATTGTGTGCCTTGCTGTGCGGATGCAGGGTTTAGTCGAGGGTATTATTATTGATTAAAATGGCGGGGCGTGAGCGGCTAATGTGTGAGCTCACACAAAGCGACAGGTAAACAAGTCAAAATTCTCCGTGCCTAAAACTCACAGAGAGATGGCAGCAAGTCATATCATCAAATAGCTTTGCATTATACAGATTTAAAGCTTAGTCACATTTCCGGGTGGTAGTAGGAGGATACATTCATCACACTAACATCTACCCGATGCCATTGCCATGTAACACAACCTGCTCGAACGAAAGACTTAACAATATCAATCGTAAAGAGTCAACGTGGCCCTATTCTTCGAATGTGTCCGCAGTTCAAAGTCCCAGTGACTCCACACACATACAAGCCTTGCAAAGACAACCTTGCGCCAAAGCCATGGCTCAGGCCTCTGCGTACTCAGGCTGAATGACGTCTGCTGCCGACCGTAAAGTCCTCCTCGCCTTGAATGGAACTATCATCTACCTGAGCCAGTGATGAAATTGCTCCTAGCACGGAGTCTTGCACAAGTTCATTGGATGTAGAATTTGGAAAAGATCCGTTGGTCGCACTCTGATCGGGGCCGCGTCGTGTTGGAGGTCGACTTACGTCTGCTGAAGCCGAATCAAAGCCGGTACTTGCGTTCGGTGCGTTCTTTGGAGGAGGTTCAGAGCCTCCAGATATGTTTTGAGAACTACCTACCTGGTGAGGGTCCTGATCGATTGTCAGTTGTATTCCAAAGAAATCTGTAAATTTCGCCAGCATGATGAGGGCCCTGATGGCGCCTCGATGGTACTGTCTGTGGGCTAGCACGAGCTGTTCGATCCGGCTCACTAAGCCTTGAAGGAGAGTGTGCACGATAGAAGAGATCTAGCGTTGCAGTACTACTCATCCGTCGCACTACACGTTGAAGTGGGCTCGGGGTTCTCGTACGCGGCTCTGCAACTAATGTGTCCACCAGAGTTTCCGAATATGACGGGCCTAGTGTTCCTGACAACATGCTCTTAGGAGGGCTTACCGTCGACACTGGATCCTGCGCTACGTTCCGAGGGAATAACGACCCCGGGATTCCAACCAGTTGTGGCCGTGTCCTTTCCGCAATCCAGCGGCCAAAGCGGTGCATCACGTTTCCCCGAGGTTGTACCTGCGGAGCGACTATTCCTCTGGAAACGATTTGTGGTGGTTGTCCTTGTTGTGCACGCGGACGGAGGCGTCTGTACCAGCATGGCTTCACTGGCTGCGGATCATGTTCTTGCTGAGGCTGCTGCAAAGATGAACCAAGGTCTTGTGTTGCCGGCTCATTGCGTGGTGCAGCTGGGTTAGCGAGAGCTGAAGACTCCTGTTGTGCATCACGTAAGATTTGTTGAGATGGATCTTCTGGCAGGGGCGACGACGGATCTGGAACTGGCTCTTGAACTGGCGGCAGTAGATGATCTTGTGAGCCGTGTTGCGATGCTAGTGGTTCATCTGATAAACCCTGCCCCGGAAGTAGTAGTCGATCACCCGAACTTTGTCTTGATGGCAGTGGTCGGTCAGGCGAGCCTTGGGTCGATGACAGTGGTTGGTTGTGTACGTTTCGGTCTCCAGGTAAAGGGGCTTGCTCTGTTTGGTCCAAGTTGACATTAGTATGTTGATCGGATGCGGGCGCGGCTTGGACATCATGTCCTCGCCGTTCGCCGTGCAATGGCCCAGAAGACGTGAATCGAACTTCGGGGTTTGCAAGATGCTCTTTGCCCGGCGTGAAGTTTGCCATGTCTTGCCTTGCGCTCTTAGGTACAAGACCTGTAGTCTTGCTTCTGTCCGCAACATACACCGTCTCGAGCATCTTCTCTGTGAGGTGAGTGATCCACATTCCAAGAGGGCGATGTACGATGAACCTCATCTCTACTTGATCATGACCGAAGAACTCCCCTTCTTGGTAGAGCTTCCACAATACTTCGTCCACCACCTCCGTGCTGAAGATCTTTCGCATCATTTGCCCAAAAGCACTCCTTGTTTTTGGCACATTCTCAAAGTCATAGGCGGATGTGTGGGAGCTGACATGACGAGCCACCAAGGCGCAAAAGCAAATTCTGGAGGATTGTGTTGGAGGCTGGCTTCTCGAGAGCCTAAGTGCAAACTCGGTTGTGAACCATTCTTGAAGTTTCTTAAGTGGTGGCAGATGCCGGTTCAAGGGATGACTCCAAGTCGTGAACAATTCGAAGTCGAGAGGTCGCACCTTGGGGCGATGCATCACTGCTGGAGTGAACGGGTATGTAAACGGACACTGGAAGGTCGGAAGCGAAGGATCTGCTTGGAACGAGCTCAGTAAATGTCCATGTTGCTTCCAAGTTCCACATACCAAGGGTCTGAAGCTAGCGGACTCTGAGGACCGTGGCCGGTGATTTTGGGTCTTGAACGAGTATCAACGCTCGTAGCACCAAGCGCCGGTTTGTGGCGGCATGGAGATGCTGATACAGTCCGACTTTTGTGACGGATCGATTGTTACCAATGTAAGCCCTTGGCTGAGGTGAATATGGTCTCATGATGATAACGATTGAAGCGATTAGTCGATATTGTTTGAGATACGAATGATGAGGCTGACAATGGTTGTTGTTTGTGTTATGATGTGGTGCTGGGCGAAGGTGATCGATAGCAATTCGGTACGATTGACAAGAAAGCACACTCGCAGCCTCCGTTCCTTGAGCTGAAAAAGGCAAGCGCTTTTCGCACCAACCATACAGGCGCGAAGTTTACCATTCTGCAGGAGCCAACCGTGGATGATTGTGAGGGCAAGAATAGCATCACATAGGTGATAGCTGACGTGAAGGTAAAAAGTCGTATTGCATTAGGGTATCAGTCGAATCCCAGCCATTCCCCAGCTTCATCGTCCGAACTATCATCATCTGCCATCTCTTCGTCAACAACCCCATTCTCAATCGCCTTGACCTCAAAGTCGAGTTGGTAGCCTTTCGCCTTCTTCTCGATTGGCTGAGCCAGCAAGTACTCAATGCGATATATATTCTCATCAGCTAATTTCGCGAGTTCACTTTGAATACGTCGCACAGCCTTCTCTACACTGCGCAGCTCGGCTTCCAGTCCGGTCTTGTTGTCTTTCATCCATCGTCCGTGCTTGCTGAGTAGCGATTCTATCCATACTAAATTGAACTCAAGATGTGGCGATTCATCAGCTTGCAGTGCGACGAAGCGCAGTAGGCGACCAAGATAGACAGAGGGCAGGTCTTTGACGACAAGTGGGATGTCGGAGACTGGGGTGGCTTCGTACACACGGCGGACGAGATTGCGCTCGTTCAGGCGAAAAGCCATGACTAAAGCCTTGAGGTAGTCTTTCTGTGCGAGGGTATCGAGGGTTGTGGAGGGTGTGACACTGATGTCCAGGTCGAAAGGATCGAACTGGAACGTATTGTCAAGTGAGTAGATCAAAAGGCCTTCGGTGCTCGCAGCACAAAATGCACGTCCTGTGGGTGAGAAAGCGACCGCAGGGACGCGAACTTCAGGTCGTGTTCGCCTTGCGCCAACGCCCTTCTGTGCGCCAGGAAGTGTTGTGTCGCGTCGATCCTCGAGGTCTGATGCTTCTCCCTGGTCGTCTATGAGACCCTGTGGTCCAGCAGCAGTAAGGAGCTTGCTATTTAGGAATTCTTGAGTGCCATCAAGAGAGAGGTTGACGGAGACCGTGAATTTCTTAAGGAGTGCACCAGACTGCACGTCATACAAGCATATGTATTTGCTGTTTCCGCCAGCTAGTACGCATGTTCCATCTGCACTGTATCTGACTGTGGTGAAAGCTTTGGTGCCAGCGACGTTGGCAGCGGTCCTCCGGTCCGACATTTTCCGACCTCCAGAAACGTCCCTTCGCGCATCGACGCCATTCTCCTGTGCAGCATCCGATACGTTCCAGAACGTCAACTGGCCATCGAGGGTTGTGACAGCTATTTGTTTTGAGTCGGGTCGGAATGCGACGCAGAGAATGTCCGCCATTAGCTGTAAGGGCTCGCTCGTCTGTGTGCGAGCGAAGATGTTCCAGACGCGAACGGTCTTGTCCCAACTTCCGCTAACCAGAGTGCTTGCATCTGGTGAAAAAGCTAGCGACGAGACCGGACCTTCGTGTCCTGATAGTCGGTCGAGAAGCTGGCCGGTCTGGACAGACCAAATGTGGATGTCAAAGGAGTCGATGGAGCCTGCGCACACTACTTCGCCACTGGGGTCGACAGCCAAGGACGAGAAGGATAGCCTCGACGGTGCTGTAAATGTGCGGAAGTTGCGGTATCGGATCAGGTCCCAGGCTCGCACTGAGCCGTCTAGACTGGCTGTGAAGAGCACGTTGCCGCGTTTTGCAAACTCGCAGGCCGACACGCCGCCCATGTGCTCTGTGAAGGTGACGACGCAGAAGCCTGAATTGACGTCCCAGACTTTGATCTTGCCATCGTCTGCGGCTGTGATTATGCGCTGACCTTCGGGAGAATATGCGATGGTGTTCATCGAGTCGAAGTGTCCTTGCTGCTTCAAGACGTACGACTCGGACTGCCATTCCCAGACGAGCAGCTGACCCAGCTTAGATGCGCCAAAGGCAAGCCACTCTCCCGTCTTGTTCATGGCAACAAAGTCGATGTCGTTCTGGGATATGCTGAGATTTTGTATCTGCGCAAAGTCTGGCAGTTCGTGGATAAAGAAGAGGCCGTGGGAGAAGCCTGTCACTAGGAGCTTCGACTCGGGGTGGAATTGGGCGCAGGTAACGTGAGCGTTGTTCTGCATGAAGAAGTGGCGTTCGGCAATGCCCCACTGGAGGTTCTCGTCGTCTTCTTCGTCGGCGTCTTCTGGCGCGTCATAGCGCAGCATGTACTTCCACACAAAGAGCGCCCCGTCCTTGCTGACTGTGTATATGGTCTCCTGGTCCTTGGAGAACCATGCACCGACGATGGCTTGCCTGTGTCCGCCCAGGGTAGTTTGGGCACTGCCGTCGTCTTGGTCTACGCCCCATATGCGCGCCGTCAGGTCCTTGGATGCGCTCAGGAAGAAGCGCGAGTCGGTCGACCATTCTATGCTCTGGACTGCGTCATAGTGGCCGGTGTATATTCGGTGTCGCACAAACGGCGCAAATTCCAAGTCGCCTTCTGCGACGTCTGGTGTGGATGGTGTGTGCCATACTTCGATCTGGCGCCCGATGCCTACTGCGAAATGGCGGCCCGAGGGTGAGAAGGATAGTGCCGTAACCTCTTCGCGGAGGGAAAAGTGGTAGAGGACGATGCGGCGCGGCACATTGGTGAGGATGGCGCGACCGTCTTGGTCGACGGAGAGGAGCAGGTTCCCGCGGGGGTTCAGCGCCAGGCGGGAGATGTTCTTTCGGTGCGCAAAGGGCAGGGTATATGATTTGGAGCTATGCTCGTACTTAGCGATGCCACACAGCCATTCCTGAGCAGCTTACTTGACGAGGTCGAATATGGAGACGCGATTACCAACCGGGGAAAAGAGACATGTTCCGTCTGGCGAGAAGAGCAGGTTGCCTCTGCTGTAGACGGTGCCAAGAAGGTTGGAGAACTGCGGGAGAATGTCAGTTTCGGTAATGCAAGCGTGCACTCGCAGCACGCACCTGGAAGTCCGTCTTCATGGTGAACTGCAGGCACCGTTTGCAGTTATTTGCAGCTATTTGCAGTTATTTGCAGTTATTTGCAGTTGTTTGCAGTTATTCGCAGTATCACCGGCGCATCGTGGCGGGTCGCCCGTTACGACATGCGTCTGTCTGAACTTTTTCGAGCTTCTGGCGCGAGCTCGGCGCTAGTGAAAATGGCGGCGCGCACTAGCGCGGTTTCCCCGTCCAGGGACCGTGCCTGCCGAATGGGCGACGTGCAGAAAGGGGACCCAAATACCCAAATTGTCCGCCAGCACCAACACGACCCTCCTCGCCCACGCATCCCTCCAGTCGACACCACGCAAACTGGTCGTTGACACCCATCACCCGCCGCCCATGTAAGCCTCGACAGCATCATTGAGTGCTCCCAATTGCCGCCCAGCTAACACCGCCGCAGTCCCATACACCGACACATACACAGCGACTTCCTCAAGGGCACCCACATCACGACGCCATGGCCGAAAACCTGTCCCCAATTGGCATTGCCAATGTGCGTATACTGCCCATCAACATGTCCCGCAGCACTGAAGCTAACATGCACTGCAGCTGCCCAACCAGAGGTATGCGTTTCGAAACGACACGCAAGCACTGAGCCTAACGTAGTACAGGCACAAGATTGTTGCAAAGCGCGGCGCTGCCTTCACCATAATGGTAGGATCCGCCTCCCACATCAAACTTCTCGCCCACTAACTCTCGCAGGTCGCTGGCGAGTCGGGTCTCGGAAAGACGACCTTCATCAACACGCTCTTCTCCACCACCATCAAGAACTATGCCGACCACAAGCGACGACACCACAAGCAGATGGACAAGACGGTCGAGATTGAGATTACCAAGGCCGAGCTCGAGGAGAAGTTCTTCAAGGGTACCACATGCATCACCTATCCAACGCTTCTTCCATGCTAACGGCCGCAGTCCGCCTCACCGTAATCGACACCCCTGGCTTCGGCGATTACGTCAACAACCGCGACTCGTGGCAGCCCATCATCGAGTTCCTTGACGACCAGCACGAGTCGTACATGCTGCAGGAGCAGCAGCCGCGCCGCACAGACAAGATTGACCTCCGTGTCCACGCCTGTCTGTACTTCATCCGCCCCACTGGCCACACCCTGAAGCCCCTCGACATTGAGGTCATGAAGAAGCTGTGCACGCGCGTCAACCTGATTCCCGTGGTAGCCAAGGCCGACACTTTGAGCCCTGCAGACCTGTTCAAGTTCAAGCAGCGGGTATGTTGTTCTTCTCGAATTCTCCAAGCAGATGCTGACTAGCAGTAGGTGCGCCAGGTCATCGACGCCCAGGGCATCAAGATCTACACCCCGCCGCTCGAGGACGACGACGCTGCCGCCATGCAGCACGCCCGCGGCCTCATCGATGCCATGCCCTTCTCCGTTATCGGTTCCGAAAAGGACGTCCAGACCAACGACGGCCGCACCGTCAAGGGCCGCCAGTACGCTTGGGGTGTGGCCGAAGTCGAGAACGAGGAGCACTGCGACTTTAAGAGGCTCCGCGCCATCCTGATCCGCACTCACATGCTCGACCTGATCCACACCACCGAGGAGAACCACTACGAAGCCTACCGCGCGCAGCAAATGGAGACCAGGAAGTTTGGCGAGGCTCGCCCGAGGAAGCTGGACAACCCCAAGTTCAAGGAAGAGGAGGAAGCGCTCCGCAAGCGCTTCACCGAGCAGGTCAAGGTTGAGGAGCAGAGGTTCAGGCAGTGGGAGCAGAAGTTGATTGCCGAGCGCGATCGCCTGAACAAGGATCTCGAGGCTAGTCACGCCGAGATCAAGCGTCTTGAGACCGAGGTCGACTCGCTCCAGGGCAGCATCAACCGCTCACACGGACGTCGTTAAGCCCATCACACCAGCGGGGTTGATTGTGGTAACGGCGTTTCGATATTATTCCTTCAAGATTCCCCTTCTTTCTCTTCTCGTATGTTTGTAATGCCCGCGTCGCGGGGAGGGTGATTGCCTGGATGAAAGTAAACTACAAGGCAGAAGAAAACTTTATGCACTTGCTATCCTCTATATTATAGCATGTAGTCTTCGAAACTTGATCAATTAATACGCTGTAGTTTGCGGCTGGTCGCATCATGCATTTCGTCGTCGTTACGGCCATAGTTCACTATAATATCTCGTAATGTAGTCATCGCTCAAACGCCAAATGATGCCCAGATCCCATGCGCCATGATGGAAAGTGTTGTGTGTTCAAACCTTCATCCCACCAAACACCCTGTCTAATTCCTCTCCTTCCCTCTCCTTCTTCACCTCAGCCTCCCTTTGCTGCGGGTCATCATCCATGATATTCTCCACCTCCATCTCCTTCCCTTTGACCTCGTCTACCTCGGGCTTTAATATGTGCACCCCACTGTCCAACCAACCCGGTGCCAACCTCCTCTTCTCGGCCAAATCCTCTGCTTTCCTCTTGTCTTCCCACTCCTTCAGCGTCTTCCGCGCATCGGCTTCTAGTTTCTGAAGATGTTGTTGGAGGGCGAGACAAGATTGTAGGATGGCGTCGGGGGCAGCCGAGGTGCCGGCCGAGGAGGTTACATAATCGGGGTTCTGGAGGACAGATGGGGGTAGAGTCGAGGGTAGAGTTTTGTACGAATATGGTAGAGGTGTGGCGGTGGGGAGGGAGAGGAAAGGCGAAATGGTCAGGGGGACTTGGGCGAGGAGCGGGTGCGGGTCTAAGAGGGAGATGTCAGCGTCGTGGGAACGGTGTTTCGGGGTGTGATTGCGCGCGTTGAGGATGGTGAAGCTTTATCTAAATGGTCGGCGGGTGCTTGTTAAGATTCGTACACGCTCGAGCGATGCGCAGTGCTATTCTGAAGCTGTGCGCGTTGCGGGGACGTTGCCCACGGAACAACCGCGGAACGAAATCTGGGGAACTCACGTTCGTCATGCATGGTGCGGAGCCAGGCGTTGGATTGCGTACAACAGCCTCGATTGATCCAAAGTACTAGACTATTTCTGTTATTGTGGCGTAGCTGCGGAGGTGGCGGCTGTTTTGATATGTGGAGTAGAGGAAGCTTGACATGTGGAGTCGCGATGATGCAGGTCCCAGTTCCTTCGCTGCAGCACGTGCAATTGCCGATTTGCGGGGCACAACCTTATTGGAACGGAGATTTGCAAAAGTATGTATGCGGCCTTCATTTCAGTAAAGCGTGTAATCTGCTACGCTCTGTTCGCTACCAAACGTCTTCATCCGTATCTCATGACCCCCGCCTATGAGTGTACATGTACATCTTCTAGCATACGAGCGGTCTTGGCCCAGGGGTAGTATAGTTGGTGGGTTTCGGCCAATACAGTTGGAACTTGACGCCAGGATCTGTTCCTTTGTAGGCGCCCGGAAAGCTCACATACTCAGGGCTGAGAGCTCCCGCACGAGTGCCTAGATGTCGTCTAGGCGCAGGAAGGCCTCCGAGGACATTGCCTCGGTTTGAGGCTCTATCATCCTGGACGTTGATCTGTGTACACTCCATGTAGAATTGTGCACCTGGATAACTCGATGCTGCATGCAGGGCAATGAACTCACCTCGGAGAAGATACCTGTCGTTAAGGCAAGATGCAGGTAAAAGAGATGAGGTTCGTGCAACTCATCGCCCAGAAGGGACACAGGACGGCAGTACGGGATTTACCTTGCCCTTCTTGTGTAGTCTGGTTACTGCCCATTCGCCGTTACTATCAAGACCATCTTCGTATATCTTGAACCCTGCAGCTGTCGTCGGATTGGTTGTCACGAGCTCATCAGCGTCTACTCCATGGCATCGTGTGGCTCTCGAGACGCAATGAGCACCTAGACGACAGCTCACATTGATTACGTCCGCTGGTAGAGGGGTCTTTAGTGGATTGAGCCTAAACGCATGAGCAGATGGAGCATCCGCACGCGAGCCCTACCAGAGGGCTTACCCTCCATTACAAATCATATCATTGGACGTTACATCCTGAATAGGCCTGTCGGGTGGCGATATCAATGGGCATGCCGTCGTCAGGTCGAATTGTGGGGTGCATACCCGTCATATGTCTTATGGTGCTCTTAGTCAGACAGAGACTGGGAATGAGCGCCGAGTGATAAAGTACAGGGACTCGAACACCTGAGGTGCCCTTGACCTCCTCCATTGAAATGAAGCTGGGTAAAGATGGTGTGCGCGGAGACACTAGTAGTGAGCAGGGCCGACGTAGCGATCGAGAACTTCATCGTGTGGCTCTATTCTCTCGATTGGACCTTGCCATTGCGCAATGGCTGATCTATATGGAGTCGTGGCGATTCCGTAGAGTGCCTCCTCCCGCATTCAGCACGGAGTGGCAGCGTCACAGATGTTCCACGGATGCGGCGAGTCCTTTATATACTACCACCTGACCCGCTAAAGAGATCTGTCGTTATTAAATCTACATCGGAACCTAGAGTTCGGGCCCACCACACGTGTGGGATGGAGGTCTCCCAACTTCGTCGCATGAGTGTAGTGCCTGTGGACTCAATTCGAGTGTGGCTCTGGCTCACTTGTGCAACTGAGATTAAGGATAAAAATCTCATACAGCTACATATTGCAGATCGGATCCCAAACCTTCCGGGCTTCGATCGGAATGATTGCCATGCACAGCTCGCTCGCTGATCGCGCGCGCTTCTCGTATGGGAGTCATCGGCGGTACTTGAACGCGTGGCGACCATGTAAAACAGAAAAACGAGAACTGGCTAGAAGCGAGACGAGGCGCAAAATAGAAAGCCAGAGTGCCAAAGGGACATGTGCCGGTCATTGGTGGATGGTCGTTAAAACTAATTGCAGGAGAGACGAGACTAGAAAAGTGACGTTTTGGGACAGTGGAAGACGACGCAATATAATATATTACCATCGTTAGCCGATCGAGGCGTTTCTCTCCGTGAAACGTGCTCGAGTAGCGCGACCGCCCCTCATCTGAGGCGAACTTGCGGTTGCACGGCACGAATATTGTACCGAGGGACACCTGCGAGTGTGGCAATTAGCGTGGGGTGTTGTGTTGGAAATTCTAGAAGTATGCGTTGTGCAGGTGTTGTGCCTAGGGGCTCTTTGGAGTGCAGAAGTTTGGGACACGTTCCTGCCGCCAGAGCACTTGCCAGTCCCTAAACAGGGAGCTACGCGAGTGTGGGGAAGCCAGGTCGGGGTAAGCCGCACTTGGCTGCCGGCGAATTGAGCCTTGTACCCCGTCCTGATCAATTTACATCAATCAACAACCCTAGTCACCATTGTTTCTGCATATTAACGTCTAGCCTTAAATCTCAACCATAGTACTATTGCTCCGTGCGTTGACCAATTGAGAACACGATTATGATCATCGGGTCGTCCGGTTCGTCCACACCCTGCTTAGCTGCATTTGGTTTACCTGGTTGGAGGCGCTCTTCTGCCGTCGCTTGCGAAATGGAAGAACTTCATGTGATCCCTGGCTAATTGAGCTTGGTCCCAGACGCCGACCAGTTTCCAAGTAAGTGCAGGGCAATCTGACGGCGTATATAACCTGCCCGTCTCCGCAAACATGGATACACAGCTTCAGGTTGTGCGTCTCGCTGGTCGATCTACTTACCTTGTGCACGACTTACCTTCAAGATGAAAAGCTCTACCGTCATGAAGGCAGCCTCGCTGCTGTCCCCTCTCTGTAAGTCACTGTACATGCTCGACGACCCGGGATGGTATAGTTAATCCATGTAGTTGCTTCTACTGCCTTCGCTCAGGACAAATACACAGATTCCAAGACAGGCATTGAATTCTGGTATGTGACCATGCCATAGAGTGTTTTCACCTAGTAGATCAGTACTGACTTGCTCAGGCGCCAAGTTGTGGGCACCGAACAGACTGCTGGCGGCTTTGAATGGGGTTATGCTCTGCCGGGAGCAGCTACTGCAACGAACGATGAGTACATTGGTTACATCGTGAGTAAAACCCTGCAATAGGTGCAGTTTAATGCTGATGATGTGCGCAGAAAGGATCGCTCGAGTCTGGTAGGCAGGGATGGTCTGGTGTCAGTCACGCAGGGGGTATGCCCAATTCGCTCCTTTTAGTCGCTTGGCCCGAGAAAGATGCCGTGAAGACCAAGTTTGTCTACGCAGGGTAAGTCGAGAACAGCACGTGTCCGAGGTGCCTCGCTCACAGGTATCAGTGGTTATGTTGCCCCAGATGACTACACCGGTAACGCGACAATCACGCAAATTTCCCATACTGTCACCGACACCAGCTTCGAGCTCATCTACCGATGCCAGTGGTGCTGGGTATGGAACCAGAAAGGTGCTGAAGGCTCTCAGCTTCCGACTTCAGAGGTTCAGGTCATCGGTTGGGCTCAGCACAGCAAGGTCTTCGATGGCACATGGGTGTTCCACGACAAAGGTCAGTCTCAGTTTGGTGCGCGCGTCGCAGATGCACGCAACGCCAAATACGATACCTGGGCCAAGCTTGCTACTCCTCCGACCACCACTTCCGCCCCTGCAAGCTCCACCACGCCTACACCCACTGCGCCAATTTCCTGTGTAGGCTCTCCCGTCCCCACTGACTCCTACGACTATATCGTCATCGGTGGCGGTGCTGGTGGTATTCCAGTTGCGGACAAGCTCTCGGAATCAGGCAAGAGCGTCCTCTTGATCGAAAAAGGCCCACCTTCGTTGGCCCGCTTTGGTGGTAACATGGGCCCAGAATGGGCCACAAGCAACAACCTTACCCGGTTTGACATCCCGGGTCTCTGCAACCAAATCTGGGTTGACTCCGCAGGCGTAGCCTGCACCGATATTGACCAGATGGCCGGATGCGTCCTCGGTGGAGGTGCTGCCGTCAATGCTGCACTGTGGTGGAAGCCTGTAGACATCGACTGGGACTACAACTTCCCGTCTGGGTGGAAGTCATCCGATGTGAAGGGTGCCGTCGACCGAGTCTTCAAACGTATTCCCGGCACTGACACCCCCTCTGTGGACGGAAAGCGCTACAAGCAGGAAGGTTTCGATGTGCTTTCTGGAGCACTTGGCGCCGATGGCTGGAAGTCTGTTGTGGCAAACGACGCGCCCAACTCGAAGAACCGCGTGTACTCGCACTCGCCATTCATGTACGAGAATGGACAGAGGCAGGGACCTCTGGGCGCCTACCTCCCCACTGCTCTAGCAAGGAAGAACTTCAAGCTCTTGACAAACACCATGGCGCGCCGTGTTGTCCGTACCGGAGGAAAGGCTACCGGTGTTGAGCTCGAAAGTGGTTACTGTGGCACTGTCAACCTCAATCCCGGTGGTCGTGTTGTTCTGTCCGCCGGTGCTTTCGGCTCTTCTAAGCTTCTGTTCCGGAGCGGTATCGGTCCCAAAGATCAGCTTAGTGTTGTCAAGAACAGCGCCCTCGATGGCTCGACCATGATTAAAGAGGCTGACTGGATCAACCTGCCTGTCGGTCAGAACTTGGACGATCACACCAATACTGATCTTGTCATCAGGCATCCTAACGTGTCTTCCTATGATTTCTACGCGGCTTGGAAAGCACCCATTGAGTCTGATAAGACCGCATACCTCAGCAAGCGTTCTGGTATCCTTGCTCAGTCTGCTCCCAACATTGGTCCCCTTGCTTGGGAAGTGGTCAAGGGTTCCGACGGTATCGATCGTCAGCTCCAGTGGACTGCCCGTGTCGAAGGACCCGGTGCCAATGACACAACTTCCATGACTATTAGCCAATATCTTGGTAGAGGAAGTACATCGCGAGGTGCTCTATCCATCAATGGCGCGCTTGGCATGGTCGTGAGCAAAGCACCATATCTCCAAAACGATGCCGACACCAGCGCCGTCATTGCTGGTATCAAGAGCATGATGGCTGCCATTAAGAAGAACCCTCTCATCGAATTCCAGGTTCCCTCCGCCAACCAGACTGTCGAGCAGTATGTTGCCAGTCTCCCGAAGACCGCAGCGAAGCGCCGTGCCAACCACTGGATTGGTACAGCCAAGATTGGAACGGACAGTGGTCTTACCGGTGGAACCGCCGTTGTCGATCTGAACACCCAGGTATACGGCACGGACAACATCCACGTTGTCGATGCTTCAATTTTCCCTGGGTAAGCTCTCATATTCACTTCGAGATCTACCACCACTAACACGATACAGTCATATCACTACCAACCCAACTTCATACATTGTCACCATTGCGGAGCATGCAGCGGCCAAAATCCTCGCGCTCGCTAGTTCAGGTGGTAAGCCTACGTCGTCTGCAGGCCCAATTCAGTCTTCAGCTAAGTCAATGTCGGCAAAGCCGTCTAATACTCCAGCTCCATCAAAGGCCGTAACGTCGGCTAGCCCAGCCACACCAACCTCGAAGCCAGCTGAAGCAGTAAGTGCATACTCTAATCTCAGCGCTAGACAATGATTATTCTGACAAAGATGCAGTGGAATCAGTGTGGAGGTACCGGATACACCGGACCTACAACTTGTGTGACCGGATACAAGTGCGTGGTCAACAACTCGTACTACTCACAATGCGTTCCCAACTGAGCGCATGATGTGGGAGCATGTGGTGACTCTTCAGAGCAAAAACTACTTTCTTCTGTACATACTTTTTAGACTCGTTTGAGATGAACATATCTTCACTTTTGCCCCGGATATGATGCATTGACTTTTCGGGGTTTCGCCATGCCTAATCGAAGCTAGTGTACACGTGATGCTTAGCGGGCGTAAGCTCAGCTACTGCACTTCAATTTCATCCCATCACCCATCAACGTGTGCTCATCACGACCCACTAGTAGCTCTTTCATCGAGCCTCTGTTGTAGAGGGCTATTGCAACTATGTTTCATTCCAAGTGTCCCTCTATCTCGCTCAATGATGCGGCCAACATGCAATATAATGTGACGGAGCTGCTTTTACAGCGATATCAAGACAATCCTAAAGATGACTGGGACAGGCTTTACAAATGCTGGGGTTATCTTGATTGCGGCGACTGCCATCGCAGTGATGGCTTCTGCGGATGGTGTCCTATTGTATGTTTGATTCCCTTTTCCCTGCATCATTGTCCCGGTTGCCTGACTTCCTAGTCGTCTACATGTCTGCCGCTACCTGATGATGGCCTGTCGCGCGCATTCCCCCTCCTGTCCCCAATCCGCTATAAGGGCATCTGCGCTTTTGGTTCTGAGCGCTTCGAGCTTCGTACCGCGGGTCTGGGTTGCCAAGTTTCCACCATCACCTTTCTGACGTCGATTGCCACTATTTTCAGTACTCTATTTGGTGTTCTGATACTCCGAATACTTTTCCGGTTTGCCAATTGGATGATTGTGGGTTTTCGTGCGCGGAGAGGCGGTTATGTAGTATGTCCCAACGATGAAGAGTCCTGGAAAGGCGATGTATGGGTACGGAGAAGCGAGAGTTGGGTAGATTTGTGGAGACGTATGCGGGGCGGCCAGAAAACATTCGAAATCGAGGAAGTGGACGACTCGTTCCGAGAGCCCAGGCGTATATCGACGAGAGGCGGAAGCAGCAAATGCGGTGGGATGCAAAGCGCAGAGCGAAGACCACTGTTAGGGAGCCACTAAGAGACCGACTTTTGAACGCATTCAGTATCAGACTCTATAAGACTCTATGAAGTGCCGCCGAATATCCATGGCGCACACGACCAGCCTCCAACTCACCTCGTGTCAGTACCTTCACTAGGCACAAATCACCCATGGCGTCGTAAACGGACAAGCAAAATCTAAGATAAGAGATAAATACCTCATCGCGCCTTTACCGGCTTGCTGCCCTGCCCGTAACCTTTCCCTCACCTCTAGTAGCAACGCTAGTGCCCTGCCGACAGGCATATAACCTCTACGCCACCCACTTCCACTCTACCCTTCTTCCTCTATTACGCTCCTCTGTTCCCCGGTGATCAACCATATCCTTTGATATACCGTACTCACAGGTCATTGGCTACAGCGTGAGGTCGCTCGCAGTTATGCCGCGCCCTAATCCACAAACTGGTGATGGAGCGGATCTGCACTTCGAGACTACCGCGCGTCATAACAAGAGTCGCATTCCCAGTTCACGATTGAATACCGCTTGCGACACCGATAGCTCAGCTGTAGCTTACACCCCACCAAGCTCTGAGCAACAGACGGCTTTGCCTCATCGCAAGGTTGGACATCCTATGCCTTCTGGATATCCTCATCTTGAGAACAAGGATGAAGGCGCTCGCGATCGTGTGGCTCGACACATCACTGCCCTCAAGCTCGCGAAGAATAATATAGACGCAGCTTTCGACAGCCATTCGACATCATTGTCTGAGGTCAATGATCGTCCTTATGGCCAGTCCCAGAAATGGCCAGCACAGCATAAATGCGATTCCGATATCTTCTCCCCATATGGAAACTCCATGGTGAGCATTTCCCGCCCCCACAAGCTTGGTGGCACTGCTGACAGAATCAAGCTCAGAGACCAGTCCTACGGATGGCAGAGCAAAGCCCGTGGATTACAGGACGAAATGCCACAATGGGACCCCGACGCCCTCGGAAAAACTCTGGAAGACAACTCCCTGAGAGCCTCGTCCGGCGGAGGAGTTCTTAGACCACCCGCAGATCTATCTGGAGTAGCTACGGTACCTCTATATTCGAGCAACCCTGTGCGCGATCACATGCATGCCTCGCTCACTCAAGGAAGCCGCACGGGCTTGACCGATTTTCTCGAACAGGAACTTGCAAAGGCAAAGAAAGAGCTGGAGCGTGCCAAGATCGTGGACGAAGGCCGACATCCAGGCATTCAGCTCAGCCCACGCCAAAAGGTGGAAGAGGGTCGTCTGGAACAATCCTACCCGTACTTCACACCAGCTTTCTCTCCAACGCTTATGACGTTCAATCAAGTGCGCGTACAGAGGAACAACCAGCAATACACCGAACCTATTTCGCCTTCACTCCAGCACGAGCAACTTGTCCATGCTCCCAGCGACAACATCGTCTGGGATCTCGAAACTGAGTACCATGGACTAGGTTCTCCATTGGCTGACCCCTGTGGTAGTGGGGAGTGCGGTGGATGTGATAAGTGTGGCTTTGCCTCGATTGCACAAGCTCCGCCATCAGTCTACTCGAACCCGGCATGGACCACACATCCATCTTTCGAGCACTCGGTTCTCAATTTACCAGTCTGCCGGCCTTTGCCTTCTCAGGCTCAAACTCAGGATTGTACCTTGCATATTTCTCAATCTACCAAGCCCAGTGAAAATCAAGCGAGCACCGACGCACAATTACAGGCCGCGAAACTTGTGAAGACCACACATGGCCAATTCTCGATATCTGAAGCTAACGAAGTTCTGAAAATGTGCCATGGACATTTTAGAATGGCAGAAGCTATGTACCACGCCTCTGGCGTTGAGTCCATGCGACATATGCTAGGAGCCTGGCAATCCGAGACATGCCTTGCATCGACTACTCAGGACACCGAAAGCCACGCAGATTCGTCTGGCGATGCAGGTTCTGGATCTGGTGGCAATCTTGCGAGTAAATGCCGCGGATGCCGGAGCGGTTGTGATGCTTGCTGCCCCATCGGTGTCGAGAAGTTGAGCTTTGATGACGACTACGACAGCGGCTATGGTCGAGATTTGGATGCGGCGTGCGGAGATTCCTGGGGAGGCGCATCGGGGCTCAAACTTGGTGAGGATCGCGACGACCTGGGAGGTGGTTGGGGAATCTTTTCGGACATGACGCCCGCCCGTCCTGGATCGAGTCCAGAGCCGCCATTTTGGGCCTTTCCTGTACCACGGACCACAACTGGATGTAGATGGTCTGAAGCAGATGATATTCCCAAGGAGGATGAGCGTGAATGTACTAGCACTCCTGCCATCCATGCTACCTCGACAAAAGGCTACACCGTAACCTACTGGGCTACCATCGAGTCGGACGATCAGACTGTCCACATTCCTATCGAAAATAACAGCGTCTCGGGACCCGAGAAAGCTGTTCTTGAAGGACCCGCAAAGACTGTCTGGAAATGGATCCAGGAGAAGGGGCTGGGTGACAAGGTCGGACTACAAGACGTTTTCGATCTGGCCAAGGATATCCACATTGGTGTAGAGGATACAGCCACTCTTGTGACTGACCAGAAACATGGTCACGATGATTGCCCTTCGCATCAAGAACCGAAGTGCTGGGAAGCTCCGGCTTCTTTGAGACCATCGGGCGATTCGCGTGACGACTGCGGCGAATTATCAGCACATTGTCGATGCCGTACCACTGGATATTCCCAAGACGGCTGGGGAGGTTAGATAGCTCTATACGATGAGAGCTGACAGAAGTGGATTGGTTACGAAGACATGCAAAAGGTATGCGAAGTGCTTTGGGGATATGCTTCATCAGAAGAGTTCAAGGATCTATGAGAAGAAGAGTGATACAGCGAGGAAAGGTAGTCCAAATTTAGCTCTATCGACTGGTACATATAAAATCTGTGTAACAAAAAACTTTTGAGTTGAGATTATCATTGGGGTTCGTACATAATAACTGAGTCACAAACTCCTCCTAACGACCAGCGCTGTTCTTTTGCCACTTCTCTTCCCGAGATTTCAAGATCTGTCGGGTCCCATTCCCTCCATCAATCGGTACATAACTTCCGTTCAATCCGCATCCTGGATGCCCTTCGCAAGTACTAATGGTATGTACATATCTCAATTTCCCCTTTTCTACTCTAAATAGATGACTATCGGGAGCAGGCTCTTTGCTTGCGCGGTCCAAGCCAGGAAAACCGACAAAAATGCTGACTGCACCGTACTCAACGTCGACGACGTAGCGCCGGTCCACAACGTGGATGGTCGAAGGCAGCCCGAGAGAACACGTTGAGCCGTTTGTTCGTGACGTATCGGTATATGAGCCGCCTTCTAATCGAGCGCAGGGCGTGCCCTACGTATGTCATTAGAATCTTGGAGTATATGTCAAAAAGGCTCTTACCAAAGGGTACAGTAACATTTGCATTACCGAAGCGATCGAAATACGCGTCCCCAGCTGCTTGGATGACTTCTCTGGTGTCCCTCTCTACCAGTGGTATGCTATCCCATTTCTCGAACGAGTTCCAGTGTGCCGTTCCCGTGGCATTAAATAGCCAGTCTCCGGCGTCACTAACGAGCGTTTCAATCTTCTTGATATACAATCCATTGCCTTCTATCCTCACACCAAGAACGTACCTTTGAAATTAGTAGTTTCCTTTGATTTTTCCTAACAGCAAGACGTACGGATGGGAAATATCCGTAACAATGATTTCCGTGAATGCTGTACAAAGTACTTCGTCTAAAACACTTCGGTATTGCGTGATATTGAGTGGCTTGCTGAGTATGCCGCCAGTAATGTTCGCAGGCTTGAACTGCTCGGTGTACGTCAGGTTGGGGAAGAGTGTATCTGTTAGTAGAGCAGAGTTGCCGACTGTTTGGGCTGACAAATAAAGCGCTGTCCAATCATTGAGAACTAAGACGGACGTTAGATTTTGTAAGTGAAACGGCGGAGACCAAGACCCACAGGTACGATCGCATGCGGCGATTGCTGTGCGCGCAAGTGTTGTAGCGATTACCGATATAATGAGCATCGTGATGGTGACGAAGAAAGGTGGACATTCCAAATTCGAAATACTACCATTGTATTCCTTATACGTCAAACACACACTCTTCTTGGCCGCAGTATTCCATGTCATTGGCGTTTACTTGCTAATTCTATAATGGTGCGCTAGAGCAAAGTGGGGATGTGGGCCCTGCAGTCTGTATAAATTCATTTGATGAATCCTCTCGGCAGATCAGCCCTTGATGCACCCCACATGCTTAATCCATCATCCTTATCTCCTGACCTTCAGATGCATGCCAGTTATACTCAACCTCCCAATCAGAAGCACAACACTTCCTAAGAATACAGCAGCACCACCAAACATTTGCGCGACCAAGTAGCTTCCTCCATAGCTCTGAATCAGTGCTCCGGCGATAGGCGGTCCAATGAGCGTTCCAAGACCGATAATCGCGAGGCCCATCCCATTTCTCGTTCCAACTCTTGACATGTCTTTGGTGAGACTTGTGAGTACGGCTGGAAACATTCCTTGGAAGCCAGCTACGAAAAATCCATAGCTGACAGCCCATCCATAAAGTCCACCTGTATCCTTAACGAGTGGCCAGAAGAACAATATGATAGAAGAGATGAAGCAGAATGGTATGAGCATGTTGTAGCATCCAAAGAATTGATCCGCAAAGTAGCTGGGAACAAGTCGACCCAAGACTCCAATGCCGTTGAGGACCAGGAGAACGTTGATAGCCGTTGCATACGGTAATTCGAGTACGTTCGTGGCGAAAGACGAGATGTAGTAGAATGCAAAGTACTGGCCGAGACAGATCAAGAAGACGGCAAGCAGGAACAGGCTATATGACGCTTCTCTGAACGCACTCAATTCCAGTAAAGGCCCAGATCTTCTCGGTGGCAAACGTGGCTTCAGCAAGCTACAGTAGCACGCACTAAAAGCCAACATGATGAACCCCATTATCCTGACCGTCCATGGGAACCCGATCCTGGGAAGTAACTGTCGCGCAATCGTTGGGTACACTAGTCCACCGGTCGCAGAACCCGACGCCATGATTGCAAGCGCGACACTTCTATTTTTCGCGAAGTATGTGCTGACCAGCGATAGGCTTGGTGCAAATTGCATACCATTTCCAATCCCGTTCATCAAGCCCTGCGCTAGGAAGAACTGCCAATACTTGGTACACAAGCTTGTCATGAAAATCCCCAGAGCACTCAAAAACATGCCGGGTATTAGGCTCCAATAGAAGTATCCGGCGTCAAACATACGGCCAGTAAACATGCCGAGCGAGAAGTGACCCAGCATCTGCATTGAGCCAATCCATGATACGGCACTAGGTTCAAAACCAAGGTCAGCGGTGTAGTATTGTTGGAACACACCAAACGTAGATATCATGCCCCATGTGTTGAACACGACGAGATGACCCATGCAGGCTTGTGTCCATGCTTTGGTGCCGCCATCCGGAGGTGGTCCTGGGTCGACGATCGATGCGTTGGAGCGTGTGGTGATGGTTTTCGCAAGACTGTGAAGATTATTTTTAGGCCTTTGGGAGTGTTCAGTATTTTGGGTCGTGGTTGTATCAATGCCCTGTTCCGCTCTTGGTGTTGTTGGTGAGAGGTTGTTGCTCAATGTGAAGCCGACCCCTTGGTCACCGGCAGGCAGTACCTTTTCCATTTCCGGCGTTGACAGCATATTCCCAACGAGGTATTAGAGGAAAAGTGCTAGAAAAGAGCAAGGGCGTGAGTTGTAGCAGGCTGCGAACAATGTTGTGAAAAGATCGAACAGTTTCGGCAGTTTATCCGAGGAGCAACGCTACCAGGACTGCTTGGTTGATGATAAAATCGGCACGCCGGCCGCGGAGGCTAATCTTGTATTGTATGCAGCTGTTAATGCTTCCCAGTCAGTTATGCAGCATCTCTGCTGGTCATCGACAAATGACGTTGATGATGACTAAGGTAAGTTGCATAAAGACTGGAGTTTCTCTCCATACATTCGGCTTTCTCCCCGGATTTGTAAGCTTGCAGTAAAAACGGGGTCACAAGCATCCTCAAAAATAAAGCTTTCACCGAAGCTTGGATGCACGAAGCTTGATAAGCTCAACTCCGAACTAGTATAGAATTAGATGTTGCGTTACAGGAATGCGGCCGCGGATGGACCGCATGTTGCTGATAAATACAAGTCAGTTTGTCGAAGATTGCTGCACCTCTATGCACTGGTTGGCCCTTGACCAAGATCTTACTTCCCAAGGCGCCCAGGATACGTGATGTCGCAATTATAAGCGTGGAGCTTATTTGTTACTACAAGCTTCAACGCCTCACACACAGTTCCATAGTCTTTCCAAAATCAATCTCGTTGATACATGATTATCGGCAAAATGTACGTACACTTGTACTTGAATTAAATTTGTGCAAAAGGTGCCTCGTAATTACGCAGTGACATCACCGCTCTTCGCGCGCTTTGGTTCTCTTTCATCTCCTGCTCCTGCCTCAGCGCGCCGCTTGCCTTCGTCCTTTTTCGTTTCTTCCCGCGCGGCACGACGTGCTTCCTTGTCCTGCTTCTCCTTTTCTTTGCGTAGAGCTTTGCTCTCAAACTCATGCCAATCACCCTCCAATTTACTCAATGCATCAGCACGCTTCGAGGGCGGGGTCTCGCTCGTAAAAAATGGGTGCTCTAGCACATCAGCCGCCGACGGCCGTGCTGTCGGGTCGTAAAGGAACATAGCTTGCAGTAGTTCAAAAGCCATCGGGCTCACCCGATCCTTGTACTTCTCCTCGAAAGTAGACGGTCTACGCTCGGTAGGACGGAGGAGTTCGAACCATTGCATATCTACAATACCTGGCCAATCTTGTATGGTAGGTGTACCCAGGACGTTGTATATCTTATCGAGTTGATTGATTTCACCGCCGTCTCCAGGGAAAATGGCGTGGCGAGTAAAGATCTCGACAAGGACACAGGCTGCCGACCAGATATCGACAGCAGGTCCGTACTGCGTCTCACCTAGTAGCAGCTCCGGGGATCGATACCAAATGGTGATGACACGGTTGGTGTAGTCAAGCTTGCTTCTCTTCGCATAGAACCTTGCCAAACCAAAATCAGCAAGTTTCAGTTGTCCAGTATTGGACACCAATATGTTTGCCGCTTTGATGTCGCGATGTAGCACACCCCGACGGTGCAGGTAGTCCAGACCTTCGAACAGCTGCTTCGCCAGATCCTTCTTATGAGACTGCTCAAGTTTGAATGTCGGATGGTTGAGGAGACCTGTCAGATCGTGGGAAAGATACTCAAAAACCATGTAGCAATCGTTCTTTTCGACCATGACCTCTCGTAGCTTTACAATGTTGTCGTGGTTGAGTGATTGCAGCAGCTTGACTTCGCGAATAGCTGTCACCGGGAACCCGTCACGCTCGCCCTCCATGCGAATCTTCTTGAGCGCAACCATATCTTTCGTGTAGACGTGCACGCCCTTGAACACCTTGCCGTATGTACCAGAACCGACCACTGACTCATTGCCTGGCTTACGATAGTACACAGAATCTGACGCCTTGTGTTCGGGAATGAGCGTAGGTCGGGCCTTCAATCGCTTTCGCTTGACCATTTTTGTTTTCGGGGTTTCTGGTGGTGGTTCTCTTCGTTCCGGTCGTGCGTCCGGCCGTGTGTCTGGTCGACGAGGTAAAAATGGTTCTCTTCGATCTCTGTCACGAACATCACGTACGTCTCGGACGTCTCGTATCTCCCTAGGATCTCGCTCTCTGGTATCACGGGAGTCACGTGCATCTCGTGGATCCCCGTACATCTCTGTCGCGAGGATCCCTGTAATCCCTACCCCTATCACGATAGGAAGTGTCGCGTGGATCTCTATCACGAGGGTCCCTGTAGCCGGGCTTCCGATCGTAGTAGTCATCGTATCGTCGATCTCTTTCTCGGTAATCTCTATCTCGCTCGCGGTCACGTTCGTAGTCTCTGTTTCGAACATCACGGTCTCTGTCGCCACGTGAATCGGTTGGGTACCTCGGGCTTGCATCTCGACCTGCCGCCTCTCTAGCTTTTGGGTCAAGCAAAGACTCTTTCGACCGTGACCTGGATAATTCGGTTTCCTCTTTTGCTTTGCTCGCCGTGGCGGGCACTGGGTTCTTTGTCTTCAGAGAGAAACTGAAGCCAGACTTGGGCTGTGTAGGTAGCGTTCCAGCTTGTTTCGTCGACGTCTGAGTGCGTTTCTCTTCTTTAATCCCTTCATCTTCTACACGAAGATCTTTCGACGGGCGAAAAGGATTGTCATCGGCATCAACAGCACTTGATTGTGAATCAGCCGAAGCTGCGGCAGAAGCTTGTGGTCGGGGCGCTTCGGTGGCGGGACGACCGCCTCTCGTGCCCGAAGCTGGAGTCCAAGAGAGATTGGAGAATTGTGTGGGTGCACCACCACGACCTCGCCCACCTTGCGCACCATACGACGTGCTGAGACCCGGCCCAGAGGCTCTTCGATCGGGTCCATTGAAATGGTTGCCACGGAAGCCTCCACGGTGGGGGCTGTTCTGGTATCCCTGTTGTGGATATTGCTGACCCTGGTAATAAGCAGGGGAGTGGTTCTGGTTGTACGAGGAGTGGTTTGGCGAATAGCCCTGCATTGGTGACCTATGGAAGATTAGTATCAGTGTTTGTGGGAACAGGGGCCTGCTTACCCTTGACTGGGATACTGTTGTCCTTGCCATCCACCCCGACCGCCATGGTATGGTGATTGGCCTTGTGGTGAATACTGGTTCTGCGGAGGATATGGCGGAGACTGTGCGTATCCTGGCCCGGCACGCCCTTGGTATTGGTATGCTCCCCTCATTGTGTCGTCTTTGCCTTTCGATGAGTCCGAATTGTGGCCAGACCTAGGGGCTGGTGAGGCCCTCAACGAGACAGGCTTGCCTACAGGCGCAGATTTTTCAAGCTCAACTTCTTTGGCTGGTCTTTGATGGGGCCGGGGTGAGCGCGATCTGGAGGAGCGACGTGGTCTTGGTGCACGGGGCGAGCGGCTCCTACGCGATGGACTTAAGCCTCGTCTCGAGTGAAATGGAGAGCTACGTCTAGTTGGGAATGGAGAACGCCTGAGGGCTGGAGAGCGAGACCTTGGGGCGCGAGGGGCACGGCTGCGACTTCTTTCCTTTGGTCGAGTAGAGTTGGGCACGTGCGGTCTTTCTCTCGATCGTCTCGGCGGAGTGCTTCGTCGATGGCTATGCCTTCTGGGTGATGCCCCCCGCAAGGGCTCGTCACGTCTCGACCGTCTTTCTGAATGAAAGAGACCGCTTGCGAGACCGATGTGAAACTGGCCTGTAATGCGAATCGGCCGACGGCGAGCGGCGACGGGATGAAGAAAGGGGTATATAGGAATCTGCAGGTGGTGTAGGACGACGTGGCGCCCGCTCACGGTCAAGGCGTTGCGGAGGAGTACGCGCCCTTTCTACACGTCGATGCGTTGAATCTGCGCGGCGGACCCGTGATCTGGAGCGTACTAAGCTGCGGCTGCGGTGGCGCTTCGATCGTTTGAAGGAATCTTTCGGAGATGGAGAGCGAGTGCGCTGGCGCTTTGGGGGCGGCGTCGTATCGCGGTGATGATGGTGGTGGTGGTGGTGCTGTCGGTGGGAGTGCGCAGCCTTCTCCCTGCTGGGTGTCCTTCTCGAGGTCCGATGACGCTCGTCCCTGGATGCTTCGCGGCTGCGGCGACGCGTGCGATCCCTACTCGGGCTTCTCTCGCGCGAGCGGCCGCGCGGGTTCTTGGTTGATGGACGAGTGTCGGTGTCGTTGGTGCGACGTCTGGAGGAATCCCTCGCAGCGCGCGCCGGTGACGAGGGCCTGGGGTCGTCGATGCCGTCTCTGAGGCGCTCCCTGGGCCCGTCTCTCTGCGTGTCCCTCAGTGACGGTTCCTCTGGTCTCCACTGGTCTATATCCTGGGCCCGTCGCGAGCCAGCCATGTAGGCGGGAATGTCATCAGAAGTGGACGAGGTTGCAGCATCAAAGGTCCCGGGTCTGGGTGTCACGGCCTAACCGAGCTACCAGAACCCCAGCGACCCGCTAACTCAGCCTGACAGAGAATGCGGTAATAGAACAGAAGAACAATGATGGGAGGAATGCTGCAACTGCGTCGGAAACACAAGAACATGTGCGCCGGGTCGGAGCTCGTCTCGATGATGCTGTCGTGGCTGGCCAGCCTTTTTCCTGTTCGCGCTACCCCGATCGCCAAGCCTCATCTCATGAGAACTGGAGGATTCGAGCGGTGCTCCGCATGCAGCAAGTCAGCCTTGCGAGCTGACGCCTTCCTAATTCTGCTTCCAAAGAAACATCCTCTTCAGCTGTTGCTTTCACCCGTATCCATGCATGTCCAAAGACCGCGTTCTGCCCATGATGGACGTTCACTAAACTATCTAGTGCAAATGCAACCTGTTCAAACTACCAGCATATCCCAGGTAACAGACCAGGCACTGCGGAAGATGCTGGCATACTGCTGTGTGCATCAAGTCAACCGGCGCATACTCGCGAGTGCCCGCGCGTAGTCCCCTGGCCAAACGCAAATCATTCAAGCTCAGTGTGGTCGGCCTTGGTGAGGACCCGCCAGTCGGCGGCTGATTGTGTACCTGGGTGGACTTGACTCGATTTGTGGCGATGGACGGTGCCAGAGATGCGGGCAAACGTAGGCACGGCATGGCCCATCAGAGCGAGATAACTCAAGCTGTCGCAGAACCCACAATAGGACGGCCTGTTGCGACACCATAAAAGAAAGCTTCATGTACGGTATAGCAGCAAGCGCACGCCCCGGTGTGCCCTAGTAAATGCATGCAAACTTGGGTGCCATGCGCATTTCCAGAGCTGTTCCCAAGAAACAAGAGAGCGCGATGAGATAACCGGGTCGACGCGATGCCCATGGTTCTTATCCAACGTGGCTGATGTGCAGAGGTCCACCACAACCATGATTGAGATGCTCACATACCGTACGCGTGTCGCGGCGCAATGTATATCTCGCTGCAGTCGAACTGGACGGTTGACGTCGAGAGTATGACATGCGTAAATGGACGTTAGTACGATGTCTGCATCCCAAGTATGTTCCGCAGTTGACACGGTTCCTGGCTTCATCCCACTGTCCACCCTGTCCTTCAAGTATACACTCCATGCTGTCGAGGCCTGCACCAATGCAAAACATGGACGCAGCAGTGGGCAGTCTGTAGGTAATCGGTGATGCTGGGTTGAATTGGCCGGCATGCGCAGTCACCTGTGCGACCCCTTCATGGCGGCCGCCTGTCCGACTCCATCCTGCGAAGCCAACTGTAAACATCAAGCGGGGAGGGCGCCATCCCGTACCGGTGCTAATGGACGTACCTTGAGTGATGGTGGTGGGCGGTATGGGTGCGCAGATGGATGGTGGTTGACTGCCCGCGCGCTTAGCCCCCTCGCAGGGCTACGGGGCGTGCTTTCCCCGTGACTCGGCGACCGGCGATTGTTCCGACTACTTCGTCATTTTGACTGTTCGGCGCACCAGCGTTAGCGGCGGCCAAAGTTATTCAGTTTACAGGCATGCATCGCAGACGTCCGCCTGACTTGCGGGACAAGCATGCGCCAAATAGATAATTGTTCACAGGCGTTTGCGCCTCGTATGCTCTTATAGCCGTCGCCGACCCCGACATCTGAGCAGCAATAAACCCCCGACCCTTTGCAGACCCTGACTTCCCCGCAACAATGGACGCTGACACGACGAAACCCGGTTCTGCCATCCCCTCCCACGTAAATGGCGAGCAGACGGCTCAAAAGGTCCCTACCGAAGTACGCGATCAGAAAGAGAGGGAGAACCTCTACAATGCCATAGACAAATCCAACCGAGGTCGCCAGCCAGTCGACTTTGAGGGAACGAGCGGCAGCTACTTCCCCGTAAAGACTGCTGCAGCCAACATGAACGGAGAAGCTCCTCAGGAGACTCACCATGTCGTCAATGGCGAGATCGACGTGGAAGGCTACAACCAGGGCAGCAAGACGCCACTCAAGACCAGCCGCGCCCACAGCCCATACACCCAGCACCCCACCATCGACTTCGACGGGCTCAGTTGGCCGAGCAAGGGCACACTGGCACGCAAAGAGGCAACCGAGGAGGAGAAGAAAGAGCGTCTCGAGAAGCTGTCGGGTGCTGTCAGAACCATGCTCGAGTGTCTGGGTGAGGACCCAGACCGCGAAGGTCTCCGAGACACCCCCGACCGTTACGCCAAGGCACTGTTGTTCTTCACCAAGGGATACGAAGAGAACCTACGAGACATTGTCAACGGCGCAGTGTTCCACGAGGACCATGACGAGCTGGTCATTGTAAAGGACATTGAGATTTTCTCACTATGCGAGCACCACCTGGTGCCCTTCACTGGCAAGGCGAGTTTGGTAGTATCTACGAGCTGAACAAGGGCTAACCTCTCTAGATGCATATCGGCTACATTCCCAATCGCCGCGTGATCGGACTCTCCAAGCTCGCCCGCATCGCTGAAATGTTTTCTCGCCGACTCCAAGTCCAAGAGCGCTTGACAAAGCAGGTCGCCCTTGCCCTCTCCGAAATGCTGCAGCCCCAAGGTGTCGCTGTCGTTGTCGAGTCAAGCCATTTGTGTATGGTGATGCGCGGCGTCCAGAAAACCGGCGCGACCACAACAACAAGCTGTATGCTGGGACGTATGCGATCGACCGCCAAGACGAGAGAGGAGTTTCTGCGCCTCATTGACCGACGGTAGGTGGACGGGTGACGATGTCGAAAAGGCGTTCAAGGTTCAGGTGTACGTGTAGAGTTCATCACTCGGGCGGGCTGGGCCGCGGTCATTTCTTCCTATACTCTAGACGCATCGCCTTTCAACAGGCGCTTCAAACAGTTGAGATATCCAAACAATGGCAATTATTTCCCATAGGTTGCATGCACTTCGAGATGAGGGGTGAAGGTGACACGGCGGTGATGGCTATCGATTCGTGGAAGACCCCTGCTAGCGTCCGGCTGGGGTCGTGAAACCGCGTTTCCACAACAAACAACGGCTATCATCTCGACACAATTCTTATTTCACCACGGTGTAGCACTGCCCCAGGTCTCCGGAGAACGTTGCGTATGGCATAAGCAATGGCACGAACGCGATCCTCGTACACAGCGAGCCCGACACGCTCTGGCTCACCGCGGCGCAGCCCAGCGCGTCGAGCATCTAAAGATGGATCTGAATATGAGATGGATTTGGATGCGCTTGGCCTCAACTCGACTTTCGAATCGTCCGAACTGCAAGCCAGCTATGAGCCGCCGGTCGATCGAGTGGATACCAGCGAAATAGAAGGACCAGAAGACTTCACGATGAACATGACCTATTGGATGACGGCCGACCTCCCGCTATCGCAGATCAAGTCCCGAAAAGAAGCCAAGGGCAGAGCTCAGGAGATGCGGATGGACGCAATGCAAGAGGAGGAGGCAGCACACGATATGACTACAGAGGGCGGCCAAGCGATTATCCAAGGGACACCAAGACTCCACCCGGATGGAAACTCGAACTCTGCATCGCCGACAAGACGTGCAAACGGCACCACCGACGAACGCACATACAGCACCCCGGCGTCTGAGCGGTCCATGGAGAATGACGAGAAGGTCCGGAGTTTCCTGAGCAACTTGCCCGACACGGAAATGGAGGGCGCAATTGCGGGTACACCACTGCATATGCCTAGACAAAGCTTTCTGCAGATCCCAAGACCGTCACCGCCGAAAGCACGATCACTGCAACCTACAGTCGAAGACTACGACACGCCCCGCAAACCAACGCAAGAGACGGTCATACACCATGCCTCAGCCGTCATCGAGACGGGCGACCTTGAGGCGCTGCAACAGCAAATTGCTGAGTTACAGGCGCGACTGGGCAAGCAAGACCTTGTATCTCAGACGCGCATCACTGAACTCGAGACCATTCTTTCGTATACGCGCTCTGAGCTGGAGAATGCACGCACAGAAGGCTACAGGCAGAAAGAGGAGACTGCTACTCTTGAGAAAATCATTGAGCAACAGAGACAAGAAGCCGAGCAAGGGCGCCTGTCCGCCGAAGCACGCTTGAAGGCCAAGGAGGCGGCCTTGGACTCTAAGATGCACGAGTTTGGAGATGAGATGCGCTTGCAGAACATGGCTAAACTGCAGAACCAGCGTGAGGACTTTGAGCGACAACTTCAAGCGCTGAAGGAGTCGAAGCGTCTAGCCGAACACGAGGCTAGCTCGAAGAGCCAGACTCTTGAGCAGGTTCAATTTGACTGTGATGAGCTGAGACGCAGCAACGAACAACTCTTGCAGGAAGCGACAAGAAAGCACGAAAGGGAGCTTGACGCAGGCAATCAAGCTGTGGACAAGCATCACATCGAGCTCACTCAACAGCTGTCTTTAGTTCAAGCACGAGCAGATGATCTGCAGGCACGGCTTGAAAGGGTAACAGCGGAGGCCAAAGTCGTACGCGAAGATGCCCAACAGAAAGAACAGGAGCACGATGCTGTAGAAGCAAGGATACGTGCACGCACGGCGCGGATCACCGAGCTCGAAGGCAACCTTCAAGCCGCACGCTTTGAGCTAGAGTGTGCGCAAGCCGATGCTTCTGCGAAAGAACAGCTTTTCCGAACGAACCTGGAATTAAATTCTCGCCTCCGGACGATCCAATCCGAACTGAACACAACGCGCTCGAATTTGATGGCTAGAGAGGAGCCGTCTACACAGAACCTAGAACTGGAGACTCGCATCCAGGTCTTGCAAAGCCAGCTGCAGTCGAGTCGTGGGGAAACCTTGGCCAAGGATCAGGAGATCATGCGCCATATCAGATCTCAAGAGCAACTCGAGCAAAGCCTCAACACGGCGCGAGGCCGTATCGAGGGACTTGAGACTACTACAAATACACTTCGACAGCAGCTCGCAGAAGCTCATCGCGACAGCGCCAGGTCACAGACCAAACACGAGAGTCTAGAGCGAGACCTGCAAGACCTCAACGAGCGCCTGAAAGATGCCCAGGTGGAAGCTGATCGGCGTGTTGCCGACGTAGAACAGAAGATTAGCAAGATGAAGGACACTAAGCTGGAGATGGAGCGCAAGCTCCGAGAGCTCCAGAGTCAGCGCGACGACCTGGTCGAAGGACATGAAGCTATGCTGGCTGATGTGCGCGACAAAGCTGAAGACGCGGTGCGGAAAGCTGGCGCCTTGCTCAATCAAGAACGCACCGAAAAACGACGTATCATTAAGGATTTCAACAAGACTAAGGAGGAGTTGGGGCAGAGCCGTGCCGAAGCTGCTCGGAGGTTCACAGAAGACGACGAATCATCTGATGAGAGTGAAACATCCGTATCACCGATAAGCACCAAGGAGAAGGACATGGAGATCAAGAGTCTTCGAGAGATCATCCGTAAACAAGTCTCGGAAATCAAGACGCTGAAGGCCGAGACAAGCACTTGGCGCAAAGAAAGCAAGAGCCTCAAGGACAGGGTGGAATCATACTCTGATCTCGAATCCGCAATGGGTGGCCTCAAGGAAGAGATTAGCACGCTCCGCAGTGAGAAATGTGCCCTACAAGCTAGTCTAGAGGACCAAGAAGCCGTCAACGTTGCAATGGACGAGAAGCTTGCGAAGGTACTAAGCAAACTTATGAAAGAGCGCGCCAGGACAGTTGTCGGTAAACGAGATGGACAGTGGCAAGAAAGTGTCGGACAGGTGCAAAATGACAAGGAGCTCATGGGTAAAGTGCTACTGCGGCAATGGGGAAGAGAGGAACTCGGTATCGCCGATGAGGACCACGGCGAAAAGCAAACGTATCAGTACAAGTATGCTAAGAGGGAGAGAGCGTGATGGGGTATTCATGACAGTGATGATGAAGCCATGAATGCAAAATATTTCATATGATTGAGCATGGCATGCTCTTCCAAAGCCTAGTTCGTGCCGTTTATCCATCCTACGCCGTGGTATATCTTACCCCAAACGCCCAACTCGTCCAATGTCGAAACCTGCTCGCTGTCGCTGAAATGTCATACATGTCCATGTCTAATCGCTCGAATTCGTCCTTCATAGCACGCCCTTCCTCGCCAGCTCGACCTTCTTAGCAAACTCGCCCTCCTTCCAGCCACCTTTGCTCCCACAAATGGCAATACCGTCGCCCAGCTCGGCTTTGTCTTCGACGCTCTCCCAGGCGCAGGGACAGTGGTGTGGGAAATGGACGCAAGAGAGGGTGCCGGGGCACAGGTAGTGGGTGCATTGTGCTGGTGAGAGGAGTGTCAGCAAGTGATGGAATGAACTCTAGCGATTGACTCACCCCCCTCGTACTGCGCTTGATACCATGAACTATCACTCCTGACATTCTGGGGCTCTTGGTGTTGCTGGTGTCCTTGGTTGCCAAACATCTGGTCGAAGAAACCAAATTGCGCGCGTGAGGAGACGAAGCAGGCGCTCAAGACTAGGACGATGGAGGTGAAGCGCGCCATGCTAGCAATTTGGTGTGCTCAGCGTGTGTGAGTTTTTGCGTGTGGTGAGGGTGTCTTGGAAGCATGAAGTGGGTGATGTGGAGCTATTCGTTGCCAAGCGCGCAGGGGTCAAGTGCTCGGTGGTCCGCAGAAAAGTCCGCACGCGAGGAATCTTTGCGGTTGAGCTTTGCGACTTCACGACCACACGCACGAACACGAACACGGCCAGCACGTACACATCCACCCGCCGTCCTCACTTGCCAATACCGCAGCGTACGCACATGCTCACCCTTGCTCGCACGCGATTCTAACGTTGCCAGCATGCATCTCATGTTCGTCCCCGACCCGCAGAACCCGGCCAAGCGCATCTACACGCTGAAGAAAGTCATCGACGGCGAGGTCAGCAAGAGCGCGCATCCCGCTCGTTTCTCGCCCGACGACAAGTACTCGAGGCACAGGGTCACCATCAAGAAGCGCTACGGATTGCTCTTGACCCAGCAGAGTGAGTTGTACCAAGACATGAGACATGAGACATGAGACATGAGACATGAGACATGAGACATGAGACATGAGACATGAGACATGAGACATGAGACATGAGACATGAGACATGAGACATGAGGTATGAGACGGAGTCAAGGGAGAGGCTAACGAGTCTGCAGAGAACAAGGTTGCCGAGCGATCGTAGACAACCATGTGGTGAAAGCTTGAGCAGATGGCGTTTTAGGGCGTATGGGCGAAAGACTTGAGGAAAAGCTACGGCGGCGACCTTATCATGTGTGTGGTCTATTCGAGAGCAATCAACAAGTTCCAAGACCTTTTCCTGTTTTGTCACTCACAAGTACTCGACCTTGCACCGCGCACACCGCGCAATTGCCGCATGTTGTTAACCTGTCTCTTCCATTACAAGCGCATTGCATGTCCTCGCCGTTCGGCTCTATTGTCCGTGGCAGATGTCGTCTAGGCCACAGAGCATTGCATCTGCACATGTGGCTCTGTCTCACAACCTCTGGATGGGCTGCGGGTTGTGCCTAGATGAGCCGCGGGCATAATGTCCGAGGTCTGGATGGTGAATGCCCCCACGCCGTATTCCGATGCGTGTCTCGCGCATGCCTATTGAATTGACCTGCACGCATGCGACTTGGGCGTGGGGGTCCAATCATGCCGGCCAAGAGCAGTTGAGATGCATCGTCATTTTGAGAGTAGGCCAATTGCTTCAAGTGACTGTGTTGCGACCCACAATGGTCCATCTCCCGCCCGCGGCTATCTGATTATCTGGGGCCGCTGGTGCACGTCATTGAAGGGTTGTCCAGTGGTATGGCCGCCAAGGGGAAAGTGGTGAGAGCACCGGCGAGATGGACGTAGTGGTGTACAGCGAGTGCAGTGCAAGTGCAAGCGCAAGTGAGATGCGGGGTAGTGTGCCGCGCTGTGTTACACGGCCGACCGCTGACAGCACAGCACGGCACGTCAATGTTGTTCTGACCTCGACAGTGCGGTAGTGAAGGGTGAAGGCCCTGTCCACAACCTACGTTCGGATGTGCCGAGGATGGTTTGATAGCGCGTATCGCGAGTCGCAAGGGAACAAATGGTTGCTCAGGGTCCCAACGACGGCGGCGGGTATTCGCGCTGCAACCACGCACCCCTCGGCTCAGCTCCCGGCAAGGACTGCAGCCATGTACGCAATCATGCCCTGCAACACGTCGTGGGACTCGTGGGACCCGTCCATTCGAGGCGCGAAAGAATGTGCATTGTGCATGGACGCCAACAGCTAGTCCAACAATAGGCCCGGCTTTGGAGCAAGATCCGTGGCCGTCGTCATCTTGTGGGAGAACAGCCGTCACGAGCACCGGGCCTCGATATGCTGTTGTAAGCTCACTCGCCAGTAGCTGTTCTCTAGTGGCCGCTGCTGTTGTGCCATGTCGTCCATGTCGTCAGCCTGCTTTGTACCAACAAAGTGATATTCCAGGTACATTCAGGTACAGCCCGCGGTTGGCGACAGGCCACTCGTTTGCCTTTGCGATGCTTTGGTGGGGCGCACAGGCACCCTTAGTTATGTCAAGGTTCCTTCCAGCTGAAGCAGAGTTACTGCATGTCCGCACATGCAACAAGGACGATGCATTGTGGCTGCTTCTGACGTCTGCCAGAATGACTGCGGCGATACTCACTCGCCGACTGCGATAATCCATCCTCCGACCGGCCTTGAACTCCAACCGTTCCAGCTACATGGGCGGGCCCCCGTCTGTGGAAAATTCTCGGAGTGCCCCTTCGAGTCACCACCCGGAAAACCTACACAACCTTGGAACCCTAGCTCCACTCTAGCACGTCTGGATACATAGATTTATAGCCCTCCCAGAAGCCAAACACTCCTGATAATCTGCCACCCTACGTGCTGCCTTGCCAACCTCTGGCCAGACCACTATTTTGGCCCTATTCACGTGCGGCCCTAGTCAGCAGCAAGTGACCGCTCTACGCGCAGAACCCAGTAGAACCCAGTCTTGCGTCCAGCCGTCCTCCGCTCGTCCAAACCCGCATCGACTCACCCCACGCTCTCATCTTGCCCTGCCGCTTGCTTGCCGAAACTCTCTGGAACACGACTCCAAATCTGCCTCCAGCTGTACCGTCGAGGCGCCTCCAACCAATTGCAGCATCTGTGCAAACATCAGTCCCCACGCTGCACGGCTTACCCCATCACCCTGGCCAGTACAACGAAAGCCCATTTGCGACGAATTTCGTACAGCTAGCGTCGTATTACTTTCATCTACTTCTTTGGCTAGCCCGTGATTCGGCTTACCACGTCGGCTCAAATCGTGTCACCCTGCTCTGGTCCCCAACAGCCTTAACATACCCGCCGTCGACAGTCGACCTTCAGTTGAGCATTTGGGATGAATTTCGGATTCAAAAATAATACTTCACGTTGGCCAGTCGGACAAGGTATGCAGCCAAGGTCCACAAAGTGCTGTGCTGTAACTAATACCGCAATCCTAATGTGCAGAACATATCAACAGATAGACTCCACACTATAGCCCGTGGGATTCTCCGCATTTTGAGTTAGAAAACTTCTAGCTCCACCTGTCGCTAGAACTGGTATTGCTTTTGCCATCTCGTCCAGATCCGATAGGCTGCTTTCCTCCGTCCCTGGGCCTACCCTGATCTTACCGTAAGCCTTGTGGAAATCTTACTTGCCTATTCTACAAGTAGCTTGCAACAGCTACCCACGGCCACGCGATCTGTCGTCATTGAGGAGACTATTCTTATCGACCTGCCCCTGCACGTAATGGACTCGTCCATGACATTGCTGAGTGCACACATCCAATTTTTGGTAAGTTAGTCTCGTATATCGCGTGCTCATGTGCACAGTCTTGGGACCAAGTTTGCCTTTGATGCCTAGGTGTTTTGGTGATTGGTCCGTGTGTGCGCGGAGGACCACTCTTATATTTCGCCTCCTGCACAGGTCTTTTGCCTACCGAACACCAGCTAACATGATCACTTTGAAGGACACGCAGCTTGCTCTTATACACATTCCGCTGCACCTATATTCAAGCTTTCTTCAGTCTATCCTCCAGTTGCTTCTTCCGAATGCATCTCGTAATGGATGTACCAGTAACGGTCATGGAGCTGTACAGTCTCCAAAAGGCTGGCCATACGAACATCCTTTTGTGAACATATCAATCACGCCCATTGAATGTTCTATAGTATGCTCACGATTACTCGCTAGTGAGCTTTTTGTGCCTGTCCTCAGCCTTCTCGACACACAGGCGAGAAGCCAAGTGCATATTACATCCGACGACTTTGTTGTCATGCAAGTCGATGGCGAGGGGCTAGATGCAGGACAAAGAGTATTGGAGCTTACAAGCCCTCTTGCTCTGGCTGGCATGTAAGCGAAAATCGTTGAACCTCGAAAACCCTCTGCTAATCACATTACAGCCCAATCTTCTTCATAACAACATATTTTGCCGACTACATTCTTGTCCCACTGCGACATCGACAGCAGGTTGTCCAGGCATTGGAAGAACGTGGCTTCCAATTTGAGGACCAGACATCATCATACGTAAATCCCTACCATCACGGCCGCAAACATTCGTCTGCCTCGCTCGAAGTTCAACCACCCAGCACTCCTCCACCAACCACCATCTCGGAGCTACAGACCAGAACTTTCACTACTTTGAAGCGTCGCAGCATTGTTCCGACTGTCGATCCCGAGATTCGTCTAGTACAATGTGCTGGTCGTCGAGATAGTGCCAACGGTATAAGCCAAAGTCGCAACCGCAATAGTATGACAAGTGCAGCCGACGATGCGCTTCATCTCGGACTCGTAAAATGCCTCATAGCTGCACCACATCCCAGATTTTTATCGCTCACGCTAACCGACACCGAAGCCGCGTCACTGCTTCTCGACCACACACTACTACCTAATTTCACGCAGGACGTCCTCTTGGGCTCAAAAGACGAGTATCTTACGCCGATTACACTCGATCTTCGAGGTCTGCCTGTGGAGAGCACGGGCATCGTCTGTGGTGTTGCAGGTCGCTTGGTCGGAGCGACAACTGGACAAGTAGAAAGCCCCGTAGAGATGAGCTATCTCAGTACTGCTCGCGCAGGAACGGTCATGGTTGCTGAAGAAGAGCTGGATCGCGCTCTTGGCGCCTTGCGTGGCGCAGAAAATGGGATTCTGGCAACCGCGGATTAGTCCGGGTCAGCGTGGGGTGCAGTTGCAATGTTGAGGTCGCAACGTCAGAGTTTTTCGGTGCCACATCTGATAACGACATCCACCTGTGTGCAAGGGAATTTTTCTCTTCGCGAAATATTTGCGCGGCACAGCTTCGGGCCCTCAGGTCTCGCCTGTCTTTCATGCAAGACAGTATTGCTTGCATGAATTCTCGGCAGCTGACCTTCCTGTTCAGGACGACCACTGGCGTCCTATGACGATTCGCTTATCTCAGTGTCTTCTGGATCGATGCGGATTCAATCTCGCCATACCTAGGCCGCGGTGCTGCTATGGCATGTGAAGGACCTGTCAACTTCTCTCATTTGGCTCGGTTTCTTGAGGCTTGGTTGGGATTATTGCATGAGGCTGATCGCATTTGGCATGGATATCAAAAGTTTGCCTTCTTTCCTCTGTTCGCAGATATTGGCTTCTCCAGTAATGTTTTTCAAAGATAGCTACCTGTTGTAGTGATCCTGTATACACATCATCATAATGTTATCCGCGTGAGCGTCAATACTGACGCATATGTTCAAGCCTTATACCGGTTTACAGGGAGGGAATGAAAAGCACAGCCACACGGGTAAACCACAGAACCGACCTATGAGTATATTGCGTCCTGAATGCCACCGCATAAACAAGGTTCAGTTCGATAGACTATGAGCACGCCATAACACCCTACAGGAATATTAGGCGGAACTATGATCTAGTCTAAGTGTTGCGCCCAGCCTGGATATATATGCTGCTACATAACACTCCCTGCGGTATCTCACACCGCCGCGATTAACATGATTACTTTAGGCGCGATTAGCATCATACTTTTGTATGTTATGAGTTAAACCAGTTCATGGGAGACCCAATAGATAACGTGCGCTGAAAAAGATGCGCTCCACAACTTGTCCTGTCCTTTTCGACTGGGACGTTGAAATATCTAATGACAATACCATAGAAGGGATACGAACATAGGCTAACTGTTTTCACAGAATGTGTTTTATTCTTACATCATTCCTATAAATATCTTCATCGCTTCCTTAATTGCCCAGGCTGGCGTTGACAAGGGTTTATAGTATGTCATAGTCGAGCTCCGCAGCACGTTGCTTCATATCAGCGAGCTGGGAGTAAGTATCTCTAACCTCCAGGTGATCTGTACAATGATATCCTGAGCTATAAGCAAGTATCGTTACGCAAATGTCCGACGATCATCATCTTCCCCACCTCTGTACTTGCAAATGCCGTCGCCAGCAAGTACTTTGTAAGGATGTACCCAAGGTACGGAGTCTAAACTTCGCTTGAAGCAGAGTGCCTCGTGGTTCCTCGTATCTAAACATTCATTAAGATTTAGTCGATTTCACAACTACTACCGCATCGTCGAAACTTAGCCAACCAACCATCAGCTCCATCTTAGGTAGGATCTAACGGCGCAAGAAGGACGTAACACTCCTTTCGCCACCATCATAAAATTTAAAGGCTTTGGAAACGCTGCCTTACTACTGTATTCGTAGCGTGCATTCATGTTGCTATGTACTCTAGCACTTTTGCATCTCAGCTTATTCCACCCGTCCACAGCAATACCATGACAATCAAGATTCCGAATGGCGCTTGACTCAGCTACTCATAAATCTCACATTCCCTACAGGAATTGGCTATACATTACGTATCTTGGTTCAACGTATACAATTCTGTGATGATACCCATGGTACATGTATGCCCACGGAACATTTCACTCATTCCCATTTCCCAGAAAGGCCAATCATGCCCAGGTGTGGCCTCGGTACACTTTCTGAAGGTTACAGTGCATGGAAGTCCGGCCACTACTATGATCAAACACTTGCCATTTTCCTGGTGAAGAATTGCTCGACATCAATGAGACAGATCATCGGACTTTCTCAGAATTGTGTCTTTCATCTTTACACGACCGAGTTGGCACAAGTTTAGACCGGTCGCAGCTCTTGTGATAGCCCTGGCAGGTGTAATGCACACTTCAGTTGTGTCACACGAGGTAGTAAACAGCTATTTCCGTTGAGACTGCTTATCCCCATTTGTTGAGATGATGCGCACATGGATATCTGCGAAGAGGTTTGCAAGGTTTCCTACATGCCACGAGCGTATCTGCAGTGGAACAAGAGAGCTCGGACACTCCTTTCAAGAAAAGTGAGGTCGGAAGAATAGGGTAATGAACCATTCGAGGGATATGGATAACATGAGCAAGGCGAGAACAGAATGGGAACTTCGACCCACAGCTCATCAAGACATGGCGGAATAGACAGTTGGACCAAGTGTCCTTCTCTCCACTACCAGGTGGGTCTACTAATAGAGCACACCAAACACCCATGTTTGTTCAGGCGTTGTCTTCGGCGACCAGTGGAAGCTATCGCGGAGTTTGGACAAAGTTCTCCACTTGGATTTTAAGATCTACGTTTGCTCCGCTTTTTGACAGCCGCATACGCGGTTGGTATGGAGACTTTCAAATAACTTTTTTTTTGTGTGCTCCTAATGCGTCTCGCAAGACTGTTGGGTTTGCCTAGAAGCTAGGAGTATTAGAATTTGCTTTTGTATTCAGTGCAACTTTCGAGTCAAGTGTTCGCTTCATAATGTGCCTCATTCCCAACTTCTCAACGGCACAACTCACTGCACAAAAGCAAATTGGTTGCATTTGGTACCCACGGGAACAAACTTGCATCATCATTTCCGCACGCACCCGCCTCTTCCATCTGATCTCCATAGACATCTCGGTGTAAATAATGCACCGTCCCGTGTACACCATACCGGGGGATGCCAAGCCGATGCATCCGCAGCACTGGCGACGCCATGTTTCATGTTGACAGGATCTTTGGAAAGCGGAGAAATCTCAACACGCGGCTGCTATCATGTGCGACCCAGATCGCGGTTGTTCGCAATATAGAACCCGCTGGGATATATGGTTTGGCACGGGCAGCAATCTTCAAGGTTATTCCAGGTATTGCTCCTCAAGGCCTTGCAGCGGCGCCGACACACGTAGCGCTTGACGTTGAAGGAGACTTTAGCCCAAGGGTGAAGGAGATGATGCATTTGGGGTGTAGACAAGCACATCCGGCGATGCGGGGGAAGGTGATGTGGCGCATCCATAGCTATGACATCTATGGCAGGAAGCTGTAATCTTTTTTTCTTTTTCAATTAGACAACCACAAAGGCAGTGAGTGAGCTTTGGTCAGCACATTTGAGACAGTCGACTGCCAATTCTCTGAATCTACCGATGAGCTCTTGATCCTGGTTGCAGCATTGCCAAAGGACAGCATTCTCAGGCATACCGCCGGCCCAGACCACAGCCTCGGTGTGGGAAGGAACAGACCTAAAGTCTCGCGGACGCCAACAATAGGCACAGTGTTTCGTTTCAAGGTGCTTCCCTCGCTTAATGTGGCAGGCATCCGTGGACCGTGGAACCGTTTCGATTCCGCATCACAGTGGAGCTTTGGTTCAAGTCTCCATGTTGTACTGTGGGTCCAACAATGGCATGTCCGGCCTAACGTCATGTCATGCTGGGTCAGCCTCAAATGTGTGGCATAGAGTGGTTCGTACACGTGTCTACAATCTTGGCCTCAGTGGCGTCACGGTGCACGATGATTGAGAGCACGTATTCAGGTTCTGTGCTTTCTAGTGATATGCTTTTAATTCAATCTCTAACATAACTGGGCAACGCTAGATGCCATAATAATGGTATAGGTGAGGATATCATAAAGTCGTTGTTAGGACATCTAACAAGGATGGATAGCGACAGATGAAGCGGCGGCGAACACTTCGCAATGCCAAGACACGAGGATATCGTAACCTCAAATTCGAATGTGATAGAAAAGTCGTAGCGCCAAACATACGCCGGGTATTATGCGCGATCGCTAGAACGAGCTTCGGAAGTCGAAAATGTACATTGGTAAGGTGACAAGGAAAGTGGCGTACGCAGCGAGGCGAGTGCCTGATGATTCATGCGCCCATGTGGACCCTGAAGTTTCGAAACACAGGCGCATACCGCGCTTGGGCCAAGTGGCGAAATAGTTCAGGCCGGACGGTCTATAGTGAATCCATGAGCGACATCAATGACTTGCGCTTCTTGAGCGTCCGGTTCTTGAAGCTAGCCATGGGATCGTCATCGGTGTCCGATGGGCAGGGCGGTAGTACAAGGGTTGGTTCTCGTTCATTCGCACCGCGCGCTTGCATCCTGGACGCACCCATTGTCATGCGCTTTTGGGCAATGGAGCTCGTGTTGATAGTGGGAACTGGGGGCGCCAGGTCCGGAGAAGGCCCTCTCATCGAGTCACGGCCACGAGACTTTGGTCGAAGGATGGTAGATGCGCGTCGCAGCTTTTGGGGGCTGATGAAGCTTGAGCTGCCCTCAAGAGGGGCGGTCTGTGGCGTAAGTGGGGTGTAGGGTGTCGAAGGAGTAGGCGGCATCTTGCCGTTGACGCGGGTATCGTACGTCTTCTTGGAAGGATTGGTAATGGCGATTTTGGCGAGAGCGAGTTTCATTGAAATCGATCGTAACCGCTTGTGTGGAGCCGGCTTGATAATGGGGGACGAAGAATCCTTGTTGGACGCTTCGTAGGGATCTGAGCTAAGGAAGGCGTGTGATGCTGGCGAGGAAGGCGTGGGCGGCGTCCAATACGACTGTGTGGTCTGTACTCTGGAAAGGCCGCTGCGGGTTTGGGAGGGAATGTATACAGAAGAACGGGCAGACGAGGGTACGTCGATGGGGTGGAGCGATGGACGGGCAAGTAGTTCGTCAACAGCTGGTGAGATGCTGCGAGTTGAGGAGGCAGTGCGGAACGAGGAAGAGGCAGACGCGGAGTCGGTAAGGTTTAGGGTGCTGGTGTTCTTGGTAGACGGACTGTAGCTCGTGGACGGTCGACGAGGCTCGAGTTCGACTGGGGGCGTGGTGGCACGACTGGCCGGGTTGGAGGAGAGGCGGCCAGTGGCTGTGACTTTCATCGACAGGCGCTGGGCGGCGTCCTTGCGTATCTGGCTGATGGCTGCGATGGGCAAGTTGGCAACCGAGGCCGAGCGGTGCTGCATGGGCGCAAGGTCTGCGGTGGGCGACCGACAGTCGAGCTCAACGACTTTCGGACGGCCGACGACCTTTGCGTAGGAGACCATGACGGCCATGTCGCAGCTCCTTCCCTTGTCCCATCGCGAGATGGACATGGTGCGTGCCTTGCACTCTTTTGTCGGGTCGTGGACTACGACGTCGTCGTAGTCGTACTCGGAATCTGAACCATCATCGACGGGCGACAAGGCTTCTTCACTGGACATGTAGCGATCTTGGAACACAATGCTCTCCTTCCTGTGCGCGGGGCTCGGTTGCTGGCTAGCTGGCGTCTCTATCCTCAGCGTCTCGGGCGCGTCGTTGCACAAGTTGGGACTTGATGCGGAACTGTCGGAGCTAGTCCTGTCTGGGCGTGCAGCGATCGAGGGCTTGTTGAACGACCACTGCTGGAGCTGTGAGGCCACGGCGAGGTCGGCCATTGTTGCTGGGGCGGTGGAGTCGAAGGCGAAGGCGAAGAAGAAGGCGAAGAAGAAGAGGAAGACAAACAAAGTAGTGTCGCCAGGCGGATCGGGGTGTTGCTATATGGGCTGAGCCTGGGGCGGCAGCTGCTGCGGCATGAAACCGTGGGCGTGCAGGTGTTGGCGCCGGTGGAGTATCAGACGGTAACGTGGCTGTGGGTTGTGCAACGCGAGAGCTGGAGTTGGCTCTCTTCGGAGGGAAGGGACGCAGGGTATGATAAACAGGCGTGTCGGGGCCAGAGGCAGTAATATCCAGGGTGCAGAGGGTGGATAGATTGCGCTAGACTTGGCCTGTCGTCGGCGGTTTTAGGTTTACAGATGGGACACCCACGAGAACGGGAGGGCAGGAAGGAGTCCTGCGAGAGCCAGCGGGCGGCGGCGCCAGTGCAGGGCACTATATCTATGCAGGCGCATTTCGCAGAGCGCAATCTCTGTTCCGCCGGGGCATGAATCGTTCAACCATGGCCAGCAGGGCGACCTTGCACGCCTGGAGAGTCGGCGCTGGGCGTGCTGTGCTGGTGCTGGTGCTGTGCTGGGTCCAACTCCCCTGCCGATCCACGAACGATCGCGCAACACTTGATATGCCTGCAGCTTGCGCTAGCTGCTGAGGCTTTGGAGGTGGGACGCTCGCCGTGATAGGCTGCCGCTCGGGTTTCAGAACGGCCTGCACATTGCACAGCGTCTCCCGTGAGCTCGTGGTGTGGTGCGCAGATGCAGCCATCGCAGCGTCTGCGGACTTTGCGGGCGGCCATGCCATGCCATGCCATGCCATGCCACCCAGAGAGAGGACGGCAGAGATGCTCCAGACGCTCCTTTCATCTTGCAGCGAGCGCCTTCCCTTTCTTGACCGCTGTGTCTGCCGTTCACTTCAGGGGCAGGCCAATCACCGCCCGCGTGCCGCATCATGGTGGGGCGGCTCGGTGTGGGGTCGCCCCAAAAAAGGCACAGCAGACGACGCCACAGCCGAATCAGGACCCGTTTCCTTCTCAGCGCCCGTCACCGTCTTTTCCCTTTCCCTCGCCAGCCCGCGTTACCCGATCTGCCACACGTCAACGCGACTGTCGATCAGGGCCCTTTGACAAGTCATGGTGCAAGCTTTGCCGACGACTGCCCATGTCTTTGCTTCCAAACTCCATTACTACGGCCTTGGTGTCCGTGGCCTCATCGTCACCCCTCCCCGCGACGTGCTGGCCATGGAGGCCACAGCCATCGTGTTCCGAGTACACACGAGGTGTGCCAAACACTGCGCACTGAGCGGCTCCATCGTATCCCGGACCTGGCTCGACTCATCGACTTTAGGTACTCGGGGGCTAGGGTCCATGCCCAGCTGGTCGTGCATGCAGCATTCGCGCCCTCGGATTTGTCCATCACCATTCCAAGCGTCAACTTGCTCCACCACTCGGAGTCCGCCATCTACACCCCACAGTCACGCACTCATGCTTGATTGTAAAACTCTGACATAGATTGCACCTAGTGCTGCCTTCTATGCGCTTCTATCTCTCTATTTCTCCATCGCTCTATCTCTCCACTCAGTGGCTTCGTATGATTGCATCATCTACACCCACTTTGCCGGAATAAGGAAACGCTCAATCTACCCAGATTACATCTGCCCTTAAGCACACACGCACTTCGCGGAAAGTAGGCCCGTGCGCCTTAACTCCCAGATGCGAGCATGCCCTGCTGTCGTGAATGGCTCCATCCCACCATCGGCCAGCAGCCTAGCTGACTGCACTGTCCGAACCACCCTCAAGGCCTCGTGTGCGCCCGCGCTCGTGTCGTGAAACCGATCCGAGATCCAGAACACCCAAGCGGGTAAAGAGAAATGCAGCGAGTTCAAACATGTGGTGCGTGTAATGTTGCGAGCTGCCTAGATTCGCTCCTGTTCTCTTCCAGTACTCGCTAACCACACCATTGGATGAAATTCCCCATGTATTATTCACCCTCACAATTGACGTCAGAAATGTCCGAACACTTAGCCCCATACAGTCAGTCCATGTTCGTCCGAGCGTCAGACTTCGGACTTCACACACCAACTATCAATAAGTGCTGACAGCACACATACTGTTTCATCCTGTGCGACAGAATAGGACACCAACAACTGCTGACGTGCGAGCCACCGTTGGTTACACCGCCTGCTGACAGCTTCCAGAGCTACTTGTGACATGTGTCGTGAGTCTGGCAACCTTCAGCCTCGTGCACCGTCACACACCTACGGAGTAAATAGTCAGCCAGACTACGGGAGCAGTTGGTGGAACCTCGCAAATGCCTCGAACCGTCCGATCGACCTGTCAGACATGTAAAATAAAAAAAGTGCCCCCTCTCAGCCATCACCAGCATTCTTGATAAGCGACCACCGGTGCCGTTATTATTAGCACGTCACCAAACCACGGGCCGTACTACCTGTATGCTGCTGTAGGCCTTCAGTAATTACACCCCTTGTCATCTCTTCACTTATTCAATGAAGCCAAGTCAAGCCTCACTACCCAGCTTCCAGCGTTACAGTCCTTCGTGGGCCGATATGGGCTAAGAACATTGTCTGGTGGTATCGACATGATAGGATGTCGATCAATATCAGGTTAACGCTTTGTGTTGTTGATCTATTCTATGTCACAGAATCCACGTGATGAAACCTTGAAAAACTGCGCAATTATCTCTGTTTGGCTGTTCTATCCGAACATGCTCTGCAGTGTGGGGGCGCGCTTTCCCCGCTTCGACCCAAAACATAGCATCATAGCCGAGATGCGAGGTCCAAACTCAGCATTCGTGATAACGTGATAACGCCTGTACACTTCGTTTCGCACATATTTCAACCCCATATTTGTACGCTTTGTCTGCACACTCTTGTGTCGAACTTAACGATCCCCTACATCTTGGACCCTCGAACTGAGCATTGCTTCCTAAATTAACGTCATGTCATCCCAACATCCAATACCTCGTAAGCTATGGCAACATGCGGATCCAAAGTCTACAGCCATGTGGAAGTTCATGCAAAAGTCGAATCAGAAACGGGGTCTGAATATGCAGGTATGCGATTGCGTTATCCCCTGCCTACAGTAAAAGTCTGCAATTGTGTGAGGCGGCACATGGTTTGACTAGCTCTCAGTCCAGCTCTTCAATGAAAACCACACAAAGGACCACTGAAATCCTCTCTTTGTGCTGACCAATGTTACAGACTTTTCGGGAGCTCTACAAATGGAGTGTTGGCGAAAATCGGACTGACTTCTGGGATGACATGTGGGATGCAAGTGGACTGATATATGAGGGCAAGTACGATCAGGTCAGTAATTGAATCTAGGATACGATCCTGACGCAAGTCGTCATGTGTCAGGCCGCCATTAATTATTTCCAAAGGTCGTGGATACGTCAGTCCCTATGGACGCGATACCGCACTGGTTTCAAGGCACGAGTCTCAATTTTGCCGAAAACATTCTCTTCTCAGCATCACCTACGAATGCGTCAATCCGCTCTAAAGTCCATAAAGAAGATACAAAGATCGCTTTGACCGAGATTCGTGAGGGCAATACAGAAGTGCGGCATCTGTCATGGGGTGAGCTGCGCCGACGTGTCGGTCTCCTTGCCAATGCCTTCCGTGCCAAAGGCCTCAAGAAGGGGGACCGAGTTGCAATAGTCGCAAGTACAAGTTTCGACACGTTCATCTGCTTCATGGCTATCACTAGCATAGGCGGGCTTTTCAGCTCTAGCAGTACGGATATGGGCACAAAAGGCATTCTCGAGCGCTTACTCCAGATCAAGCCCGCGTACGTCTTCGTTGATGATTGGGCCGTCTATAACGGCAAGACGATAGACCTGAGACCGAAGATCAAGGAAATAGTTGAAGTCATGCAAAGTGAGCCTGGCTTTCAAGGTATTGTTACACAACCTAGATTCCCAGGAAAGCCGGCGAGCGTTGAGGGACTGACGAAAACCGTCACTTTGGACCATCTTCTGGACGCTGCGAACGGAGAGGAAAAGCTGGAATTCGAGAGAGTTGCTTTTAGAGACCCTTTTCTAATTGTGTATTCGAGTGGCACGACGGGAGTACCAAAATGCATAGTGCATTCGGTTGGTGGAGTTCTCATGAGTATCACGAAAGAAAGCCTTCTACACAGGGAGCTGGGACCAGAAAGTGTCATGTTGCAGTACACGACGGTATGTTATTGCATCCCCTGCTTTAGGCTTGTAAAGGCTGACATGAAAAGACCGGCTGGATAATGTACCTTGTTTCGGTGCAATGCTGCTTCACTGGCACGCGATCAATCCTGTATGATGGATCACCATTTCAGCCTGATCCACAAACATTCCTCTCTATCCTCCAGGAGCAGAAAGTCACAGATTTGGGCACATCTCCGCGATTCTTGCACGAACTACAGAAGCGGAACATAGCCCCAAGAAATTTTCTGGACTTGTCGTCACTCCGATCCGTCTGCTCAACCGGAATGGTACTTCCCGACTCTCAATTTGAGTGGTTTTACGATGTTGGTTTTCCCTCGGCTGTTCAACTGCGTAACATTTCTGGTGGTACCGACTTGGCCGGATTGTTTGGCATTGAGAACCCACTCGAACCTGTCTACGTCGGTGGCTGTCAGGGTCCATGCCTGGGCACAAAACTTGAGGTTTATGACAGTCTTGTCGAGTCCGGCCCTGGACACGCCGTCCCTGATGGCGAGCCTGGTGAGCTTGTTGCCACGGCCAGTTTTCCAAACCAGCCAGTATTCTTCTGGGGTGACAGTACGGGTGAGCGATACCAGAACGCATACTACAAACGATTTCCACATGTGTGGACGCATGGCGATTTCATCCAAATCCACCCTTCCACTGGACAAATCATGTTCCTCGGTCGTGCTGATGGGGTCCTGAACCCATCAGGTGTCCGATTTGGCAGCAGTGACATCTATTCAGTCATCGAGACGCATTTCCCGGAAATTGCAGACAGCATATGTGTTGGTCAACGACGGCCGCAGGATAATGATGAGAGCGTCATGCTGTTCTTGAAAATGAATGAAGGACAACCGTTTACGCCCACGCTGGTTAACAATGTCAAGAAAAAGATCGCGGAAGAGAGGAGTAGACGTCACGTGCCCCGATACGTGTTCCAGACATGGGACATTCCGGTATGTACATGCCTTACCGAGCTATGAGAGTGTTGTCAATTGCTGACGTGGCGGACAGACTACAGTCAACTTGAAGAAGGTTGAGCTGCCGGTGAAGCAGATTGTATCGGGTCGCATCATCAAGGCCAGTGGTACGCTGGCAAATCCCGAGAGCTTGAAGTTCTATGAGCAGTTCGCGAAGGTGGAGGAGGTGCTGGAGCGGGCAGAAAAGGGCGACTTTAGAAGTAAGCTTTAGAGGAAGGAGAACTTTTGAGACAATGAGCGAGTTTGAGTTATGCATAGTTTGCTTATCCGTGGGCTCTTTTACCTGCATGCCGCCTGCTATAGTGAAGGTGATGTCATGCCACAAGCGAGCTAGATAGCACTAGCGCGACTTGGGGGTGCCTTTCGTATCATGGAGCAAACAGAGTAAGCAACACTGCACAGCACCCAAGTGCTGCCACGCACCTCCTTCACGATAATCCATGACAATCGCACTCAAAATGCCTCCGAGAGCGCAGACCAACGTGTTGCGTGGTCGCGGTCGGCCCAAGAGAGCCGCTGCTGATGAGGCGTCGCCCGCGCCTGTCGCGAACGCGTCGGAGAAGAAACGCGGTCGCGTCGCAAAGGTTGACGCAGTCGACGCCCCAGCTGAACCGCCAAAGAAGCGCGGTCGGCCAGCAAAAGTGCAACAGGAAGAGCCCGTCACTGTCTTGGAGGCCCCCAGGCGTAGCCGACGCTCGCTCGTTGCGCCCGAAGCTCCTGTCGAAGCAGCCAAGAAGCGACTGGGACGGCCAGCCAAGAAGGAAGTCGTTGAAGCACCCGCTACCGCTACAGCGCCAAAGAAGCACGCAGCTCGTTCGAACAAGTCAGATGCTGACGTGCCTGCCGCCCCAAAGCCTCGTGGCCGCCCACCTCGGAACGCCGCCGCTGTCGACCTCAGTCGCGTCGCAGGCTCATCTCGCGTCATCAAGTCGCGTAGCAAGCCAGCTCCAAGGGCGACCGCTGCCGCCATCCAGACAGCCCCCGTCCCCCGTATGGACCCGCGCATGCGCTCTAAGCTCCGTACCCGTGCCCCTCCAGCACAGAAGGCCAAGGAAGACGTAGCGCCGCAGCCCACCAAACGTCGCGGCAGGCCACCCAAGACCAACATTGCCGCCGTTCAAGCGCCCTCGCCTAAGAAGCCTGCCGGTCGCAAAGCTACAAAGGCAGCCGTCTCCAAGCCCATAGCTCCGCGCAAGAAGCGAGGCTACACTACACTCGACATCCCTGACAAGTTCGCCGCTCAAGTTCGGCAGTATATTCAGGAGCTGGAAGATGCCGACTCTCTCCCAACGCCCGCTGAGAATGAGGCTGAGCCCGAGACAGGAGCTGAAGAGGCCGCTGCCAACGCTGAAGACGAGTATGAAGATGAAAATGAAGATGAAGAGGGGGGTGGTGACGTGGTTATCGAGGAGGAAGTCTTCGTCACCAGCGCGACAGCTAGCGCTGACCTGGAAGGTGCTCTTACCTCCGAAGCAAACGAGGACCAAGATCTGAATGCAGGTGGCGAAGAAGAAGATCTCCAAGACGAGTACAACCAAGACATCGTCGACCGGGACTCCGTCGACGAGTCAGCTGAGCCCGCCGCAGAAGTCGACCTAGAGATGGGCGTTCAAGGAGAGGAAGTCTATGTGGACGGAGACACTGATCACATAGATGCGCTTGCTCAACAAGGCGACGCAGATATGGATAGCCCAGAAGACGATACCGAAGTACATACCCATGGCGTTGAGTCGAGCGCTGCAGTTGGATTCCTTTTCAATTAGGATACTTGCACTCTACAAGACCAAGTCTATGCACAACTGTCTGCATTGCGCTGGTCCAGGTTTCCTGCGCACAGGGCCCCTGAGTATGAAGTCAAGCGGCATTTGGTATGGACGATAATGTTTATGATCCGCAATCGTGCATGTAGTACAAGCATAGGTGCTACAAGAAGGATTTTCTGCCGTGGAGCGATCCATCACGATAGTCTTGCAGGGGTACATATCGAAGAGTTCGCGCTCTTGTATCATGATAGCTACACTACAATTCCACGAATAAATACCCAACGTCTCACTTCCATCCGTGTGTGATGCCACTTGCTTACCGATTCTGGTCTCTGATTCGCGCCCCTTATGTGCTGTTAAGAATAGGCGTAATCTTCAGCTTAGAAAACAGAGGTCTTTACCGCCTTCTCTTCTGTGATAGCGGTATTTTTATAGTAGGCCTTGAACTCTTCCAAGTAAAACTCCACTTCAAAACGGAGCAACTGAACAGGCCTATATAGGTTAACAGCTTGCAAGGTATAGAAGCGGAGTAACCTAGTCTCTGCGAGGATAACCTTGTGCATCCGGGCTATCCGGAAAAGGCCCGGGACATTGTGCTAGCTACCAAACAGGCCCTTGGTTTTCTGAAGTTTCTCTTGCCTGCCAGTGCTTCTAATTGCTCGCAAACGCTGCTTATCTCTTCTATAGTCTGTGCGACATCACTGAGTATATATACTAGTTGTCGTAGCGCCTCACCACGTACCCGCTGCTCCATAGAACAACAACAACAATAACGACAAAAACATTCAATCGACATGCCTGCTCTGTCTTGCATACTCTTTCACATCTCTTCTGCTATGAACGCTGTCGCAATTCCACTTCACATAAAGTACGGCGTCTTCCGCATGAATCCTGCGCTCCGCCGCATGGCCAACACTCCAGACAACGCAGTCAGCAGAGCCAGCGCTCAGGCAGGATGGGACTATGTGGTTGCACTGCTAGCCGCACTAGGTATGATATTTTAAACTGTATACCTTTTTCCTCTTCGGAACGTTCGTTCTTCCAACTCATAAGAGATATTAAACCTTGCTCACGCTAAAAGCAATGTTGCTGAACCACATGTGGGCGACGAGCGGTGGGCCTAAAACCTTAGAGGAGAAGGGCATCATCTGGATAACTGTTATAGTAGCCGGCATCGCTGGATGGCGCTTCTTTAAGGTAAAAGAGTACAGCCCGCTGTGAACGCTGTGGATTGCGCCGCTGTTAAGCCTAGTTGCAATGTTATTGCAACAGCATTAAATAGTGCTAACGTACCTCACGAGCGAGTAGCCGGCACGAGCGAGTAGCCAGCTCTGCTAAGACTCTACTAAAACTCTAACTATGCATACTATAATTGCAATAAGTTAATAACTAAATAGTCTACTAGCTTTAAAAGAGGCTTAATTAAAGCTTACTTCTAAGGCTATTAAATATAATATAACTCTCTTAATACTATATACTATAGTAATCTAAAATATTACTAAATAAATACTCTAACGTATTCTACTACTAAGCTAGCTAGACTACTAAGCTAGCTACTTTTTCTTAGCATTATAAATAACGTATTCTATTCTTAAAGCAGCTATATTACTAAAGTAGCTACTTTTTCTTAGTATTATAAATACTATAACGTACCTTATAGATTAGCAAGCTATATAAGTTAGCGAGCTACTTTTGCTAAGCTTCTACTAAAACTACTCTATCTACGTAATGCCTTAACAACAGCACTAGATAGATACTTCTAACGAACATAAGATATAGACTACTCTCTAAGCTCTTAAATAAGATATAATACTCTCTATATAACGCGCTGCAGCTATCTATAATATATCTTAAGTAACTCTAGATTATTAACGCGCTAGATAACTTTCCTAGGTAAATTGCTAGCCTAAATTAATAAATCTAACTCTAACTAAGAAGAATATAGTTATTAAGTATATACTTAAGCTAGTTATATATAAATTTCTTTCTAGGCTTATAGCTATAGCTAATATAGCTAATTCTCTGCGCGCTAAGCGCAGTCTAAGCTAAGTTAGCTTAAACTAGCCTAGTATATTTATTAAACGCTGCTCTAAGCTCTAAATAAAGTTTAATTATAAATATAACTATAAGAGAGCTCTCTATAAGAATTCTAAGATTATATAAGACTAGTTCTAGCTTATAGAGAATATAAAGGCAAAGTATAGTATTCTTAATAATAATATATATAACTTTAATAAGTCTAGCTTTATAATAAGCTAAGATCTTAACTAGAGCAGTTATTATAGCTTTAGAGTAATAAGAATAGCTAAAGATAGTATAATAGAGTAATTAAGAGTAGATAATAGTTATCTAGAGCGTTAACGCAATAGAGTAAGCTATTTTATTCTTTATTATCTTTAAGAGCTACTACTACTTCTTAGCTTAGTATAAGAAGAAGAATCTACTTTATAATTAAGTTATTATAGTCTCTAAGAATAGCTAGATAATAAATAAGCTTAGTCTATAGTAGTTAAAGTACTTTAATAAGTATATAAAGAGAAGAGTTATAAGCGCTTATTAGCTATTTATTATTAATAGCTATAAGAGCTATAACTTACTTAAATTCTAGTAATACTATAAGAATAATAAGATTATTACTATCTATATACCTTCTTACTTATTACATCTTCTGCAGCTTCTTAATATAAGTTATTTTACTTCTTTAAAGAAGGCATATAGATGCTAAGCTAAAGAGCTTATATATAACTAGATTATATATATTATAAAACTTAAGTTTTCTACTATGCTTTAAGCGTGCCTTTAACGTAGTAATTACTTCTAGTAATATCTAAGAAAAGGTTTTAAAGCGCTAGATTAGTCTTATTTAACCTAGAGCAGATTATATTAGCTCTTAATATCTATATCTATACTCTACTATTGCTTATTATTAAAGATTATCTCTAGCAGTTATAAACTCTAAGTAATATTCTTAAATTAGAATTATAATTAATACTTATAAAGGCAAGAATTTAGAGGTATATAAATAGCTTACTAATATCTATAGTAGAAGCTTTTAAGAAAGTCTTAAAGAGAGTAGTAATTATTACGTATAAGCTAGTATTAGCATAGAAGAAGATTACTAAGCTTTAAGCAGCTAATAAAGCTGCTATATAATATAAATTATATAAAAGAAAGCGTATATAAGAAGAAGAGACCTTAATAGTTAAGAATAATCTTTAATAGATAACTCTAAAGAAGTTTAGTACGCATAGTAATAGAAAGAAGGCAAAGAAGTAAATATACGCTAAAGTAGGCAAGCTCTCTTAAAGGTAGTATAGATAGTATAATAAGACTAGATATAATACACGTATATATAAGAAAGTAGTAAAAGTAGACTCTAAATAATATTATATCTTACTTTATACTATATAGAGCTAAAGTAGGCTATTTTGCGCTAGAATAGAGTAGTTTTAGTAGAGGCTTAGCAAAAGTAGCTCGCTAACCTATATAGCTTACTAACTTATAAGGTACGTTATATAAAATATAAAATTACTCTATACTCTTATTACGATCTAGAATTAAATAACTAAAAGCCTTGCCTTATAAATACTAAATTTCTATAACTAAGTAGTAAGGCTAAGTTAAGATGCTAAGAAATAGATTATATAAGTATACTAGTAAGTACTAGTAAGACTAGAAAGACTTAGTATACTAAGATATACTAGAATAATAAGATCTAACTAAAGTATATAGTATATAAGTAAGACTCTAAACTCTTATAGTTTAGTATCTTTAACTTTATACTTTAAGTTACTTAATATATTATACTCTTTATAGAAGCTTACTCTTATTATCTTAGTATACCTTACTTCTATATCTAGTACTATTTTACTCTATCTATAAAAACTAACTTAAGCTCTTTAATACTAGCTATCTAATTATTAGCTACTTAATAAGTTTTAATACTTTAAAGACTTTTAAGATAAGTAATATAGCTATAGATATATCTAAGTTCTCTTAGACTTATAGATATTTTACTCTTAAGGCTTAAAAGCTTAATAACTTCTATAAAGATTATAATAAGCTTAAGAACTAAATTTTCTAGTTTAACTACTAATTTTATATTAAAGAAGATAAGATTAATAATAATAATAAAGTTATCTTAGTCTCTACTTATATAAAGAGAGATATTAAAAAATAAGTACTACTTATTCTTAAAATATATATAGATAATAATATTAATAATACTAATAATACTATACTTATAGAAAGCTAAAATATATTTAAAACTTATCTTAAGCAAATATTCTCTTTAATTAAGAAATTCTTAATTATAGAATAAAGAATCTAATACTTTAAGTAAACTAAGTTAGCTATTAGCTATATTATACTTTGCTAATAGTATACTATATAAACTTAATAAAGTAATATTATTCTTATAAGAATATATAAATAAGATCTTAAATACTTTATATATAACGTAGTTTATTTATTTATTCTAGATATGAAACGCAAACTGGGGGTATCATCAAAAAACAAGCTAGACCAAAAGAGGATGGTAATTGCCCTCTACCATCAGCACAAAAAAGCGTTAAAAAAGTATAAAACACGTGATCTGGTGTCGGTTGATAGTCCTAAGCGAGGCCAGTGCGGGCACCACCAACCAACACCCAAACTCCTCGAAAATTGCCTCAGGCACAACAACGACCACCCCGCCCCGAGCCGGGCTCAAGGGGCATAATTTTTGTAGTACGCTCAACCATAGAAAAGCAGTGCGCGCAGTCGCGCGCAGGTTAAGGACAGATTTCGCATCAGTATCCGAGTGCTGCAGTCTTCCATCTCTTTACATCTTCGCATCGCCATCACCATCGCCATCATCGCAACCGTCGTCAAACATCCCACAATCCAACGAACACTCAACCTTGCCAGATCGCGTCATGTCGCCTTTAACACCATCGAAGCCCAACAGCCAATACGTCGTCAAGATTGCGCGTTCGAGCTCATCTAGATACGTCGGCTCACCAGCCATATTCAAAGGCGGCTAGTAGATGGACAGCCATGCCGCTACGTTGTCAATATTACAGAATCAGTTCCGCAAGTCGGTTATTAGCTCCCTCGCCACCAACCACCTCCTCGCGCAATACAACGTCGGTCACATCATACCGCGAGGCAGCAGTAGCGTCGTATACCTCCATATCGTAGACGCAATCGAGGTGTACCGGCTGAGATACGCGCTGCTAAGTCACTCCATCCCCAGGAACGATCCTCATATAGATGAGGGGGCGATAAGCAAGCAGGCAGCCATGCTTGCAGACTAGGTAGCAGGGTGTTACGCAGTAACAGATCCTCGTAGCCATAAGGAGGATTTCCTCAAGGAGCTTTAGGAGCCGGCGAGCGTCAAATAGATGGCGATGATCCTGAGGGCAACGCATTCGATATAGCCGCTTTTTTGCAGAGCACCTGCTGCCACAGGTGCCGAGCAAGGCGGCTTATCAGCAGCGAGCCCATCCATCAGATTGCGGGGTTCTGGGGTATTAGTGTTTAATGTTTAATGCTGAGACTTACATATAGAAAAGTTGCTCGACGAGAGCAGGGGGGGCCGTTACTGTATTACATTAGTGAGATCAACTGGAGTACAAAATATAGTCACAAAATATAGTTTACAAAATTGGTGGCCGAAGCCAACCATAACGTAGTTTATAAGCAAGCTAGCTATCTAACTAAGCTAGCTACTAATCTCTACTAAAATGCCTGCGTAGTAATAACGCATAATATCTTAATAATACTAAGCTTAAAAGACTTATACTAAAGCAGATATATAGCTTACTATCTCTAATATTAATTTTAACTAAATCTAAAGTAAATAATACGCTATAGCTATCTATAATATCTCTTAAAGCACTATCTAAGACTATTATATAGAGTGCTACTCTTAATATAACTATAAGCTAAATATAAAGCACCTTATAAAACTAGAAGAGAAAGTAATTATAGAGCATATACTTAAGTATTCTATATGCAGTCTACTTATCTTAAAGGCTAATATATAAGATATAGCTAATAGACTACTTAAAGAGCGCGCTAGTAAGCTTATTAGTAAGAACTAAGCTAATAACTTTATTAAGTATACTTCTAAGCTATAAATATGCTAGAGCTATCTATATAATTGCTAGTAAGCTACTTATAAGAATCTAGTAATTATTTAGCTCTAGTTTATACTAGTTTAGAGTATAAAGAAGAAGTATAGAGTTATAGATAAGAATATATATAACTTTAATAAATCTAGCTTCTTAATAAGTAAGATATTCTCTTAGCTTATAGTAATAAGTTTAGAGAAGCTTAAAAAAGCAAAGAAGCTTTAGCTTAGTAATTATAAATAAGTTATGCTAGTATAAAGTATTAGTATAATAGAAAAAATAATCTTACTCTTTCTTATCTTTATAGGCAAAGTTCTTATCTTAAACTAGTTCTATAACCTTTTATATAACTAAGTTATCTAAGTTAGCTCTACTAGCTAGATAAATAATAATTTAGTGCTTACTTAGCTTAAATACTTTAACTCTTATATATATCTTATTAGAGTATATAGACTACTTATTATTAATAGCTATAAGAGCTATTATATAGTAGAATTCTAAGAATACTATAAGAAGAAGAAGATTATTACTCTCTATATACTTATGCACTTATTCTACTTACTATAGCTACTTAATATTACTTATTTCTTACTATTAAAGCGCATATATAGTAATAGTATCTTAGTCTTAGTATATAGTTATATCTACTATATTAATAAAGAAACCTTTCTACTAGGCCTTTAAAGCTATATTTAAGAAGACTTTTATAGCCAAAGAATATTTATATAGAGTTTTAAGGCGCTAGATTAGCTTTATATAATCTAGAAGTAGTATTATTAAAGCTTAATATATACTTCTATACTCTACTATTAACTACTATTAAGAATAGTGCTTAGTAGGCAAAGATACTATATAATGCCTATAAGATAGAAGTATAGAGTATACTTATTTAATAGAGAGTATAAAACTATATAAGTTCTATAGTAAGGTTAATAGATAAAAAGATTATATAGCTAAGTAAAGGCGCTTAGCAGATAGCATATAATATAATATTAATATAAAAAGAAATAAGTTATTTTTAAGATACTATAGAAGTAATAATAAAGTATAAAGTATATAAATAATAATATATATAAGTAGAGAAGACCTTAATAGTTAGTAAGGTATTAGACTTAATTACTATAATAGCAGAGAACTATTATAATAATAATAATAGACTATTAAAGAGAGTATACGTAGAGAAGCGCTATAGCACTTATAGTAAGACTAGATATAATGCCTATATCTATAAAGTAGAGATAGAGAATATAGAAGATAGCAACGCTTCTAATAAATAATATATTTATATTTATAGTATATTAATTTATTATAGTATTACGCTACGTTGCTGCGCAGGCGTTTTAGTAGAGATTAGTAGCTAGCTTAGTTAGGTAGCTAGCTTGCTTATAAACTACGTTATAAAGATTTCTTTAAGAAAAGACTAGAAATCTAGAAAATCTTATAGTAAGCTCTCCATCAAGAAATTATTAAAGAAATAATTATCTATAATAATATATAAATAAGAGAATATTATATAGTAGATAAGAAACTTAACTTAGAGTTTCTAAATAGCTAAACCTAACTATTAATATCTTACTTTAGAACTTAAGTATCTATTATCTAGAACTACTAAAAAGAAGAGTATAATATAGATAATAAACTACTTTTAATAGAGAAGTTAGCTATCTATACTCTACTAGATTTACTAATACTAGGATATTAATATAAAAAGATAGAATATTAAATATAAGAAGAATACTATATAGCATAGACTATAGAGATAGGTATTAGACTATAGCTAGGTCTAGACTAGAACATTTTCTTTAGTTAGAAGAACTATAAAAACTACTTAAGTATAATATTAGCTTAGTAATACTAAGAAGAACTAATTAGACTTTATAATAAGACTTTATAAGAAATATAAAGCACTATATATATATAAAGATATATTAATCTTTAATAAGACCTAACCTAGATATTAAATAATAAGTTATAATAAGAATATCTTTAAAGACTTATTAATAATAGATAAGAATTAATTCTTATTAATAAAGCTAGATATTAACTTATATAGTAAGATTAGCTTAATAAAGCTAAAGCAGAATACTAATAATAATAATAAATTATATTCTTAGCTAAAAAAAGAGTTAAATACCTATAGAACTATTATAACTTTAAATATTATATAATCTTATAGACTACGTATAAGAAAGTAGTAGGTAAATATAAAGATAAATAACTACTACTCTCTATAAATAGAAAGATAGCTATTAAGTAATAATAGATAACTATATAAAAATAGTTATATAATACTTATAACAGTAGCAAATAATAGACGATAGGTAAAATATCAAATTAGAGATACTATCTAACTCTAGAGATAGCTATAGTATATATAATACTATTATATCTAACTATAGCTAGTACTATCCTAGCTCTGCTATACTAAAATCTAAGGTTTAGAACTCTAATATTAATTTCTAATAATTTATAATTATTAATAAGCTCTAATAGCTTATAAATCCCTTATTTAGATTATAAATCTCTTAGACTAGTAAAATAGCTTATACTAGCAGTTCTTAGAATAGAGCTAAAATACTAGCTAATACTAATTAGTATAGACTAGTAACTGCTAATATAAGCTCTAGTAAACTAACTTTACTAGTTTACTATTACTCTGTATTCTAGATAGATAAGCCTAATTAATACTAGCTAAAACTAGATTTTAGGCTAAATACAGAGAATAACGAAATATAGGCAAATAGAGCAGAAAGAAGAAAAGAGAGATAACTAAGCTAATACTAAAGCTATTAATAAGCTTATTTAACTTCTAGAATAAGATAATAATATATATTTTATATATATTATTATAATAACGTACAACTATTACTAAGCTAGCTATATTACTAAGCTAGCTACTTTTTCTTAGTATAACTAACTTATCTTACGCATCGTTAATTTCATTACTATTAATCTAGAGCTCTATATATATAGAGCTTAACTCTAATTTAGAATTATCTTTTATATCTTTTTTATATGTTTGCACGTTATGCCTAGTCTTGCTATAGTTTCTATAGCGCTATAGAGCTAGTTAGGCTAGTTCTTAACTACTACTACTATAAGCTTTCTTAGATTACTAAGATGCTACAGATGCCTTAGCAGCTACCTACGCTGCTACAGTCTTATACTCTATAGTACTACTATGCTAGATCTGCTTTCTTTTGCGTAATTTCTGCTTAGTTATCTCTGCTAATTGCTCTTTAAGCTTATAGATCTAAGCATATTAAAGCGCATTTTTATATAGTATTAGCTTACTACCTTTTATAAGCTAGAAGAAGCTAGCCTAAACTATTACTAGTAACTAAGTAAAGAAGTTACGTACTAGCTTTAATTAAGATCTAAACTTATAGGTATTACTTAGAGTCTTTAACTGCTATAGCGTCTCTAGAAGAAGAGGTTCTAGTAAGGTATGCAGCTATACTTTAAGGTAATTTAATATAACCTACGCATTAATAAGAACTAGCTTAGATGCCTTAAAAGCCTTTTAATAGTTCTTCTTTGTAAATATATCTAAAAACACGTTCTTAAAGGTAGATAGAAAGCTTTCTTTATTAATATAGAAGATATAGCAGCGTGCTAAGTCTCTAACGCGCTATAAGTACTTATGCTTTAGCAGTAAGAAATAGACTATATTAAGTAGCTAGAGAATATGCAATAAATAGAGAGGTATATATAGAGAGTTAGAATCTTATAATTAAGATAGTAGTTCTTAAAATCCTAGTTAAGATAGCTCTTATAGCTATCTAAAATAAGTAGCTAGTACTTTCTTATCTAATGCGCCTTTATATGCGCATTAAAGTGCTTTAACTACTCTAGACTAAGCGCGTTATTAGTCTAGCTATTCTTAGAAACTAAGAGCTTCTAATTATATAGTATTAAGATTTTCTTATACTACGCTAAGATATAGACGCGTCTCTTATAGATAATAAAAGATAAAGTTATATATCTAGTAGCGTATATACTTTAGATTACTATAACTTACTTATAGTTACTTAGTTAGATTAGATTAGGCTTTGCAC